CTGCCTTCGCAGTACATCCTGTCCAACACATCATGAAGTATAATACATAGCTTACAGAGCTCTGTAAAGGTAGAGACGCTGTAGCTTGGTGATCCTGGATGACTTGTTCCACTGGTATGAGCAAAGGGATGCCACGCCTCGAGCTCCTCGTACGTATCCATGAAGGAGATGGGCACTTGTCCCTCGGGCGGCCTCAGACTAGCTGGACGACCTTGATACAAGGACTGCATCTTATCTATCACGAAGGCTGCCCAGTACACTGCGATACAGTAAGTTTCGATCTTTTTAGTCTCGAATGGCAAAGTATCACCTCTTCGACGAATCTCGAGATCCTCTTCCGAGATGCGTTGCATGTTGGGCAGCATCGCGGCATCGACGTGTAAGCCAAGATCTACCAGCATACGGAACGCAGTACCTGCATACACCCAAGCAGCGCTCTGCTCATCGCCTAGTGCAAAGAGAGAGTTGCTCATTTGCAGCAATGCCTGAATGGTAGTGATCTCACTATGATCCAAAGCTTGTCCGAGCAGGTCCCTTACCCTGTTGCGAAATTGCCAGCCAGCTGTTCTCACATCGGTGGGTTCTTTACGCAACTCTGGCCTCGGACTAAACTTGGCGGCGCCGTAGTATATGGCATTGAGAAGAATTTTGGAAAAGTACGGGCCAGCACAAGCCATATCTCGCATGAAAGCTGGACGATATGTCACAAGGAAGGAATGATGCTGGCGGTTCCAGTGGAGATTGAGTAAGTGCAGACCCAGCTCAGGATCTACACCATCAAAATCCAACTTGCCAGCGCGCGCGTTGATCTCTTCGTATTGTCGTTGCTCGGCAGCAGCAGCGACCAATATCTTTGGCATCCACGCATCCCGCTCCTTTGAGCGTTGGAATTGTGACTGACGGCTGGCGCCATCGTCGAAAAGAGTACTAGTGGGGCCATGGTATGTCGAAGTTCCTGTCACAGACGTTGGTGTCCCCGTGGGCTTCTCCCCGCGAGTGGAGACGGATGCACTGGCTGGTGAGATGGTCTCCATCGGTGGAGACGGGTTTACTGGACTTGGCTCCGCTTGTGAGTCAGGGGAGACGTCAGTCAGACTACGACTTTGCTCCCGAAGACGTCGGTTCTCTTCCACCAACGAACTGATGGCAGCGTTTGTCGGACGTGACTTGCGGACAACTGGTGCAATGACGCATTCTTGATCATAGATTTCGCAATTCTTACACCGTGGTCTTTCACCTGTGCATTTCATCTGCCAACATTCGTCAACACAAGGTCGTGCCACCACGTTGGATGGATTCCGTGCCAACCTTGCGATGCTTGCAATAGGTGCATGCTCTTTGAACGCGAGGTATCCGCCGCTCCGCCGGCATGATGCCCTAAAGGAGATGGCGGCCTCCGGTTCGTGGTGATACGCGGATGTAAGTTACGGTTTGCGTGGAAATGAGCCGGGGATGCAAATATGCGCGCGAAGATGAAAAGCCGTGGGAAGTGCAGGATGAGAGTGCGGAACGGATCATCTTTCGCCGCGGTCGGCGGTGGAACTAGGTACCTTGCCCTACCTAGAACTATTCCACCTTAGGGCAAAGCGGAGTCTCCTGAGGCTGAGGTGGGCCTTTGAGTTTGCCGGCCTCGCTTGCCGAAGACAACAACCGCCGCCAAAAACATCGTTTTGGTCAGATGGCGACTGCGACTGCCCGTGATCATTGTTATCGGATCCTGTCTCTCAACAAATTGATACGTGATATCCCAGCATCATCGAGCCGCTCGAGCCATTCTTCTAGTTATGCGAAAATGTGGAAAGAACGTCGACCTCTTTTCGCAATGTAACACACACGCACGCTTACGCCCGCACTTTTCCCCTTTGATGCAACATCACCTATTTTACTTCATATCAGCATATTGATGGCGCATAATCCTGAGTTGACTGGTACTCTGAGTACAGCAACGGCAATTTACGACRTGGCAACGAACAAAGCAAAAACACTTTCTTCAAATTTACACCACGAACATAGCACTAAGAACAACAACGACTTCTTTGTTTCTCTAACAAGCGCGAGAGAAAGGCTATTGTATTGACTTCTCCCTCCTTTGTACGTGAGGATACTCATAAATGGCATCTCTTGCACTCCTCCGTCACGCTTCCATTCAGTCTCATTCATCACTCATACAGTCAGGCACAGTACTTTCAACAACATGCCAACTCGCTCTGATTTCTTCGCAGCTGGACCTGCTAACATTGAGCCAGGAACTTTGTGTGGCATATGCAGTCAAGATATGCAATCACGCCATCCCGTCCGCCTGATTTGTAATGACAAGCATACCTTTTGTAGAGAATGCATCACCCCACATCTTCAACGCAATCGTTGCGTGTATGACTGCACTATCCGACCCTTCGATCCCGCGCCTTGGACAGACGTCGATCAAACAATTATCGACAGTGTCGCGGCAAAGCTTGTGGATACCAACCTACACCACCCCTGTGTTGAAGAATTGGGAGGACACAGAGCAATGGACTGGCACACCTACCTCTCCAAAAGAATGGAGCCTGAAATCAACGGCGTTCCCGTCATCTCATATGAGAAATCCTTCGCGGCTATCAAGGGCTCTGGTCAGTTAGTCCCCGAGCAACTCCTACTAAGCACAATGACTCTCTGCAACGCAATCCCGCGCCTTGTCGCCTACTCGTCAGAGAAAGAAAACTACGATGACTACGAATTACAGCACTGGCAACTCATCAGCGAAGCTCTTGTAGCCGTTCTTCCAACTTGTGAAGCCAAGGTAGATCATGTCGAGGTTCTACCAAATGTGCTACGACAAAAGATTGAGTCCGGTCTCTCTTCTGAGGATCTGGGTCCTTCTCCATTCCTTCAAAAGGGCAGTGCCCGTTCTGAGGATTTGAATCTTTTGCTGGAGTATCTCGCTGCGACGGCATTCTTGGCTGGAGTACCGCCAGAGAGGGTCTCCCTTTCACTTGGACCTGCACTCCGGATTGCCAAGTTTGCTCATGATTTCGTACAACATTAGCTTCCAGCAACTCGGTGAGTGAGAAACATTACCAAAATTCTGCCCTTTCACTCTTAACCCCTTTTCAATCTGAACGTGCGTGACATGCCTATATTTTCTAATCTCAATTGGCTTCTTGTCTACYTCCATTGCGTCGCATCCAAGTCGAGCTCCGAATCGACTAAATCGGGATGGTCAGTCAACCATGCCTGCACATCTTGACATCTCGCCAGCCAGATGATGCCTTCGTCAGGCTTTCAAGCCAGATAAGCCACCACAGTCTCAAAAGCTTGTAGCCGCTCCGGACTGTTACTGAGAAAGGGGTGGAACAAAATCGACAGATAGCCACCTCGGACGATCCCTTCATCTATCTGTGCAATGATCTTCTGCGTCAACGACTGYTCGGATTGTGGCTTCTCAGATTCGCCTTTCATCTCTCGTAGCTTGGAGAAAGTCTCCATGTAGTAGAAAGCGTCCACGGTTGTCCACCTGAACGGCAAGATCACCATCGAGTCTTGATTATTCTGTAATGGCACAACAGCGGCGTTTTGACCTGCAGGACTGATATATTTCAGACCATATTCTCTTTTCGGTTACACGTCAGCTGTATATCATTATTGTAATGTTCGTACGGTAGACCCTTACTTGCAAATGCCCAACGTTCGCTGACCATAAATCATACCACTAGGAGGTCGAAAACCTTTATACGAGTCAATGATAGCTTCGCCCGGCTTACTGTTGTTAACAAAGCCTCGAAGACCTTCACCACCAAAGCTGCGCGCGAAATTCGCCCTCTCCTGCTCCTCACTCCCAATCTTACTCCATGCTTCATGACGCCAAGCATGCCATCCAATCTCATGTCCAGCACTAATAATCTCTCGGATCGTCGAAGGGTAGACGGCCAAATTCCAAGATTCAATGAAATAAGTTACGCAGACGTCGTGTTTGGCGAGGATGGCGAGGAAATGTGGAAGGATTTCTGTTACGGAATAGTGATGTCCCACTGGAGTTGATGAGTCCGGCCAGAGATTTCTTTCTAGGTCGGCTGCTTCTCCCATGTTATCGAGTGTGAGGACCATGGCTGCTGATGCGTTTTTTTGGCCATTTTGGTGCGTCTGTCATTGTGAATATGTTCTGGAGTTTGAAAGATACCTTATTGTAGCGAGGCGATTGTGATTCTGGAAAGAGGATGCCAAGCCTGCGCGTGTTTTCGCTGAATTTGAATGTCAAGCGCTGCATGGGTATAACGCGGTTCTATCAACAATCTATATCGCCAGACATCTTTACGATCTGGACTTGATCACATCTCCTGCATCCACTCAAAAGAAACTCAACACCTTCTCGTAGATGGAAAACACTATCCCGCCGGACAAGACCAGCCTTCCGAGTCGCATTGTGCTTCCCTTCCAGAAGCTCCTCAGTCCTCCGTCCTGCCAGGTTCCACTAATTGCACGCATGAGAGTCTCGCCCTGACTACACTGTGCCCGAGTCTTGACCGTATCAAACGGCTGCGTCATGTATACAGTAATGCAGCCTGCAATGGATCCCATGGCAAAAGTCTCCGCTGYACTGGTGGGTAGGTGTCCCATGCGAGTTTGGTACTGGGTCTTCAATGCGTTGTAGCTTCCCATTCGTACGGCCGAGGTGGCGGATTGTTTGGCAGTTGTACTGATCAGACCTCTGTATAACCCTGCGAGTCCCTGTTCTCGAAGTAAAAGAGAGATGGCATGAGTCGTTGACTTGAATCTTCTGGCTCCTTTTGCGTCATCGATGAGGGCTGTCTTGATTCGCTCGGTTGGGGTGACTGCGAGTAGAGACTCCACCGCTCCAGCTGCCATACCGGCTAGGATACCTCTTGATGTTGAAAGCTTGCCTTGCTCGTCTACCAACTGTGCTTTGATCGAATCGAAGGCCAGGAATCGAACTCCTGCTTTMAAAGCAGTACCCGCCACTAACGCACTGCATCCAGTGTATATACCAGTCACACCTTCCGCTTTGATAACATTCCTTAGCATGCTTACGACACCACCTTGTTGCACTCCGGTTGACCGAAGCTGTGCTCGAGTCTTGGCATATTCAAAGGGGTATGTGATTGTGGCCTCAACACCACCAGCCACAGCTCCGGCAAAGAGTGATGTCAAAGGATGCACTTGTTTCTTGCTGTTGATGTTCGGCTGTATGGTTGCTTTGAGTGGTACTGAGCCCGATAAAGGTACTGTCGCTATTGTTGCTGCCATTGTGAAGATTTGACGATTCCTTGCTTGTTTTGAGAAACAAATTAGAACAAATGCATTCGTTTGGATATGTACGATGTTTTAATCTGATCAACAACAACGACAGTACGCATATATTGCTGCGCTATGTTGTTGATTCACTTGACCTCGCACTCAATTCGTGCCGCGGAACCGGAGGTCGTGCTTTCTCCGAAGACTGTTGCCCGACATCCCACGGAAACTCAACCTCCGCGGAAGATTCACTAGGCCGCACCACTCTCTTCCAAGCTTTCCAAGAAGCCGGAACTTTGACCCACCGAATCATATCCTTCATGCGAAGCCCACGCGGGAGTGGGCCCCATGCTTCTGCCATGTGGCCTCCAATAAGTACTTGCGGCCAAGACTTGGCCATGAGGCTTGGAATTTGTTTTCTCGTCTACGCGATGAGAACTTCATTCCCCATGGGGTTACCCCGCTGGGAAAAGTCGTGTGGCATTCTCGCTACAGTCTCCAGCCAAAGACCTTGGCGGTAGGGTTCTGGAAGAAGCCATTCTAGCCGTTTGAATGGAGACCGAATAGAGGTATATAGAGACGCCGGGACGAGCGATGTCTGAAGAGTATCGACATTGTCATCTCTCCCCTCCTCCTCCTCCTCCTTGAGAGACAGTATCTCCACTTGGCTCTCACACCTCGACGGACACATTGCCAATATGTCGGACGAAAAGAGGATGTCGATTGAAAAGGTCGACGTGGCCATTGAGACCACAGAGACGGACATTTCTGCCGCAGCGGTGCAGGCCAGATTCCCAACACTCCAAGATCTTGACGAAGCAGAGATGGCGGCTCTCAACAAACGGTTACTCCGTCGAATTGATTGGCGTCTGATGCCAACAATCACCATCATGTTTTTGATGAAGTATGTTTGAAAAACTATCTCCCTCTTCGTCTTGATCAAATTCTGACTTCCACTTTCCAGCTATCTCGATCGTATCAATGTTAGCAACGCACGTCTCGCCGGCCTTCAAGAAGATCTCGGCATGAGTGATTCCGTGTGGAATGCAGGAATCTCAACCTTTTACGTTGGATATCTCATAGGACAATTGCCAGGCAACCTGTGGTTGGCAAAAGTCAGACCGAGTCTACTACTTCCTGGCATGATGATTGGATGGAGCATCTGCACCATCTGTATGCCMGCTTGCACTTCGTAAGTGACCTTGGAGTTGATTCTATCCTCATGGGTCAATTAGCTGACTTTGTTGATATCACAGCGGCGTTGGTTTCTGCATGGTTAGATTCGTTACTGGTCTATGTGAAGCGCCTTTCTTCCCCGGAATCACTTTGAGTACGCAGTCTTGTCCCACATATTGAGAATGCACTCCTCTGACATTGACGCAGTGACATCCTCATGGTACACCAGAGACGAAAGTCCCATGCGCATGGCCATCTGGCACGCCGGCAACACCATTTCAAACATCATCTCTGGTTTCCTGGCCGCTGGAATTCTCCACCACATGGGCGGTATCGCCGGCCTTTACAGGTGAGCATCCTTGGAGATCCTCAACGACTATCAAAAAGCAGCACTAACAGTCACAACCAACAGCTGGCAATGGTTCTTCATCATCGAGGGAGGAGTCAGTATCCTCGTCGGCGTCGTCGCATTTTTCCTCCTCCCAGACTGGCCTGAGAATACGCGCTGGCTCAAGCAAGAAGAGCGAGAGATGGCTCAATACCGAGTGATCATGTCCAACGGAGGAAAGGAAGAGCAAGTCGGTGGCACTTGGGACGGACTCAAGGACGCCGTCAAAGATCCCTTCACTTGGATGTTCTGCGGCATGCACTTCTCCCTCATCAACGCCCAATCCTTCAAAGACTTTTTCCCATCGGTACGTTCATCATACACCCTCATCGTCTTGTGGAAGCATCATCAAAACTGACAGATATACCTCTCCTCAGATCATCAAGACTTTCGGCTTCAGCGAGCTCAACACCTACCTCGTCCAAGCCCCTCCATATGCCCTCGCCTACGCCGTCGCCTGTGCCTGCGCCTGGAGCTCCGGCAAATTCCGAGAATCCTGCTACCACATCATCGTCCCCATTTTCGCATCAGCCATTGGCGTCTCCCTCATGATGTCCACCCCTAACGTGGGCGCACGATATTTCGGTGCCTGTCTCCTCATCTGCGGAACATACAACGGTCTCAATTTACAGCTCTCCTGGGAAACCACTCTAGTCCCAGCGCCACGAAGCAAAAAAGCCGCATTGATCGCCATTGCCAATTGCGTGAGTCAGTGCAGTCATTGGTTCTCCCCGCATTTCTTCCCCACGAGCCAGGAGCCGTTTTATCGTCTGGGAGGTGGGTTGATTTTATTCGGATGCTTGTGCACTGTGCTGCTCTGTTGGGCAGTCAAGGGGTGGGCTAAGAGGCTGAATAAGAAGTTGGWTGAGGCGGAGGGGTATAGTGCGCATACTGGTGTTGAGCGAGGTTGGAGATTCGCTTATTGATTTGGGAAAAGAAGAAATTGGGTGGTAATTGCGATGGTTTTGAATCACGGATTATGATGGATGACACGCAAGGGAGGACTTTTTGTTGATGTTTGATGGGAATCTCTGGGAGAACATCAAGGCATGGCGATTATGARTGAATGAATACAAGAAATCAACACCTTGACATGGTTTGAATGAGGTGTGATGATTCTGTTGGGCTTTATCGAAGATTGATCAACGTTTGTGACACTGAACGACCACGGCCCGGTAATGTCGAAGGTGGCCGTCTCTAAAACACAGAGAATCTTCGACAAGGAGACAAAATACATAGACCATTTAGCTCTCCGCAACGTTGCTCTTTATATGCTCATAGATACTCATCAGCGAGCGTTGTCGCCTGGACAATACGAGGAGAGCCGGCAATTCTCAACTTGACCAGGCCTTGGACCACCCTCTAAGACAAGACCAACTTTTCTCGAAGACTCGTCAATCTTCCCTGAACACATCACAGCACATCTTTCTCTTCACCCCACTTAGACGAAAAGAGACGTAATTCTACAGTCCATCTTCAAATATAACAATTCCTTTACCTCTACTATTTATTACTGGAATATCTAAGGGGACCTTAGGGGATATATGAGCGATTATCCCGCTCTAGTCGGACATATCAGTTGGACTTTCGCCCATGTCAGTCATTATGATGGAATTGACATGTGCTATCTCGATACACTCATGCTATGGATAGCATCTATCATGCACCTACCTCTACCAAGCCTGCCCGGAAGATCGGCATCGTCCAAGCTTGGGAGGAGGACATACATGGATTCCATCATCTCCCGCCAAAAAGACCCCAAAAGCTTTCCAACTCGAGCTCTTTCAAACACACCTACTACGCAACCTATACTTTTTACGCTGTCCAAGTGCTTTGGAATACTCCTAGGAACTAATCGTATCCAACACACCAAAATTCATGGAGAAAATCCCTCGGACAGGATGATCGAGCTAAAGTCCCTTCTTCTTGCGCCGCCGCCAAAGCAGCCCTCCATCACAGTGGCACTTCGATCAACGCCGAATGGCCAGCCCATTGTAGAATGGACGGAGGCCTGGAAGAATTGGGATGGACGATGAAGCCATACTATCGAAAACACCGTCCCTTCATTCTCCACACTTTACTGACGAGGCGACTGGATATGGCAATTCTCTTGACGATATCGTCATCATCTGCGCAGAAACGATGGTCTCAGCCTCCAAAACTGCGGCGAGGATGGATGAATGGATTGCCGCTAGTCAAATGAACAAACTGGAACGTCTCCTTGAGGAAGCTAGACTCAAGCTCGGAGATCTAGTAAGAAGCGTCCAGAGCATTCACTCGAACGAAGTAATCGAGGTCGAGGTAGATATGGCAAAGGAAAGTCAGTTACTCAAAGGAGCGGCAGACATCTCCAGCGCTATCCTTCTAAATCTCAAACACGAGCTCCACCAAGCTACATATCGCGTCCGTGAAATCGATTGGGAAAAGGTACCAGTAGTCGCCAAAGAGTATCTTGCCAAGAATATGCCAATAGAAGACGACGGAGGAGGAGTCCTTGCAAGCACCCAAGTCGAGGTACTCAGAAAAGTCAATCTCATCCAAGATTTTGACCGGCAGGGTCTACCATGGACCATCAAGAACAGCATTACGACCAATATGCCGACCAAGGATAATGTACACGAAACCTTCGAAAGGAAAAAGCAAGGAAGCTCTCGCCTTCATCAAGAATGTTGATTGGAAGAGTTTTACCGGGGAAATCAAGGAGCACATCAGGAGGAAGCCAGGAAATACCGCCATGCTAGTGACCCAATGGACCTTACTTGTTCTATTCCCAGCTCTAATAACCAGTCCAATTGCCAGTCTTTTTGGTTGTAGCAAGTTAGGGCCCGTAGTCGGTAAGTATGCCCAGGCTTTGAGAGATTGTGTTTTTATTGCTGATATGATATCTAGACACTGCAGCATCTGCGTTTGAGTCGAAATATGGCACGCAAGTTCTATTCCGGATACTCCAAAGCTACGGTATGAATGGATGGGGAGTCAAGGCCGTCAACAGTGTCTTCTCATTTGGGAGCGTCTTGGTGAATGGAGCTGCGAGCTTGTCGAAATCTAGTGGAAGGGAGATACTCAAGACGCTGCTGGAATATGTGTATGGGAGTGAAAGGCTGTGTTCGCAAAACCCTCGTCGCAATGTGACGTGTTGAGCTTGTCGGATCAAATGAGACGTCAGGCTCGATGATGGTTCTTCAATTGTGAAAAGCGTCATGAGGATGAGAATGTTCGAGGCTCAGGGAGGTGCATGTTATGAGCGATGATCTCTATGGGTGAATGTTTCACACTCTTCCTTACAGAACAAATCACAAAAGACGAATGCATACAGAATACAACGTCTCAAACAAARTGCAACATTCCAAGTGACGATAAACACAGTCCTTGCCGAAAACGATGCAGCGAAAAGACGGATCGTTGTACGCAGAGCAGAGAGCAAGAAAATAGCCGACAACACCCTCTACTGCAAAGTGAAAGAGATCAAAACAGTACTTACCTCGACTGTCGCGGTTCCAAAGACCTWGAAACACGCCTGTTCAAAATCCACATCACTGACCAGCCAGCGATGAGAGTCTTCCAGCGCACAATCCACCGAAATACGACCACCACCCGCGGAGATATCCACTCCCTCACGAATCCCCTTTACCTTTACAACACGCGACTCGCCAGATCACCAGCGCTTATTAGCATGCATGCATAGATCGACTGTAACATCACGCGGCAACATTACTACTTGAACCAACACCGCGTGGAGCTCACATGGCAGCCGCGTCATGCAACGTGGGAAGCAGGGCACCTTACTGGGCCCTCCTCGAAAGCTCCAATTTGGAGAGGGTACAGCGGGACCTGCTTCTGTTTGGATGACACACCATTATTCGGGAAATAGATGCTCCGCTTACGTGGGATTGAGGTGCTTTGAGCCGAGCTTTGCGATGTGAGGGTTCAGAGGGTTCTGTTGGTTGGGTGCCGTGACTTGTATGCTCCAATGAGGAGGAGAGGCGGGTAGGTGGGTACTTGGGTACCCTTTCGCGTTCGAGACGTCGGTAACACGTTGTTTGGTTGCGCGTTCGCTGCATGGAGGTCGCGTGGCTGCGCGAAAGATTGTGGAGTGCACTTGGGGGTTCCTCTCCCACGAGGGCCTTCATTGGCCAACAAGCACCGCGGCGGTAAATCTAGCACGCTGACGAATCGCCGTGGGAGGACGTTTTGATCGTCAGTAGCTCAGGTTGAGAAAGTTGTCAATGCTATCGACAATCTTGCTTCACCGTGCGGCCGCAGTTGGCGTGGTATTCAATTCCCTCAATCGATTCAATGGTTGTCAATAACTCGCAAGGCAGTGAACTGTGTGGCTGGAGGATCTTCCAAAACCAATCCTGTGAAGGATCCGGGCCAGGAACCGTCATGTTGAAGGCTTTCCGCCATGGCTGAAGGATGGCAACGGCAGGAAGCATCAAAGATCGCCATACCGGGAGACAACTATGAGCTCTCCAAGCTCATCGAAGCAATTCACAGCAGAGATTCGCCCTCCATTCTTCGACGTATACATGCCACTTTCGAACCGTTCCAACCAGCAGGACGATGCCACCAAAGCTCCGTCATCGTGGTTATAGCTGCACTTGCTAAGCCGCAGACGATCTCGCGGGCCATCTTCCGGTAGGTGGCCCCAAAGTCAGCTCCCACGAGCTAATTCCGTTTCGTTTGGGCCGGATCTGGCCGACAATGATGTTGTCGCGATCGCACATGTTACTTTCAGTAAGGTTGGTCGACGCGAATTGGTGTTGGCGCGACTTAGGGCAGCCCGACGATCTGCTTTAAGCTTCAGACTATGAGCCAACATGGCAGCACGTGCTGCCACGATACCCTGTTTGATTGAAACTCAAGATTGATAAGGACTCGGGAACACTGTGCCGTATGTGGCATGCGCTGGCTGGACAAACGCAGCCTCCCAGCGAAGTGATGATCTCTTAATCTGCATGGCAAGTCGCTTGTGATCGACGATGTCCGGTGAAGTGTGTATGCAACGTGCGTGTTATTGCTCATAGTCCGAGTGACAAGTCATGAGCGAGCAATCGGTTTTGGCTTCCCGAGGCTGAAACAGACTGCGTCTTGTGCTGAAGCTCACCGGTCAAGCTGCGTCTGCAGGAAATAAAGCCACCGTCTTATCCATCAGTATTGTTGGCAACAAGTCACCTTCTTAAGCGGTGTGAGTGGTGGACACAATTAGCACAGCCGCGGTCGATCGCTCCATGATGCATCTGAAGAAGAATGTGGGGACGATCACAGTGGGTGTTGTGGCAGCGCAAAGGCTGAGCCGGCTGATCGGCTGGAGAGCCACGAGCCATGCTGCGGCACGCTTAATCAGAGTTTGAAGGAGGGTGCCTGCCCTCGTGGCCGACAGGCATTAAGCAGCGCCAAGCTATCCTCGGTTGATTCTTGGGGATCATCAATGATTTAATGGAGGATCACTGGTAGGATGGAGAGTTTGAGAGATGTACCTGATCCTGAGCCGCGGTGATGGAGGATGTGATGGGATTCGAGACGTTCAGGCCTCCCGTGCAAAGGCCATGCAGTACAGGAGCAAAAAGCTTTCCCACTACCGGCTCCCAAAGCATGAAGCCAGACGGGGCGTCTCCGTGCGCTCGGTCGCTGCCGGATTTTAATTCATGAATCATTCCTCTGAGCGCACATGGCACTCACAGGAGGGTCGCGGTAAGCTGACTCGGAAGGAAAAGAGCGAACGCCACCAGAGCGGGCCAGCTAATCGCATTGAAGAGCTACGCGCACAGCGGCAGGGTGGTATGACAAAGCTCGCTTGATGGGACGGATGATGATTTGCCCTGAGTCGTTGACCATCATCGGTGGATAGAGGCCGGTGTGCGATGCGATGCGATGCGCGTGACAGTGTCCCACGCAGCTCATACGAAAATTAGAGTGCGCAGCGGAAGCGCCCAATCGTTGCTTTGCGCAATGTGAGTCGTTGCTGGACCATTTTCAAGAGGCACAGCTGGAGCTGGAGCGGAGGTGATGTGACGTTGATTGACTTTCCCACCTCAGGCTGCTGCTTTTACTCGATCGGGCCCGAAATTTTCGCTGGGGCTTGCCGCTTCCCTTCCATACCAGGCCGACACGGACCACGTCCACGCCATCCCCTTGCGGGACTGATATGCCGCTCTGCCACATGTCTTTTGGCCCCATCTGCAGCCGCCTGCCTGCTGTGCCTTGCCTATCATTTCCCCGATGTCCGATCCGCCGTCCACTCAGTCATAATCAATCCTTCTCCACTTAGTTAGCCTTGCGACACGAATTGCGTCCAGGCAGCGACCCAGGCTGCAAAATGGRGAGTGAGTGGCATGTCGGCGCTCGGGACCGAGGGCCTGACCTGCCTGCCACCGTGCACATCATCACATTTGCTCACGTTKCGATCGACGCTATCCAGTCTGAGATGAAAGATTGTGAACTCTGAGCATCTTGTTGAATCTTGATGAGTCGTTCGCCGAGCTGGAGCTCGCCAGGACGGCATGGCGGTCATGGCGTCAAAAAGCACATGTGCATCCCAAAGCTTGACCCGCAGCGGAAAAACGTGATGATTGACAGACGCTCGTGGGCTCAGAGTCTAAATTGTATGAGGCACAGGCAACCCTAACAGGAAATCAGAGCTAAGAGACGGGAGCAGGGATCCGCTCCTCTGACTCTGGGCTAGCGACTGTGCCGCTAGTACCGTCACGGGTAGCGGAGTGTTGGTTCACAGGTGTACCTTTATAACGCTGTCTACAGCCCCAGGGCGCAGGCGAGGAACGTGCTAAAAGCGACCAGTGTCTCTAACGTAGCCCTAGTTGATTGTTTCGTCCTCGACTCCCGCATATATCATACATGACACCCCGATCCTACAACGGGACTTAAGAAGTACCATCTCCCAACCGGTTGGCCTACCTTCATCCTTCATTGCCTCTTTTGATCATGGACTCACCAACTCTCCAGTCTGCCTCGAGCACCTCGACTCGCATTCAGACTCACTCTTCATACACCCCAAGGTCATCAGTCGACGACCACGGTGCCATTCAGAAACGATCCAGCAACGACAAGGGACGATCAATCTCAACCTCGCAAGCCGATCGACTGTTCCACCTGTTATCCGAACAGGTCAACAGTGCCGATACTCTGGACACCTGCCCAACATCAGCTGGTGGTATTCAGTGGATTACTCCAGAGAACTCACCACAACTCAACGGCTTTGCTTCAATCGAACCAATCATCGAATCATACCATCAGTGGACGGTACCAACTCCTCCAAGATCTGATTCTGGCCTTCCAAGTGTTTCCATCGAGGAGGACGCCGTCCTCCACAGTGCTTCAGATTTCCCCGACTTCGATCAACCTGCTGCCTCTGAGATGAGCTCATTGGGCTTCCTTCTTCCCTCAKCGTACGGAGCTTCACCATATGATTCTGACCACAACGGTGTGTTCGTCTTGATCGGTGTGGAGTTACAACTTGCTGATTCATTGTAGGCTACGACATGGAACAACCTTATATGCCACCAATGCGTGTGTCTCAAGCGCCATCCACCGGTGCACATTCAGCATACACAACGACCTCATCATCAGAACCTGCCCTATACATTAGCAAAGCTCCAGACGCATTATCCTCGCGAAGGCAGTCTGAGCTACCTACGACGACTTCATCATCTTACGAGCCAAGCTATCGAAGGATCAGCAGTCCGTACGAACCATCCTCCAGTTCCGCATACTCCATGCCCACACGAGACTCCATTTTATCGATCAGCGGCCTTACCCACAGTCCTCTGCCATCACCACACATGAGTGCAACATCTGCGGGACACATCTCACCCCACTACACCACCAGTGTGCCAAGGTTAGTTTCACTCTACAAGATCATGATCGATCAGCGACTAATCTTCATCACAATAGATCACCAAACCCTTATGCATCCAATCCTTATGGAGAGACATATGGCACATCATCAGCCCCTTCGACATCACAACTATATGCATCCAGCCATGCGCAATACCCGCCATCACCATTCGTTGGAAGCAATACCAGTGAGCCCCCATCGAAGCGACACAGCAACGATGGATCGATACGAGTCCTCAACCAGCGCCCCAAACCTCAATGCTGGGAACACGGATGCAATGGTCGCCAGTTCTCCACATTCAGCAACCTACTCAGACATCAAAGAGAAAAGTCTGGTTCCGCTTCAAAATCTTACTGCCCAAAGTGTGGTGCAGAGTTTACGAGAACGACAGCAAGGAATGGACACCTAGCCCACGATAAGTGTACAAAGCAACAGCGTCGCTCATCAGATGTGAGCAAGTGAGGGAGGGCATGGATAGATACCACGGAGGATCTTTAGCATAGCATGTATGCCAGTTAGAAGCATCGTTTAATGAGAAGACGAAATGACAAACTCTACGCTCGGCGACTCCGAAAGGCTCCAGTATCACATACCCCACCTCATCTCTCGTGGAACAAGTGCGCACCGTCATCTGAGGCTGATTAGTCGTCGTATGCAAGGGCACACAGCGAATCACCCGACGCAACGTAGACTTCGCCTACGTCCTGATTTTCTGTTGGTGATGAAAGCAGGTCCGAAAAAAGAAGAGGGCCAGCGAAGATCTTCGACGTTATAGGTGGTGAGACATTGTCCGTGCCATCTCCGGCCAGTCGTGTCGACGAGGTGAAGTTTAGCGTGGCAGACAGGGATGCCACATTGACCGGTGTGCACAGACTCTGCCCTGCCGGATGAGTAAGCTCGTAGGGAAATGCCAAGGCTAGGGTTCGACAGTTCGCTGAAACCCGGTCTCTGCGCTCGGGCGTGGCGGGGCGGATCCGTAAGAACTCAGGAGGGCGCTGGGAAGTCCCACCCGACTCTACTGCCTTCGCCTAACAAGTAAGTTATCGTCGGGATTTTGGTCGGAGTCATTCACAAGATAATGATCGGGGAGGAGATGTAACATGTTGGTGTTGGTCACCGGAGGTCCGTGGCGCGCTGGCTGTTCTTTGAGATCCGAATATAGGTGCAGTACCACACCAAGCGAGTCGACAGCTGCACATCTTCCACGTTTTGATCTGCAGGATGTGCCAGACGGGACGGTATGCGCGCCTAATCCTGAATCCTGATGAATCCCTCCAAGCCATGCCATGCCATGCACAGAAGAAATGTGCCGTGGTTTTGCCCTGCGGCAGGAAGACACGGCTCCTTCACCACGTTGAATGGTACGGCATGATGATCCTGTCAAGATTGTGTGCTCACACAACGATATGCATGTTCGTCATCGCGAGTGGCCTTCGCTTCGGTTTGATATCGGTGACACATCCGGGGGTACGGAGTATCCATGAGTCGAGATGGGGCTCCTCGCGAAAATTCCCAATTGGGCGCAGTGCGCGAGGTTGCTGCCCATGTCACATGTGGGACGACAACAACAATTCCAGGTCCAAGRGATTGCCAGTAGGCTGAGTCCGTCGACCGGTGAAGCAAGAAAATAGAATCGACCCACCATGGTGGGTGCGGTCGGATTGTCCCATGTCTTCTTGCACCGAGTATGCGAACCCCAGATCTGGCGGGAATCTGACGGACGATCTGACACATCCGAGATTAAGACGTCACCTTCACATGGAAGGAAGGGCATCACATCAACCACGACGGATAACAGACGACACCATGCCTGCTCTCACTTGAAGCTGCGATACCACTGCAATCAAGCCCCCAGAACATACTCATCTCAGAAGTCACAATGTTCAAATCCATGGCCCAGCTATTCCGCGTCCACCAGTTGCACACCAATACCCGAGCATTAAACCACCACACGCAGTCTATACGAGGGAGAAGACACGAGGCTAGCAAATAAAAAATTGAATCTCCTTTTTTCGAAGAAACCAGACGATCCCGATCGTTCCATCGGGCACAGTTCCGATCTGCGCATACAAATTGTCGCGCATAATCCCAGCTAGATAAACAGCTTGCCGAGCCTTGTCATGGCATCCATCTTCACATATGATCCCAATCCTCCGCGGGTTGCTTCTCCGTGGTTGAAAGCTGAAGAAGCCGGTGCATCCGCCGGCGACACCGAGGAGCTCCAAGCTGCATCACTCTCCTTGCAAGAAGGTGCACAGACAGGACGGGTGACTCGCCTACATGCAGAGCCGCAGGAAGGACCTGTTGAATACAAACTCCATCYCCTGCTGCGTCCACGCCGAAAGTTCCGCTCCACAAGCACGGGAACCCATATCTCGGGCTCGAAGCATTCCATGTTTGATGGCTATCAGTCCAACCAGAGTTTGCTAGGCGAAGGTGTAGACCAAGCCACTGTGGCAGCCTCGTCTGGCATAACGCAGCAAACTAGGCAGCACAGATTGGAGCAGTTGACTACTCAGCTCCTCTGGCGACTGCAGCAATCATCCCCGCATCACACATCTTCTGCTACGAACACAATTCTCCCTTCTCTTCCGGAGGCATTACCAGAGTTGCAGGCACCACAACAGCCAGCAAAACTACTCCATGGCTTGGAAGAGAGTCAAGGCGCTCTGTATGAGATTGGCGTGACTGATGATGGTACGCTTGTAGGGCTTGCGGAGGATGAAATGTCCGAGAGTCTCAACAATCTACGTGCAATGGCTGCCTGCTTGGGTTGCACTGTGGAGGTCCTCCGTAAGGAAACCGTCGGAGCATGTGAGTGGTTTGAAGACGCCGTCGTATCAAGAAAGGAACGCAGAACGCAAAAATCAGGCAAGCTTGTTGTCGCGGAGGCTTTGGTCAAGCCATTCCTGCACGTCAACATCCACTCCCCCTCTGTTGGTGATGCAGACCGTGTCATATCGCCTCCGAGCTCTGCAGAGCTTGCTCCCCTCACCACCGAGCAGCTTCGCATCACACTCACTGGACCTACAGGATGTGGCAAATCTACATTACTGGGAAGTTTGGTAACTTCAACACTCGACAATGGCAGAGGCAAGTGTCGATTGAGCATGCTCAAGCATCGGCATGAGATCACCTCGGGTATTACCAGCTCCGTAACGCAAGAGCTCCTTGGCTACCAAGATATTCGTGGTGGTGACATGGCAGTCGTCAATTATGCTACCGAAAATGTCGCATCGTGGATTGACATTCATGTTGCCGCAGGAGGCGATCGAATGGTCTTCATTTCTGACTCGGCCGGCCATCCACGGTATAGAAGGACGACCTTGAGAGGACTGATTGGCTGGGCACCACATTGGACTCTGCTGTGCATCCCAGCAGACGACACTGAGCAGGTAGGAAGCCGGACAGGTCCTACGGCTAGTACTTCCGTTCATGACATGGACCTCTCTGGAGCGCAAATCGACCTTTGTCTACGACTCGGTCTTCATCTGGTAATCGTCATCACCAAACTAGATGTCGCTTCCCGCTCAGGTCTGAGAGAGACGTTGACAAAAATCTTGGACGCTCTCAAAGCTGCAGGCAAGAAACCGGCTATTCTGCCTAACAAACCAGGAGTCGTCAATGATGAAACTGATCTACAGGTCGTGGGACATGATACCGTAGCCGCTGCCTTCAAAGCTTCGGTCCCATTACTAAACGACCCAAGACAAACAGTACCCATAGTCTTAACCAGCGCTCTCGATGGTACGGGTGTATCAACACTCCACGCCCTCCTTCACGAGCTGCCACTCCCTGATGTTTCTCAGAGTAAAGCTTCCTCGTCAACGGTCTTCGACATTGAAGACATCTACAGCAAACCTGCCGAAGTTGCTGGTGTCATCATATCTGGACATCTCCGTGCTGGAAACATCTCCGTCGGAGATGAAGCCGTTATCGGACCCGTTTCCTCCATCGATTCACATGAAGATTCTGAGGATTCGGATGAGAGACCGTTTCGTAGGACTACCAACGGCCTCCCCACGTCTCGGTCTTTCCCTGGGGCATTGAGRGGTTCACATTTAGGTCCACAATTCTTCCAACATCCCAACCAGGAGTGGCGAAGGGTGAAGGTTTTGAGTGCAAGGAACTTGAGACTACCCGTTCACACGATCCAGGCTGATCAAGTAGGGACACTGGCCATTGCTGCTGTTGATACAGATGGCAAAAGTCTACCATTGGGAAGGCTACGAAAAGGAATGGTTTTGACAAAATCACAACCGCTAGCTACAAGGAGCTTCACTGCGAAGTTCAAAAGAGAGGATCTGGATGGGCTTGCTGTGGGGAATCATGTGGTGGTTTACATTTCTAGCGTGAGAGCTAGCGCCAAGGTCATCTCCGCAAGAGCGCCAGACTCCCCAATCGAGGAGAGAAGGACTTCTTCGAATGCAGAGGAGGCGTTCGCTTTCGACGAGGAAGAGGTCCAAGAGGCAAAACACGAGAGGTTTGCGGGTGTGATGACAGTAAAGGAGCTCCTGGTTACATTGAGCTTTGTTGCTTCCAAGGAATTTGTGCAGCTGGGAGATCAAGTGTTGGTGATGCCTGGAGGTGGACCGGGGTTGTTTGGAGGGAATGAAAGGGGTGAGAAAGGGTTGGCGGGACTTGAGGGATTTGTTGGGGAGATTGTTGAGGTTCGGGGGTGAGGATGGGCATGTTGTCATCATCAGACTCATGCWTGCTTGCCTGCCACGTTTTGTTGGCTGCTGCTCGTGGCGGCCATGTGGAGGTACGTAGCATGTGTTCATCGTCGAAGGTAAATGCCGCACACACGTACAACCTCAAGTCGAGCGTATCGGCATCTTCCAGCGCTGTTTCACCCAATCCAACTTCCAGGTTGAATTCAACAACAACCCGATTCGGATCTACTATCAATCTCACCAATCCTTTTCGCACCCTTATCAAGGAGGTATGTGGCCCCCAAAAAAGCATGCCCTAATCCAGAAATCGAACTACTCCAACCTAAATTAGAATGAAAGTTCATACAACAACCTCGTCAAAACTTTCAAATTTCGAAGAGATAACTTAGACGGAACATGCCACGCGAAAGAAAGTAAAATAGAATAACACGAAGGATGCCCTCGATTCCCATTCCGATTTCCCGGAAGAGAAAGATGAAGGAGTTGCTCTCGCTAATTCGTAGCCAAAAGGAAGAAATCCATTATTATACAAAGTAACGCACGTTGCTACAGTACTCCTAATAATACAATATCGCGCGCTCGCACGTACGCTCATCGATCTCCATCTCATCCCACGCGAACAACGCACATGGCGAGCGAAAAACGTGGCTCAGACAAACGAATAAAACTCTACACATCCTCCTGCTCCTCCTTATCCTCCTCCTTCTCCACAATCATCACCGCCACCAACAACAACAACGAACAGAGACTTGGCGCAATCCCTGTTTCCCGTGCGTGATACTTTATGTAGWCTGGTCAGTACTCGGTAAAGTAAACGTTCCAGTTACTATTTTGGAGTACTTATGGCAGGACATGCATGCTTAGTTTACGATTGACGTCAGATCGGGAGTGGTGGTATTGCCTTAGGTACCTTATTCTCCGAGCGACCTGCGTGCACAGCATGCATGCCTGTAGGCGAGCGAAGGATTTCTAGCGTGGTGTAGGGCAGGCAGGCGCGAAGCATCAGCCAAGCCGAACCAAGCCAGGCAAGTCAAGTTGAGTGACTTTGAGAAACTGGAAGGTACCAAGAGATTCAATCGGTCGGGATGATGACGGTCGGTTGCACTGCAAGTGGGGACGGATACTTTACTCAGCGCAAGTCTGAATGAAGGAAATGTGACGTTAGACACTATCACGAATAGTACAGTCCATCAAATGAAACATGAACGATACAGTCCATCAATGAGATATCGARGATAGTCCATCAACGAGATATGATACATTACGCAGCAAGGGCGACAAGCGATCGCATTGCGTTCCACTTGCAAACACTTCTATAGACCTCACCACATCCAGGGGTGAAAGAAGCTATGCTACATGCCTTCCCAGAACGCCTCCCAATGTATGTGATCACTTGTAGAAATCGAACTTGTCCGCCTCACTGGCCCCCTTGACTTGACTGGTATAGGCATCCTCAAGATCCTGCTGGATGATGTTGTATCTGTTCTTGCGCACCGCTCTTAACCCCGCCTCTTGCATAATCGCAGCGATGACTGCGCCTGAAAGCGGGTCGTTGCGCACAATCAACGAGTCCATGTCCACTTCAGGCGACAAGCTCATCTTCGAGGCGATGGTGGAGAAGATCAGACGTCTCTCGCGACGGTCACGAAGGTTGGGGAACTCAATCTTTCGGTCCAGACGACCGGGACGGAGGAGGGCGGGATCGAGGGTATCGGCACGGTTGGTGGCCATGATGACCTTGACGTTGGATGTCTGGTCGAAACCATCCATTTGGTTGRGGAGTTCGAGGAGGATACGCTGGACCTCGCGATCRGCACCCGTCTGCGCGTCGAATCGCTTCGTGGCAATGGCGTCGATTTCGTCGATGAAGATGATGGCCGGGCTGTTCTCTCGCGCCATGCGGAAGACATCGCGCACCATCCGTGGGCCTTCTCCTAGGTACTTTTGCACGAATTCGGAGCCGACGACACGGATGAAGGAGGCGGTGGTGCTGTTCGCCACGGCCTTAACCAGCATCGTCTTGCCACATCCCGGAGGACCGTAGAGGAGCACACCACGAGGGGGGTCGATACCGATCTGCTTGTAGAGGTCGAACTGGGTGAGGGGCAGCTCGACGGCCTCGCGAATCTCCTGCTTCTGCATGTCTAGCCCACCGACGTCGGCGTAGGTGACATCGGGCTTCTCATCGGCGCCCAACATGGCGATGCTGCTGTCGGCCTCGGGGGGGAGAATGTCAACCAGACTGTTAGAGTGTCGATGCAGGGCGACGCTGGAACTGGGCTTGAGCAGTTCGCGGTCCAAGGTGCTGAGGATGCGCACGACGTAGTTGCTCCCCGTGCTCGACTGCACAATTCCAGTGTTTTGATCAATGGCCTCCATAAACTGTCCAATGACCAGCGGCACGCTCTGTATCCGCTTGATCTCCTCCTGTGCGCGCACCAATTCCCGCTTCAGACTCCGCTGCTCGTCCTTAATGTACTCCTCTTGGAGCTTGATGTACTCCAACTGGCGCTGCAGCTTCTTGTACGTGGCATATTGATCGTCCGAGTCCGCCAGTCCGGCCACGCTGTCGACATTTGCGATGGCCGAGCTGGGCGTGGGTCGCTTGAGATGCGGCGCCTCGACGTTGGCCGGGTTCATCACGTCGGCCATGTTGGCGGTCGGGAGGATTGCAGTGTTGTAGCCGGGAGTCGTATGTCGTCACAGCGGAGCGGAGTGTGTTGGCGGTTGTGYGGTGATGGTGCTGATGAGAATTGGTGGGGATGGGTGGAAATATGTGGTTGTGTTGGATGTTGCACGTCGCCTTCAAACACCATCACGACGGAGGTGACGCTACTAGCGCGGTCAATCGGGGGTCCAAGCTTCATGCTGACTGGACAGGCCGTCATCAGGTACCCGAACCGCCTCACTTCTCCTCCAACACCATTCACTTTCACTATTACATGTAAACAATGGAGTCRTGCTTCAGATGCATGTCCTTACGGGATTATCTTGTCGTCCAATCAAGGCTCGAAACATCGAAACCATGCCTGTTTCAATCCAGCTACACACGAGCCTTGGGACCATTTCATCATGTTCAACTCACTGCAATGATCATGTCTAGATCCGGCATGTCCTGCTGGCAATTCAGTGAGCATTCCCACGTATGCCTCTTTGCAGATACGCCTCGAATGAGGCAATTTGGGAATAGAACGAAAACGAGGTCGCGTCATGCCATGTACAATGCAGGATTCCACATCCGTACGATTCTTCGCGGCATGCGCTATCCTGGCCAGGGGTGATATCCCATCCTGATGTACCTTCTACGCTGCTCTACTAAACATGCATCTTGTGAGTTCACCGTAGTAAGTCGCCCCTGTCTATGTGACGCTGAGCCTCGATGTGTCCTCCGTGAGCCTGTCGCACGCAAACTAGTGGCTGCTTGGCTGCTTGTAAGCATTGCCTTTTTGGAAATCTTGTCTGGCCTGATACTGCAAGAGAACGCCAGAATGGGATTTCAATCTCGTTTGAGACCAGAAGATTCAGAGTCCAGACCAGACCAGAAGCTCGATCCAAACGACATCCGACCGAGTCAAGAAAGAACCTCTGAAATACCAAGTCAAACGACTTCGGTACTAAAAGGATGATAGGCCTTCCATACTAGAGCGGCATCGTAGTCTGTAAGCTGCCTCGGAATCGCACTGGTCTGATCCTCGCCCTTGCCACTGACTCCCCGTTTCTTCTCCTTCGTCCAGCTTTCTCATCTTCGCACTATCCGTACAAATCAAACGACATCCCATACATACACTCGCAACCACTACATCTCGCCCTCTAAGCAACAAGTCCAAGCAGAAGAAAAAAGACCGCAACGCCAAGCAAAACTCGCCATGTGAAATGAAACTCCATGTCACCCTCATTCCCCACCACAACCAAAAACAACTCCTTACCTTCCCTCACCCTCCCAAGCCCCATCTCCAATCCCCCATCTCCCCCACAGCACCGTACCACACAGCCAAAACATCAACATTCCATACCACCCCATCTCCACCTCTTCCATCCAACCACAATCAAAATACAACACCCACCCACCCACTCACCCACATGCACAAACAAAACCAGCGCATAGTAAGAAAAGGGTTCATGGCGCAGTGGCAGCACACTCGCTTCGCACCCTTCCTTTCAAAAGGACCCATGGGATTACTACCCACCTACCTACCCATCTCAATGAAAGATAAATGCTTGTTTGCGAGAGGCCAGGAGTTCAATCCTCCTTGGATTCATACATTTTTCGTCTTTTGTCGTTGTCTCAGACGGGGGTTTTGGCCCACGATGTTTCTTTTTTTTCCACGCTGTTGATTATATATAGCGAGAGAAGGGATGGAAATTCTTTCTTTCTTTTTTTCGTCTTGTCTTGTCTTGATCCCTGACGATTTCGACATACCTTGAGAACGTCACGCTTCGAAATGCATTGGCATTGGGTTTCATCTACTGTCGTGGTATTTGAGCGCAAGCGGGCAGCAAGATAGCGACTGGAAGAAGGAACACAAACAAGAGCTATCACAAACACACACACGAACAACATCGTTAGAAAACTCCCTCATTGTCARTCATACGATAGATTTCCACATACTCCCCACCCCAAAAACACCCAAACGCCAGCGCAAAAAAGACGCATCAAATTCCCCCAACAATCATCATCAACATCACAATTGTGACAAAACCCCCTCCAACATCCTCAACCCCCAAAACTGCGCCACACTCCTCCAAACTCCCACCCGTCTCTCCACCTCCCCCTTCCCAACACTCTCGACCCAAGCCCCAGCACACCCACAAAATTCCATAAACTCATTCGTGCGCACCCGTCTACACTTCCCACACCGCACATCCTGCGTCATCCACTCGACCCGACATCGCAGAACCTCGCGGATCAAACCCTCTTCAATCACCAGCCGATCGAACCCCGCGTTGCAATTATCACAAGTCGGAGCCAGAGAGCCATCCGGGCCGGAAAGGTCGCTGTCACGACAGAGATCGATGGATTGCGCGACACAGCATTCCGCACAGCTTAATCCGGGGATGACGCAGCTGGTTGAAGGGTTGGAGAAAGCTCCCGCCGGGGAGAATTCTCGGATTTCAAAGAGATGGAGGAGATCTTTGCGGAGTAATCTCGCTTCCAATGTGATGGTTTTGTCGAGAGAGAGGACTTGCATGRGACTTTTGACGAGTTCCAGGACGGGATTCTGGGGATTGAGATGGCTTCCTGGTAGGGTGGGGAATTTCCAATCCGCTACGAGTTCTTCGTGGAGGGATTCCGTGCGTTGGCGTTTGATGAGTTGCATGATTTGCTTCATCAGCGGTTTGCTGAAATTCTTGGCCAGGACGTTCCCTGGTGTGGTTTGATCTTCGGTTTCCGAGTTGAAAATACTCGCGTGGATGGGTAGTTGTGTGGCTCTCGCTGAATTCTGTCCTGGACCGAGGCGTTTCCTCTCATGCATCAATTCGATATACTCCACAACCCACTGCCCGAAAACCGGCTGGAGGATCTCTGGAAGGAAACTGGCCATTTGCCAATGCATGATGGTTTCCAACTCTTGATTTCCCGCTTCGACGACTTCCACGCAGCCTTTGCCTCCGTAGTTGAATTCATCATACCAAGCGAGATAATCCCAGTATTCTCGAATCTCCAGGTCGAGGAAATGGAATGCCGGTTTGCCGCGCATGGTTTTGAGGATGTAGGCGCTGTATGCAAAAGCGTTACCAACTTCGGCTTTGCTGGTCTGCAACAACAATCGTCCCGAGTTGGCGAACACGACATGCGAGCCCACGCGTCGAAATTCCGACATCAATTGCTGAAAGGCTTTGCGTTGCATGACTTGGACGTAGAAATGTAGGTTCCGGTCGTAGAGATGACTTCCTGGGCTCTCGACCCAACGGACGAGATGCTGAACCAGAACATCCGCCATCCCGCTTCCACTGCTATTATTGCAGGCCTCCTGCCACCAATTCTWGACCATGGCTCTGAGAGCTCCGATTCCCGCGGCGGCAAAAGAATTCTCACTTTGAAGGTTCTCCCCAGTCTCATCAAGAGCATCTTCTTTCGCTCCAGCGCCGGAGATGCCCATGGGATCAGAACCCTCCGCTTCGTTGAGAACTGCAGAAGCGAGAATGGTATTGATGGCCAGATTTTTGATCTGAAGATCAATACAAACAGAGCTGTATGTTCCTGGGACGTTGACGGCAGGCATCGAGACGGTTTCCATGCCCCCCATCACGTCGTCCTTCTCGTGGCCGGCGTGGTCGGGTCGGGCGTCTCGACTCCACCAGAGGACAACGCGTTCGGATTGGAGGCGGCGAGCGTAGGAGACATCGATTAGGAAGCGAGGGTCGTCGTATTCGAGGTTGCAAAGGGGGATGTTGCCGTATCTTGCAAATTCGAGGAGATGTGTAATCCAACCTCCGAGGTCGAGGTAGTGGCCTACCAATCGTTTCGCGACGAAAGATTGCCAGCCGAGAGGAGGAAGTTGTTTGTCCGTCTCGTCTGGGCGGAGGTTGAGGGAGGGGAGAGTTTGAAGGGCTGGCAGGTCGTGAAGGAGCATTTGTGCACTGTGGGATTGGAGGACGAGCATGATGGGGAGGGTCTCTGCTCGTTGGACCTTTTTCACTGCGTCTCCGAGTTCTTGGAGAGCGCGGCGATGGGTCGTCACTTGCACAGTCTTGAAATGCATGGCGTCTGGATATGCAAGCATATTCTGCCCCGGCTCGCCTGCATTCGCTTCCAACTTCCTCGCTAAAAGTTCCTCGTAGATGCGGTCGACATTGGGCATGCCTTGCTCGCTACGAGCACGGTTCAAGACCACAATCGTAGCTTCTGGCCGGGTAGATGAGAAGACTGCGTAAATTTCTCGTTCACCAGCAGAGATGTGGTAGATTGCGAGGTAGGAGAACATGGCGCCGCTCATGTATGGTCGCTTGGGAGGGACAGTGCGAAGTTTGTCGAGATCGAAACCCTGCTCAAGGCCTTTACCCAACACGCCGCGCTGCTTTTCGTCAAAAGTGCAGACACAGCCAAGTTCCAGCAAGGCGCGGATGTTGAGAGGAAGTTGTCTCTCATACACGCCTTCCACTGACGCATGATTGAAAAGCATGGAAAGCTTTTCCGTCTCTTTGACGTAGACCTGTTCGCTCATGGTAAGCTTGAACAGATGTGTTGAAGGGTGGCCATTGGGAAGAGTGTGGTTCGTGATTTTCTCTGCCGTCACTCCATCGACAGTGACGTCCGGAAGATCATCCTCTTTCAGGTTGAGGAAGACTTGTCTCGGGACAATGACCTTCAGCTGATGGACTTTCTTATCAATAAGCACAAACGCCTTGACTTCACCCGGCGACTCGGTCTCTCGAAGTTGCAATATCTGCCAATCGGTGGTGTACAGCATCTCAGCTTGATTCCGGAAGAAAGTACCAATAGCATCCGTTGCATCGGCCCGCTTCTCACCAAACAGCTGACGTCTACGTTGGCGAGCAGCTTTCTGGATCTTCCACTTCTTCTTCTGGTATTTCAGCCACCCGGGGTAGTCTTCCGTGATGGAAGGCATCACAGGAGGAAGGGTAACGTACGGATTGATGGGCGCGACGGGAGCCTCATCGATAGTCTTCCGCTTCTGCGATCCAATAGCTCTCACAGCAGTCGACGTCTTCAGCTTGGACACCGCAGAGGAGCCAAAGTCTTCCATGTCGCCACCGGCTCGAAGCGCCATGCTGTTGGCATCGAGTTCTGCGAGTGGCTGCTTCCCAAACATATCCGTCATTTTCTTCTGCTTGAAGACGTCTTCTTTGATACGGATCCTTCGATTGAGCCAATCTGGGTGAGCGACTCTAGGGACAGGGTTTCGGACCTTTTGCAGCGCAGCAGGGATGGTGATGAGCTTTTGAATGACCGAACCCAACCGCTCGAGGTAGTAGTCCCAATCGATGATATCTCTTGGGTCCATCGTTCCTGGATCTTCCTTCATCCACTTCCGAAGGTAGTATCGCTTGACAGTCTCCTCTGCCGAGAAGATAGCGACTGGGATTGCACGTTCTGTGACGGGAGCATTCTTGGGCCGCGACGAGATAATGTACTTGCAGTTCAGTCCTTTATCTTTGACCATCTGCTCGCCCAAGAACTCGGCAAGCCGCTTCGCCGTGGTGATGGCTGTGGACTTTTGGGCGCCGTACTCTTCAAGCGTCTTGGCCATGCTTTTGTTCTCGCAAATGAGATCAATCAGCTCTTCATCTGCGAGTGTACTTCCATGCGAGTGCAACACGTCCAGCCACTTGTTCGCAACCTTTGCGACAGCGCCATATGTCTCCGCAAGAGTTGTCCCCTCCAAGAAGAACTTGAAGATTTGCTGCTGAAAGATCTTGATCAATTTTAGCTCTCCTCTCCGCTTGACTTCGAACCCCTTCAATTCTGCCAGGGTACCATCGTCGTTGAAGACAGCATACCGCTTCTTCAAGTTCTTGTCCTCTTCCTTTGATGTTGGCAAGATCATGGCTTTGTACGGGCCATCGACTTCGAAAAAGATGGTGTTGTCGCTRTGAGTCTCATACTTGAAGGTCTGCGGATCGACAAGCTCCTGATATTGATGATTGGTGAACTTTCCATGAACAAGATGATTCAACATGACACACGGGTATGAGATGGTCATCTTCTTGCCGTTCTTCAGCTTGAAGCCAAAGTTTTCGGGGAATGTGGCAGGGAGGATGCACCAGATTCCGTCAGTGTCCAATTCCAAGGGTCTACCAATCCGCTCGACTAGCTGTCGAGCCAGTTGGATGATGTGAGCTCCTGTCAGGCAAGTCACACCAGCCATCTCCATGGAATACCAGCGAGATCCCTTTCTCATGACGTATCCGTAGAAGGAGTTCAGAATGACCTTGTGGGCAAGTTGGAGAGAATCAAACAGGACAATCATCTTCTTCGCTTCTTCAACCTCACTTGCGGCGGCATTGGCCTTTTCCAACTCGGAGGTCTTGCCTTTCCACACCTTTTGCTTTCCCTTGAAGTCGTRACGACGGTCTCGGAAGTCCTTGACAGTGTCGACGTAAAAGGGATTCTCGCGTTGGCAGATGATTGCCTCTCGCTCAATTGTCTTGGTCTCGTGAATCTTGTGGTAGATCTTCTTGCTGTAGTCCGTCAAGCGTTTCCGCACCATGCCAGTCTGCTCATCCAAGCTGAGGTCATGGAAAGCTCGGGCGAGACCGTTGGGGAACTTTGGAGGGAATTTCTCATTCTCGAGGGCGTGCCGGATCATGTTGTATTCATCTCTCTTCGCCGGGAGGAATTCCCCTCGCCAGGACCACGGCATTCTCCGGTCGCAAGTCTTTCCAGGTCGGTTGAAATCGCAAGCAGCACAGACAGATTCGTCAATCATACTGTCAGGTTGCAGTCGATTTGTCGTCATGATGTTGGGATACATGGATGCGACATCCAAATGGTATATCAGTGGCTTCTCCAGTCTGTTTGGAGTCTCCTTTAGTTGCGTCAGCCGGTCAACAATCTGAGCTTTAACTTCATCATAGTTCTCCACATCTTCCAGGGACTTCTTCTCTTCAACTTCAATGCAAAACTTCAGCGCTGCGTCCAGATCTCGTAGTAGATCATCAATCGCGGTCGGATCCACGGCAAAGTTGGTGGGTATGTCAGCTCTAAACACTCCGGCTTCGATACTCTCCACGTGTCCTCCGACATATGTTTCACTGTCTAATAGATGGCCTTCCCAGAAAGCCTCGCGTGGCTGGACGTGCTTGTTAGGGAGGACAATCTCCTTTTTGTAGGCCTCGACCATGAGTAACATCTCACAGAGCGTCCCCGTTCCTTTTCGCAGCACATCATCCGGTCCGAGGGGAATGATGGTACACAGCGAGAAGATGAAGGGATGCACGTATTTCATGTAGAGGTAGTATGTGGCCACGGCATCCGAGACGGAGTACTCTGCGAGGGTTTGTGGTCGTTCTTGTGCGTAGGGAGTCATCAATTCCGGATCGAGTTCATCCGGATCGTAGCCCAATTTGGCCACTGTCACCGCCTTCAAACCACGACTTCCTTGTGGGAGGTATGAGTCACGGCTCACCCAGGCGAAGGCGTCCATGTGTGCGCAATGAGTTGACTGATAAATGTCATCGTTGTTCTTCCGAAAGCCAATCTCTTGGTACATGTCCATGCCATGCWCACTGGCACGTGCTTCCACAAACGGCCAATCGAAGAAATCTCCGTTGTATGTGACAATGATGGTCGGCCGTGCTTCCTTGATGCAAGTGAAGAATCTCTCCAAGACGGCTTCTTCGTTGGGCTCGTTAAAGATCATAAACGGGCCTTGGAATTCCGGCTTTGGGGTGTAGTCGAAGTCTTGAATGTCCTCGGATACAATCTCTCGATTGGTGATGAGGAAACCTTGGCCGTCAATCATGTATGAAATCATCATGACCTGATCAATGGCAGCGTCGGGGAACTTGAGGGGAAGTTTTGTCGTTTCAATATCGTAGGCCATGACAATGGGGTCGGCACGTTGTAATCGCTCTTCAATGCACGTCATTTTGATGTGGCCGTGCTTTGCTTCGACCGTGTACCACTTTCCTATCCGGATAWCCAGGTCGATGGCGACTCGGACGTGATATGGCACGTCGTATTCTCGGATATCCATGATGAAGTCGCTGGCATCTGCAAGTCCCGTGCGTCGTCGGTCTTGTTCGGATTCGTCCTCGAACAGATCGAATCCAGCATTTGCACTGGCGACTTCGGCATATGTGTCCATGGCGCTCGTCTGGCACTTGTTCTTCTCGGCAATCGGCATGATTGCTCGTCGTACCGCCATCAAATCGTTGACATTGGCAAAGGACAATTTCAGAAAAGTCCTTCGATATCCCAACAAGTGATTGGGCATTTTGAGGTCCTCCTTCTCCACCTTTTCCACCGCCACGACCAATCCCTCGTATCCCCGCTTGACAAACTCCTCCACCTCGGGCTCCCTGCCCTTTTTGACGGCGATGAGAAAGTAGGGCTGATATTCCACGCTGGCCTTGAACGACTCGCCCTCGTCGTTGATGAAGTAGAAATCCACGGCGGCCCTCCCTCCCGGCACCTTGGAGTCTTCAATGGCGGTGCTGTGCATGTTGCAGAGCCATCCCGTCCGCTTCTTTCCCGCCTCAAATCTCTCGAATCCCTGAGCATCGTCGATTTGGTTGCCCAGTCGAGTGGCCTCGATCCGCTCATTGTTGGAAGTCTGCTCGGAATATCGCAAACTGCCCGCATCGACCGTCTTGCTCTTGGGTTGTCGCGTTCGATCCGACAGTTGGCCGGGTTTGTTGGCCCCAAACCGCGACTTTCCTTCCTTTCGTCGCACCGGCATGATGGAGAGTGTGCGTTGGCCGGTCTGGCCTGTGAATTCTGCTGATTATCGCTGCATTTCTCGTGGATGAAGGAAATCTGTCGGCAAAGTCGTGGATCGTTCAGTGTTTTCGTGGCAATATGTCAAGACCAGACGAGGGGATCTGGACGGTCGAAGTTCGCGTCTCTGCGCGTCCGACCCGCGCTCAATTTAGCTCAGATTTGATCGCGACTGATCTAATCTAATCTAATATATATCAGATCTAATCTAAATCAATCCACGCCGACACCCTTGTGGCAGGTCAGCCGAGACATCATGTCACCTTCGTTGGCAACATCACCCTCGCACCACCTTCTTCTCCTCCCACCCACTCCGCCACACAATAATCATCATCACTGCATACATCTCTCATCTAATACTATCTTCAATTTCATCTCACCTACTTAGCGCGCTGTTGGCAACACGCGCCAAGTGGTGCCATGGAAGACGAACAAATGCCAAACTGTGGATGCATCCGGTAAAGTACTGATGACGGCCTCTTGGATTGTAGAGAGCAAAAAAGCATTGAATGCACAACCTTAAGCTTCAACCTGAATTCCTCTATGGTACATGAACAAAGACCTTCCATTCCTGGGATAGTCAAGTCTTCGCCGGAAACGTTCAATATGTTCATTTCCTTTGTCACCCATACCCACTTCCATCGCTGTTTCTCTCCCCTCCAATGCGTAATATACCTCTTCTCTCCTCTCTTCAACCCCCACATCATTCAGCAGCATGAATTCAGAAATACCGTGGGAACGAAGCCAGCTGCTCAACCATCTACGAGAGTCGGATGGCGACATCGTCGTCAGACTTACCCCGAGTCCCTCGGAATGGCTGGTCTTAGATCGCAAGGAGCTCGCCAAGGGCTCACCGATGCTAATCAGCCTTCTCAATCCACTATGGGGTATCACTCCTACATCCATGCCCCATCCCGTAACCGGGATTCAATCCGACATGTGGGTTCTCTCGCTTGTCTGGGACGGCGTGACCTTCAATCTTTCCCAAAGGGCAAGTCTTTGAGAGTTGAAACCCTCGCGACACTTGCTGACGATCACTCAGAACGGCGACCAGCCCTTGCCGGCATTCTCATCTCCTTCTAGTCCAATGACTCCAAAGTACTCCATTAGTAGATACACCTTACCACGGGACTCTCTCTACGATGGCGTACACCCTGGAATCCTAGCAGCTCATGATCTTTTCGTAATGTTTGCCCTCCTTTACGACTTGCCTGTGGCTTTGGAGCACCTGCCTCTGCGGCCGCAAACCGATCCAAGGGACATCGTCAGACTGGGGATCGRGCGCCTCGCCAGTATTATTACATACACAGACTACTACTGTGCCGTTACCTTGTTGAGCAGTCGTCAGCTCGTACTCAAAGACCTCCTCTTCCAATACTTGATGTACCACACAAAGGATGTGTTCAAGTACGGCACTACCAGTCCATGGGTAGAGTTGCTCGGTCTGAGCAGAGACCTACAGTTCCCCGAGCTGTACATCTTCGTCCTCTTGGAGTTAGGCAACGGCGACCTTGATCCCACGGAGTTGGACGACCTCGCCAGCGTCCTGGGTCTTGATTCCGCCGATCAAGCGGCAGAGCTGATGAGAAAGGTGCAAACCGAGTACATGGCTGAACATCGCGATCAAATGGGAATGGTCGTGCATATTCCGTTGATGGGCCTTCCAACCTACAAAGTCGACCCTCCAATGCAAATCAGTCATGCGGACCGGGTCTCCCACAATGCTCACATCATAGCCGGCAGCATCTGGGAGGCTCACATGCGTGATTGGGCCTTCTGGCGGGGCTTGTTCTGGCGCGACGGCCAGTATAGCCTTTCCGGCGAACAAAGCCAATGGAAGCAGCGTTTCCCACGCTACGGTTTGTTCCAGTATGGGGACCATTCCATCCGTGGACCTCTCACCGTGCCGGGCTTGCAGCATAAATAGTGAGTGCATCCCCTCTCCCAACATCATGACAGAATTAACAAAGCATCTTCCAGCGTCCCGAAACACGCCCCCGACTCAGACTTTGAACTAGGTGACCGTGAGTACCCCGACGCCTGGCTCGCATCGTATATATTCTTCATCTCGCGCCTTCGCCCCGCCATTCTCGCAAACAACAAACCCGGTCTCTCCGTCTTCGGCACCATCTTCGACCCGCGTATCGTTGAAACATGTATAGATCTCGCCTATCAAAAGGAAGCTTCTTATATGATACATGGCCAATTGGGTGTCACAGCCTACCTCGACAAAAGTGATGTGATCCGCAGGGAGTTTGTGGCAAAAGTCCAAAGTCTTTTGACTTGGTATGTGGATGAAGCGGCGGCGATATTCAAGACTTCCCTGAAGCCTAAAGAAGGGTCGTCGTGGGATTTGTCTTTTACTGGGRATAATTTCACATGGGCGGAGGACACCCCTGGTGTGGATGTCAGGGATGATAAGTACGAATTGCAGAAGAAATTGGATGATGAGGAGGCGGGGTSGGTTAGTGGGAATGGGGCTGTGAACCCTGGGATCGCTTGGGAGCTTCCTGTTTAGTCCTGTGGTCCTGTGGGTGAGAGTGGAGGAAGAGAAAGGTGGTCGCGGTGATAATGGCGGAGGAGGTGTGTATCACGGGGCCATGTTTGTCTGCACACCATTTCCTCGCGGGCACCTAACTTATGCAGTTTCATAACCTCAATTTGAATCCTTCTTACAGCTTACAGGGAGGTCTTCTGGAAAGTTATCCACGCAGCCAACGACATCTCCAATCTACGATTCCCATCCTCCAGAAGTAAATGTATCAAACAGCGATTCACTTGATCAATTCTTRGCAAACATTCTTATCAAATTTAAAGTTTTCCATCTCGAAGCTAGACCCGGCTAGTCGAGCTTCCGTGTACACAATCCGCCGATCTCCATCTCTTTTGCGCCGAGCACCGCAAGCAAGCACATCACCCCATCATCATCATCACCAGGACAGCAAACATCACGACTTCATATCCTTGCCTCATCCCCACCATGCGCATCCCATAGCAAAAAGAAGCAGCAACATAGCCAAAAGCAATCCCGAAAAAAACAAACAATAATGAAACTCTGCTCAAACCGTCCCGAAGGCTTCGTATGTCCCATTCCCCCATCCCATCATCTTCGAGCAGTAAGAACTAACATAGCGAAAAAAAGGGCCCACATTCCACTCTCCACCCACACCTCCCAACTTCATGTTTCCAAGACATAATAGTCCAACCTCTCGTCTCCTGGATTTTCCTCCTCTTAGTCCTCTTCCTCCTACTCCCCCTCCTATTCCTCGGTCGGCGAAATACAGGAAAGACTAGTGATTTCTCCCATGTCGCTGAAACAGAAACTGCAAAGCACGGGCACCTACTATCAAAACGGAAGAAGATTTTGAGAAATGTCTATCGAGGATTCTATTATTTCCTCATTTTAGCACTAATCGCCATGCTTTCCCTAGAAATCGCCAGATTAGTAGATGCGGAATTAGGGATTGGGTTATTACCATTTCTATATCCTGCCTTTGTAATTGCGGCGGCGGGGCGAGCAGTGGTGGATTTCCAGTACATGAAGACTTMGAGGAGATATGTGGTGGCTGTCAAGGGGGTTAATGTGTTGTTTTGGATCATGTTGACTGCGGTGTTTGCGATTAAAGTTGGGGCGTATGCGATTGAGGGGTTGGGGAGTAGGGATGATGTGCTGCCGGTTGATCGGTATAGAGTTGTGGATGAGGTTACGGATGTGGCTGTTATGGTTGGGTTGGCGTTGATTTTGGGGGTTATGGAGATTTTTTGGTGAGGAGTGGGGAGGAGCGGGGAGGGTGGTGAGGGTATGTACTGGTTGGGTTCGTCTATGGCGAATGTGCGGACTCAGTGGTTTGATTGATGGCTTATGGGAGGTCCTCTACGGGACATAGAACTGGAGAGAACTCGATCCCCTATCGCTKATCTTGCCGCGAATTCTATAAGAATCAAAATCTCACTTCCCATAGCTATGTGTGGTGTTCCCCAAACAGATTTGYCAGTGTAATACTTTAACCTCCCGACACTTTCTCCATCATCCAGTGAGTAAGACAGCCTCATCTCCCTCCTCTATACCAGCCAACAATTCCGATTCATTTCTTTGTGTATGTTCCGGACAGCCATTGTTTGCTTTGTCTATGTTCATGCGGAGACTTCGAGGGTAGATTGTTAGAAAAATGTTTGGATTGGTTTCGTTGCTCTACTATTAGGGGAGTAGAACAGAAGGAAGTAGGAGCAACATTTGACCATTCTTCTAGAGATGATGTCAGAGCATCGGCCTGTCTTTCAGAGCATCCTGAGTGCATTCAGATCGTAGCAAAATGATTAGTCTTGTTCGATACCATGTATGTTTAAGACATCTAGAACCGCCCCTCCATTCTAACAAGCATAACAGAATGACCTACTGCCATTTCTTTACKACGACAACTTTCCTCACCAGAGATGATAGCGCTGCCGTTGACTGCAAGACGTCGAATCTTGCGAGGGATTCCYGGCGATGTTGTCCTATTCAATGTTCGAGATCCTATAGGCTCCATTTTAACTCTAGATACAAGGGTATTCTCGTGAATAGCAATGGCTAACATCACATCGCTGTGTCCGGTAACAATGTGCTCGTTTGTCCGATCTATGGTATCCCAGATCTTGATTGATGGAGTCTCGGGAGCTTGAGATCTTGAGATCAATGTTGCCTGGCCATGTAGAATAAGAGCCGTTGCTGTTATTTCATATGCTTGGTATCATCCTTCTCGAGTATCAGAAACTTTGAGATATGAATCAAAAGAAAGTCGACAAGTATACTCAATCTTTCAACCCAACCTTTCGATCCAACATGACTGACAACCAACAACAAGGTGCTCATCTGTGGTCACCAGACATGAAGCTGGCGACTTAGCAACAGTTTGAAGTTGTGGGGTTCTTGTTGGAACTGGGTTGCTGTATCCATCTCTTTGGGCATTTGGTCGTTGTTAAAGAGAGCAGCAGAGACGACCCACATAGCGCGCGCATTGCACTCCCGCACTACATTGTAAAGCACAGGGACAGCCTGGAAATGAGGTGCTTTTGATGATGATTTCTCATTGGCGAGATGAAATATTGGCATGTGAAGAAGGAACAGGTGAGGGTGACCAAATCGGAGCTAGATCGGCGTCACGCCGGAGTGCGGTCCGCTCCCGCCACCAAGAACATGACGTCCTCTTCAACTTTCTCTCATTGCTTTGACACTGCCTTCACTCGATTGACAACACGCCACCCAAGACAACATGCGTCACAAGAAAGACTTTGCCAATCGTGGCCGCAAAGGCAAACATATTCCATCGGACCGCGAAGATTTCGCCGGCAAACGTCCTCCTTACAAGGCCGCAGCGTGGGATCTCAACCACTGCGATGCAAAACGCTGTTCAGGAAAACGTCTGATGCGAATGGGTTTGATGCGTGAGTTGCACGTTGGACAGAAGCATAGCGGGATTGTCGTCTCGCCCAAGGCCAAGACGATCATTTCACCGGCCGATCGTGATATTCTCGAGCAATATGGTGCGGCAGTGGTGGAAGCCAGCTGGAATCGGATCGAGGAGGTGCCGTGGACCAAGATTGGTGGGCCAAACGGACGCTTACTGCCCTACCTTATTGCTGCGAACCAGACGAACTATGGCAAACCGTGGCGGTTGAACTGTGTGGAAGCATTGGCGGCATGCTTCGCGATTTGCGGGCATTTGGAATGGGCGGAGGATATCTTGAGTGGCTTCTCTTACGGGCCGAGCTTTTTGGACATCAATGAGGAGGTTCTGGCGAGGTATGCGGCTTGTAAGGATGAAGAGGAAGTCAAGGAGGCAGAGAAGGTGTGGTTGGAGAAGATTGAGAATGAATGGAAGGAAGATCGAGAGGCGCGGGAGGACAACAAGGACGATGCTTGGAGAGGTGGCAACATGAATCGAAGGCAGCCTAAGATGAGGAAGGATAAAGATGACGAGGATGAAGATGAAGATGAAGAGGGTAGCGACGATGACAGCGATGCCAGCAGTATGGGTGGMATCCAACTCGGTGGACCGAAACCTGGCGACCTTCCTCCTAATTCAGACGATGAAGCGGAAGATGACGACCAGGATCCATACGGTATGCCGCCCGATGACGATGACGAGGAAGAAATGGCCGAGCTGCGCCGCCGTGTACTCGCCAGCAAGCCCTTTGTCAACCCATCAAAACGTCCCGAAGAGGAACGTCAGGCGCCGGAGAAGATTCAGCGTCCGTCAGCTCCTGACGTGAATCCACAGCTTCCCGAGGATTCCGACGCTGAATCTGGTTCTGACATCGGAGGCGAAGATGAAGACTTTGATAACATCATGAACGCCGCACCGATTACTGATCGCGCAGGCATCACGGCGGCACAGCGGAAGCGAGCGATGGAGAAGGAGGGAAAGCTGAGTGCGACTTTTAGTCGGGCTGTCATTGATGCCGGGCGGAGACCACCGTAGATGTATGGCTATGCTCATGTCAGTAGTATGGGAATATGATCTTTTCTCGAATCTATGCGAAGCAGTTTCCCGGTCAGTGTGATAAGTGGTATCCTCAGGTGGAGACCAACAATAAGCCGTGAATTGCCGTCTCACATCCTACCGCAAATGGCCAGCGAACGGCCACAAACAGTTCATCGAGAGGTACACCAATGAGTCTTTCGCACATCGGGATGAACGACAAGCTGACCTCCATACTCCAACTATAAGCGACTCCACATGAAAACGCTTCTGTAAAGATCGATTCGCAGCAAATCTATCGCCAACTACAGCATTGCAACATACCACCAACAAATCTCTTCCTTGTGCTCCAGTAAAACAAAAAAGACAATCTCCAATATGCTGACCGCCGGATTCAAACAAGCATCCACCCAATTCTGGTCATGTCCTACGACTAGCGCAGCATGTTAACCGAAAGCCTCCCGAAGATAGCTGAAGCCCACCAAAGGGCTGCGGGTGTGTCTTAACCGTTGGACCAGTTCAGCCTAGAGAAAGGCGAGTTGTGGGTGTCAATATACCCTCTGATGTGGTAGAGGAGGGTGATTGCCGATTAGAGTTCCGGTGGAAGGAGCGTAGTCAGGTACAGGATAAGCGTGACTAGAAGAGAAGGTACATGGATGTCATAATAGAGCAGTTGAATATGCTCGAGTATGACTTTGAAGTCGGGTCTTGGCTTTGTCACATGCTTCGAGGTTTGAATTTTTTGTGACTTGGCGGGGTATAGATGCTTTTGCTTACTCAGGATGCTACTTACAGGTAGGTACTTTTGGTCAGCTCGCGCGCTTGTACCTTCTTCTGATATACATCGACATTTGCAATTCATCGCGCGGCATTGCTACCAGTACAATCGCCGATCCCACTGCTATGGCCGATGACAGCAGTATGGCTATCGTTACGACGGTCGAGAAGATCAAGAAATGCCAGCTCCTCGAGTTGCCTCTCGAGTTGCGCACGATGATATACTCGCATGCTCTTATATATCACGATACCATTAGGCTGTGGACCGTCATCGGCGAACCCGACCATCCACGATGCGAGTACTATGACCAATACAGGCTAGGCCTCTCACCAAATCTCCTCGCAACTTGTGCGCAGATAAAGCGGAAAGCTACACCAATTCTATACGGATCGAACCGCATCTCCTTCTCCGCCGGCGGCCATGCTGGCCCCTCCTTGCCCGTCTTTATCGCGACTACACACGCGTCTGTCCAATACCTTCGCGACATCGAACTCGATGACAAACGGTTCAAGAAAGCAATCAAAGCGAACCTTGTTCTTCTAAGAAAAGTTGGAGTCAAGCTTTCTAAGCTATCCATTCGAATTAACATATGGGGAGCCTTGGGACCGCATCAGATGGCCGACTTACTTCGTCCCCTGATCCGTGCACTCGACAAGCAGTGGAAGGCAGATACGACGAGAAATACGACAGATACCCTCGATAGGTTGCGCTTTGTTCCCTATTGGGTGCACGAGAGAGAGTTCGCAAGAGAGGACGCAGAGCAATACACCATCATAGTCCGTGACTCTCTTCGYACAATGCTGAAGAAGTGACGAAGGAGCGCGCGAAATATGATGGGGAGCGACACCAAGCATCTTGTTGGCGAGATGTACGGGAACAGAATTGCAAGTGATGCGGGCGTGGTCAGACTCCAAGAACGAGATGACTAGTGCTTCACGGTTCATTTTCCGGAGGAAGGGRAATGAGTGATCGTTCATTGAATGGGGTTTATCTATCCGTGGCTAGAAGTCGAGCTATAGCATAACGGCCAGACTCTACACGAGCATCATCGGGAAAGGGGAGACTTCCCTTGCTGCAGCATATTTGGCACTTTCGTATCCAAGCTTTCACGATTCTCATTCAGTCTCTCTACGTGAAGGAAATTTGACGCTCATTAATTACTCCCGTATACTTGTCAATGGATACACCACTAACCGGAAGATTCCATTGGAATGTATGGGATCCAGATCCTGGGGCTGTGAAGTCTAAGTTCCCTCGCACTGATCTCGAGACTAATCTTTCGACAAAGCCTCTGTGTATAAAGGTACTTAACGGAGACCTTTCCAAGGAGCTCACCTCGTTGGGACTCGGAGAATCTCATATCGATAGCTCTGGGAGATCATGAGGTGAGTTTAATCGTAGAAATGACGTGTCCCGTGGATATCCGGGCTGTCATACGTTGCTGTTTCAAAATAGTGGATGTCGCTGAACTCTGATGATCGCCATTTTTAGCTTCCCTTGCTCTGTCACATGCAAATCCTGCGCTTGGCTTRGTCACATCAAACTCCAAGACTCCGATCGCTTCCCTCCAACCTCCGGACTTTTCAACAACAACATCAACATCGAACAAAACATGGCTTCTGTATGCGCGCTCGCTCCACAGGCCGACAGCCACTTCCGCTTTCTTGATCTCTCGCCCGAACTCAGAAACCAGATCTACAGATATTGCCTCACTGATTCCGAGGTCCTCGCGGTCAGAAGCGGTGCTTCTCTCAATCCACCCCAACGACGCTGGTACATTCTGAGAGCACCTCCACTCACTCAACCCGTCCTCTCTACAAATCTTCTCGCCACTTGCAAGAAGATTCATGACGAAGCGACCCCAATCCTCTACGGCTCCAACACCTTCGAGGTGGACAGCTACGAGACTGGCCACCCACTCTTCGTCTCATGGACCGAGACTATTGCCGCTTCCATTTCTCTCGTCCGCAATGTGCGAGTCGGCGGTATTACCAATCGAAGCGTCGCGGTGGAGAATCTACGCGGCTTGCACGCTGCAACATCATTACAGAGTCTGGTTGTCCTTGGAGACTTTAGGCTGACCTTTTGTACCGCTAGTACGATCGCTAAAGCTTTGCTGCCGCTTATGCTTCGTCTGCATCGATGTCGTAAGGATACCGGTCTGAAGGGCGCGTTTGATGTTCTTGATCTTAGTTTGCTGCCTGAGGCGGTTGTGGAGAAGGTCATGGCTATTCTCAAGCAGCGTTTGAAGTGTTGATTGATTATCGTCTGGGGTTCTTGGGCTTGAATGCTAGAGCAAAGATGGGTCTTGAAGTATCGGAGGGCGGTCTCGACGCGCGCGCGGTCGGTGAGAAGGCTGTGTCTGTGCATCATTGCCGCGGTGGGTGAGCAGGTTGTGTGTGCATCATTGCAGAGAGAGAGTTGCTACTCAGGATCGGAGCATAGCGTAATTGTGATATAGATGTGCGGCGCCTCGACATTCGAGTAGTGGCCCTCGATTGTTCGTCGTGGTAGGGCTGAGGGTCTCTTCATCGCGGCGTTTTTGGGAACGATGCTATCGAGGAGTTCGGTTTTGAAATGAATTTCACGATTATTTGACGATTCTTTCTTCTCGCTAGGCTGACACTCATGTGAATGAGCCTTCATGACCCGTGATTACGTACGCTTTGGATTTCTTTCGCTTCACATCTACCGTATCTGCTGCTGCTGCCACTTCCATCCTCGGAACAACAACATCCACCACACCTGGCGACACAACGGCGCGATGAAGAACAAGAAGAAGATGAAGACGAAGACCGTGAGTCGCGCTCATTGTATCTCACTAGGGAGTATGACRCTGACGGCACTGCAGGCAGACAATGTGGCGCCTTCCCAAGAGGAGTCCGCAAAGATAGGCGTCGGCTTCCTGGATCTCTCCGCGGAACTGCGCAACTGTATCTATGATCTCTGCCTCACCATCCCAACGGAGGTGATTATAACACCCAGCACATACCATAACTCCCAGTGGGACGACGGATGGAGTTTCTCTGCCGACTCGACGTCTTTTCGCGCACGCGCAGAAAAGCACCTTCTCTCGCCTAATCTGCTCGCATCTTGCAAGGTCATTCACAACGAAGCGACAGCAATCCWCTACGGCTCAAACAAATTCAAGCTCTCCAAATTCTACGGTCATGGGGGGCTTCCACCCTGGGCGGAGACTATTGGCGATTCTGTGAAGCTCCTTCGCATCGTCCACGTTGAAGGGGCCGCGAACAAAGCCGTTCTCTGTGGTGTATTCAAGAGCCTCAAATCGGCGAGTGCCTTGGAGACTTTGACTGTCGACAGTTGGTGCAGGAACAACCTCACCATGCCACACACTATGGCAAACGGCCTGTACCCTTTGCTACTGCACCTCCATCGGAATCGAAAGTCGACGGATAAAAAGGCGGCTCTCGATGTACTGGAACTCTATTGGGTGGACGAACCGTTTGCGACGGCAGTGCGTGATGCTCTCAAGGCCAGGTTGAAGTGCTGATTCTCCTCTGTGGGTCATTCGCTGCTCAAAGTACCAGGGAAGACTTGACGCATCGATGGGCATATTGAGCACGGGCGGTTGATTGCAAAGGATTGTATCTGGAGAACATTGTTCACAGACCACTGCTCTCAAAGGCGAGAAGTTCAGCAAGATCATGTATCCAGCAGCGGCGTCTCTCGGGAAGTGTTCTGTAGCATCACCAAGTCCATGCCCTCCTCTGGTGGCAATCGCGGGAGATTTTGCAGGTACCTCAGATAACTTGTATCCAAACTCCAAATACTTCCGATGACTGTACTTCTCGACATGTCGAACTCAAATCGTATAAACTTGCATCTGACCACAAGTCCATGTTTTGTGCATTGAGGTTAGTCCAAGGCAGCACCTTCATTCACTTGACATGCCACCTTCCCCGCGGTCACTTACCTTCCAACTTCGTCCTCCAACTTCTCAACCACAACATCCACCTCTCACATCATCGATCACCACGATGAAGAACAAGAAGAAGTTGAAGCAGTCCGTGAGTTATGAGCGCTGAATCGCTGCGAGGAAGATGATGCTGACTACAGAACAGGCGCGCGACGTGGTGCCACCTGAGGAGCCGTCCGAGGAAGTCAACAAGCCTTTGGGCTTCATGGATCTCTCGGCCGAGCTGAGAAATACCATCTACGAGCTCTGTCTCACGAGTACCAAGAAGATTATCATCCACAGAAGTACGAGGTCTCAGGCGCCCATGGGATGGCTTGGTCGGTATGGCATGCTAGGCAATGTCGGCCAGACGGATCTCTACTTCTCCAACACGCTGCTCTGCCCGAATCTTCTGGCCACCTGCAAGTCTATTCACGAAGAAGCGACGCCGGTACTCTATGGCTCAAACCAGTTCGTTTTACGTCCAGATGACAGTGGCCATGCAGAGCGACTGAGGCCTTTCACCCTGTGTATTGGCAGCTCCGTAAAGCACATCCGGAACATCGAGATCACCCGTGCTGCCAACAAACGGACCATTRCCAGCATTCTAAAGTCTCTCGAGGTAGCAAAGTCGCTACGAACGCTCAAGGCTGACTTCAGAGACAACTTCTTCATTGCACGCACCATGGCTGCCGCACTCTATCCGCTCATACTCCAGATTCATCAAAGCCGCAAAGACACCGATCAGCCAGCCGCGCTCGATATGCTCGAGTTCCCACCATCGTATATTGGGGATATAGGGACCTGGGGAGACATGAGCCCAGTAAAGGGCATCCTTGAAAAGAGACTCATCAGATTCGACAAGTCTTCCGCCAAGAAGAAATGAGCAGAGTTGTTTGACGTCGTAAAAAGTGAAACATGCAAAAAAGTGAGCAAGATCTCCACCGCCTGGCAGCTTGCCGCTGGCACTGACACATAGCAGTGACCAAAATGCATCAAGATGAGGCAGACAGTGTTATGAAAAGGGCAGAGCATCATGGCACAGCATCCAAGCTCACCCGGAATTGTTTTGCCATTAACATCGCATGACCTCGACTAGCACAATCGAGTCTGAAGCAGCAACGAGCATCAAGGTCAACGGCGAAGGATTTCTCAAGCGAGGTGATGAAGCAGGAACACCGTATAGGCAGTAGTAGCAGACAGCGATACGTGAAACCTCGTCTCATCACAAATGTCTCCTCTCCCAGTCTTGAGCGTAACCGTAACTTTGTCGTGTCTTCCCCCACCCACTACCCCAGACCTCTCACTACCCCAGACCTATCAATTCAAAGACCATGAGTTGGACATGCTATCCTGGCGAATTGACCCGGCAAATGCCCAAGAGGAGAAAGAATGAGACATTCCAGATGGACTATTCTGGCGAGAAACTTCAAATCTGCCGCGAACTCATTTCATATCCCGGCATACAAATTCCCATAGTACAGACAGAATGCATTTCATGACTGCTCCTGCTGATGACTGAACTCGTGGTCCGGAAATAGGATGATGCCTGGAGACTTTAGTGTCGTGCATGGTTCCAATTTGAGGAGTCAAATCGAGATTTTCCTTGCTGTTTTGAGACATGCACGAAGCGTTTGGAGCCGATAGGGTACTCCTCGGTCTGCAGGTAACGGGGTTTGATAGTAGCCGGTTCTGGTGAGAGCATGTGTGTCGTACCACCGCGAACGTCATTGGGTATTCCAGAACTGCAGCATATATCCTGCAATAACTTTCACGGAGATTCCCATCTCGAGGCCTTTCCCGCCCACATCTCATCTTATCCCATCCCATCCCACTCTAACCATCATCCTCATCATCATCCCCATGCCCACCCTTCAACGTCCCTCCCTTGCGCTTAGGAATGACCTTCACGAAACTTTCGCCCCAATCCCCACACTCCAACCACCTGACCATAATCTCATTGACATGATTCGTAGCCAGCACCTTCCTGGAACTCATATCCATAAACTTCCCAATCGGCAACCTCATAGTCTTGACCCCAGCTTCCTTGGCTCTCTTATAACAAATGCCCTTTTCCCGATTCTTATCCACCAAGCCGCCGATGATATACGTACTATAAGGCTTCAATTCCGTGAGATCCTCCTCGCCTTCGGAACTCAAATAGACAATCTCTCCAGCAGCTTTGAGAACTTCTTGATCTTCATCAGCATACTTGGCAAAACTGCCCACCATCCAATTTTCCTTGGAATCTCCCATCCAGCTTTTCGCCATCTCAGCAACTTCCTTGAAATTCTCCGAAAAGGTGCGGAAGGGTTTCCATAATTTATACACGCCTTCCAAAACTCCATCATACCTCTCCTTCAACACGCCACCGAAACTCGACAGCACCAAGTGTGCTCGAAAGGCGGAATTTTTGTTATCGGAATAACATCGCGTGATTTGACTGCTCAAGGACACTCGTTCACCATCGCGCATCAAATCGTCAAAATTACAATCAATGAGGAATGTTATGGGAAGTTGACGCGGACGAGGTTGATTCGCCCTCTCGCTTTCTTTCTTCGCGAGCACTTCCGGAGGCAGAGCGGCTTTCTCAGCTCGGAGACGTTCGCGTTTGGCTTTTTGTTGTTCTTTTCGGAGGACTTTGCGCTCTTCACGGCCAGCTTCCCATTCGAGTTTTTTGCGCAGTTTTTTCTGTTGGTTTTTGGAGAGGGAGGGGTCGATTTCGAATTTGGATGGTGTTGGCTTGGTGGTTTGTGAGTTGTCTTTGTCTTTGGAGGGTTGGTTGGGATCCTCATTTTCGTTGGAATCTGAGGGTCTGTTGGAGGCTTCATTCTCTGTGGCCTCGGATGTGGGTTTTTGGGTTCCTTCTACAGCGCCTTGGCTTGTGGCAATTTCCTGCTCCGGGATTGTAGACTCTACAGATGTTTCTTCTGGCTGAGCAGCAGTGTCGGTGGGTGATTTCGCTTCTGATTCTGGCTGCTGAATTGATGAAGACTCATTCTCACTCTCGTGCTCCAGCTTTCGCATTTTACTTGGTCGCTCTTCGAATTCCATGTTGCTGATGTTTGGATGTTTGGTTGATATTTCACGTCTTGACTGCAACAATTTGAAGATGTCAAGTGCTCAGGTGAGGTTGATCAAATTTGAGAAGCTTGTCATGACTACGGCGGCCTAAATCTCCAATATTTTGCATTTGCGCGGGCAAACGCGACCTCAGTTGAAGTTGAAGTACCTAGCTGGAAAGAAAGGCGAGATTTGCTGCATCCATCACCCCTCCACAACCACAATGTCGGCCGCACAACTCCWCAACCCCAAAGCCGAGTCCCGTCGTCGCGGTGAGGCCCTCAAAGTCAACATTGCGGCGGGAGAAGGGCTGAGAGATGTCCTCTCCTCCAACCTGGGCCCGACGGGAACGCTCAAGATGCTGGTCGATGGCGCCGGAGGAATCAAACTCACCAAAGACGGCAGCGTGTTGCTCAAGGAAATGCAGATCCAGAACCCCACGGCCGTCATGATTGCCCGGGCAGCGACGGCGCAGGACGAAATCTGCGGAGATGGAACGACGAGCGTCGTCATGTTGGTGGGAGAATTGCTCAAGCAGGCCGATCGCTACATCAGTGAGGGATTGCATCCACGAGTCATCACCGACGGCTACGAGGTGGCCAAGAACGAGACATTGCGCTTCCTCGACGACTTCAAACTGCCGCGCGAGGTCGACCGGGAGCTGCTCTTGTCCGTCGCTCGCACTTCCCTCTCCACCAAAATCAACGCCACGCTCGCCGAACAGCTCACTCCGGACATTGTCGACGCCGTGCTGGCGATCTACCAGGCACCCGCCAAGCCCGACCTGCACATGGTGGAAATCATGACCATGCAGCACCGCACCGCCGCCGACACCCAGCTCATCCGTGGCTTGGCTCTCGACCACGGCGCTCGACACCCGGACATGGCCAAGGATGTCAAGAACGCATACATCCTCACCCTCAACGTCAGTCTCGAGTATGAGAAGAGCGAGATCAACAGTGGATTCTACTACTCCAGCGCCGAGCAGAGGGATAAACTGGTCGAGAGTGAGCGGAGATTCGTCGATGACAAGCTGCGCAAGATTGTCGAGTTGAAGAAGGAGGTGTGTGGGGATGATCCGTCCAAGGGCTTCGTCATCATCAACCAAAAGGGCATCGATCCTCTCTCTCTGGATGTCTTGGTTAAGAACGGCATCTTCGCCCTGAGGAGAGCAAAGAGAAGGAACATGGAGCGACTACAACTCATCTGCGGCGGCACTTCCCAAAACTCCGCCGACGACCTCACACCGGATGTCTTGGGCTGGGCCGGACACGTCTACGAGCACCAACTCGGCGAGGAAAAGTACACATTCATCGAGGAGGTCAAGGATCCCAAGAGCGTGACTCTCCTAATCAAGGGACCCAACGCACACACCATTACTCAAATCAAAGACGCCGTGAGAGATGGTCTTCGATCGGTCTACAACATGATCGTGGATGGAAGTGTGGTACCCGGAGGTGGAGCTTTTCAAATCGCCTGCGCGAGAAGACTGAATTCAGATGATTTCCGCAAGCAAGTCAAGGGCAAGGCCAAGTGGGGAGTTTCCGCTTTCGCCGACGCTTTGCTGGTGATTCCCAAGACGCTGGCGGCGAACAGTGGGCATGATATTCAGGATTGCAGTACGTTGCCCCTTTGACTCTTCCCAAAAAAATCGGATGCTAATGTGAATGAATGTAGTCGCGACCCTTCAAGACGAACACGCAGAAGGACATATCGCAGGTCTAGATCTCACGCTGGGCGAACCCATGGATCCCGTGCAGCAGGGTGTGTATGATAGTTTCCGGGTGTTGAGGAACAGTATCGCCAGTTCGACGGGGATTGCGAGCAATCTGCTGTTGTGTGATGAGATGCTCAAGGCGAGACAGATGGGTAGGAGTGGACCTCCGGGTGGTGGTGGTGGAGAGGAGGAGTGAGCGTGTGTGGATTGATGGTGGTGGTGGAACTGATTGCTGTGGACTTGTATGCTGCTAGAGAAGGTGGTAGAAGTGCTGCGATCGATTGCGGAGCAGCAGGGTTATGAAAGAACGGTAGATGTGTGTTGAGATACCATGAAAATTCTCCCAAAAGACCATGACAGGATATCCCATATTGACATCTTTCAGGCGAACCTGTGATATTAGGCATATAACATTCTCATGAACCCTCCCTCAGTAAGAGAAGAGTAACAACTTTGCAAAAGTGAATGAATGAAGGTGTTTTCCTACCTACCGATCAATTTACACATCAGCCGTCTCGCCATTCCCAAGCTTGCCCTTGGTGTCCTTGGGTATGACCTTTAGGGAGAAATCCACATGCTTGACACCCTGGTGTATGCTGGACGAACTGATGATGTCCACATCATCACACACGTAATTCGCCACATTGTCCTCGGTCAAACCTCCGGAAACCTCAATCAACGCTCGGGCATGGACACCACGTCCCCAACGATCCTTGAGATTCTTCGACGCAATGCGAACTTGATCCGGAGTGAAATTGTCCAGCATGACCACATCCGCACCGGCTTTGATCGCCGTCTCCGCTTCCTCCTCCGTCTGACATTCCACCTCGACTTTGATGGCGAATCCTCCCGAGGCTTTGGCTGCGGCTACAGCGGTGGGTATCGAGCCTCCACAGGCCCAGACATGGTTATCCTTGAGCATGGTCATGGTGCTCAGATCCTGTCGGTGAGGATCACAACCACCGACCAACATGCCATATTTCTCCACCAGTCTGAAGCCCGGCGTCGTCTTCCTCGTGCCTGCTAGAGTATTCTTGTACCCCGCATTCCGGAGGAGAGAGAGTAGGAAATGTGACTTTGTCGCAATGCCTGAGCATCTTGATAGCAAGTTCAAAGCTACTCGCTCCCCCAATAAGAGACATCTCACTGGCCCTTTTACAGTCGCGACATGCTGTTTTCCGTCTGAAGATACTCCTACTTCGTCTCCTTCTTTKACGTGCCATTCGACGGTGCAGTCCAGCTGTTTGAAGACTTCATCGAAGAAGGGGATGCCGGCGACGATTCCTTTGCTTTTTGCTAGAAGTCGTGCTTCTGCGGGACTGTCTCCGACTACGAATCCGCCGTAGTCGAAACTGGGTGTGTCTTCTTCAAGCCAGAGACTTATGCTTCTTTTCCAGGATGGTGGGAGGAGATGTGCGGGGTTGCCGTGGATTGGTGCGCCTTCGGTGATTGGCATTGTTGTCGTTGGGGTTTGTTGTGAGGTGTGGTGTTTCAATGCAAGTTTAAATTGAGGAGTTGTGTCAATCTTTGAAGAAGGTAGAAGAGAAGAGGCGTGAGTTATTTGTCTGTTCAATCATGCATATCGTGACGTGAAAGATGAACGTCGATGGCCACGGCCGACATCGCTCTTGCACGTGGCAGCGTACCGGGACATCCCCGGGCCGTGCACTTTCATTCACACACTCACTTCACTTCCATGGACCACCTCTCACTTCCTCGAGGAGCAACGATAGCCGATTCGGAGCGGGCGTTCTGTATCGCTGACCCTTATGATGGCGGTCCCTTCCTCACATTCCCCCAGCGAAGCCGCTTCAATGATCTCTACCAGAAGCTGACAGCAACCCACGGCTGGCAAGCATCAACATGGCACTTCACCACTGCCGAGTCTAGAGAGCTTGAAATATTCCTTCAAACCTGGCTCTTCTTTGGCTTGCTACACGAAATCTTTGGTGCAGAAGCTTCAGCGAGCAAGTTCATCGATAGCAGATTCTACATCACGACAGCAAGGCTGGGAAATATAGTTGATGAGTGGACCTCAAAACATCACGTCTTGAAGAATCAGGACAGCGTTCGACTTTGTGAACATCTCACAGAATGTCTCGTAACAACTTGGAAGACCAGCTTGAAAATCCATCGTCTAGCGAAAATATCAAGCACCATCCTCCACTCCATTGCGGCTTTGTGCGAGACGCTGGAGGATGTTGTGCTGGGAACTCTTGCTTCTGGCACGGCCCGCTCGATGAACATGACATGGGGTTGGTTTCACAACTTCAATGCCATCCAAAAGGTGATGGTGAAGAATGGTTGGTGTCCTGTTGATGCGGCGAAATGGCATACAGCAGCGAATACATTTCAAGGAATTTACTATCTCAGTAAGATGAAGGTCCCCGCGATGAAAGATCATAGTCGATGTCTCGGGACGGTGTGTATCGCGAACCAATGTGAAGATCTCAATCTCGCTTCGAAACATGCTCCCGACTGTCTCCACGGATGCCATACATTGAGCGTCGACGAATCGAAACTAACAGCAATACTGGGCAAAGGAGAAGTCGCCATTCTCGACATCACCCTACAATCCAACTCATCAACCCCAACAATCTCCGTAATCCCCGCCAACAAAAAAGAAAAGCACTACGTCGCCATCTCACACGTCTGGGCAGATGGTCTAGGAAACCCCACTGCCAACTCCCTCCCCAGCTGCCAAATCTCTCGCATAGCCAAAATGGTACAACATCTCCAAAACACCAGTACGCCTCCAACTTCCACTACAAATCCCACCAAACTCTACATATGGCTAGACACCCTCTGCTGCCCCGTGAAAAGCCTCTCGCATCGCGCCCAATGCCTCGTCCTAATGCCTCAAATCTACCGCGAAGCCACACACGTTCTAGTCCTCGACGCCCAAATCCACTGCTACTCCAGCTTGGAAATCGACAGTCTAGAAATTGTTGCGAGACTTCTCTTTTCCGTCTGGTCGACGCGATTGTGGACTTTGCAAGAAGGGATTCTGGCTCGAAGAGGAGGGTTGTGGATTCAGCTGCGCGATCGGGCTGTGAATGCAGAAATTCTAGGCGAGGAGCTTATTCGAAGATATGGGAGGAATTTTCTGGATGGACATTTGACGCTCGTGTTGTCTTCTTCTCTGGCGAGGTTGAGGCGGTTTGTGGATGTGGGGAGATCGGGATTCAGTGCTGCGAATTTGGTGGAGTTGAGGATGGCGGTGAGGAATAGGGAGGTTTCTGTCAAGGCTGATGAGGCGTTGTGTCTTGCTACTTGTATGGGGTTTGAGCAGAGGGAGATTGTGTTGGCAGCGGCTGGGGGAGAGGGGATGGAGGGGTTTTGGAAGGGTATGAGGGAGTCTGGGAGGGAGATTCCGAGGGGTGTGGTTTTCTTTTATGGGGAGAGGTTGGAAGGGCCTGGATACCGGTGGGCGCCGAGTTCATTGCTTGGGGGTGTGGTGTTTCATAGGCTGTCTCTTCCGCATCGGATGGAGGATGTGGCAGTCATCAAGGACATTGGGTTGGAGGTTCTGTTCTCGGGATATGAGATTATGGTTCCTAAATTGACCCGCCGGAATGAATGGGATGAGGTTTTGGAGGGCTTGGAATCTGAGGTCCCGATCAGGCACTCTTCTAGTCGGTGGTATCGCATCGCAATCGGTTGTAATGTCCCGGGACCCTGGATGTCCCTCTCGGTGATTGAGATCTTAAGACGGAACGAGGGCAAGAATGTTATACTCACAGATCCTGCTTTGGAGGATCTCTCGTTCGTGGTTGGAGAAGGAGAAGGGAATGAGTCAAGCCAAGCGGTCTCTGGGTCCATCAAACTCATTACTAGCGATGGGATCTGTCTCTCCGTAGAAACGACGGTTGTAGTGGGATTGGTAAGTGAGGAGGATGCTTTCATGTACGAGATAGCTTGGAGGATTGCCCGAAACACAACATTACAGAGGGCTAAGAATGGCCTCTTGAGAGAACCTAGAGAGCATTCGGCTCTGCCGGGTCATCCGCAGCTTTCACGACTTTCCAACTCGATACTTCAGGAGCTTCTAGCAGTAGCTGAATCTGCTCTGAAAGAGAATGCAGCTTTGGAACAAGGTTCACGGAGCCATCACACGTCGCCACGCGATTACCTCGCCGAGTGTCTCTTATGGTTCATGGCAGGATGGTATGGAGAGATTCAGCAGACATGGCCTGGATCCCAGCGATGGTTTATGGACTAGTTTGATCATTTGCCTTTTTTGGCAGCTGGTTCATTCACTTGATGCACGAAGAGATTTTGACTTTGTAGCTAACTGCTGGTACCTCTTGAGCTTTCTCGTCACTCCTGCGTCTCCAACAAATACATCTCACGCAAACAACACTATACACCACATCAAGTGGGTGCCCCCAAAACGGCCCGTCACCGCCACCGCCATCATGCAGCAACCTCCCAAGTCCTGCGACCACGGTAAAGGCAACGCGCAGAAAGCCATTCTGCCAAAAGAACATGACTCTGTAGAAAGCGTCGAGGAGACCTTCTCTCGAAAAGTTGAGGAAGGTGATGAACAACCCTTCAAGAACTTCGTGAAAGATGAGGTGCATACTCTCCCCTTTGAGCTCATCCATAGCGATGAGAACGAGAACGAAGAAGAAGAAGAGGGTAGCGAGGAAGGGGAGATTGTGGAGAAAGGAGCGTCGAAACGGAAGCGGGAGGATGAGGATGAGGAGATGAAGAGTGTGAAGCGTGCTAGGAGGAAGGCTTTGTGGGAGGGATTCGGAGAGGAAGGTGAGTTTTCTTTGAGAAGTGGGAGGCTGTATGATTCCGAGGAGTGGGTTGGAAAGGATTGGTGATGAAAGAGAGTGGGAGAGTGGGAGAGGACATGAATGGATTACCTGCTGCAGTTAGCACCGTCCTAGTTCACAAACCGCGACATGGACGTGAATGAACCTTCTCTGTCACATCCTGGAGCGTGGCACCTCATATACACTTCGCATCATGAAATGTTGAGGCGTTCGCTTAACTTCCATCCTCTGCCAATGCATTGTGCACGCATGGAGACCTCCCGCTCAGCGTAAACGTCATGCGGCTATACCCGACCAGTTTCGATCGACGAGCACGACCCCTAAAAACAACTGCCCGCGAATTGCCCACCTCTAGTGTCAACAACTAAACGGAAACACTGCCGGAGCAACTCTACTCACCGCCGCAACAACACCACGTCGCCCTCTACATCGAAGTCATCCCGCTGTTACTGTAGTCCATCTACAACAGCTGCCCATCATGGCTACGAACCCTACAATGGAGCTCGATCCAAAGTACGACAACTACGACTTCCCCACAACCGCACCCACTCCACAGCCAGGCCACCCGGGCCACACGACAAAGGAGCAAGATGCTGCCGTCTTCCAACTTCGCTCTCTGCTCGAGCAGGCTGGATACACCACGAGACTAGACACCATTCTCCTGCTGAGATACCTGCGAGCTCGGAAGTTTGACGTGGAACTCGCCAAGCAGATGTGAGGACAAACCTCCGGGAGCTGCATGCTGTGATACTGACATACCATTCAGGTGGATTGACAGCGAGAAGTGGCGATCGGAGTTTGGAGGCGGTGTGGATGAGATGGTCAAGACTTTTGACTACACTGAGAAGCCTCAAGTCTTTGCGTACTACCCGCAATTCTACCACAAGACGGACAAGGACGGTCGCCCGCTCTACGTTGAGAAGTTGGGCAAAATCGACCTCACAAAGCTTCGGACCGTCACCACCGACGAGAGAATGTTGCAGAACTTGGTTGTGGAATACGAGAAACTCGCCGACCCACGTCTGCCAGCCTGCTCGCGTAAATCCGGCTATCTCCTCGAGACTTGCTGCACCATCTTCGACGCCAAGGGTGTAGGTCTTAGCAACTTTGGTCAAGTCTCTGGCTACCTTCAGCGCGCCTCGGGCATCAGCCAGAACCACTACCCGGAGCGACTCGGCAAGCTATACATCATCAACGCGCCATGGGGATTCAGCAGCATCTTCGCACTGGTGAAGCGCTTCTTGGACCCGGTCACCGTTGCCAAGATCCACGTTCTGGGTAGCGGATACCAAAAGGAACTGCTCTCCCAGGTGCCAAAGGAGAATCTTCCCGTCGAGTTTGGAGGCGAGTGCAACTGCCCTGGAGGGTGTGAGCTGAGTGATGACGGTCCATGTAAGTTGAGTCGGTGATGCGTTATCTTTCACGACAAGGCTAATCTAGTATCGATTGCTACAGGGAGGGATCCTCAGTGGGCTAAGCCAGCCAAGTGGGAGCTTGAGAAGGATGGCCAGAGCATTCCTGCCACTGAGAGCCACATCGGCGAGGGAACCCCAGCTGCTACTGGCACTACGACCGCTCCAGCTCCAGCACCTGCCGGAGAAACGGTCCCGGCACCACAGTAAATGTAGCAAGTCGAAGCATAACGAATGGCATGGGTGGCGCGAATTTGTCAAAAAGCATTACACACGAAAAGTAGAAGAAGGAAGGAAAAATGCGCACTGTGTGAGGAGACAACGTGTTGATATCCCTCGTCTAGCCAACCAGACTTGTTGGAGCGCGATGTATCAACTTTCTCGTCTGTAGTTTGTTCCGGTCGTGCCTGCTTTAAGTCGGCCACGCCTTCTCATACTAAAAAAAGATATAGGAAGCACGAACGGACGAGATTGACGACGCTGCCATCAATTACTCTTCCACCTTCTCCTTCTCTAAAATAGAGTGTTTGTCTCTCATCAGCACCAGCACAAGCACCACCAACATTACTCGCCAGGTCTCTGGCACTTCTTGCTCATTTGGATAGCGAGCGAGTCTTGGTCCATCGCTCACTTTGACTTTCACTCACAACCACACGCCACTTCAGGCGGCACAATGCCTTCCACCGATACGGTGTCAAACGTCAGCGGACGGAACAGTAGAGCAAGCAATGTCTCCGCCAACACAGGAGCTTCTCGATCGCTTCGCTCTCCGCCTCCTCCACACGACTCTTGGACCACTGCAGGCGTTCTCAGCATGTTAAAGACTTCTACTGATACCGGGGATATTGGTGCACTCTCATTCAACAGCTCTCGCCTGCCCACCTTGCCACGAAATGCGCACACGAAGCGAGGGCACGTCAAGAGGCCCTCAACATCAGCACCACCTCAGCAGGGCACAGGCGTCTCTTCCAACCACAGCTATGCTCCATCTCAGAACTCACGCATCAGTTCCCAGTGGGATGCGTCATCGGCCCATCGACGCGGTTCCCTCGCGAGTATGCAAAGCAATCCACCTTCCATCCCGCCAGTTCACCTTAGCGGCAAGCCGCCTCTAGGGACGATGCCTCCTACTCCAGACACCCGCAGAGACAGTCGCTCGTACTCCATGACATCTGCCCTTCCTGGCCAGACCTTGCCGAGACACCAGTCTGCGACCAGCTTGAAGAGCCAGGGACATGAGCCACGACATGGTCCGCGCATGGCTGCTGGTGTACCTATGCCTCCCGGGATGGCGGAGAGCCGTCCAACCTTTGTCTACCCCACGAGGCTGAAGCGTCCAGGATATCGGTCGCCCTCCCCAGCGCTGAGCGATACTTATGCTGGCCACGTTCCGCCGCCTGGAGCGTACCCAATTGGCAGAGGAATGCCTGCGCCGCGTGGTCCACCTTCGGGAGCATACAATGGCTACACTGCCAACTATCCCATGGAATACACCCAAGACCCACGTCATCTGAATGTGCGCCCTCCACCGCGCACCGCAAACAGCTCGCCAAACAATGTGGTCTTTGAATCCAATCAGTACAACTACCGTGCAGGTCCGCCGAGGCAAGTTCCCTGTCTTGGTATGCCGCAACAGATGCCACAACCGGCAATGCATCACGGAATGCCACCCATGCCTGTCCCTCAACAATCTCAACAAGCATCTAGGGCACAGTATGGCCCTCAATACGCCGGAAGACCTGGCTACGCTCACTTTCCACCCATGCAGTATCCGGGTCAACGTGGACCACCTCCCAATCCGCAGGTAGCTCCCATGGCACATCAGATGTTTCACAACGCTGCACGCATGGCTCGCCATCTCCCACACCGTACTGACACGCCAATGACCGATCTGAGTCCTCCTTCGTCCGATCCACCCTCTTCTGGCTCTGCGCCAACATCCAGCAACCCGCCAACTCCAAAGAATCATACCAGCATTCGGGTGGCTGTCGATCCAGCTCTAATCGACCCGGCCTTGATGGACTTGCAAAGCTCTTCAAGCGAGCCTGTATTGCCGGCCAAGTACTTTGAGTATGCCGATGGTCCACTCGATGAGCAGGAAATGGAGGTTCTTCACCCGTCTGTGCCACCCTCCGGATTCGTACAACGGGTCAAAGCAATGCTTGAGTCAAAGGCAATGGTGGAGTCCGCCGCTGAGAACGACTTGAATTCCCATGAAGCCCTCTTACACAATCACCAGCTGATGCATAGATACACGATGGAGCACGACCAAGACGAGGTTTCCGAGCTCCAGGAGTTTCACGAAATGGCCGCCAACGAGACTCCTCGCTTCACTGTTGTCGAAGAGTTTGAGGCGCCGGTCGAGCTTCCAGCCTCACCGGTGAAGGTGCCTGAGCTCGAGGCCAATGAGGTTGCATCTCCGCCATCTACACAGCGCATCACAAGAGATATGATTAGAGCCGAACTGGGACCCTCCAGTGCCGACAACACTTTACAGAAATCACCTTCTGTAGACTCAGCTCCCAGCTTGATAACTCGTCAGGAACAGCATGAGAAAGCTCAAGACAACCCAGTCCCTTCTCCTGATGATCTCGACCACCAGGCAGATTTTGACTCCAGAAAGTCGTCACCACAGCCAGTAGAAAGCCTACATCAGAACAACACAGCCGAGAACGAGACCGTTACGACAGACAATGTATCGATTCCATCCGAAATTGACTATGCATTAYGTTTCTGTGCTCCAGTGGAGAGCACCATGTACGAAAACGAGACGCAGTCAAAAGATCCATTTGCTCTGGATGCGGATACCATCACCGTTCAGCAACAGCAGCAGCAAGTCAAGGAGACCAGTCTGCAGGTGGAGAGTCATCAAGAACTTCGAGACCCGCCGTCACCAGAGCTTGTGCGAGAGCCACGCTCCAAAGCATTCTCCATCGCACCCGTCAGTCCTCTTCGATCTGATGAAGTTGTCAAGAGGTCTTCGGCTGTCAGCCCTCTACATACCTACACAATGGGTATCGATGAGACGATGGATATTGGCTCTCAGGAAATGACAATGACGACCAACGCGGAAGAATCGGGTGAGACTGGACTCTACACAGAAGACTCGCTGCCGCCTCCGACCCCTCGAACTCCCAAGACATACTCCAAATCTGTGGAGCTCAACTCAAACGTGAATGGTCCCGATCATGTCACCACCAACACGAATCGCTTCTCTTTGCCAGGCGATCTCAGCATCATGGGTGATACCACGACTTGCAGCGCCTCTGAAATGGTCACCGATATGGCTGTCCGCTTTTCTYTCCCAGGAACTACAATCACAGTTGGCAAACCACAGATCGTGGATGTCTCGGCAGGTTCGACTCCAGACAAGCTGAGGTTCGATTTTGGCCTACCACTGCATACTTTGCAGAGTGCCGAACCACGCAAACGCACGTCGTCTGTCACCTTTGCGGACGAGGTTGCTCCCTTGAATTTCCAAAAGAAGCAGGAGCCATTACATCTACAGAAAATTCCCGAGTCGTCAGCTATCAAGGCCAAGTCCATCATTCGCAAGCCGTCGCCCCGCGAAGACCTGACAGAGTCGAGCCGAACAACGTCCCGCGACAGCACTACAGATCTGCGATTCAATAGCAACAATGCCATTTTCATGTCGAAAGGATTCGGTAGCCGGCACTTGCCTGGTCTCAAGGAGGAGTCTATCGAGGACATGAGCATCTCCAGCCGGAAACGTTCCTCTGAGATTGCATCTTTCCCACTGCCGGCCCGTATCGCTGCGGTCAAGGCCATGCAAGAGAAGCGGCTTCAGGAGACTGCCGACAAGAACAAAGCTCGTCGCCAGGCTCTTCAGTACAATAGATCACTCGCTGATAGCAGAGACCTACCATCTTTGAACTTCAGCCGTATGGACCTCATTGACAAGTTGAATCAAGCTCTGGACCTGCGGACCACAAAGTCGCTGGACGTTATGCGTCGCCGCGATTTCTCGGGAATACATTGTCCCTCACCCCAGCGACCTCTCAGTACGGAGCCTCTGCGTGATCGCTACACGAGCTTCTTCAGCAAGCCGAACGAGTTCAGCTTCTTTGACGAGACGGACGACAGTGACGGCGAAGATCAAGTGATCGAACGTGATAACAAGCATGATCCTGAAAGGCTGGATAACCCAGACACCGAGATGGCGCTTGTTCCTGTTTTGCAGATTCAGGAGCAGACTGAGATTGAAGGCGTCGAGCCTGGCAAGAGGCCACTTTCACCAGAGGACTTTCTCAGCGTCGCTAGTCAGGTCAATCGGCTTTCAATACCTTCCGTGAATGGTCTCTCCGAACGATTGTCTGAGCTCATTCCAGGTCTGAAGAACCTCAACAGCTTGCAGCTTGACAATGTCCTTTCCAACGAGGACGACGACAATGCTCATGCTGTTCATGGCAGAGAGCTTGCGAGACCCGACACCGTCTTGACAAACCGCACTTCGGCTGGCTTCCGAACTCTCGCAGAACGAGCGGAAGAGATTGTGAAGAACGGAACTCACGACTCGATTATTGCAGCCATGAGGGCTTTGAGTTTGAACATGAACAAGGAGTTGCCAGCTCTTCCCGGATCTGCGTCGGTTGACATGCTGGCTGGTATTTCCACTGCTCCTGATGTGAAGACTTGCTATCTGAGCGGTTCCGTTTCGGTTCCTACAGATCTTCATAAGGATCCGACACGTCCCGTGTCGGCCCTACTCAGGGCAAAGACGCCAACTACAGAGGATGAGGTTCGGCGAATGCTCCCGTCTGGGCTCAATCCAATCGCACGCAATGCCAGACGCTCGATGATTCTGTCACACCCAACCAGCAGACCCTGGAATCTGGATAAGAACTACCCATGGTCTGGAGACGAGGTCGAGATCGATCTCTCGGTGCCTGACGAGGCGCATATCCGCGCATCTTCCACCAAGGAGGTTGTGCTCAAACGTGGTACTCGGTCTCTGGATCTGACTAGTCGAGGGGAGGCAACCGAAAGCTCTCAAGGCATCGACGTTGGCGATCTTGTTGACACCCGGCTTGATTCAACGGCATCTCTTACTACGCTACAGCTTACCAGCATCACACCGCAGCATTTACGCATTCCATCGAAGCGTTCCATCATTGGGTCTATCTCGAAGAAGTTTGGGCTGTCTGCTCGGTCTGGAGCTGAAGAGGACGCCACACTCAAGACTCTTCAATCGCGCTCTCCAATTGCACGAGTCTCGTCTGCCGACCACCACTCCCATCGAGCCGGCGACCGCTACCCGACCAGTGGCCTGACTCCACCTGCGAACTTCAACATCGACGAGGTACGCTCTTTCTTCTCCGACAACAGCTCAGAGTACGAGCGAACACCTTCTTTCCGCAAGCGACTGACACACTTCAAGGGCGCCAAAACCAAGTCCGCCCGCTTGGGAGCGCCGCGAGGTCACTCCATCGACATCGGCAACACGACGTACGATGCCGGCTCCATGGCCGAAGCCCGACTCGGCACCAACACTTCTGCCAACACTTACGACGGGGTCGGCATGAGTAAGACGGAATTCCACATCAAGCGCTTCGGTGAGAAGCTTCGTCATTTGTTCGCCAAGGGCGGCGAGCTCATTCGCACCATCAGCACCAAGTCGAGAGGGCGTGGACGGATGGATCACAATCAGGWTGAGTGGCTGGCGGATTCGCTGTATTCCGGTGTGTGAAGCCCCTCCGTTCTGTGAGTGGCCCGCTGGGGATCGTGGAAAGATGGCAAGTTGATTGCTAACGTGTGCTGGTGCTGCAGGCAGTCTACAACCAGTTTATGTGTGAAGTGTAGTGGACATGTTATGGTACATTTGCTGGGCCAAGGAGAGTGTTGTCGATGTTAGCAGGGTTAATGATCTTGATTGCATGTTCATCGCTGTAGATATGATATGTATCCCGATACCTCGAGTCTTGTTTGTTAGTCGCTGTTGCTGTGAGCTTTCATGTCCATTAATCGTTCRGCGGTGCCGTCCAAGATGGCTCCCTATCGCTCGGGCGTCGCTTAAGCGATGTGCTCCGGGATCATCCTGCGTGAGCGGCGACTTCTCCTGTCGCACGACTCAAGCGCAGGCATTGGCTACACAGACTGCCCTCCCAAAAGAAGCACCTTACAGACCGTACAACTTCGCCCCTACAAGACTCACCACCGCTTTCTAGCCACATGTCTACTCTTGGCCAGCGGCGTGCCGTTACATGCAAGACCGCGGAAGTTGATAGTTTCGGCCTAGAACAAGTGAAGGCAGATAAACTTTGTTCGGAGCCTGAGCCGTGGGCTGAGACCCCTGCCGTGGTGCTAGCGCGAATGATATGCAGGCGAGGAGCTCGACTTTCGGATGTCAAAGTAAACTCCTCCCACACGCTGCTACCACAAAACAGTCTCGCGCTCTCCGTTCACCTGAGGCAAGCATCTTGTGATGCGCAGACCTTTTCCCATCCGGTGACTCTCGAGCATAATATGCGCGGAACATCACCCAACGTTGTCCATTGAGCGCCACCAAATCACGGCCCGACGCGCACGAAACGCGATTGAAAGTATCGAGCATGAGTGAGGGAGGGATGCAGAGCGCACGGCATTGGCGCAACTCGACGAACTATGGCAGGAGTTTGAGAGATGATACGAGCTTGGACGAGGGTGGCCTGGCATTGGAGAGTGAGGATGGCGAGGATGAGCAGCGGAGAGGCCCGTTCGCTCGCCGAGACAGCGAGCTCACGGATTTGCCGAGTGAAGAACACAGCTTCTTGAACGATGAACATGAATCTGCCAGTTTCATGCAGAAGAGCGACGCGCCAATGCACAGCGACGAGGGCCACAGCTTCGATGAGCGTGAGATGAATCGCCATTTCCAGGACGTGGAATCGAGCTTTGTCCCGGATGCTACGCATGCTGCTGCACAGGATGAAGAGCGCGTAGGAGCGGACGACACGTTGATGGAGATTGCGAAGCCGGCGCAGAGTATGCAGGGTCATCAGCTGGAGCAGGTGGATGAGGAGGAGGACAGTGAGCTGGACACGCCGGCGGATGCTTACCAGACCGCTGCGGCAGCAAGATTCCAAAGCCACGATGGGTACAATGCGAAATCGCATGAGTCCAGTCCATCCTCGCCAGCGGAAGCTGCTGCTCAGAGGACTCATGCTAGGACTGGTTCCACAATGACTGCCGTCAGAGCTGGGCACAGCCGTCCGGGCTCTGGTACACAACAGGGACAAGATATGTCCAGCCCTCGCTCAGGCACTCCCTCGTCTTCGAAACGGCCAGCGTCCAAGACTTCTACAGTTCGAGGAGCCGCGTCACCTTCAGAATTTGGTCAATCGCAAGCACGAAACGTTGCGCTGCCACCGTCAGAATCTTCGTTTCTGTCTAGTCCAAACGGCGACAAACCTTCCCGTCTTAGTTCACGACCTTTGTATCGTTCGAATCGTCAAGTAAGCTACAACTCTGTGACGTCCAACACCACTGGACTCTCGGACCTGTCCGACGGGACGTTCAATGTGGACTTTGCCCTGCAGACGGGTGGTTCAGTGTCGCAAAGGAATACAAATGGGAATCCTCGCGCAAACATCCTCATGTCTCGATTGCCTAGCGTGGGCAGTGCCGGTACCTTTTCAACTGACGAGCAGTCCTCTTTCCAGCAAGACGTCAGCAGTAACTCATTGCTCGCTTCCCGCGCTGGGAGCCGATTTGATGGCGCCGCCGACGACGATCGACCGGAGACCCCTCGAGGTGCCACTTCTCGCTTCACTGCGCCGACTGACACTGTTATCGCGCAACATGTCCAGAGTATACAAGTACCCGAAACGATTGCTAGGGACTTTCGTCTGAGGAATCGTTCATACTCGCCAGACAAGCGACCTGCTTCGTCCGGTGGACTTGGTGCAAGTTCGTTTCAGGATCGTCCACGTAGGACTCTGACGCTCAAGGAACAGAATAGCAAGATTGACAAGCTGACCAAGGAAAATTTTGACCTGAAGCTCAAGATCCACTTCCTCGATCAGGCATTGCAGAACCGGTCTGACGATGGTGTGAGGGAGCTTATAGAGAAGAATGTACAGTTCCAGACTGATCTTGCAAATGAACGCAAGGAGTCGCAGAGCCTCCGTCGGAAGATGCGCGAGATGGAGCGGAAGATCAAAGAGCAAGAGGACGAGCTCGCCGAGGCTATGCAGCAGAAAAAGACCGTCAAGGAGGTTGACGAGGAAGATGATCCTACCCTACAGGCTGAGATGCATGAAGAGATCCTCTATCTACGACAACAGCTTGATCACTCCGAGAATGTCGTGACAAATCTTCGCGATGAGGTCATGACAAAGGAGTTTGAGAAGCGTAAAATGGCTGAGCACATGCGCGGCATGGCTGGAAAGCGGGGAGAGGAGTCGACAGGCATGAAGGAGACAATGGACATGTGGCAGGACTTGCTCAACGCCGAGACTGGACGGAGGGAGCAGGCTGAAGAGGATCYCAGCAAGCTGAGGGATGAGCTCAATGCTCTGCGCCTTGAACGGCCCTCTCCGGTCGTCAATCGCGACAAGTCTGACAGGCGAAGAAGCCGGGTGGACAACGACGATGCTGAAGATGATCTCGTCAATGGTGCTCTTTCGGACTCCAACGCTGCAGTGGAGCAGTTGAAGCATGAGAATGCCGAACTGAGGCGTGATTTGGGCGCCCAAACAAGCATGCTGACATCGCGGAACCGTGAAAGAGAACGGCTGCAGCAAGAGATTGAAGACCTGAAGCTTCTGCAACGCAAGGGCGACGGTGCAAGATCTTTGGCGGGTGAGAGCATCTTTGATCGATCTGTCTCTCGCGCCCATCAACGTTCAGAATCCCGAGCCACTGAGAATACTGCTGAAGCCGAACGAGAGGAATGGGACAAGAAGGAAGGCCAACTGAGAGATCAGAATGCTGAGCTGCGCATCAAGTTCCAGGAACTGGAGCGTACTCACGGCACTCATCTTCAATACGTATCAGCCCTCGAGGGCGACTTCCAGGAGATGGAGACGGAACTCAACGAGTGCCATGAGGACCTCATCAAACTGCAGACGGAGCGCGATGATATGCTGCAGGCATGCGAGGAGAAGGACCAAGAATACGCTCAGCTCAAGGAAGAGGCTCTTAATGAAATCCAGGCTCTGGACGAAGAGAAGAAAGTCCTTGAAGCAGATCTGCAGGACGCTGAGAACAAGCTTCAGAAGACTCAGTCCAAGCTTCAAAACACTACTGATGGGTACAAGGGCTTGCAGGGTGAGCTGAGAGAGATCACCCAGAGTGTCATGAATCTGGAAGACGAGAAGCAGGCGAATATGCGCACGATCCAGACACTTGAGCAGCAGATCTCCGAGGCGGAAGATGAGATCCAGAAGTGGGAGCACAAATGCAACGAGCTCGATCAGAAGAATAGGAAGCTAGAAATCACTCAAGAGAGCTTGCACTCGGAAATCACATTCCTTCGTGAGGAGCAAGAGGGTGACAAGATCAAGATCGGCGAATTGGAAGATTCTCTCAATGCTGCTCAGCAGACAATCCAGGACGAGCAGGACAGGCTGCGTGAGGTTGAGGAAAGTGTCCTGGAAGAGCGACAACAGCGAGACGTGCTGGAGAACAAATCGAAAGAGGATGTTCAGAAGGTTCTTGACGATCTCAATGCGGAGAGCTCTAAATCCAAGGACGAGGTACGCCGACTACGCCGGGCGCTATCGGCCAAGGAAGTCGATGCCAGCAGTTGGAAGTCGCGGTTGGATGATCTCGAGCAGAGTCTCAGAAGCATTCTTGGCGATCCTGACGGTACCAAGCAGAGTCTCCTCGCTGAGATTGAGAAGCTGCAGCGTGATTTGGAGTCTACTGCGGGTGCTCTTGACAGAGCTAAGATGGACCTTTCTGACAAGGATCGTCTGCTGCGGCATCGTGATGGTCTTCTGGAGAGCACTAGCCTCGAGAGTCGCCGGTTGTCAGACTTGCTCGAGAAGGAACGCTCTTCACGAAAGCACGACTTGGAGCAGTATGAAAAATCTGCTCGCGGCCAAGCTACCCATATGCGAACACTTGCTCAACAGGAGACTCGCGTGCTCGAGCTTGAGACTGCCTACAGCACAGACAAGCGCAAGATGGCGAATTTGGAACGCGAGTATCGCGAACAACTGGAAGCGCGAAACAATCTCCTGTTTGCGCTTTGGAACCGACTTTCCACACTTTGCGGGACGGATTGGGCACAGAATCACAGTCTTATCAATGGAGAGAATCCCTCTGTTGAGAGTATCAGCAAGCACCTCCGGGAATTCAACAACAACATCATCTCGGCTGTCAAGACTATTGAAGCACTTCTGTATAGCTTCAAAGGGCGCATTCGAAACATTGAGAAGGATCTGTTGAAGGACTATCAAACTCTCGAGCACAATCTTGAGCTCCGCGTCAAGAGAATGGACTACCTGGAGCGAGCTGTTGACGAGGCCCAGCAAGCCTTTGCAGAAGAAGCCGCACGCCGCTTTCAAGCGGAACGCAATGCTTTGGAACGAGGAGGCAACACCCCCAAAGCAATTAAGCATACTGAGGAGCTGAAGATGTTGAAGACCGAAATCAAGACCCTCAGAGCAGAGCTCAAATTTCATCGCCAACACCCCAGCCCCCTGGCTCAGCAAAAGCTTAACCAGCATGTCCAAACCGGCGGCGGCGCGGGTTTCGACGTCAATCTGCATCGATCCATTTCCACCAGTGGTGGTGATTCCAAATCTCAGCATAGTCCCAATAGGGGCATGATGGCTCAACTCCTCCATCGCGCGAATACTTCCAGCTCATCGGTAGAGCATGTCCGGCACTTCTCCGCCGATCATGCACTCGGGCAGCAACAGCAAGCCCAACCAATTGTCCTCGCACAACCACCCCCGCAACCTAGTGAGCAGAGATGGGTGCATCGGTTGAAGGAGTTGGAGAGGAGATTGAAAGCTGAGCGGGAGGCGAGGTTGTTGGATCGCAAGGGTGCGAGGCAGAGGTTGGAGGAAGGAAGGGCGGAGAATGAGCAGTTGAGGGGCATGTTGGAACGGGAGAAGGGGAGGAAGGAGTTTGTTGATGGGAGTCCGAGTGAAAGTGGAGCGGGGAGTGAGGGGAGAAGTTTGGATTAGGGTTTTGCAGGGGGTGTATTATTTATCAACGGAGGAGGCTGTTTTTGGGAAATGGGAAATTCTTTAGAGAGGTGTATACTATGATTTATTTTGAAGCCTCGTTTGGTGGACGTCTCTGCCTCCTCGCTGGAGTCGGTTGATTGCAGCTTCGTGAACTGAAGTTGAAATTGTCAGTCGGCGCGAGAGGGTTAGGGTTGGGGTAGTGACTTCGTTGAATTTGACCGCGATGATATATACATCCATAGCCGGTGAGCTCAATTCATGTTGTAATTGTTTATCCCTCGGGCACATAAGCCATCTTGTTTGTTTCTTCGCGGTAGGATATAATTCGTCCACGAGAACGATACTGTAGAAGGTAGACGACGTTTGGGGAGGGTATCACAGTTTTGATACTGGTCTGGAAGCTATGGAATACGCAAGGCACTCTCGCTCACTGTTTTTAATATCGAGAAAACTGATTTGCACCCGAGAACGTAAAGTACACGACCACGCGCTTGAGCAGTGGACATTCGAAAGATTTGAGCCTCTTCGAAATACTTTACCAGGTCACGGCGACATCCTTGATATGACTTCAACACTCGTGAGGACCAGGTAGATCATATTAGATCTCGTTGTGCAAGAAGTGTGCAACGAGATTGACATAGATGACCACGACGTGTCCATCGCAAAGGAGAAGGATACAAGCAAACAAGTGAGACAGTAGACTCGATACAGTGAACTCGATTGAAACTATACAGACAGACAGGAGACGCCAAAGACCATGGTCTAGAGCAAGACATAAAAGCTCGCCCAAATCAAGCATCAAGCAGTGCACGCGTGCGGTCTTTCAAATCATGCAGCGCACACGCGTTCCTCACGCCAAATCCCTAAATGCACCGTCGCTTTCAAGGAGCGCTTCCTTTGCAATCGTCACGCGTGCCGGGTAGGTCTGCCATTGCAAATTTATCCAAACGTTTCCCATGATCAGATTACAACAGAACCATGCCACAGCCAGACATCAACGCAAGTGCGCTCATGAGGATGACGGGCAGCATGCTGGCCTCGTTGTGTCCAGCAGCACCCTTCTTCGGGGAGGAACCAGAGCCTGAGCCGGAACCGCTGCCGGAGCCGCCGGAGCCAGATGGCGAAGTGGTGACGGTACCGGTACCGGCAGCACCAGCCTCATCCATGAGGTCCTTGCAAGTGCCGGTTGCCTCAGCGCCCTCCTTGATCTCGGCAGCACCCTTGAAGTCACAGGCGTCAGAGGCGCTGTCCTGGCTGAGGTAGTACTGGTTGAAGACGAATGAAAGCTGCTCAGTGGAGTTGCACATGCTGTATGCGCCGTAAGTTCCGGTGCTACCGTTGGCGGCGATACCAGCACACACGTCGTCACCGAGACCACAGACGGTGGAGAAAAGGTCGCCGTAGTTGTCAACATCAGTGTCAGAGGTGACGGCGCAGCTCAACGACTTGTACATGCAGTTGCAAAGCTGGGTGTTTGGTGACGGTGGGAGCGGTGAGGCCTTGGCAGCCCAGTCGTTCGAGGTGGGGCAGGCAGCAGCAGTGTTGGATGGAGTGTACGAAGCGGAGTTCACACCTGATGGCTTGATCTTGGAAATCTGGCTCTTGAGGTTGTCGAAGTCGTCGTTGGTAGTGACCTTGTTACCGGATACACTGACAAGACCGTACTTGTTGGCCTCCTGGAAGTACATGTAAACGATACCTCCAGACCAGACAGGAGTCATCTTGGGGCCGTAGAGAGTGCCAACGTCAGTGAACTCACGTGGAGTGACCTCGTTGCAACCATACTCGGCGAAGAATACAGGGACAGAGTAGCTCTCGAATTCCTCAGTGCGAACATCGTATCCAGATTTCTGGTACGAAGAGTCRCCGCACCAAGAGTAGATGTTGTAACCCCAGAAGTCGATCGAGTTCTCGGCGTCACCGCAGTTGAAGTAGTTGGCCATGTTCTCACGGATGTCGGCATCATCGTTGGTAGCATAGCCAACACCAATCTCGCGGTACTTCTGTGCTTTGATGTATGCCTTGGTGTCGCGGACCGCGGCCTTGACAAAGGCGCTGGCGTCAGTGTTGTTGGGTGCGTTTGAAACTTCGTTGCCAGCAAAGAAGCCAAGAACGTTGGTGTAGTTGGCCATGGAGTCAACCACGGAAGTGTAACGCTCGTAGAGCGCATCGTTCCAAGATGGTGCATCGCGGACAATTGAGCCTCCGTCAATAGGGGCGGAAAGGTCTGCAATCACGTAGATTCCGGCGTCGGCGAGCGCGGTCATGCACTCGTCGTGGTCCTTGTCGGGATTAATGGCGTAGACACGGATCACATTGGTCTGAAGTTCCTGGAGATAAGGAATATCACGCTTGCATGTGGCGGCCGTTGCGAGGGGGTCAGTGTATGTGTTGTCGTCGCCAGTGGTCGTGCCGTTGCCAGAGTAGTCCTGCTGGTAGGCGACACCTCGCATGAAGCTGGACCAGTTAGCAAACCGCATTCAATATCTTACGCCATTGCCGCTCTTACAATTGTGTGCCATTGTTCTCGTAGAAGAACTTGGAGCCCTTGATGACAATCGGAGGGAGATCAGCGGCCACAGCGTTCGCAAAGAAGCTGCTTGCCGCAATGGTGGCCGTGGCGGCCGATGCTATTCCGAAGCCTTTCATGGTGCCAAGTAGATGCTGATGGTATTATAAAGTGATAGGTGTCGTGGTCTTGCTGCACGCGCAATGGTATGGAAACGGGCGAAGGGTTTGAAACAGGTGACGCGGAATGCTGACGCGGCGGACAAGTCGTGGAAGGAGCGAAGGTCGTCGTCGTCGTCCTTTTTTGAATGAGTGTATGAAGTGGTTTGGGTCAGTTACAAGACACTGCCAAGGTAAGTGGAAGACAAGCACAAGAATGGCAAGGATCGCAAGAATGACAAGAAGGCGAAGAGTTGTTGACCGAGCTGGATCTCAGGAGAAGCACTCCGCCCAGACTTCTTACGCGTTTCTTCGCCTGCCGCCAATCCTCTTTGGAACCCTTGGTGCTGCCGTCCGCGCGCTTTCTCATCATTTGATTGGACGCCGTCAGCCGAATCATCCTAGGGTCCCCAGCTCATTCCATTTGTTTTCCGACGTAACGCCGACCTCTGGTAAAGAGGGACTGCCCTCCAGTTTCACAGAGCGATCCAAGCCTCTGCAATGCGTTTGGGAGCAATCTGCCACATCCAACGAGATCTCCATCACCAGTCTTTTCACAATCCAAGTTCCAATCAGACCGCAGTCCTAACCATTGCTGCTCACAATAGAAATACGAGCCCCAGGCGAGCCACGACGCGCTTGGGAAGGCGGTTCGGACATAGAGCATGARCTTGGCTTGGGCATGCGAGAGTCACGTGACTTGTTTGTGGCAAACCAATCCGTGATTGCGTGGCAGCTATTTTCGGCGTCCCGCGGCGTCCCGCTCAACGCTTTCTCACCACTTCCAACGTGCTGGATCTGCTCTGAGAGACAACTCGACGATCAAATCAACGCCGGCACATGCTCCGGCCTTCCACTCCTACCTCATATCTCACGATGCATGGTAGGTTTTTTGCATGCACAGCTTGCATTCCAATTACTGGGAAAGTGTATGGCCCAGCCTGCAGACCAGGCTCTCCAATCTCCAACAGGGTTGATCTTTGCTGACGCGTGGTTCAATCGGGTGGAGGAGTTCCCGGCTCTACGAACTGTCGGAATGCGAACTGACTACTGCAGGTACATTAGCTATAGCTTCATATCACCGCGCCATTCTATGATGCAGTTCGTGGCTCAGAGCAAGAGTATTATTTACGAGTGCAGTATCGATGACGTGCTGGCGTCTCGAACGATCATGCACATGTTTGGTATGAGTACCGTCGTTTCACACTTTGCAGTTCGAACAAGTGCTCCTTATCGCACCACAAGTAGACCTTTGACGGTCAAGGTAGCGATGATAGTCAAGCATGTGCATGTAACGATATAAGTGCGACGATGGAACCCATGTCACCAACAATGCGTAAGATCAAATGCAAGCCCCGCAGTTCCAGGGTGTTATCTATCCGTAGATGTGTGCGTGTGTATGCGGCTGTACTTGTATGTACCTTTGCCTCCAGGACGATCGTTTCGAAAATAGATACAAGGAAGTTGGCAGACGTCAAGCGTGCATCCAGACACAGCAAACTGGGCGGCACAGGCGAACACAAGGCAGCTTCAGATAGAGACCATGCATGCTGTTTAAAGTGAAGATCTGTTCGCCACACGGAGACACGCAGGATTCCGATATTGTTGTGACGAGTGTGATACACAGCGCTGGAGAGGCTTGACTCGAGGGCGCATGGCCTCACATGCTCAAGCAAGCCGTTTGTCTCCTGCACAACAATGCACACCTGTGAGTCGGAGCGCAAGTAATGAAATGGGTCATCTCAGCATCCATGCCTCCAAGAACTCTGGCGGCTTGGTCTTTGATGACAGAGCAGAGGCAGGAGAGGAAAAGGGAGGCCCTGGGAGGACACATCGGTTGGACCAGGCCGGTTGGGTGGGCCGGAAGTGATCTTGACTTTGCCCGGGAAAAAAAGGTGACATGGGGGTCGGAACGTTGAAAATGCTGTGGATGAGACAAGATTCACGCCTCTCCCCTTCCTCTGGCCCCTCGCTCACAAGGTCAAGTCCATTAAACAGCAGTAGCAGCCGCGCAGGCTGTTATCGAGTGCATTTGTGCGTTTGTTTGTGGGAAAACAAACCTGTTGTTGTGCGCAGAACTTTCTGCAGTGCCCCGGCGGATCGTCCAATAACAAGCGCCCGTCATCGACGCTACTCTCAGGAGAGCATTGAAAGCCGCCACGCCGCGTACCCAAACAACACAGTTCGCTCCGCCTGGCTGCAGCTTCTTGATTTCCCTTTACATTCGCCCGGCAGGTGTGAAAACAACATTCGCTCCTCCACTCTCTGGCAGACCGTCTGTGACTCGACGCCTCGACACACTCGTTCGGGCGCGGAGCAAGTGCCCATTCGCCTTACCCAGCGAACGCTCCCGATACCACATTCCACCGCCAGCGTACCTCTACTCCCGACCATCCACCACTTCGCAGCAAGTCATCGCTGATCCTCATGATTTACGCTTGATCGGTACGTTTATATCGCAACAGCGAGCACTGCTGCATCCTCCGCTGCATTGCTGCATGCGCGTGGGATCCGTTTCGCCTTTCCCCTTGTTCTGCATCCGCAACGACTGACACAGCGCGTTGCAGTGATACCTAATTCCAAAACTCATCATGGCCCAACCCCACCAGGGCGGCTACGATGATGGCTACGGCCACGAGCGCCCAGCCGCCGGCGGCCACGATGGCTACTATCAAGACGACCAGCAGGCCTATTACGATCAGCAAGGATACGCGCAGGSTGGCCAGCACGATGGCTACTACGACGACCAGGGCTACTACCAGGCCGGACAAGAGGGCTATCAGCAAGATGGCTACTACGACGCTGGCCAGCAGGGCTATCAAGATGAGTACTACAACGACCAGTACTACGACCAAGGTGCTCCCGCTGCAGGCCAGTATCAGCAAAATGGTCAAGCTGGCCAGGGCGGACCCCCCAGAAGACGCGGTCATGATTCTGAAGAAGACTCGGAGACATTCAGTGACTTCACTATGAGATCCGACATGGCGCGCGCCGCCGAGATGGATTATTATGGCCGTGGCGATGAACGCTACAACTCGTACGGTGAAGGTCAAGCCCGTGGCTTCCGACCGCCATCATCTCAGGTCTCCTATGGAGGCAACCGGTCGTCTGGAGCGTCCACGCCCGTCTACGGCATGGACTACACAAGCGCACTTCCAGCTGGTCAGAGGTCTAGAGAGCCATACCCAGCTTGGACGTCTGACGCTCAAATCCCACTCTCCAAGGAGGAGATTGAGGACATTTTCCTCGATCTCACTGCCAAATTCGGCTTCCAGCGCGACAGCATGCGGAACATGTTTGATCATTTCATGACGCTGCTCGATTCCCGTGCCTCGCGCATGTCTCCCAACCAGGCTCTTTTGTCACTGCACGCTGACTACATTGGTGGCGAGAACGCCAACTACCGAAGATGGTATTTTGCAGCGCACCTCGATCTCGACGACGCCGTCGGCTTCGCCAACATGAAGCTTGGAAAGGCCAATCGGGCGACTAGAAAGGCTCGCAAGGCGGCCAAGAAAAAGAAGGACGCTTCTTCCGAGCCACAGGATGAAGAGGCAACCCTTGAGAGTCTCGAGGGGGACAACAGCTTGGAAGCCGCCGAGTATCGCTGGAAGACACGCATGAACCGCATGTCGCAGCATGACCGAACCCGTCAGATTGCGCTCTACCTGCTCTGCTGGGGTGAGGCCAATCAAGTGCGCTACATGCCAGAACTGCTGTGCTTCATCTACAAGTGCGCCGAGGACTACTACCAGTCCCCTGCGTGCCAGAACCGTGTCGAGCCGGTCGAAGAGTTCACGTATTTGATCAACTGCATCAACCCTCTCTACGATTACTGCCGAGACCAGGGATACGAGATTGCTGATGGCAAATACGTCCGCAAAGAGCTTGACCATCAAAAGGTCATTGGGTACGACGACATGAACCAGCTGTTTTGGTACCCTGAAGGCATTGAGCGAATCGGCTTCGAAGATAAGACTCGAATCGTCGACTTGCCACCGGCCGAGAGGTACGAGCGCTTGAAGGATGTTGTTTGGAAGAAGGCGTTCTTCAAGACCTTCAAGGAGACGCGTTCTTGGTTCCACATGTTGACCAACTTCAACCGAATCTGGATTATTCACGTGTGCTTCTTCTGGTTCTACACGGCATTCAACTCTCCAACTCTGTACACCAAGGATTACCAGCAGCAGCTCAACAACCAACCCCGTGGATCTGCTCACTGGTCTGCAGTTGCATTGGCCGGTACTGTCGCCTGTGTTCTCCAGATCTTGGGCACCCTGGCCGAGTGGCTTTACGTTCCTCGACGATGGGCCGGCGCTCAGCACTTGACAAAGCGTCTTTTCGCTCTGCTCGGCTGCCTTGCCATTAACGTCGCACCGTCGATCTACATTTTCTTCGTCAGCCAATCTGGGAAAATCGCACTCATTCTCGGAATCGTGCAGTTCCTGATCGCTTTGGTGACCGTCTTCTTCTTCGGAATCATGCCTCTCGGAGGACTGTTTGGCAGCTACCTGAACGGCAAGCGCAGGCAGTACGTCGCCAGCCAAACGTTCACTGCCAGCTATCCCCGCCTGAAGGGCAACGACATGTGGATGTCCTACGGACTGTGGGTTCTGGTCTTTGCCGCCAAGTTGGCTGAGTCCTACTTCTTCTTGACTCTGTCGTTCCGTGATCCTATCCGTATCCTGTCGACCATGGAGATCAGGAACTGCATTGGTGACAAGATCATCGGCGACATACTCTGCAAGAAGCAGCCGGTCGTGTTGCTCATTCTCATGTACTTCACCGATCTGGTGCTGTTCTTTTTGGACACTTACCTCTGGTACGTCATCTGGAACTGTGTCTTTTCCGTTGCGCGGTCCTTCTACCTGGGTGTTTCTATCTGGACACCGTGGAGAAACATCTTCTCCCGCCTGCCCAAACGTGTCTACTCCAAGATTCTGGCCACCACCGACATGGAGATCAAGTACAAGCCAAAGGTCCTCATCTCTCAGATCTGGAACGCCATTGTCATCTCCATGTATCGCGAGCATTTGCTGGCCATCGACCACGTTCAGAAGCTCCTCTACCACCAGGTGCCATCTKAGCAAGAAGGCAAGCGCACTCTCCGTGCCCCGACCTTCTTCGTGTCCCAGGAAGATCACTCATTCAAGACCGAATTCTTCCCCGCGCAGTCCGAGGCTGAGCGTCGTATCTCCTTCTTCGCACAATCGCTCTCTACGCCAATCCCAGAGCCCCTTCCAGTTGATAACATGCCCACTTTCACTGTCATGATTCCTCACTACAGCGAGAAGATTCTGTTGTCTCTCCGCGAGATCATTCGCGAGGACGAGCCCTACTCGCGTGTCACCATGTTGGAGTACCTCAAGCAGCTCCACCCACACGAGTGGGACTGCTTCGTCAAGGACACTAAGATTCTTGCGGACGAGACCTCTCAGTTCAACGGCGACTACGAGAAGAATGAAAAGGACACCCAGAAGAGCAAGATCGACGATTTGCCATTCTACTGCATCGGATTCAAGTCTGCTGCACCCGAATACACCCTCAGAACCCGTATCTGGGCCTCTTTGCGCTCTCAGACGCTCTACCGCACGATCTCTGGCTTCATGAACTACAGTCGTGCGATCAAGCTCCTCTACCGTGTGGAGAATCCTGAGGTCGTCCAAATGTTCGGTGGCAACTCCGACAAGCTGGAGCGCGAGCTCGAACGCATGGCCCGTCGCAAGTTCAAGATTGTTGTATCCATGCAGCGATATGCCAAATTCAGCAAGGAGGAGCGCGAGAACGCCGAGTTCTTACTCCGTGCGTACCCCGACCTACAAATTGCCTATCTGGATGAGGAGCCTCCTGCCAATGAGGGTGAGGACCCAAGACTCTTCTCTGCACTGATCGATGGTCACTCTGAGCTCATGGAGAATGGAATGCGCCGCCCCAAGTTCCGTGTCATGCTTTCTGGAAACCCCATTCTCGGTGACGGCAAGTCTGACAACCAGAACCACTGCCTGATCTTCTACCGCGGCGAGTACATCCAGCTCATCGATGCCAACCAAGACAACTACCTCGAAGAGTGCTTGAAGATTCGATCCGTCCTTGCAGAGTTCGAGGAGATGACCACCGACAACGTTTCCCCTTACACACCTGGCCTGCCCCCAACCAAGTACAACCCTGTGGCCATTCTTGGTGCACGTGAATACATTTTCTCCGAGAACATCGGTATCCTTGGTGATGTCGCTGCTGGAAAGGAACAGACATTCGGTACTCTCTTCGCTCGTACTCTTTCCCAGATTGGTGGCAAGCTCCACTACGGACATCCCGATTTCCTCAACGGCATTTTCATGACCACTCGTGGTGGTGTCTCCAAGGCCCAGAAAGGATTGCATCTCAACGAGGACATTTACGCTGGTATGAACGCAATACTACGTGGAGGTCGCATCAAGCACTGCGAGTACTACCAGTGTGGAAAGGGCCGTGATTTGGGTTTCGGCTCCATTCTCAACTTCACCACCAAGATCGGAACTGGTATGGGTGAGCAGATGTTGTCTCGCGAATACTACTACCTCGGCACCCAGCTYCCTCTGGATCGCTTCCTCTCCTTCTACTACGCTCACCCTGGCTTCCACATCAACAACTTGTTCGTCATGTTGTCGGTGCAGATGTTCATGTGGGTCTTGTTGAATTYGGGAGCACTCCGCCACGAGACAATTGCCTGCAGATACAACCGCGACGTTCCAGAGACCGACCCGCTCTACCCAACTGGCTGCGCTAACACTGTGCCAATCATGGACTGGGTCCAGCGTTGTATTGTGTCGATCTTCATCGTGTTCTTCATTTCGTTCGTTCCACTCACGGTCCAAGAATTGACAGAGCGCGGATTCTGGAGAGCTCTGACCCGTCTCGCAAAGCACTTTTCCTCGCTTTCGCCATTCTTCGAGGTGTTTGTCACGCAGATCTATGCATACTCTCTCCAGCAAGATCTGTCTTTCGGTGGCGCCCGCTACATTGGAACGGGTCGTGGTTTCGCAACCGCACGGATGCCATTTGGTGTGCTGTACTCGCGATTCGCTGGTCCGTCCATCTACATGGGCGCGCGCCTCTTGATGATGCTGCTCTTCGGAACGTTAACAGTCTGGGGTTACTGGCTGCTCTGGTTCTGGGTGTCCCTCCTTGCCTTGTGCGTTTCGCCTTTCATCTTCAACCCGCATCAGTTCGCTTGGTCCGATTTCTTCATCGACTACCGAGAGTTCTTGCGGTGGTTGTCGCGCGGAAACACCAAGGCACACTCTGCTTCCTGGATTGGATTCGTCCGTCTGTCGCGTACCCGTCTTACTGGTTTCAAGCGCAAGGCATTGGGAGAGCCGTCTTCCAAGCTCTCTGGTGACACTCCTCGGTCCAAGTTCACCAACATTTTCTTTAGTGAAGTACTTGGTCCGCTTGTCCTGGTCGCTGCCACCACCATCCCGTACCTGTTCATGAACGCAGGTGTGGGTGTTATTGAAGCCAATGATGGAAACTCAGACATCAGCATCGAAGCCACAAATTCGCTCATCCGACTCGGTATCTGCGCATTTGGACCTATTGGAATCTACGCTGGTGTTGCCGGCATGTTCTTCGGCATGGCTTGTTGCATGGGACCATTGTTCAGCATGTGCTGCAAGAAGTTTGGTGCCGTACTGGCTGGTATTGCACACGGTATTGCCGTCGTCGCTCTGCTGGCCATCTGGGAAGTCATGTTCTTCCTCCAGAGCTGGAACTTCTCCAAGGCTCTCCTGGGCATGATTGCTGTGGTCGCCATTCAGCGATTCGTTTTCAAGCTCATCATTGCTCTGGCCCTTACGAGAGAGTTCCGCGCCGATACCTCCAACATAGCATGGTGGACTRGCAAGTGGTACGCTCTTGGATGGCACACGCTCTCTCAGCCAGGTCGTGAGTTCCTATGCAAGATCACTGAGATGGGCTTCTTCGCTGCCGACTTTGTCCTTGGCCACGTTCTGCTGTTCTTCATGCTGCCAGCAATTCTTGTCCCGTACATCGACAAGTTCCACTCGGTCATGCTCTTCTGGCTGCGCCCTAGGTAAGTCTCCGCACTTGCATCTTGTCCCCTCGCCATTCGCTAACCGTTACCAGTCGCCAGATCCGCCCTCCGATCTACTCGCTCAAGCAGTCGAAGCTTCGCAAGCGTCGTGTCGTCCGCTACGCCATTCTGTACTTCGTGATGTTTGTGGTCTTCATTCTGCTGATTGTTGGCCCGGTCGTCGCCAAGAAGTTCATCGATATTCCGAAGATCGACCTCATGCAGCTTCAGCAACCTACCAACTGGAACAACAACGACACCAGTGCTAGCGACACCGGCACTGCCAGAGGTTCGGGCGCAAAGGCGACAGGTACTGGTGCCCGCGGTACTGCCCGCGCAAGCTCCACTCGTACGTCGCGCGCTGGCAGCGGTAACACAGGCAACAACAACCGGATGTTCATGTTCTAGACACCCTGAGCTTTTCGGAAACCACTGCTTGACCGCGTTTCACAAGAAGTTTTCATCACTCCTATGAGTGGAGGTGGGAATCTGTAACAATAGCCGATGCTCACCGGGCGCGGCCGCGTCTGGCAAAATATCCCTTGCCGGCCAAACTGTGCGGCTGTAATATCTTGCTCTTGCTACGCTGTCCAGCTAGCCAACACAGACGATGCTCATGTCATGCATAAACACCGGCGCCTATCTACTTATCATTTTGCTTGTTGGGACTGAATGGCAGTCTTCAACGTGGGGAAACGGCGTTTTGCACAACAACGAAACTGTTTGATAGAAGAAATCGCAATGCAATACGAATTTTCATACTTTACATACTCGTCCTCGCGCGTTCCATTTTYGGCGACCATGCATCCATCATTAAGGTATCGTGCACTGGGTTTTGATCAGATTACATAAAACGACGAATCAACATTTCTGACAGTGCTGATTGCCCTTCATAGCTCATCGTGTGTTGAAGACGCAATAGGTCCAAAGCTGTCCGCACATTCAAAGGACGCAGCATCGTTGATGTCTCCTCCCTTGTAAGAAGCGACTTGCGGGTATGGACACAGAGGCCGAGTAGTCTGCACCGCTGGCGGCGTACCGTCTGGGGATGGTATGCTCACAGCCTGCAATTGCTCAGGAGCCTTGCCCTTCTCGACCCAATCGACCAGGCTGAGGAAAGCGGTCAAGGGAAAGGGGCCCGGGCCTCCAAAACAGTGAGCTACGCCTGGAGTCTCGAAGTGGCGGAAGTAGTCTCTGATATTTGGAGTAATGGCTTCGACGCGCTTGTAGTAGTCAATTGTGCCGTTTGGAGGGATCAATTGATCCGCTAGACTATGATGTGTTAGTGTGAGGTGTGAAAGGCAGGCAGACCTTGGAGGGAACAGCGAACTTACCCGTGCCAGGTGATGATTTTCCCTCCAGCCTTTTGATAAGGTCTCAGATCAGGCAGGGCGGAGTCCATGATTGAGTGATACTGCTGGTGGGAGATACGCAAGATGTCGTAGAATTTCTCCTCATCGATGGTACTGATATCCGCGTCGGAGTCTTTGAGGATAAAATGACGAATCCAATCTGCGCTGATTGGGAAGGGATCACTCTTGCAGTTCTTGTTCTTGTCATCGCACTGTGTGCGTGCGAGACCTTTGAACATTGGATCAAGACCGGCGAGGGCGGCGTCAGGGGCCAGACCTGATGGTTGTCAGTTTCTTCTGCATTTTCTCACACTGGTTGAAAATGCACGCACCATACCACACAGGCTTGCCATCTTTAATGGGTCCTGTCCACAGAACAGAAGCGATTTGAGCCGCGTCCTTGGTGATCTTGCGAGTCTCGCCGTGGCAGTTGAATTCATGTCCAACGATCGAAAGGGGGTCAAATTTGCACTGCCCGTGCGCAGCGATCATTCCGTCTCGAACTCCATCAAGTCCATCACATTCGTTGATCGCAGCAGCAGTGATGGCCTCGAGCTCGCACGCGGCTGGGTAGTAGTTTAACTTCTTCATCTCCACGTGGGCATAGTACTCGGTAATCAAGAAAGTCACCCAGTTGATGGCTGGAGCCGCAGCGAGGACACCTTGATATAGGTCTGGGTATCTCTGAGCCTACGAGCTGTCAGAGAAGCCGCGTCTATTCGCTCGTTGAATGTACTTACAAGAGTAAGACCTTGACGACCACCAGTGCTGCATCCCTGCCAGTAGGAGTACGCAATGTCCTTCTTGTAGTAGGTTTTGGTGACCGATTTGGCGATCAAAGTCAAGTCCTCCAAGGATCGGTACCCAAAATTCTGTAGTTCATGCAAGTTTACGTTGCCGGGACTGGTCAAGGCCCAGCTACTAGAATCTAATGCAGTTTCCGTCGGAGGTCCGTAGATATTGTGGCCGGCGTCGGTATCTGCAGTGGCATACCCCAGGGCTACACCACCAGCGAGAGCACCGGGGTTTCCAGCAGCCTATATTCAATTCACTGTCAGTATTGATGTCTCTTCAAGATGGAGATGCTTGAAGTACCCAACCGCCACCACCTTGACCAAGGAAACGTCCATTCCAGTCCTCATCCTTCAAAGGAAGCCAGACGTTAACGCCGATGGTATCGTTGAGTCCTACAGGCCTGTCAGAACAAGCATTGAAACAGACGAATTGAAAGATTTATCATGCCTGGATGAGTGTACTCCACATATACGTTGCAGAAGTCGATGGGTTTTGGTGCCACTGGGAGGAACGGAACGCTTGGTGCAGAAGTAGCATRGTCATTCCACTGTTCGACCTCGTTCGCCTTGACATCCAGAATCTTCACGCCGAAGATCTGGGGTATGGACTTCTTCAAGTCCTTGGCGTTACATGATGCTGCTGAAGTACCTCCTGCAAGAGCGAGCAGAGACGCTGCGAAGAGAGCCGTCCTGGAAGTCATTGTGAGCACTCTGGATGGAGAGATCAGACTATGAGGGGCAGTGCTTCCTACTATATACCTCAGCTACGGCGAAGCGATGTCGTTCGGGTACGCTGCTTCTCCACGGCGGAGTAGCTGAACTCAATTGACCAGGAGAGCCGGGATCACCAATGAGAAAGCCATTGTTTGTTTAGCGGCCCCATGTCAACGCGTCTGGATCGGATTCTTGTCCATCGCTAGAAGCCCATACCATTATCGACGCGATGCAATGAGACATGCTGGAGTGATGTTGACAGTGAGGAGGCAGTTCAGCGCATGTGCCGAAGCCATTGCGAGGACGTTTGAAGGCTGGAGGAACGTAGTCAAAAATGCTAATCCGCCGGTGGTCTTCTACGACCGGCAAGCAGCGTAACACGAATCTGTTTGTCGTTCCTACAGGTAGATGAATTTTGTCTTGTATGCTTGCTTGGTGAAAAAAGGTTTGGTAGATGCAGTGGAAGATTTCCCGAAACGACGAGGATCTCACGTCTGCCGAACCGAAAGGGAAGAAATATCCGGGGAGATGAAGTGCCGAGCCGAGAATCATTGGAGTCGGGTTGGTGAGAGATGTCCAGTTATGTTGCGAGGTGCTGATGTGTGTCAGGCGGCCGGAATGTAAAGTAACAGTCGTTCAACGAAGCCTGCTTTGAAGTTCTTGCACAGTACGTGAACCAGTAGCACGCTCTTGGGGATTGCAGACCAAGCAGTTCGTTATGTATGAGCTGTAATCATTGCTGCCTTTGTACTGTCCCATTACACATTGCCTCCATTGACGCAAGAGTGACATCCTGTGCAGCAACATCTCGGCCGAAATCTCTAACAGTTTCGGCACCCAACGTTGTATACCTCTGCCATCCCTCGCAAGCAAGACCGTCAACCGGATCTCTCGCAAAGGCAACCCATGCGTCTTGCATAGCACAGCTCGTCTCCCACTCAAGCTGCGTACTCGAGTTTCTGTAATTCGGATGCGTGCCCATCAACAGCGGCAACTCGCTCGAATGGAATGCTCCTAACCATGGCTGAGGAGCGATGTTTGAGAAGTTGCCGGAGTAGCGGTAGCTGTATGTGATACGGTCGGTAGCTTGTCTGATACGAATGGCCTCTGTTGCTGGACACAAGAATGTGTTGAGCAGTCCTGTTAGAGCCAACGCTTGATCGGGTCCATTGGGATTGTAAGGCGCGAATGGCACGCCGTCTTGAGCGTTGGTGCCAATTATGGCAGGCTGAGTTCCGTGTTAGTATTTCCTAGTCTTGTGAAAGCTTCGCGGTTGTACATACGATCTTGGCCTGCTGGCCTGCCAATGCCCTCTCCGTGTAATTTGCGAATACCACCTTCTCGTCAGGGGTTGGCGAGAAGCTCAGGGCCGGCGAGGTACCATTGATAGCGTAGTCAGCTACGAAGCTCTGGATTCTCATCGCAGGAATTCGCCGCATACAGGCAAGCTGTCTGTTCKGATCGCCAGACGAATCGCATCCTAGCTCGCTGGCGACAAAACTGAAGTTAGACCCTGTCGGGTCTCCACGAATTGGGAGGAAAGCTACGCCGGAGTCCATGATAAGCCCAGTCACAATAGGATCACTGGGATATGCGTAGTTATAAAAGTCAACTGAAGCTGATCCAGCGCTCTGTCCCCAGATCACCATCTTTGAGGGATCGCCTCCGAAGGCAGCGATGTTCTTCTTACACCATTCGGCGGCGGCACGTTGATCTAACAAGCCAAGATTCTGATTCGGGAGACCGGTAGCACCAGGAAATCCGAAGATGCCGGTTCTGTAGTTGAATGACACAACAATGTGATCGGGACGACGGTCCACCCATTGGGCAGGGATCTGATATGGCACATCTTGACCTCCAGTTACGAAGCCACCACCGTATATGAAAATCAAGACTGGCAGTTTCTCGTCACCTGTGGTCCGTGGCGTCCACACAGAGGCTGTCAAACAATCTTCCGAGATACGACCTGTTTCCATTAGCTTCAATCTCCTATCGTCGAAGCCCAGCGGACATACCAGTGGTATTCAAGCCCTGCAGGTTGAATTCCAGCACATCCCGATTGTAGGGCGAGGGCGCTTTGCTGTTCAAATACTGTGGACAGCTTGGAGGCAACTCGGTCGCGATCACGTTCGCTTCTGGCTGTGAGAGTGGCTGTGGGGGTGCCCATCGCAGATTTCCCACTGGCGGTCTCGCAAATGGTATGCCCAGAAACTGTCGAACATTGGGAAGTTTTGCGTCAATTTTACCGCGTATCTGCCCTGAGCTTGTCGAGACGGTGAGTGAATTTGCACGGATGGAGAAATGTGGTTCTGCATGCACGAGGGTGAGAACGCTGCATAGCAGCGTGAGGATCTGCATTTTGGGAGCAGGATCACAAACCGGAAAACACTCATCTTACTATAGCGCGGATTAGGTCGTATATAAGAGGCGGTTGAATTTTGCCTATTCTCATTGATTGGCCGGCGTCCGCCCATGACGCAAACCCCGCTTTATTGGACTAAGGTAGGTATAGAGAGGTCGAGATCGAGTTGCGGTCGAGCTCGTCGGGTACGAAGCGAATCGGTCGTCGTCTCGCAAGTMACGAAATGAAAAGCCGCACAATGCTCGGGAGAAGTACGATGGAGGATAGACTTGCCGTCCGCGGTGCAACAGAATTGTCTGTACGCATCATCCTTGTTGCACCCACGAATAACCAGGTTCTCCACAAAAGCCTAACGGTACAGGCTAATGGCGACAGCAACGACAGCGAGGGCGATGCGGAAACCAAATCATAAATCCATCCGCACTTGACACCAATCTCATTGGCGCATTCACTCACTGCACGCTGGGTAGTATGTGCATCACAAGCAGGCGACGGGAAGAAAGGATTGTAGTGTCGAAGTTAGGTATTACAGGTGCATTTAGTAAACCGGTCGTAGTCGCTAATGTGATCATTGTCCAGTCCTTCTGGTCGCAATCCATCTGGTCGTATTCCCTCTGTCGAATGTCTTTTTGCCCAGGATGTGATGGTTCACCATTGGCTCATTTCAGGTTGCTCATTCATCTCGACCGGTCCACTCTACTTGGTCGCATCCTTCACATCCTGTGCCTTACGGGAGGCCTCGTTCTTGACATCCTCGGCCTTGCGCTCAGCCTCCTTCGCGCCAGTAGAGGCAGCGTCCTTGGCCTTGCCCGTGAGGTTCTCTGTTCGCCAAGGCATTAGTTGAGATTGAATAGTATTCATGACGTGAAACTTACCGGCACCCTCGATACCCTTGACGATGGTCTGCGACACAGTCTTGTCGACGTTCTTTGCTGCGTCCTTTGCCGCGTCCACGGCCGATTTCTGGACACGCACCGAGGTGCTGAAGAGGCGAACGTTGCGGGTGATGGTCTGGCGGAACATTTTGATGGTGTCTGGAGCTGTTTGAGGATTTGTTGATGGGATTGAAGGTCTGGGAAAGTGTGAGGTGGAGCTGTGCAATGGTTTGTTTGTGTAGATTGAAAGAGAAGAAACGGAGAAGAGAGCTCGGAGAGCTTCAATGAAGGTGATCAGGAGTGACGTATGCGTTGGGTGGTCCGCGGGAAGGCACGAAGCTTCTACTACCCTCCCTCTTTCACGTGGCGCGGTTTCGCCTTTGTTCTGGTCATTCCATGGTGATTACTACGAATACGCGCCTTTTGGATGCTTTCGGTATGAGTATTGATCCAGGTTGATCGAGCTCATTGACCCTAGCAGCTCTCTCCGGTGTTCAATCCGCAACTCTGCAAGTGGAGAGGCTTTCAGCAGCCCCAGGACTGACGACGCCGCCGAGAGGAGGGATCTTGATATTATTACAATCTGAGCTTGAGGGTCTCGTCTTGGTGCACAGTACCATCACCGACAGACCCTCTAATCGTGTCGTCTGCATCGGTCGTGATTGGGACTCCGAGCTTCGAAGGTAGTCCGTAGGGAGCTCACAGAGGTTCATCTGCTATGTGAATGCTCAGCTGCTATGGCACCCAGTCACTCACTGGATGCATGCAAGAAGCGATTGAACGCATGCCGTCGTGCCAAAGACAAGGTGTCGTAGTCATGAATAGGTGGTAATGTCATTTTCACAAGCCAAATGAAAAAGGTGGAGACCGGACCTGCTCCCGACTCCCCTTTGCGTTGCGCGTAGGAAAAGTTTAGCCTTGGGCCTCCATCGCCAAATACCGTAACAATCCATCCACACCAACTCCATCCCACAAACACCTTTCATCAAAATCTTAGCACTGTGAATTAACACATATCCACCCGCTCTCTATTCACGATGCTCTCCCTCCGCGCCGCCGTCCGTGCTGCTCCCCGCACTGCATCTCGCATCGCCTCTCGAACAAGCTCCATCCGACCCGCCTTCAACATCACAAGCCGCATCACACAGCAAGCGCCTCGCATTGCCGCTTTCAGCACAACAAGATGTCGATTCGATGATTTTGCACAGCAGCTCGCCGTCAAGCTTGAAAGTGAGATCAATATCGAGACGGAGGAATCAGCCTCGCAGGCGACCAGCGACACCAATGTCGACAACTTCCTCGCCGAGAACCCTGACTGGACCATTGAGGACACACCTGGCGAGCAGGATGTCTACCTCAAGCGCAAATTCGAAGACGAGACGGTGACGGTCCACTTCACCATTGCCGACTTCAACCAAGAAATCGAGCCCGAGGACGACATGGACGCCGCGATGGGCGATGAGGAGGACATGGACATGCAGAGCCATGGCGCCAACTCCAAGGGCTCCATCAACCAGGGCGGTACCGCAAACCGTAACTTCAAGGTTGCACCAGAGGACAGCGTCGCGCCAGCAGATCGCGAGGAGCTGCAGGATGAGGTACATCTACATCCAATAGCATGGCGCATATCATGAGGATGGTAGCTAACGAACTTGCAGGAGGATGCATCGCCAGCTTACCCAGTCTACGTCAACGTCCTTATTCAGCGCCCAGGCAAGGGTGCGCTCAAGTTTGATCTTACTGCTGTTGATGGCGACATCATGATCAATCAGCTGTCCCACTTTGCTGAGTCCGCTTTGAAGAACGCCACCGAGGTCTTGCGGAGATCGCCCGAGACCGCCTACGCCGGTCCACCTTTCCAGCAGCTGGATGAGGAGGTTCAGGGAATCATCGAAAGCTACTTGGATGCCCGCGGTATCAACAGCGCGCTTGCACAGTTTCTTCCAGAGTACGTCGACGTGAAGGAGCAGAAGGAGTACCTTGGCTGGTTGAACCGCGTCAAGGAGTTTGTCGAGTAAGCGGTCGCCACGAAAGAATGTAAGATGAGCAGAGAATGAGAGAGGCGTTCAAAATCAGCTGGGAGTTGCTGGAGAGACACGGTACCTGATGTTGATGAGGAGTGTAAGACAGGAAGAAGACGGGTGCGAATTGAGGATTCTTCCCACACGAAGATGAAAAGCCGCTGTATACCATACTTGTTTGTAAAATGAACTATTCTCCACTAAAGAATGAATGTACAATTTTTTTGGCTAGCAACCTGTCGATAATACAACGACTTCGTTGGCTTCAAGCTCCATAGCTCACCAAAGACCATGACGCGGGAGATCGACTAGTGCTGATACTGACCACGCGAATTCATCCACAATCAGTGTCGGTCTGTCTTTGTTAGAACAAGAACAATTTATTACGAATCGAAAAGCGTTTCCTGGTCCACTGCTGAACTTCAATGATATCCGAACAAGAGGCTGCCAACTTCGACGTCTTCAGAGATTGCCTTTCTACTTCAATCATCCAAAGACTTGCACCGGATGGCGGTGGCAAGGGTTCGACAAAAAAGAAGGTGAAGGGGCGAAAGAATGAGATCAAACCTGTTGTGAGAAGCATTGAAGGCGAAGTGGAGAATGATGCTGCTGAATTGGGGGATTTTGTTGAGGTCTGTCCCCTTCATGTGCTGTTATACCATATCACTGAACGGTATGCAGTATCTTGCAGAGGAGATATTCCTCAGTCTTCCATCCGACTTGAGAACACTCTCTTACAGCGCAATACAAGACGATGCAGATCTGGGAACCACATACAGCGTACCTATGGATACTATGCTCCTAGAAAGATTTGTTGAAGCAYTGCCACTCACAGTCGCGGACTCCCTAACTTCATACAACCTGATTGTTTCACCCTCGGATTTGGATCGTTTCCTCGAACCCGCTTTCTCAACTTATATTACATCCACAACTTCAGTCCCACCGGAACATACTCCATCTCTCGCAGCTTCACGGCCAGAAGGATGTGAGATTTGCGAGAGAGAGCATCTTCCCCTGACATATCATCACCTCATTCCACGGGCAGTACATACCAAGGCTGTGAAACGTGGATGGCATCGAGAGTGGGAGTTGAACAAAGTGGCATGGTTGTGTCGGGCCTGTCATTCTTTTGTGCATAAGATTGAGAGTAACGAAGTGCTTGCAAAGGACTATTATAGCGTGGAATTGTTGATCGAGAGGGAGGATGTGCAGAAGTGGGCTGGCTGGGTTGGGAGGATCAGGTGGAAGGCCAGATGAGCTGTGACAGAGCAGCAGGGGTTGTCGAAAGTGATGCAATGATGAGTGGAATCTGTCGATTCAGCATAACGAAGGACTGGTGCGGGATAGATGATGTGGTATTGACGTCTTGTGGTGGGGAGTTCGTGTAGTAGCTTCAGCTCTGCTGCTTCTGCATGTCCTAGTATGGTGCTTCGGCTATAGGAGTATGCTATTCGTTGAATACAGAACGACGTGCTCTCACCGAATGATTGAAAGACCCATTTCTTCTTCCCGGCGACAAGGTATCACATTCTCGACACTGCTCGTTTTTTTTGTAGAACGTCGATCAGCTTTCTCCAAGGACGATGGCCTTCCTGGTGATTCATTGCATGTGTAAGGTACATAGCATTATTGGGCAGGAAACCTGCCAGTGTTGTAGCTCATTTTTCAAGCACAGTGTTTCTCACCGACATGGCGATTCGGTACCTCGAGCTATCATTTTTGTGTGGCTTACCGAGTGCAACCTCGAGAGCCCTTTATGCACTAGTCTGCGGCATGCTGCTGCATTGTCGTTCAACGGCAAGGCGCAGGAGCCGGGATCTGGGACGCTATGGTCAAGAGCAGCAAGTGTTCACATGTTGACAGGAACATCGCTTGGTCGTAGGGCTGCATCGTTAGCATGTCGCTAGCAGTCGGTCTGCAAGCCATTGGCTTCGGGGAGAGCGATTGAAGATGCCCTCGTGCGGACGATGTGATGACGACCCCGCCGCCAAGCCAAGAGCAAGCTGACGACGATTGCGAGTCCGACTCTGGCTGTGCGAAGTACCTACAAGCATCAACCCATTAGCTACGTGACCTAAGCAATCACCTGCGAAACCGACATCGTGAAGCTCGGGAGGATCACGATACATCGGTTTGCGCTCGATCAAGCGTCATCGCAAGAAGAAGAAGACCGATCTAGCCTCTGAAATTACCCATCTCCTACCAATCCCTACATTGAGCGCACACCACCATTGCATACACCAGCTGGATACCAAGGCGCATCATCATCGAAGGAGCATAAATATCCACCGTCTTGCCACCAAGCAAACCTTTCTCAGCAGCAGTGGCTCAAGTGCCGCCTGATCCGGGGTGTCTGACCCACCAGCCTCCGCGAACCACGAACCCCTCCACCAGTCTGTGAATCAGTATCTGAGACTCTTGACAACGACATCGACCTCTGCGTCCACGAAGCGTCACACACACACACAATCATGTCGGGCTTTCCAGGACAGAATTACCACAATAGCAATCGAGGCTACCCACCGCCGCAACAATACCCTCCACAAGGATATCCACCACCACAGCAATATCCTCCACAAGGTTACCCGTAAGCTTGAACGACTGCGCATGGCTGGAACGATTGGTCTAATCGAGTTGCAGTCCTCCACAGCTTCAATACGGCGGAGGCGGTTATGGCGCCCCTCCTCCACCGCAGCAATATGGCGGATACGGCCAGCCTCCACCCCAGCCAGCGTACGGCGGTGGTATGCCTCCGCAACAACAAATGCAACATCRACCACCACCAAGTATGCAACCTTGGCATCTACTTGTGGGAATCTGAATCTGACAAGTTCTTGTAGGCTACAACAGACCTCCACCTCCACCCCAAGGCCAGCAAGGTTTCGGCCACGGCGCACCGCAAGGATACAACTTCCAGTATTCGGCATGTACTGGTCGAAGAAAAGCGTTGCTTATTGGGATCAATTACTTCGGTCAAAAGGGCCAGCTACGCGGATGCATCAACGATGTGAAGAACATGTCGGGCTACCWGAATCAACACTTCGGTTACAAGAGAGAGGACATGGTCACTTTGACAGATGACCAGCCAAATCCCATGAGCCATCCTACAAAGGCGAACATCATCAGGGCGATGCATTGGCTTGTGAAGGACGCGAGACCAAATGACTCGCTTTTCTTTCACTATTCCGGCCACGGTGGTCAGACCAAAGATCTGAATGGCGATGAAGAGGATGGCTATGATGAAGTCATCTACCCCGTCGACTTTAGGCAAGTCGGGCACATTGTGGACGACGAGATGCATGCGATCATGTAAGTATGGACTGAAGTGTTGCCAATGGCTTTGCTGACGATCACAGGGTATCACGTCTGCAGCCTGGAGTGAGGTTGACCGCTATCTTCGACTCCTGCCATTCGGGATCTGCTCTCGATTTGCCATACATCTACTCAACCCAGGGTGTGCTCAAGGAACCTAACCTCGCGAAGGAGGCTGGTCAAGGTCTCCTCGGAATGGTCACCTCATACGCCCGCGGCGACCTCGGTGGCATGGCCTCGACAGCCATGGGCCTATTCAAGAAGGCGACAAGCGGGAATGATACTTATGCGCGCAATCTCAAGACCAAGACCAGCCCTGCGGACGTTATCATGTGGAGTGGCAGCAAAGACAGTCAAACATCGTATGTTGAACCCCATTCTGTTAAACAGCCCTTGTTTTGGGATGAGCCCACTTTTGCAGTTTCCTACCTGCGGGCGCAGGATTTTATTCGCTGGCAGAGCTTACGATGAGACCTGCGCTCGGCTGGTGCTTTCACGCGTTTGGCGACATTTCAGAGATTGTAATATATTCATCTTTCGACGTCCCTTCGCCTCGGAGAGCCTTACGAGGCGGCTCCTCGGTGGAGGGACGATGGGCTGCGTTCACTTGCTGAGTTTTGACGCTATTGATGGATGTTTGCTGACTGATTCCCTTACAGAGCCGACGCGAGTATATCTGGACAGGCAACTGGAGCGATGTCGTACGCTTTCATCAGTGCTCTGAAGAAGAATCCACAGCAGAGTTATGTGCAACTCCTCAACAGCATTCGTGATGAGTTGGAGGGCAAGTATGATCAGAAGCCTCAGTTGAGCTGCAGTCATCCGCTAGGTAAGTCATGTTGACGATGCGATGTATGGACTGGGAACGTTTCGCTGACAGCTATCCAGATACCAACTTGCTTTATGTCATGTAAATTGACGATTACATGACTGGGAACGGGTGCTGTGCCTATGCAGACAGAGGAGAGGTCAGGATCTGACAGCGAGACCGAGTCCAGATTGGGAGAAGGCTCGCTTGGATACTGCTCGGTGCATAAGTTGACACGCTAGGCAGGAAAACAGATCTAGATCCTCACACGAGTGCGGAATACCCAAATGTACGATCTCAATGGCCTGGACTGTTCTTGCGAGCCTTTATGCTCGTCTCATGTACCTTCTCCAATCATCCCGGCAATACCATGTGGCTCGACAAACAGTTGACGGCGCTGCAATGGTCGATATGCCCCAATCACGATCCGAAAGTTTCCTTTTTAGAACCATTGCACGTCACGAAAGTCGTAAGCACTTCACCGGGCGCTCTAATGGGTTACCGCCAGTCTATCGGAGTGTTTTTCTGACTTCGACATTGATAAATCCTACGAAAATTCGGCTTTATCATCTTCCATCGTTCTCGATGTCTTCGATTCCCACGAGCCTGGCGGAAAGATTTGGTATGGTGGAGGGGGTTTCGTCGTAGCTAAGTATGGTCGTCTCAACTCTCCTTGCCCCTGGTGAGGTTCGAAGTTGAGCCAAAAGGAATGTTCAAGAATGTAGGAACACCTGATAGAAGCATCACGATCACAGCGCTTTGCTCGAGTGTGTCGTTTTCTGGCAGGCGGAGAAGGGGGGAATGTAAAATGGCCATGGCTATAGTTGGATCAAGCTATTTTGTTCTATCGTCATGAAGCAGGATCATCTACAACTCATCCCTTCCCGTAGCAGCCAGTGCTTCATCCTCTACAACCTGCCTCGCTCCCAGATCATATCGCTGTCCTTCTCTCAAGAAATAGAAGCTGTATTCCTTCGGCGGAAGGGTCTTCAATTCTGTACCCTCATCCGAATAGAAGGTGCCATCATAGATGGCACAGTAGCTTGGGCCCAAGACGTGCATATCATTCTTATTGACGATAGCAGCTGTGTTCTCATCGATCGCGATGCCTAGAAGCTCGGGATGTACTTTCAAGATATCRAACATGTCGAAATGTCGGTTGCGAACGAGGAAATGCTGGTCGATAGCCGCATTCTTTAGGTACCCGAATCCTACGATATGGTCGCCTACCATGACTTGGTTGTTGGCTGTGTCTCCTCGAGCAAGACTGGTTCAATTAGCAAAACGCTCTTCTCGATCTCACCATCAGAAAACCTACAAGCTCGCCTGAATGCTAGCACCAGCGCTACTCCCACTAATCACCCCTCCTCGATCTAAGACTGCTTGAAACGCTCTCTCAGACTTCGTCCCAGCGTACGCATCTACAAGGCGCCATTGTCGCCCACCACCAAAGAAGATTCCTCCGGCCTCCTTCAAAGGCGCTATGAATTCGTCCGTGTCCGCTACAGCCGGATCGTAAGTGTGCAGAACTGTGACATTCGTCGCTCCAAGTCGACGGAAAGTCTCAGCGGCTGGAAAGCTCTCGTTGTAGGTCGCATCGCCACCTGCAGTGGGAATCACAACAAATGGTGCAGAGGGACCGCCGGCCAGTGATATGATCTTCTCGTAGATCGATTCGTTTGAAAGGTTCCCGCCTATAATTACCAGGTGGCCGTTCTCGGGGCCTATATACTGTTCCTCTGTGCAGTTTGAAGTAGTTGAGCTCGCTATGGTTGTTGCTGCTGTTGCTGCGAGAGCAGTAGCAGAAAGCATCTTGTTGAAGCGCATGGTGAGACGGTATGACAGATGAGAGCCGCTTGTAAGAACGGAACGTGGGAAGCAGGGTATATATCGGGACTATCGCGCCATTGTGGGTCTGCGATGATGGAGTGCGATGATGGGTGAGATTCGCGATTCTTGCCAAATAAGGAAGGTGCAAGGAAAAGGCCGGGAAGAACAATGTTACCTGACTGTAGCATACACAGTTCGGAGACCGTCTTGAGATTGCATCATCGAGGCGAGGCTCTTCGTAGGGGGTAGTAGCGTCTTGGTAAACGGACAAGGAGATGGAAGAATAGCATGAGGTCAGGCAAATGGTGCAAAGTTGAGGGAGCTTGGGCCACTCTCCTCGAGCCCGACTTCGGCAAGCCCTCAAAGATTCACTTGACCTCGTCACCAGCTCGACAAGGTAGTCTTCTACATTCTCCGCCAAGATGTCCGCCGCTGTCAAGCCCCATTCGACTCAAACCTCCGATCAGACTAAGACTAAGCCATCGCCTCTCCGATCAATCATAGCAGGCAGTACCGCAGGCGCTGTAGAGATTGCAATCACATACCCAGCCGAGTTCGCCAAAACCCGAACACAACTAAATTCCCGCCTTTCCGCTGCCCAGAAGCTCCCGTTCCCTCCATTCGGTCCACAATGGTACGCCGGTTGCACAACTCTCATAATAGGAAATAGCATCAAAGCTGGAGTTCGCTTCGTCGCTTTCGACCAGTACAAGTCCCTCCTCGGCAATGGAGATGGCACAATCAGCGGTCCCATGACCGTCGTCAGTGGATTCTTAGCAGGTGCAACAGAGAGTCTGTTGGCCGTAACACCATTTGAGAGCATCAAGACACAGATCATCGATGATCGGAAACGAGACAAGCCGAGGATGAAGGGGTTCCTCCACGGTTCTGCTCTTATATTTCGCGAACAGGGTATAAGAGGGTTCTTCAAAGGGTTCGTACCTACAACGGCACGACAGGCAGCGAATAGTGCGGTTCGATTCAGTGCATACACATCTTTGAGGCAGGCAGCGCAAAGCTATGTGGCTCCTGGAGAGAAGCTGGGGACATTGAGCACTTTTGGAATAGGAGGAGTCGCGGGAACGATTACGGTCTATGCGACGCAGCCGATTGATACCGTCAAGACACGAATGCAGAGTCTGGATGCCAAGGGACAGTATAAAAACAGCGTGGACTGCGCGGTGAAKATCTTCAAGCAAGAGGGATTCCTAAAGTTGTGGAGCGGTGCCCTGCCCCGGTTAGGAAGGCTGGTATTCAGCGGTGGCATCGTGTTCACCATGTACGAGAAGACTATGGAGCTGCTGGAAACCTTAGATCCGGAGAAGAGGTACATTTGAGAGAGGAAGTACGATGACATGGACATAAAGACACTGTCAATTTTCGACGCGACAAGTTCACCTTGTGTTGGTGGAAGATCAGCGAGGTGTTGTAGCGAAACATGTCGACGCCTGACCTGATCATTAAGCGGGGAGCTACCGGGCCAGACCTTGTGGGACCTTTAATTACACAAGTTCAACAGTCGGCATGCGGGCTATGCAGCTTCGGGGCGTTCACTTCCAAGGCTGGATGTGGATGCAAAAGAGATATGCCCGCGAGCGCAGTCTTCGCTTTGGAAACGCGTTGAACGATATGCGTTCTGTTAGAACACCAGCAGCAGAAGAGCGTTGGGTTACTTGTCTTGTACGCTACTGGCTCGGAGACATAAATGGTAGACACTCTACATAGACAGAGCCAACAGCCACTGATCAAGGCCATGCGGCCTCAAAAATCATGGCGGCTCTGCAGTGCTGTATTATTTCCTCCATCGCGCTTGCTATGATCACTGAAGCTCGCAATGCCTCTTTCTCTTTCTCTCGTGATCATGTCAATACTGGGCACAGGACATATACTCTAGCCCGTCCATCTAGTCAGGTACTCCCGCAAACACGGGCCGATGGCGCCGCTCGTTCCGAGTGAAGGGTTGCGAATTGTTGGCTCTACCTTACAGTTCGCTGTTCAAGCACGCAACAATTGGAACGTCAACGGTTTCAACGAAGAAATGATGCAAGAATATCGTTGAAACAACAAACACTCCCAGCGACTCAACAAAACATGTCGAACGTAACAGATCTACGCAACAACTCCACCTCCTTCACCTCAAGCACTTCCACCGACAACCACGCTCGTCCGCCCTTGCAAGCTCCTCAAGAGCGCAACAACCGTTCCTCGTTCCTCTTCTCCTCTCTTTCCTCAGCTGCGAGCTACTTGGCCGATCCCGTGCGATATACAGTCTCGGGCCTTGTCCGGCGGATCTCCGAAGACGAGGCGCCCACACCACTAGCACAGGCTCTCTCTGCGAATTACAATGGTTCCATGACCGATCCCACCACAGGCGTCTACCATCCCCAGAAACCCATCATGCGTCGCAAATCGCCGTTCCAACCCCCACCTCTCACACCACTTACCTTGGATGGCTACAAACGCAGCACGACTGGGAGTGCTAGATTACTGAAACGGGCGGTGGCTGAAGAGATTAGGCTGTTGGTCCCACCACGACTACAACTTCAGGATACATGGCACTTGACGTATTCTCTGGAACAAGACGGCAGCACCCTCTCGACATTATATTCATTATGTGACGCTCACAGAGGGAAGCGGGGAGGCTTTGTTGTGGTTGTACGAGACGGAAGTGGAGGCATCTTCGGTGCATATCTCTCTGATGCACCGAGGGTACAACCGCATTACTTTGGCAGCGGGGAGTGCTTCCTCTGGCGAGCTCTAGTGCTACCTGCTTTGCCTGATCTCGCGGATCTGCCGCCGCCTCCGAGTGCAGATACAACGCATGCACAGCGAATGACTACAGTGGGAATGGGAAGTCGAACGCCGAGCACCGCGAGTCTGGCGAGTTTGAATGTGCCGACAGGGAAGAAGACGAATGGACTTCCTGCGAAGAAGGAACAGCGGATTCGATTCAAAGCTTTCCCATATACTGGAGAGAACGACTTTAGCATTTTCTGCCAGCAGGAGTATCTGAGTGTGGGTGGTGGGGATGGTCATTACGGGTTGTGGTTGGGGCAGAGTCTGAGCGAGGGTGTCAGTCAAACTTGTCCGACGTTCGGGAACGAGGGGTTGAGCGAGGAGGGCAGTAAATTCGAAGTTCTGGGCGTTGAGGTGTGGTATATCGGAAGCTGATGTGAACGATGCAAGAGCCATAGAGCTATTAGAAGGCGCTTGCCTGAGGAACACGGCACGGGATTGGGAGTGAAGTGATAGATGACTGTTGGATGATACCCATAATGCTTTAACGAGATCTAGGATCCGAGGAGTTCGAAGGAATAAAGGTGGATATAAACAGCACGCTATACAATATTGGATTTGGCGGGGAGTCACAGTTGATAGGCTGGATCGGCTGCCGATATTCTACTTGCCAGGACATCATGCCATTGCACTTGTGGTTCTGCGATATTTGATATAGACTGGCAGCAGGTATCTCATTGGACAATCCGACCAGTGATAACCACCGGGAGGTCGCGGAAGTTTAAAACGATCAACGACACCTGCTGGAATTCACATCAACAACTCACCAAGAATTATTGCTTGTCGAATGCCGTCAAACGCAGATGGCCAAGCTGATCACAGATCTAAAGATGCTCGCGAAGTTCCCAAAGTGGGAATATCTCCGGCAACAGCCCTTCCAAAGCCTGAATCGCTCAGCGGACCATTACACGACTACCTTATGTCAAAAGAGCAGACCGCGACAGTCAAAATATGCTATTTGCAATCGGGAGATGCAGTGCACAGGCAGGAGACCTGGATCTCAACTATCCAAGAGCCGGGTTGCGCGTGTGAGGTTCGACCTCCTTATCAATGCTGACACAGGATCGCTGTTTTGGGAAGCGTTATCTCAGACGCAGATAAGCTGAGCGAAACTACCTTACCCGCAACTGTCGACCTGCTTAGAAGTTACAGACGACGATAAAATGCCCAGGCAGCCTCTCAAAGTAACGGCAGTGAAGCCTTGTCATGGGGCAGCTCATCGTTTCATCACCCCAATCTGCAAGAACCGCATAGAACGCCACTGTTCGCTGGCACTGCAACATCTCCGTGGAGCATGTTGAAGAATCATCTTGCATCTCGTCGCCGGCTCTAGCCACTGTTGCATGATCTGGCCATGCTCAGAGCGGAGCGCGGAAAGCCGCGAAAACAGCCAGGCATTCGCAAAGACAGATCTAGATGTTCGATGGTACGCTAYGACTGCCACGAGGCTGCACGTTGTGTATCAAACAACGGTAGGTTCTGTCGGAAATATCTCCTGAAGGCGCCCGCGAACCCTGCAGAGTGGTTGCATCTCTTATCTTCCAGACCAAGCATTGGCCAGTCAGCCGTGTGGATATCGTTTTGGCAGTGATGCTAGGCGCTATCACAGATCCTGGGGCTGCCGCCATGTTACTGTAGATCCGCGGACTTGCTTCACCCATAGCTGACAGTACAGATGAGAGATGGGTGTCCGGAGAAAGTGCATTCGAGGAGGATGTGAGCATGATGATAATTAAGAGGGGTGGTCGTCCGTCCGTGGAATACTCGATAGGACATCACGACTCCTTCCATTGACCGGACTAGACTTGCTCAAAGCATTTTTGCCTTCATACACGACGGATGCACTGTTGTTAACGAGTGGAGACCAATATACATCATGGGATTTAACATGGCCTCGCTCTGGCAAGCGCCGGAAGTTAACCCCATTACCAAAAAGGCCAGATCTGTTCCCTTTTTCAACCCAATCGATCAATATGGGAGGGTGTTCTTCTTCTCCTGGTTTGGTTTCCTCCTTGCGTTCTGGTCCTGGTAAGCTCGACAACCATCCCTGTCAACGTTCAATCCCTGCTCCAGACGCCCTGTTCTGACCACAGCTTGCAGGTATGCCTTCCCGCCTCTCCTCCATGATGTTATCATGAAGGATCTCGGTCTCACCAAGATCCAAGTCCAAAACTCAAACATCGTTGCTCTGGCAGCAACACTCGGTGTACGCCTCATCGCTGGTCCTGCTTGTGATCGGTTCGGACCTCGCAAGACCTTCGCTGGATGTCTCTTGATTGGTGCTATACCAACCTTCCTTGCTGGAACGGTGTACAATGTCGGCCAGCTATATGCTTGCAGATTCTTCATCGGTATTTTGGGAGGCAGTTTCGTGCCATGTCAAGTCTGGACTACTGGCTTCTACGACAAGAACATCGTCGGCACCGCCAATTCATTGACAGCCGGTCTCGGTAACGCAGGAGGAGGCATTACATACTTTGTTATGCCTGCCATCTACGACAGCCTGCACCTCGACCGCGGATTGTCTCCACATGTAGCCTGGCGCGTGACGTTCATCGTTCCTGGAATCATCATCACGGCTGTCGCAATCGCGCTGCTATTTTGCTGCCAAGACACCCCGACTGGAAAGTGGGCGGACAGACACCAAGTCGCAGAACACAGCCTTAGAGAGCACGGTCTCGACGGTGCCATTGTTGATATCCCAGGTCATGTCAACGACCTCAAGAGCAATGATTCCGACTCGGGTTCTGGAACTGCCACACCCATGAATGTCGCAGACGAGGAGAAGAAGCTGCCCCAGACTCGTGGTGTCTTCGCCGAAAATGAAGCGCAGATGGGAGAGCAGCAGATGCTCGACACCGTTCGCAGCGAAGTTGTCCAGAAGCCATCCCTGACGCAGATTCTTCGTGTCAGCTTCTCGCCATCTGTTCTTGCGTTGTATGTTTATTGTCACTCCGCCTCTCAATTCCGCCCCAATCGGCTGCTAACAAACTCTCACAGAGGCGCAGCTTACTTTTGCACATTCGGCGCAGAGCTCGCGGTCAACTCCAATTTGGGCAACTACTATCAAAACCAGTTCCCGGCTTCGCAGAAAGCAGATGCAAGCAACTGGGCAGCGATGTTCGGACTCATGAACGTCGTCTTCCGACCACTTGGCGGCGTCGTCGCAGACATCGCATATGGTTATACAAAAAGCGTGTGGGTGAAGAAGGCTCTTCTCCACAGCTACGCATTCATTACCGGCGCGTTCCTCATCGCCATCGGCCAGGTGCGCTTCAAGGACGTCACAAGTCTAGTGTGCTTGATTGGCGTGGGCATGGCCTTCTTCTTGGAGGGAGCCAACGGATTGACTTTTGCGGTCGTTCCTCATGTTCACCCGTCAGCAAATGGTGTCGTGTCCGGATTCGTGGGCGCTTGCGGCAATCTGGGAGGAATCATGTTCGCGTTGGTCTTCCGATATTTCCCTGCGGATTACAACCAGGCCATGTGGATAATAGGGGTGGTGATCATGGCGCTGCAGGCTGTTACGTTCTGGATACCGCCCCTTTCGAAGAATCAGATTGGTGGGCGATAGAAGAGAAGAGGTATTGTCGGTGTACATCCCTTGTTAGCACATATTAATATCCGTCGAGTTGATGAATAACACGAGAGTATGACTACAAACACAGATCCAAAGCATTTCCGGTGTTACGCGAGCAATGCTTTTCTCGACTTTCGCTTTCGGATCACAATTGGACGTCATAAATGGAAAATGAAGAGATCATGAAGAGTAATGCCTGCAGACGCGAGCATGAGGGTATTTCATTCTCTACGACAGACTTCTCTTCTGAGCCGTCTTTGGGTTTGATGTGCCATGCTTGTCGCCAATTTAAGCGGCAATGGTAACCTCAACCTCAACACCAGCCTCGATGTTGATGATGATCTGCTTGACAACCTCGGTGGGGGCGTTCAGGTCGATGAGACGCTTGTGGATTCTAGTTTCGGTATCAGTGTACTATCCTTGTAACACCCTCCGCTTCAGTGCCATCTCTTTTACTCACCTCATCTCGAACATGTCCCAGGTCTTGGAACCCTCACCACAAGGAGTCTTACGGGTGGAGATCTTGAGGTTCTTGGTGGGGAGGCGGACAGGGCCCTTGACGCGGAGCTCCTTTGACTTGGCACGCTCGATGAGCTCGCCGCAGACCTTCTCGAGGGCGGAGACCTTGCGGGAGGTGAGGGTGATGCGGATCTTGTGGATCTTGGGCGCATCGCCCTGAGCGGTCTTCTTGGCGTCCTGGAAAGACATTTTTCGGTTTGAGGAGGCGGTTTGGAGGGTATGCGATCACGACTGTAGGAATGTCAGTATCTTCCTGCCATTCTAGAGAGGTTCACAGCCATGCGCACCTCGGTCTTGAGACTCGGTAAAGTGATGATCGTGAAGAGAGAAAAAGAGAGTTTGTCGTGTGCGAATCTCGAATTGCACATGTGGAAAAGCTCGGACCACGATCTTTTCTCGCTTATCCAGCCAATGGATAAAAGTACCGTGTGTACCGTATCGATGAGCTAGCTGAGCATCACTCTCCATGAATCATCCCACCTTGGACAAACACAAGGTATTTCGTGCTCCAGCTGCGTGGAGAACCAATGGCAATCCCAGCGTTCGCTCCCCTCCCTCCGGTCAACATTCGTCTGAGCATTGGACCGGAAGAATGGAAAGCATGTCTAGAAGCATGGCTAACTCTTGGGGAATTTACACTACGCCTTCCAAAAGGCACATTCAATTCGGCTGCGAGCGATGAAGGATCTCTACCGGGGTTCCTCACTTCTTTCTACTATGRGCTCGGGAATCTACAGCCATCGGATGCTACTTTCAACGGCCCAGCTGGCATCTCTCTTCGAAAACTCGGCTTTAGACTGGTGTCCAGGATCTTTATCGAATGCGATTCTCCATCACAATCTTTGTTAAGATGGGACTTTTTGTCAAACCTCTGCCATGCACATCTGAGATCATCCGCTCTTCCTCGTCTCATGTCAAGGCTGTGGGAACGCAGGGCAGGAGTCATCACTTCAAACTTGCAGAAGAAGAAAGACACCCTTGTAAAGACACTCGATTCGAAACAGATCGATAGCGAAACGAGCACACTCGCCCAGCTGGGTTGCCTCTCGCACGTATCCTCAGAGATTGGCTCATTCTTCATGACTGGTTCGGACTTCCTGGACTCGATTGTTGGAGTATACAGTCACAGCACCTCCGATGCACAACGGAAAGCTCTATCAACTGTCACCTACTTGTGCTTAGTATCACTTGTCAGAGCTGATGTTTCCAATACATCTCTACTCTCAGACCACCTCTATACCTTGAAGGAACAAGCAGACAAGGGTAGCCATGCATCGTCTCTGCTGGCCGATGTCGTTACCAACACACCTCTCCTGGCAAAGCTACGGCTTTCTATAAGTGCAAAGTCGCCGGACCGACTTTCAAAGCTCTTGGACACTCTCGAGACATATCGATCTCCTAGTATAACTCGCCGCAGGAAGCACAGTCGTCAGAAGCCAGGCGCGGGTAAGGGCAAGGGGAAACAGAACCCAGCCAGTGATCCCGTCAACGTACATCGCATGAGTCTTGTTACGCAAATACAGGATCTCTTTCCAGATCTCGGTGCCGGATTCGTACTAAAACTGCTCGATGAGTATGGCGGTGATGTCGAGCAAGTCACCGCCCATCTCTTGGACGACTCACTCCCACCACACCTCGCTTCGCTTGATCGAGGGGAGGAAGCCATGGTCTATGACACAGACAAGCAAACACAAATCGACCATCTCGAGCCGAGATCTACGCCTCCTCGCCAAGACTCGTTCATACCAGAACGACGAAATGTATTTGACGATGACGAGCTCGACCGTCTAGAATTCGAATCCAGTCGCCTGCATATTGGGAAACAGAACCGACAGGTATCAAGCGGAGACCAGCCCAACAAAGCAGCAATCATGTCCGCTCTAGCAGCTTTTGATTCAGACGATGACGAGCGAGATGACACTTACGACGTGGAAGACGTGGGCGGCACTGTTGACACGGCACATCCGGACGGCGAGCCCGCTCCATCGACGAAGATGACTCGCGAAGAGAACGATGTGGTACTCTTCAACGCATACAAATCCTCACCCGAGCTGTTTGGCAGGACTTTCAACATTCGACGTGGCCAGCCACGTATGGCCCTGAAAGCCGAGACGGGTATGACGGACGAGGCTATCGAGGGCTGGGCTATCATGCTACAGCGTGAACCGAATAGGTTGAAGCGGCTGGAAGCACAGACTGGGACATTTGATGGAAGGCAGACGGAATTGGCTAGTACTTCTTACCGGGAGAGCCCTGGTGGTACAGACGAGGACTCGGACGCGCCACAGAATGGCCGTGGAGGCTTCCGGGGACGAGGGAGGGGGAGAGGCGGTGTAGGGCGTGGAAGAGGGAGAGGTGGAAGTGTTGCTGGGCCTTCTGATGACCCCAACACTGCTAATGCTCAGAGGCGGAAGGAGGCGAGCAAAGGAAGCAGGGCGAATCACAACCGGAGAGATCAGAGAGCGAAGAAGATGGCGAGAGGTGGCTTTCCTGGCTAAAGAGAGGCCACGGCTGGGAAGCGATTCTGGCGCACTCCTTGCTCTGGCGAAGTGCCATTTCTGTGGCGCACGCTGCACGAAACGGTACATACGAACAATCCGTACGATCTCTCACACTTGAAATTTGAAGGAGAGGCCTTCAAAGTATTGAATGGCGGTCCAAGATCAAATGTCGGATTTAGGTCGTGCTTGCGAGAGTATTGGCTGGCTGCTCAGCTCTCAGGAGAACACGTCCACTCCAACGCAGCCTCAACAACCATAGGTCCATCAGCGCCACAACTCAATCGCCCTCGCCAAAATCACCATGCCCAGTAGATTTTGCATGCTGCACTGCCCACTGCTGCCCATTCCCCGACTGCCCACATTGATTACACTTCAAAGCGAATCCATGTGTATCGGTGAAGTAATGCCTCTTCTGCAGCCCTCTGCATAGTTCCACGGCAGCATCGATTGCTCCTCCATCGATCTCCTCTCCGTCCACGCTCATCACCTCGAATACCTTTCGATCAAACTCCGGCCCCGCGCCGCTGAAAGGTGTGACTGCGCACACATCGTAGTGGATTCCTGAGTACACCAAGATGCAACGTGTGGGCTTTCCCTCGTTGAATTTGTCGACTCGACAATCTTGAACGTTGATAGAGCAGATCTCAATGTCGAAGTGCTGTGACAGAATGGAAAGTTCGATACCGCCGCCCCAACTATCCTCAMGTTGGATCCATCGACAGTAGTCTGCAGGTTTCTTCTCGAGCATGCCTTCGGTGTAGAGATCTGGCTGTGATTGAATTGTTTGGGCGACCACGGAACGCAATTCTGTCATGCCATCAAGAGCGGAACCGAGTACTGCGTTGGATAGCGCGCGAAACATGCAGGAGTTATCGTCAGGCATCACGCGTAGGACCATGATCCCGTCAAGAAGAGGCACCGGAACTTCGGGAGGGTCTTCGTCCACATTTGCTCGCTTCTTGGTTGTGAGGTTTAGAGGCCGGTCTGGATATTCTTGTGATGTTGAAGTTGCGGATGGAAGCTTATTGCTTGCCGGGGATACTGAGGGAGCTTGTGGAGCAGCTTTAGGTGTCACGATGAGTTGCTCGCCGTTCAGTTTCTGGGGGAGTTCTGATAGTTTCGTGTGCGGATTGGCGGGCTCTRTGAAAGGTTGAGGTGGATAGCCATGTTTTAGGTCAAAGTCTTGGACTCCAGACTTTTCGGATATTTGACGACGCAGATCACTCCATGTTTCGTTCGAATCGATGCTGAGAGTTGCAACTCCTTGTGGGCCTCTGACTCGAAGGCGAATAGATCCAGCCATGCTGATGAGGAGTGAGTGAGGCGAGTGAAGTAGATATGTATAATCGAGATAAGTTTTGATCAGAATAGAAGTCACAAGAGAATTTGGTCAGCTGATGGAAGAGTGGTGATGTTCGTCGTTCGTAGCAATGTTCAAGGTCTCGTGAGTGAATAGAGAAACGGTGATGTGGTCTCGAGGGAGGCAAGTATGGCATGTCGATCTTCCGTGATCTCCCGAAATTCAGCCACAAGCAAGGGAAGGCGCAAGCGTCGCATCGCGTCTTCCACTCGTCTGCACTGTCGCAACAGCACACCTCCACATTGATTGATCACAAACACCGCGGCCATGCCTCCCGGACGTCCTGTGAAGCATCGCAGCCCGAGCTCGACGCCCATTCCATCCACTGAAGCCGCKTCTGACGGCTTACAAATACCGGCAGCACAATGGGCGRCCATGTCCAAGATGCTGAATGCCATCTACGATTACCGCACCGAGGAAGGATTGGACCCGAGCAAGCTCTTCCACCGCAAGATTAACAAGCGTGTAATGCCAGAGTACTACGATACGATCAAGGAGCCCATGGCGATGTCGGCCATCAAATCCAAGATTAATCAAAAGGCCTACGCACACTTCTCCGACTTTGTGCGCGACTGGGCCCTGATCATATACAATGCCCAAGTGTACAACGTGCCAGACAGTGGCGCCTTCCAGGACTCGCTTATAATCAAAGAGCTGGTCGAGAAGCATCTTCAGACGTTCGTCAAGGATGGTTTAATCACCCAGGAAGTCGCGACGCTACCGCACATCGGTGAGATTCCCACATATGAGCCGCCTGCCAAAGTTGAGGAGCCCGAGGCAGAAATAGAGGAGGAGGATGAGTCGGACGATGAAGGCGAGGAGGACGCAGACGAGGATGACGATGCAGACGAGGACGATGATGGCCGGAAGAAGAAGCGACGCGGGCCACGGGCTTCCACATCCATCGCCAAGCGTGAGGTGGAACATGAGGCGGACGGGAAGCGTCACAGAGGGCGGCCTCCAAAGCTGCTTACCCCTATGGAAGCCCGCATGCAGGCCATTTTGAAGGGTATTCGCAAGCCAAGGAACAAGGCACAGCTCATGATCAAATCCTTTGACCGCCTTCCGGACAAGGCAGCGATGCCAGATTACTATGTTGAGATCAAGCAGCCCATGGCCTATGATCAACTCAAGCGCAAGGTAAAGCGTAAGAAGTATAAAACGTTAGAGGAGTTCATGGCGGATGTGAACCTCATCTTCGACAACGCCAAATCCTACAATCAGGACGAGTCTCAAATCTATCAAGATGCGGTACATTTACAAAAGGAGGCCGCGAAGCTTTACGAAGAAGAAAAGGTCAAGCCCGACGAGTCGTTTGCGGACGATGAAGGCAAGATGCCCCTACCGAATGGCATCCTTCACAATGGCGAGCTTTACAAAGTCGGCGACTGGGTGCATGTGCAAAACCCCAATGATTTGACCAAGCCGATTCCCGCGCAGATATACCGGACCTACAAGGATCCGGCTGGCCAGAGCATGGTCAACGTCTGCTGGTACTACCGTCCCGAGCAGACCATCCATCGCTTCGATAAACACTTTCTACACAATGAAGTCGTCAAGACTGGCCGATACAGGGACCACAGAATCGATGAGATTGAAGGCAAGTGCTTCATCATGTTCTACACGCGATACTTCAAGGGTCGACCCCGCCATATTGCCCAAGGTACTGAGGTATATGTTTGTCAATCACGATACAACGAAACATTGCATCAGTTCAACACCATAAAAACTTGGGCAAGCTGTCTGCCCGATGAGGTGCGCGACAAAGACTACGAAATGGATCTCTTCGAGCAGTCCCGGAAGATGAAGAAATTCATCACGCCGCTTGCGTATCTGTTGAAGGACGACCAAAAGGAGACTGACGAGCTTCCCAAGCCCGAATGGGGAGCAGATCGGGCACCGCCGAAGATYGGAGCGGTTCACAGACGGCCTCGCGGTGAGAAGGATTCACCGCCCCCGGAACCTACACCTCCGCCGCCACCGAAACTGCCTACTCCGCCACCTCGACAAATGGCTCCAACGCCAAGCTATACGCCTGTCGCGCATCAGCAGCAGCAAATTCAGCGTCAGCCTTCGCTCGGCAGCGTGCAAGGCTACACTCCTGCGCGTGCGCAGCAATATGCTGGCCTTCCGGCACCTTCACCGGCACCTCAAAGACCACTATCGCAGAGCACTTATCCGGCAACACCACAGCACGCCCAACCGATACCGCCGAGACCGACACCATCTCAGCAGCCAGCCTTCCCGCCAAGTCACAGTATGGGAGCTGCCCCTGCACACTATGCTCCACGGCCGCACGTGAACTATAGGGATCCACCGACACCCGAGGTGTACACACTGCCTGACGCAGCCAATCTCTCCATTCCGCCCGAGGTTCGTGAACAATATCAGCGAGACGAGTTTGGCCGCGTGCTTTTCTTCACAGCTCCGCCTGTTGGCGTAGACCAGGAAATTGCGACCCGTGGCCACAGTGTCCGTTACCTCGCGAAGAAAGCTCGCCAGCAGGAACTAGTGTCCAAGAAGCGCAAAGAGCGTGAGGATGCTGCGGCTGAGTCTGAGCGTGTTGCGAAGAAAGCTCGTGCTGCAGCTGCGGACAAAATCTCGACCAACGTCGAAAGTCTGAAGCTGAAAGCACTGGAAGCGTTGGACAAGCAGCTTGCTACATCTGTTGCTGGCGAGTTGAGCGACCAGGAACTGGCCCAACTGAGCGAGACCCAGAGATCTATGTTCGAGGCAAACAGACTGAGGGAAGAAAACGCGAAGAGCCGGTCTGCAATGAGGAGCATTCGGTTGGGAAGCACTTTCTTCACCGATGACTGGGATTCTCGTTTGGTGCAATAGAAAGCATCCGGGGGATGTGGAGCTTTGATATTTCTAATGAGTACGATGAGACCAAAGTAGAACTTGACAAGGCTTTGCTTGAATGCAGTACTTCACCGCAGCATCCCTTGGTCTTCGTTCATGATTCTCATCAAGTTCATGGCTCAAGGTATTACCTTAACGCGTTTGCGATCCCAGATCTTTTGCACACGACAATCCAGGTCTGTCTCAGACTGAATACAACGGCTTCTTTCTTCTTCAACTCTTGGGCCTCGTTTACATTGCATGTACAACCTCGCAGCTGTCGCCCTCCAATAAACAGCCGGTCCAGCGGTTTGATATACCAAGAGACTAAGCGAAGGTCCCATGCGCGATGATCGCACGCTTCCGCACGCCACCACAACCTTCCCAAGCACCTCGTGCTTGCTTGTTTCGCTTCCAAGTACAACTCTCCGATCCACGTTTACGTCTTTACGGCAGCAAAGCCTCGTCGTCTGGCCTTGTTTGCTCTCTGCTTTCTTGTTTCACCTCAGCCTCGGTCATCATCATTAGAAAGAGTTCTTGGCCAATAAATCAAAGGCATCACAAGAGACATCAATTTCCCACGTGCTCCCCAACTTCTTCCTTCCTCTTTCTCAAGATTTCACGCCTGCTTCGGTCAGAGGTTCTACCTGCCTCTTGGCTTTGGACTCACGCGCTTCAAGGGAACCGCGAAAATGTCCTTCTTAAAAGATGCTTGGGATCATGGCCGGCGCGCTGCTGTAGACGCCTTAGAAACAGTCGGCATCAATCACTCATCTCCCTGGTCGCCAGAAGTTCCTGACGAGCTGCGATCCTCCATGCCTGATCTCGTAAGTAACTCAACATGGAAGGCTTTCAGCATTCCAGGCAACGCTAACACATGCAACCACGCCCAGTTTGACCGCTTCCCTCTTGTGCTACCATGGACAAAAGCACAACCTGTGGATCCAGCACTTCACACAGTCTGGATCCTTGATAATACAGCCTTTCGCACTCCACAGCCAGACGATCGGCGCTCTGGCCTTTCCGAGCTGAAAAGCACAAAGATTACGCAGCCGTCTCGCGTTGGAGGTAAAAAGAACGAATCTCTTCGTGGCGGAAGCGGCTGGGAAGTCGAATATGTCGTCTGCTATTTTATCAAAAATAGCGGTCGGGATTTGTCGCGCGTGATTTCCCATATTGCACACGAGTTGCAGATTTCTGAAGACGACATTGCGACGAAGCAGCGCATCTCCGATCGCGTCCAGCCTTTTGTTGATACAGTACTTCCGAAGCGGACACTGAGAATCAACATTGCCGATTCGGAAGAGCAAACTTTGGGACCATCTGGCTACTCTGGCATCAGCTCGGACTTGATTCAGTTGCATTTCTATCCTACGGATATGAGACCTTTTCAAAGCTCTCCAGTCGCTGTTCCTCCGCCGTTTGGAGTATCTAGCATGTAAGAAATTTAACGTGCGATCTTGTTGGGTTCGCTCTAACCTGTGTTGTAGCACGATACCAGCCGATGAACGCGGCTGGGGAGTCATCTCGGATATCGACGACACAATCAAGATCACAATGACGCCCTCGCCGCTTGGAATCCTTCACAGCACCTTCATAGTAGAAGACCCGAATCCAGTCCCAGGAATGCCAGAACTTTACGCGCAGCTCGCGAAATTACTGCAAGCGCCTCCCTTTTTCTACCTTTCCGCGTCGCCATACAATCTCTACCCATTTCTCCGCAAGTTCAGAGAGAAGCACTTCCCTCCAGGTACCATCATTCTCCGCGATGCCTCCTGGCAGAATGTAAGATAGTAAAGGGCAGCGGATATACCGCGTAGTTCGAAGGTTTCTCTCGAATTACACCCTATCCCTGTCCACATCGAAAGTGTCTTAGACATCGCTAACCCTTCTACTCAGCTTGGCGGCTTGATCGCTTCGCTCACCAGAGGCACTGAGAATTACAAAGTCGATCGGATTGTCAAGATTCACTCTTGGTTCCCACACCGGAGGATGATCTGTATTGGAGATAGTACGCAAACCGATCCGGAGAGCTACGGCGAAGTTGCAAGGAAGTTCCCTGGATGGATTCGTGCAATTTTCATTCGGAAAGTCACGGGCATTGCGGAGATGAATGAAGAGCAGAAGAACTCGAATGAGCGATTTGAAAACGCTTTCAAGGGGTTGGATCGAGGGCTGTGGCATGTCTTTACTGAGCCTAGAGAGATCTCTGAAAGGGWGCAGGAGTTGGAGAGGAGCGGTGCTGGTGTGGCATGAGAGTTTTCCGGTCAATTCTTCTTATTTTCCATATGCAGTGCGCTTCCAATCAATGTAACGCTTCCTTCGACTAGCTTTGTATATTGACCACACGATCATTTTTGCCTCGTGAGCTGCCGGCACCTTCTCAAACACAATTCGACGATCCCGCTTTGCCAGAGAAATCACTGCCACGAATATGCATGCTATCGCAGCTTGTTTCCCAGTGCGGGATAAGGTTGAATACATTTTGGCAATCTGCCTTCACTTCAGTTCGACGAACCGCTTTAGGAAGCATTGATTCTTGCTAGCGTAGACTTGGCGCTTACAGGATTGTCAGAGCAGATAACGATACCGGACCAAGACCCCTGATCTCGAAAGCGTAGAATCACCTACGCAGTCTCTATCTTCCCCAGAAGCCAGCCAAGACCCTCAAAAGTATCAATGACAGCCAACTTTCCACATTTCAGCATTGGGAAGAAAGCAAAGTGCGCATGTGGCAAGCCGGGCCTATGAAGAATCAGCGACATTCCCCTATAACACGACAGGAGTTGCTTATACCAAACCGTCAACTTGGTCTTCACTCCATGATTTCGAAGCACTTGCTCGTGGATCAAACCGTCGTCACGCAAAGGATCGAGGCCATCAACTTGAAGATATGTAGGCGGCAAACCTTTGTGAGGATTTTGACCATTATAAGGAGAGAACCACTCCGAGTCCGTATCCGGCGCCAGGTGATCCCAGATGGCATCCAAAGCATTGCCATCCAAGACAGGGGCATCTTTATTCTGCTCCCGCGAAAACCATTGATCTCTATATTTTTCCGGAACATTCTCCTTGAATGAGAATAGAAGCGGGACTGAGAGCCAGAGACCCGTCATAGGAGGTGAGATTCCTTCGTCCAAGTACTTTTGTGCAATGACGGCCGTGATGTTCGCGCCAGCGGATACACCTCCCACAATGAAACCTTTGCTGGGGTCTGCGCCGAGAGAGGAAGCGTTGGCTGCGATCCATTGTACGGAATCCCATGCATCGTTCACGCCGGTGGGGAATTTATGTTCTGGCGCAAGACGATAGGAGATATTGACTACGGTGGCGCCGAAGACTTTGGTTAGCTGACGGGCGACGGCGGTCATTTGCCCATTACTGCCGACCACGAATCCACCTCCGAAGATGAGGATGACGAGAGGACTACCGGATGATGGAGGGTTCGTGGGCTTGAAGATTTTCAGCTCACTGTCGAAGCCATCTCGCATGGCGATCTTGGAGAAGCTCTCCTGGACTTCTGGAGGTGGTGGACCTAGAGCTTTGATGTTTTGCTGTTCCGTCTCATGTCTGGTTTTCTTGTGTGCTTCAAAATCCCTCCAGTCTGGTCGTGGGAGTGGAGTTGCTTTGAGGAACTGCAGCACAAGATGATGAGTACTCGTATGTTTGGACTTGGTGGTTCGGACCATACGGCTGCAAACTCCTCATTGGGCTCACTAAGCTTCTTAATGGATTCTATCGTCGACATGGTGGAGACCGAATCTTCGTGCGTCTCGATGAAAGCTTATGTCTGGGATGGAGCTCGCGGTGTTATGGTCGAAGTCTTAAAGGGGAATTGAGCTGGGCGTCTCTGCCTGACATCGAGCCTCGGCTACCGTCCCGAAATATTTGCTGATTCGTCTCATCTGGAGCTACTAAAGAGCAGACTTTACTTCGTACAGTGTGAGCGTCGCCAACATCGGATTGGGTCCACAAGTACGGCCGGTCGGTCGAGACGCGCCTACGAGGCTGTTCAATGACATATGTGCCACGTGCTGTCAAACTCAATCCCGACGGCACTCCGGGCATTGCGTCAAGCTCCAGAATGCTGCATATGCTGCAAAGTCAGAAGACATCAATCATCTTCCATAATGAATCACTCACAGTCCGCGGCTTCGTCATTGAATTCACAACAACCATCAACTAGAATGTATTGTGGCGTTCAGATCGATCAGAACCGCCCAGAGCACGTATGAGATATGATCATTGATCGTTGAAGGACAATAATGGAATGTCGGAACATCTCGATCATTACATGGCATCTTCTACTTTCTAGTTGCCAGTCCACCAGACATAATCGTTAGTTTCCTCAGCCGAGTCCCACACAAGCTCCGAGCTGGTGTTCTCCGGTCTCCCCGGCCACACCTTCGCAGTGCCAATCCAAGCCTCCACGCCCTTGAATGCCGCCTCGGAACCCTCAGCTACATATACACCWAAGCCAGTACTGCATTCCTTGGATGGGTACACTCTTGCACTCAACGCGAAACGGTCGTTGATATAGATCTCCGCGATGGAGCCATCGATAAAGACGTTGAACACGATGTCTTCTTGTGTGCCGTTGACGGTGTAGGGATAGAAGTATCCAGTAATGGTCTGGTTGTTGAACTCGGCGATGTTGCTGCTGTGGAGTCTGTCAACCAGGATGGTGTGGTTGGAGGGCTCGTAGATGATATTGGTGTATTCTTCTCCGTCTGGAGAAGCGTTGATGACGAGTCCGGCGGCACCTGTGGCGGAGGAAAGGGTCGCTTTGAGTTCCATGTRCGCTGAAGCTTGCTTGTGGATTATCGTCGTCGAATCGAACGTTGCTGGGTCCCAGGACATCTTCTTAGAACCAACACGGATACCATCAACGACATCCTCAAGTGGACGGACACCCATTGTGCGAGCTGAGTAAGTGCCATCATCTTGTTGTTCCAAAACAGCAGTCTTCGCCGTCTCGATTTCCTCACTGGCGGTAACGTTTGCAACTTCGTGCACGAAGAGCTCTCTAGGGAGCGAAATAGCGCCCTGGAAGCCCTGCTGTGGGAAGCTGAAGAGTCCAGCGTCACCAACGACATCCTCCCTGACCCATGCGTACTGAACTCTGCGGTTGTGCTTGGTATCATTGAAGCTGGTCAATGCGTACCCACTGCCCCAGYCCGSGACGCCGCCAACTTCAGGTGTGAACTCGGCGCTACCATTTGCTCGACGTGTGACAGAACCTCCATTCCATAGTGACCATTGAAGAGACTGGTGAAACGAGACGTTGCCGCCCTCAGAGCCCATGTTGACATACCAATGAGGCTTTCCCTTGGTATCGTAGAGCGGAAACCAGCCCGATACTTCAAAGTTGAAACCATACGATCCCGTGGACAGAACGGGGCCGACGGAGGTGTTCCCGACTGGTTCCCAAAGGGCGCCCAAGAAAGTCCAGTTGGTGAGATCGGTGGCCGGCGCTGTCCAGAGAGGCATTCGCGGACCAACTCCTTTAATACCAGATCCAAAGACGGCATAGTAGTGAGGTTCGCTGACTTCCAGGATAGCATCAAGTTCTGGCGATGCCTCCAGGAATGGATCGCGGAAACCAGTGATGTTCCAGCTCATTGGTGCATCATTCGCGCTGGTGGAGATCACCGGGTTGTTCTCGTATTCCTCCCAGGTCTCACCACCGTCTTTACTGAGGGCCAGACTCTGTGTCTCGGTGTCTTGGAGGTATGGTAAAGCCCAGTTGGWGGGCAGTTTCGATACCGAAGTATAGAAAATCATGAGTGTGCCGTCCTGCTCGCCGTTGATGTTGATAGGCTGCGCAGTTCCGGAGAATACACCCAGGCCTTTGTAGCTTCCGTTACCATTCGGCGATAGAATCAAAGCGTCGTTGCCCCTCCAGCTGCCATGGTCTGTCCAGGTGATCAAATCTTTACTTGTGGCCGATCCCCAGCTGATGTTACCCCAATTGAAGTGGTTTGGATGCCATTGGTAGGACATGTGGTATTCATCGCGGATAGGATCATACATTGCACCACACGGATCGTTCATCCATCCTGCAGGAGCGATATAACGACTGTGAGGTCGCCAGCGTGTGAACAATGTGTTGTTACCGAGAGATCTGACCTCGTCTGCAGTGAGAGAAGCACAGCTCGGCTTCTTCTCGCAATAAGTAGGTGGCAGAGCATGTGTAGCGGGTAGAGTGGCAAGAAATGCCGCTGCTATTGAAAGTGAAATCATCTTGCTCTATCGAGTGGTCTTGAGGAAGAGCCGAGTTGCTGGGGCAGTGCATAGCTTTTATACTTGAACAAACCGTCAGACCAGCCTTGGGGACTTGGGACCCGCGTAGAACGCTCCCAGCTAGTCATTCGCCAATGCGATGGCCGAGCTTTGAATCCCAGCATGGCCACGCGAAGCGATGAAGCGTGAACCACAGATAGGTCATGCGGTTTCGGCGTTCGACGGCAAACATCATAAGTCAGACCGTAAGCGAAAACGATCCACTCTCTCCACTGGGGAAAAGCGGGATGGCCCCATTTTGGACGGGTCGCAGCCAATCACAGCTCAGTATCGCTTGGCCACAGTCTGGGCCTCAGACTACCAAACGGGCTGTGTCCAAAAGACTTGTTAGGCGGCGGCTTCACATCGGTGGGYAATTGCATGGAAAGCGCCCAGGGGGCAACTCGCTTGGCCCTACGATGCGGTGAAAGTTTCTGGGGTAACTCACTCACTCGCATTGATTCGGGCCTATCCAATGCTAAGCATTGCTCTGTGGCTGAAGGATTCATCAAGGCRGGCATTGTCCTAGTGGCGAAGTGCATTCCATGACTGAATCTGACTTGAATATCTCTGATCTGGACTCCAGATCAGCACGACGAGAACCACAATCGCGGCGCGTGGGAAGATTGCACGAAAGGTGAGACTCCTCTCTATTTCATCATACATTTGACCGTCACTTCGTTTCTGATGGCCCGCTGACTATGCGGGCTGTTGTTGGGCCTTATTTTGCCACAAGCCGGCGATTGTCTGCTGCGTTCGCCGTTGCTGCTCCTCGATTTGTTCCTGCGTCTGTCCTTTTGCATTACCTCGCGGGTCCATGGAGTCAGCGGCGCGCACAGTTGAGTTTGAGCCAGAAGCGTCATCCATATCGACATCCTCATCCTTTGGTTTGACCCGCTCGGGGTTCAGTGAAGACGCGCCATCCATCATGCCCATACCTCCCGCTCGGAGCTGATTTATAGCTCGAACAGTGTCGATGGCTTTGTGGAGAGTGCGCCGTGCATTGAAGTTCTTCTTGACGGTGGGCAACAGATCTTCTCCGCCACGATCACTCTCGGGTCCTGCTATCCATTGGTGTGTGAGGGCCTCATGTGCCGTCATGCGCTGGGTGGGATCAATGGTCAGGCAGCGTTTAATAAACTGCCGAGCCGTGACACTGACTCCACGCCAGTACTCCAACGGGGTGAAACTGTAGTCTGCGACCAAGATGGCCTGCATCTCCTCCAAATTACTATCTCGGTCGAAAGGGGTATATCCGCAAAGTAAGAAATATGTTATCACGCCAATCGCCCACACATCCACGGGCTTGCCGTGTCCGCTTTTCTTGAAAATCTCGGGAGCCATGTAGCCGGKGGTACCGCAGGTGGTGGTCAAAACGTGGAATTGCTCCTCGTCCATGWTTCGGGACAGGCCAAAGTCGGCGATGAGCAGATCGGCATTGTCTTCGGGGGTTCGGAAGAGTAGATTTTCGGGTTTGAGATCACGGTGGACGATACCGTGGTCGTGAAGGTATGCAACGGCGGAAAGCGTTGCACGTATAAGGTCAGCCGCGTCGGATTCGTAGTACGAGCCTTTTCGGCAAATACGATCGAAGAGCTCGCCGCCAAGTGCCAGGTCCGTCACCAAGTAGACTTGAGGAAGGGTCAGCAACGTGTGTTTGGTATACCCAAGCAGGCCGTCTCACGATTATTCATGGTTTCAAAGTAATCGACCAGCGTCAGAATGTTTTGGTGGCCCATCGACACGCGCTTCAGCACGGCGATTTCATTGCGCACCATGTGTTCGCGGCCCGCCATGAGGCGCTTGTTGATGACTTTGGCGGCATAGTAGCGACCCGTGTCGATGTGTACGCATTCCTTGACGACGCTGTAGGAGCCCGCTCCTAGAGTCTTGCCCGTCTTGTAGCGACAAGGCTGCACCTGAGCTTGCGGCGCGGCCATGCTGTGTTCGGTGGGTGGAATTGCGGCCGTTGAATCGCCTGGATTTCGTAGATTGACGGGGAATGGAAACGAGTGGCAGGGGGTGTCGTTCAGAGTGGTGCGCTGGTGTTGTGCCGCTAAAAAAGAGCGATGTGCAGAACTTCTGTTCGTCTCGTCGGTCTGGTCCTCGGGCTGACATGTGCTGGCGCTTGCGCGGCGGGGCTGGCGATCTCTTTGGGATTCTATCGAATGGTTTGACAAGCTTCCTTGTTCTGATCCCTCCTTATCTTGACGATAGTGTTCATCGACGTGTGAGCCTAACTTACCTTACAGGATCCGACTATGCACTTGAGGTCATCAAGGCGGCGGACTGCCTCGTTCTTTCCTCGGATCCTCGCACCGTCATCGTGCCCGAGACTTTCTTGCCCAATCTGGTCACTCCCAGTTCGGTGATTTCCAATGGGACTTCCACGTCAACGATTCCGCATCTCCGCGATGTTAACCGCCCACGTGTTTAACCGCCCTTCACCTGCATATGCAGATGTTTCTGCATGGAGGCTATACCACACCTATTCCTAGAGCGCTTACGATGCATTCATGGTCGAGTCGATGCATGAATCGTCTTCGTCAGATGCTGATCTCCTACGCTGCCTCTCCATCATACATGGTCTCCTATTCTCATTACTTTTTAGTCTTCCAGGGCGACATTGCGAACGTGTTCTACCTGTTTCAATCTGCACACTAAATGAGACATGGTGTTCCGATCGCCACACCTACACGTGATTGAGTCAATTCACTCCAAATGCTTCACTCACACCAATAAGAAACTTMCACTTATTCCTCATCTTCCATGCTTGCTTGTCTGTTTTGCGATGCTGTATGCTGCTTGATCACAAGAAAGCTCTCCGAGAGCATTATTTTTTCTTGGAAAGAAAGAGAATGGGCAATTGGGCAAGATTCCGTTCACTCGATGTAGTAACTAGCTTTTTACACTATGAGTCGAACTCTCATACCGAACATTGTTGAGGCGAAGTTATTGACAATTCGGCTGGATGAGATCGATTCGTTTACGATGCTTCGCTCGCAATCATTAAATAATTCATCATATCTTGTATACATTTGGTAGATTGGGTACCAGGGGCTGACGCGATCTCCCAAATATCTTCTCACATTCGTTCTGCTAACAGAGTGTTCCTCTGTTTCGAACTATTGATTACATTCTTAAACCAATGGCTTCTTCGTAAGCTGGAACAGAACGTTCAACATAGAGCTGGTAGCAGCGAGGTGGCCCAGTGATCGAGGAGCATCTACGTTCATGACGTATGCTGGGAAGAATCTAGTGGAGCAAGATTAGCGATTGCTAGCTACGTAGGTATGCGCATTGAGATCAAACTTACACAAGGACCTTGGCGATAACGTGCAGACCAAGCAAGTTGATGATGTGCTGATCACCAGGAGCGATAGCCTGGGCAAGAGCGGCTGCGATGGCCCAGCCTGGGAAGTGCTCAATCAGCTGGTGATGAGCACTGTAAAGACGAAGAGGCAATCCAGTCAGGTTGTTGATATTCGCACGTGGGTGCTTGTTGTCATATGGCTGTGGGTTTCCAGCTGCCTGACCTGCGACAGATGTAGCTCCAGAGATGGCAAATGTCACGGATGCGTAGAGAGCCGCCAGAGCAGCAATTTTACCGCCTTGTGCAACGGAGCTTGATGCACCAGCAGATGCGAAGAGTCCGACACCACCAATAAGACCGTTGATGACCTTCTCGAGAAGACCACCTGGCTGGGTAATCCAGCTTGTCACCGGGATCGCGGCGAGGAAAACAGGACCAGCTGCTGCCATGGCGAAGCCCTTGGAGTTGTATCTGATATGGTCAGCATGATGCTCTCTCAATCACCAGTGAGGTTCTACATACACTCCATCGTTTGCCAATGCTCTATCCGCTGAGGCTTTTGCGTCCTTCGCAACGTCCTGTGCGTCCCTGGCGACATTCTTCGCGGTGCCCTTTGCGTCGCTGGCGACGTCCCTCGCAGTGTCCTGTGCGTCTCTTGCAGCACCCTTTGCGTCCCGGGCAACGTTGTTCACAGCACCCTTTGCATCCCGGGCAACGCTGTTCGCGGTGTCCTGCGCATCTCTCGCAACGTCTCTCGCAGCATTCTTCGCCTGCTCGGCGTTTCTTGAGAAGTCTCTGTCGGCCATGTTGTGTGTTTTAGATGTGTGATTTTCGGAAGTATGTAGAAAATCGAGTTGTCCGAGGGAGTTGTGTTCTTTCGAAGTTTTATGAAAGGAATCCGAATAAGCCACCTACCTATGACGGGAACTCATCATCATAACTACACATTCCTCGGTTCCCACCTCCTACGTGGTGAGATCAAGTTCCCCGCTCGTCACGCGAACTCAAATATGTCACGGGGAAGAGGACTGGGTGGGAGTGAAAGTTGAGCTCAGAACCTGGAAGCTTGTTCGGCAACGTCAATGACGCAGTTGCGTGGAAGATTGCCAGGACAATCAGGGTTAGGGTTGGTGTAACTATTCTCGATCGACCTTTTGCTAACATTGCATCGAGAGACACATTCGATGCATTCTATTTTATTGGTAACAAATCAGAAGCAATGCTTGCTTGTCTACGGTACTTTCAATGGGTGGAWCTTGACGTGACGCACGTTCCAATGTAGCATATAATATCCAAAGGAAAGTGAATCACAGGCGTCGAATATGTCTGATTGCAACACACAACAAGGGCCAGACTCGTCAATTCATGAGAACCGCTTGCCGTCGTTGCTAGAGGCAAACTACCTTATCCCGAAGAAAACATGCTGATTGTTCCATGGTCCTCACAAGCCCATGCTCGATCTGTTGCTCGTCCCTGCAAATCTCAACTTCCCTCATAGTTAGCTGCACCTTTCGCCTGTCCCAAATCGTACACAATCCAGAGCTGATGCGGCAGCTTTCAATTGACCACCACCATCTCATACAGATCCCTCCAACCCGGCTCTTCAAACACGACAAGTTTAAGAGCCACCCCTTAGGCTCCTTCATCGGAATCGACCAAACTGCTGCTTGACTCCTCAATGCGATCATACAGACGCCCTGTCAGATATACGCGGAATGCCATAATTTCGGTGTGTAACAGCATATCCAGGTTGATATAGCGATTTTGCATGTGAAGAAAGTGATCGACAGGTCACAGCTCAATCGGTCCAAAGTGTGGGGAAGTGAAGCTAGTCTATAATTACCCGGCCTTGCGCGAACGTGAGCGCATCTCAAGACACAGGCCAGCGTGAAACAAGAGGAGTGTGAGAGGTATTCATTGTTGGCGGTTTGCAGGCAGACTGGCCATGGTAATCACACCACACCACACCGCGGTTCCAGATCCGCGATAGCAAGCATGGCATCGACGACGAACGCAACGTCGACCCCCACGCACGATGCGCCGAAACCCATCAAGAAGGCCAACAGCAAGCCCACCCCAGCGCCGGTACAGACCGTATTCGGCTGTACCCATATCAAGAATCTGTTGAGCAATGCGCGCCCGCAAGCTACCGAAGGTTACACCAAGATCATCGGCACACTACAAAAGGAGGGAAGCCTGGCCGACCGGATATACAAGAGCGCTGGAGGCCCGGCGGCTTGCAACCATGTCACATATCTCTGTCTGCAGTGTCCCAACGTGTCTGCATCACGGGACAAGCACAATCCGAATCACAAGTTCTGTAGGTAGTACCTGTAGGGAGTTGTAGCGGCAAGTGCTGATTGATCCCTTAGCTGTCGAATCCACAAACGGGTTCCTCTATTGTACAGACTGCAAGGACTTTGTCTACGACCCGACGTTCGAGGAGATCAGGGCCCCCAACCTCAAGAAGCGCAAATACTCGGCGCCGGTCGCGGAAGGAGACAAGAAGCTGGTGGCCAACAACGCGGCAGCGACGCCATGCTCCGCCACGGGATTGCGAGGGCTATATAATATGGGCCAAACATGCTTTATGTCTGTCATTGTGCAGTCGCTCATACACAACCCGCTGATTCGGACCTTCTACCTCGCCGAAGGACACCGGTCTACGRAGTGTGAGCGCGATGCCTGCACGTCTTGTGCTCTGGACGACATGTTTACAGATTTTTACTCACAAGACAAACACGAGGGCTACGGCGCAGTACACATGCTGCAGGGTTGCTGGAAAGGCGGTGGGGGCCTGGCAGGTTATAGTCAGCAGGACGCCCACGAATTCTTCGGCTTCATACTCAACAGCTTGCACGAAGCAAATACGGAGGAGGAAGAGAAGCCGGCGAAACCCAACGACGCAAAAGACTGCGAATGTATAGTCCACCAGGTATTTGGTGGCTTACTGCGAAGTACAGTCACCTGCAGTACGTGCAAGAACACGACCACTGCCCTGGATCCGGTCATGGACCTCAGCCTGGACGTGAAGAATGCCGGCTTCAGCATTAAGAAGAAGAAGCTCGCTATGATCAACGGCACGCAGACTGTGAAAGAAGCCCTACCGATGGACCTTTCGGAATGTCTCGAACGTTTCACCACCGCCGAGACACTATCCACCGATAGCTACTTCTGTCGAAAGTGCAGTGAGAGCCGAGAGGCAAAGAAGAAACTTACCCTTGCGCGGTTGCCACCAGTCCTACCCATCCACCTCAAACGCTTCTCTCATACTAAGAGTAATTCCCAAAGCAACAAGGTCGACACCAAGGTCCGCTTCCCTTTCACCCTCGATCTCACGCCATACATGTCCTCAGCAGCAGCACCAGCGCAAGTAAAAGCCAAATCACAACCACCAGTGGAAGAAGACCCCGATACTATCGATGTCAAGACCCGCGGCAGCAATGGTATCAGTAAAGACGCATCGCCAATTGAGCCCATCTACGAGCTCTCTTCCGTGGTCGTGCACAAAGGCAAGATCGATAATGGACATTATGTCTCCTATGCAAGACAGGGAGAAGAGTGGTTTCGCTTCGACGACAGTATGGTGGTGCAGGTTGATGAGAAGGAAGTCCTGAACGCGGAGGCTTACATGCTGTTCTATGTGGTGAGGGAGTTTTAGATGTCATAGCAGCGAGGCCGTGCGTGGGACACAGGACGCTGGGCACTTGCTTGCTGTTTTAGATGAAGAGGATGCATGACTCGGCGTTTTGTAGCTGTATCTTACAAGGCGGTGATATTCAATGCTGACATACAATTTGCATGACTATATGTGCTACAATTCCCTCAACTCGTATGCCATAGAAAGTGAACGAAAGTCAAGTGATGCCCAAAATCGTGCAGGCCTACGTTGCGCGTCATGTGTTCGTCAAGTATTCGTTTCGTCGTATGTTCGTCAAGTCTTTCTCGTCATCGCTCGCTCCACAGCCTCCGCATCCTTTCTGCGAGCCTCTCTCTCCACATCCTGACCATTCCAGCCCTCTTTCTCAGTCCGACTTCGAGACCAGATAACCCTTGCGGTCTGCGCGAGGCCAGCACCACAGGACAACGAATATCCTAGATATGCTTGTCGATCTTTTGCCTTCTCAGGACTATGCGTGTGAGAGTGATCCAGAGAGATGGTCTTTAACCCAATCAAAGTCTTWTTCGCTTCCTGAACCATTCCGACCGTCCAATAGCTCAGCTGCACACTGCTTATGGCCGCGACTTGCTGCGGGGCAAGATAATCTGCAAACTTTCTAACAACGTCCAGGTCGCTGAAGCTGAAGGTAGTGCTGCTGTATGGGAATAGGGAAGCCTCGAGATATACCTGCCGACAAACTAGCAAGAGGCTCAGGTCCATATTCGTTCCGGGATGGAGTTTCCTCAAGCCTCCACTTGCAGGTAAACCGGATTCGTTCACCATGTTGGTAAAGTGCTTGCATTTACGACCCACCCTCCTGTATGCACGACATTCCTTGTCGCATTGGGGGTTGGGTACAGAGTGGAGATAGTCATTGTCCTCGAAGTCGCTTAGGAGGTCGAGACAGCGCTTATGGCGAGTATAGTATGACCGCAGAATCAGGTCAGCTCGCTCATGGGACAGCTGTCGGGCTTCGACTTCGACAGCGGGTAGCTGGCTTAACTCGTAGGCTTCATCTTCGATGGAGGGATCGGAACATAGCGTATGGCAGACCTTGACATATGCGGCCTTGTTGATGCCTTCTAAACGCCGAAGAAAGGCATTATGATCGATTCGACCGGTGATGTGAACGACTCTACTCGGGAAGAGAAGTTCATATATGATGAGTCTGATCTCCTTGGGTAGACGAAGGAATGGGCTCTGTATTTCAGTCTCCATGGTTGACGGGAGAGAATAATATTGTGCTGGTCAGGGCGTCATGGAGACATTAAAGTGAAKGGAGGGGGGGAAAGTGACCGAACTCGGAGTAGAACAGAGCGGGGCTGAAGGTTTGATTGCTGGGCGGCTTCCATTCTTGACGGAGTGCTGTTCCCTTCATCACCATGCCAACCATTGAGATGCTCCGTATGCAGAGCAAGATAGACATGAGCCTGGTTGTGTGTGTGAAGAAGTTGGGCGAGCCCAGATGGGAGCGGAGTCCACGGAATCCACGGACTGCGCATCCTTGATCTGACTCCACCTCTTCAAACCCGCTAGAATACGGCGGAGGATCGCACTCCAGGTTTTCAAGCGCGATTAATGACTCCAAGGTCGTTACCTTCTGCTTCCTTTATAGACCCGAAAATACTCTCACCGGTAGGAGAATCAAGCATGACTCTAAAGTTTCTCCCCCTTCCAAGTTCCGAACTCGCCATATATCGCCATGTAGCCATGGCAGCCTTTCGTCCGGGAATCATGTCTATTGTCTTTCCCAACGGTCCAACACCACAGGATGACGAGCACGCCGTTGCCTCGCTAATMAGGGCCGACAAGAGACACCCTGGACGAACACACGTCTTCAAATGTGTGAACACGGATATCCCGGACGAAGAACCGTTTCACCAAGTAGTTGGTGTATCTTTCTGGAAGATCTTCAAACACGAGCGAAGTGAGGAAGATCTTAAGCGAGAGGAGGAGGAGGAGGAAAGGGACTTGGCTGAGTACGGTCGTCCACCTACCATGATTGTGGACGGAATAGCGGCTTTCCAAAAGACTTATTCGGGCTATCGAAAGAAGCATCTAGGCAATCGGCCGTTCATTCTACTGCATGTGCTTGCTACTCGGGCTGAATTTGCGAGGCAGGGGGTGGGAGCGATGTCGTTGCAGTGGGGAATTGAGAAGTCTGACGAGCTAGGACTGCCGATTTGGTTAGAAGGCTCGCCGCAGGGTGTGGGACTATACAAGAAGTTCGGATTCGAAGTCTTGGATACATTGCCATGGGACGCTCGGGACTATGGCTATCATGAGCCTTTGACGCATCTGTGTATGATGAGGCAGCCTGCCAAAAAGCCGGAAAGATAAATCAATCTCGAAATATTACTAAACACCAGCTCCGGATGCCGGCTTTTACGACCAGTAAGAACCCACAATTGGGTAGAGACACCAGCTCGAGCAGCATCTCCTGCTGACCCAGTCTGGAAGCCATATCAGGAGGTTGWAGTACTCCAACCCGTCATTCTACCACCTCCTAACCATGCTGGCTCTCACGACCTCCTGAAGCGTCAAGCGCTCGTCATATGCAGCCAGCGCAGTCCTTGAATCTGGGCTCAGCCTGCGATGAAGCTGATTTTCAGACTCATACAAGCTGTTCACTTCGGCAGTATTTGGTAGATTCGCATGCTGCTGCGATTGGATCTGCGATAGAGCCCTAAGCGCGTTAGCGGTCGCCAGACTTCTACTTGCGATTTCATGCCTCGTAGGTATGCGGCGCATCAAGGAATTCAGGTCTAGGTCGGGCAAAGTCAGAGAAACAGAGGAATCAATCGGGTAACAACATGATCAACCTCTTCTGTTGACTTACTGGGGTTCCTCAAGATACCGCTCTGCGACAATTTCGTCGTCGGTCACAGCTTTCATTCCCTCGTTTTCGTGCATACGCCTTAGGACCAGATCTCTGAGGAAGTCCGCATCATACTCGTGGTCTCCGATCCAGTGAGTGCCCCCATGACATGCGAAGATGTCGACGAGCAGACGTCTGCCTGGAGATCCACTCAGCGTGCCGGCATATATGCAATCGACAGCATCGGTGACGGGCCAGTAGCATTGGCCGTCTTTTCCGCTGTGACGACTCATACTGATGATGGTCTTGATGATGGTGTCCTTGAAGCGCAAGTCCACGACTCTCTCGCCGTAGACATACAGTGCCGCCAGGCCCGGAAAGGAGGTCTCGGGGACCTCGGAAGCATAGAGGAAGTGTAGGTAGAAACGGATAATTTTCGGATCGTCCACAGGGAGGCTGATGGTGCCGTCCACCAGCCAGGTTTCCTTCATTGCGTTCCTAAAGTATGGCGACTTTTGCAGCTGCTTCGCATGGACTATGAACTTTTCCTGCTCGGGTCCTACCAGGACGGTGATGATGTCGTCGCTGAAGCTGGCTCAATGTCAGCTGGACACCAAAACAGCTTTGACTCTTCACTCACTCGAGCAGACCGTCGGTGGTATATTCCGTCTCCTGGGGATCTAAGCTTGCTGAAAGTGGTGAGACACTCGACGGAAGGCTTACCTCAGGGGCGATGTCTTGGTGATCCATGCTTGCTGATGTGATTGAGGATCTGTTGGAATGCTCGATTGAGTGATGGATGTGATCGAGGTTGTTGTTGAGGGCGTCGACTATTGGAAGTGGAACTGCTCAGGTGGAYGTCGTATATGTTGTGAGGAAGTAAATGAGCTGCACATAGAATGCCGCCTATTACCATCGCAGCTGATGGTGATAGCACAAGTGAAGTGAGCAATTATTCAAACCCACTATAAGCAGCTTCACAATTGCGGACGAAGAAGTTTCCAGTCCGCAAGCGATGAAAATCGAGAGCAAGAGACAACCTCAACATCTTCAAGAATGTAGCAGCCGAAAGCCTGCGACAAAAATACGAGAGGTAGCAAAAGCATCACATATTCAACGCCACATCACCCATTCCCGTACAGTCACATCGCTCATCAAAAGCCTGTACAAAGGCAGTGTCCATCCCAAACGCCGCATGAGGCACCATAACTCATGGTCAACAGCTACTGTACCCTCGGCACAATATAATCCTCATTCTCAACAGTCACACTCTTCGTCTGATTATTGGTSTGCAACATTCGTTAGCTCCCTCCACCTGCATCAGAAGAACATTACGACTCACCTTGTAAACTCCCACCAACCTCGACGCCAACTCAAACATGTTGTTCCGTAACGAAATAACAATAAACTGCGCATTCTTCGTCCTCTCCCGAATGTATGCGGCGACAATGCTCACGTTCCTGAAATCCAACGCGGCATCGATCTCATCCATGACATAAAGCGGTGTGGGCTTGTAATGATGCAGCGCAAAGACCAGCGCCAGAGAGCTCAGCGTCTTCTCACCTCCAGAAAGATTGCCGATATTCTTCCAACTCTTCTTGGGAGGCATGACGGAGAACAAGATACCTTCGGAGAATGGATCGAGGGAGTCCACGAGTTCCAGCTCCGCGTTACCGCCCATGGTGATCRTCTGGTACATTTCCTTCAGTCGGAGGGAGATGGTAGAGAAGCCCTCCATGAAGCCTTCTAGTCGCATTCGGCGGAGGTCGTCGGTGCGTTTTTTTGCGCCATCTCGCCTTTCAAGAGATTCGTTAAGGTCCGCAAGACGTGTGGTGTACTCGTTGACTCTGCGGCGGTACTCTGCGAGAACAGACAGCTCCACAGATTGAGAAGTGCGTTCTTCCAGCGAGGCAATTGAGGCCTTCAGGTCATCCTTGTCTAGATCTTCGAGCTCATCGCGGCTCAGTTCAGGCACAGGCTCCGGGTCCTTCTCTTCGCCTTCTTCGCTCACATTCTGCAGAGTGAGCTTGCCGAGTTTCTCCTGCCAATGGCGCAGTCGCTTCTGATTTTCGGCGAGATGCTTGTTATTCTCCTCCAGCTTATTGCGCATCTCAACTTCTGCTCCGCGAGTGTTGTTAAGTTCTTCTCGATGCTCCTCCAGTGACTTCTTCATTTGTTCAATCACGTCCATTTTCTCCTCGAGAGCAACAGTGGCCTCATCGACCTGCCTCCTCAGTCCAGAGTTATCAGTATTCTGGGCTGACATATCGCCTTCAACCTTCTCGATATCGTTGGCAATCTTCGCCAGCTCGTCACCAGAATCGCTGTGGACCTTCTCATGCTTCACGCGCTGCTTCTCGGCTTTGGTCTTCGAAACTTCGGCCGCATTCAGCGACTCCGTCAGCAGGTCAATCTGCTCTTTGAGCCCGTCGACCTTGGCTTTCTGTCCGCGCAGCTTTACACCTCCAATCTCCATAATCTTGTCTTGCAGCTCCTTGATCTCTCCCTCAATTCCTTCTGTTTCGGATTGAAGTTTCTCAATCTCTTTCTGCATGGCAACGATGCCCTTCTCTAGACTGGCAAGCTTGCTCTTGTCTGACTTGGCACCCTTCAACTCGGCAGTCAGCTCTTCAATACGTTGCTGCGCGTCTTCGATGTTGCGATCGATGCTTCCCAACTCCAAGCCGAGCTTTTGTGCCTTGGTATCGAGTTTTGGGATCTGACTTTGCAATTCCCGTGCCTGTCCGTCAAGCTCACGTTGCTCGTGTTGAATTGCAGAATATTCCTTTTCGAGAGCCTCTCGATCGATCTCCATTTTCGAGACCTGCTCCTTGGTTGTATCACCCGCGACCTTGGACGACATTGCTCCACGTGCCACACGTGTTCCACCACCGCTCATGGTACCAGACTTGTCAATCAGCTTACCCTCCAGACTGACTACTCGCCATCGCTTGGCTCCGTATGCAACGCGGTCTGCTTGCTGAGAGTCATTTGCTACGAGCGTGTTCTGCAACACGCTGTAAAAGGCCGGAAGAAAGCGCTCGTTCCGACTCTTGACCAGATCGAAGAGCCTTGAGCAGTTCTCAGGAGTTTGAATGGGCGACATATCGCGCTGCGCTAGCCTGTCTAGACAAATGAAGTTGGCACGGCCAAGGTTGTTCTTCCGCAGGTATTCAATGCATTGCTGCGCCGCCTCGACAGAATCGACGACCATGTTATCAAGAGAAGGACACGCGGTCGAAATGGCGATATCGTACCTGGCGTCAATAGCACCAAGGTTGCCCAGACGTCCGTGGAAACCATCAATTCGGCCAGACTCTTTGAGACGAGTAAGTCCAGCAAGCACGTTCCCTTGGCTCTGAGTGGCTGACAAGCTTGCGCGTGCTTCATCAGCCTTTTGTCTCGCGTTAGAGAGCTTGGTCTTGAGGGCCGGCTCTCTGGCGTTTACATTCTCAAGCTTGCTTTGCACGTCTTGTATCTCCTTCTCCGCAGCCTTGCGTTGCTTCTTACAAGCGTCAATCTCGGCAGCTTTGATTTCTCGCTGTTCTTGAAGGGCCGCAATCTTTGCTTCTACTTCAGAGATGGCTGTAGCGCCCGAGCTCTCTCGCTCTCGCAGGATGTCTAGCTCACTCTGTGCGACAGCCATGGAGGACTGTTTTTCGTTGATCTTGGCACTCCAAGGCTCGAGCTGCTTTTGCTTTGCGGCAATCTCGTCACTGATCCCCTGCGTCTTTCCTTTGAGGGCATTTCGAATTTTGGCGAGCTCCTTGTCTTCCATCTGCATTTCCTGTTCCAGCTCTTCTATCTCAGCGGTTAGACGCTCAATGTCCTGCTCGGCTTGTGAGGCCAATGTCTGAGATTGGGATATCTCGAACTTGGAGGCATCTCGGGTTTTCTCAAGCTTCTTCTCCTTGTTCTTGAGATGCTTCCTCTTCTCCTCGATCTTGACAGAGGCTTTGTCGAGGTCGTCGGCTTGCTTTTTGAGTGCTTCAGTCTCTTTTGCGGTCTTCTCGTAAGCTTTTGACTCCGCCTTGTACTCCTTCTCGAGAGCTTTGATCACATCTTCGGCTCCTTGATGTCGTGTGAGTTCGGCATCCAGCTGCTCTTGAATCTGGCCTATAGCCTCTTCAGATACTTGAATGTTGTCGCCACACTCCGCGACGTAGATCTGGTAAAGTGCGGACTGTTTTGAGGCCAAGTCGTTCTCGTCCCTAATGTATGCCAAAGCCTTGTCCTTCTTCCCTTCAAGACCATTCTTCTCCTTCTCCACATGCTGTACGCGGCCGCTCTTTTCCAAACACWCATCGTTATACTCCTCCGTTTCCTTGGCCGCCTCATCGATGGGTGCTTTGTACTTGGACGTTCCAATGATATCCTCGAGGTACTCTAGCAGACCATCATCGTGCTCGTTGGCAGCTTTTGGTTTCATCTGCGCGATGGACTCCACCTCGCCTTGCAGGATAAGAAAGCGTTTGTGGTCAAGGTCGATGCCACGGTCCTTAAGCAATGTCGTGACGGTCGTGAAATCCGAAGTCTTCCCGTTGATGTAGTATTTGCTACCGTTGTTCTTGAATGCTCGTCGGGACACTACCAGCTGCGAATCGGGAACGACAACTGATCCGCCCTCAGGTTGATCCATGACCATCTGGAAGTGGACTTCAACCTCGCAGAAGTCGAGATCAGGATACTGAGCACTGTTATGGATGAGTGCAGAGATCTTGCCTTGGCGCATCTTGCTAGCACGAAACCCGAAGACGAACAGCAGAGAGTCGATGACATTGCTCTTGCCCGAACCGTTCGGACCAACGACCGAGGAGAAGGAAGCGTGGAAAGGCCCAACTTGCTGTCTTCCGGCATACGACTTGAAGTTGGTCATTATGAGATACGTGATAGTCATGCGTGCCTTTGGCTCAACGGGCTCTTGCGATTGCGGCACGCCTACAGCTCTCTTGCGAACAACAATATCCATTGGTCGATCCAGCTTGGTAACATTGGCGTCCACTTTTTTCACTCTGGCTTCCGTCTTGGGTGTTGGCGGGACTTCGGTGGTATCCATTGCATCCTCCATCTCAACATCGTCATTCGGCGTCTTCTTCGGTGTCGACATGTTCTCACTTGCATCGGGAAGATCATCGATAGGCGTATGGGATCGGGCCGCCTGACGGGGCGTTTGATCGTTGATTGCAGATTCCGTAATATCCGTCAGTGGAGTGCCCTGCCGGGAGTTCGCATCGGGTGACGGGGATGCTGTTTGCTGCGGTGTAGGAAGTGGAGGCGGAACCTCTGTCTCCTGCGAATCCGGAACGATGGAGGCTCTTGAGGCACCGCGACTCTGCCTTGCAGCGCGAGCATCCTTCACACTGCGTCGTTTGGGTGCAGACTTCTTTGCGGGCGATGCGGGCTCTTCAGCAACGCTTTCCGGCGGGCTAAACACCTGAGATGGTTCAATGGACGGCTCGACAGATTGGCGTGTGGTTCTCCGAGATGCCACTGTCCTCCTCCGTGGTATCGCATCGCTCGCTGGTTTGCGTGATGCTCGCGTGGCTTTTGGTGCGGGTGTGAACTCCTCCTCCTCGTCGTCGTCGTCCTGTCTACTGACGACCGAATTCTCCGCGTCCGAATCATCACTTTCCACCACAAGTGTGCGCCGCGACGCCGTCCGGCGCGAAGATCGCACGGGCGATGTCTCTGCCATGGCCAATCCGTTCCAAATCTACTACACGCTGTCCGGAGTCCAGAATCCCGTGGGTAGAGTCAATGCGTCGGCGTCGTTGTCATTTGTGGAGCTCTCTGTTTACATGGCGCAAAACAATCAGCCCGCGCTAAGAGTTCGACGCGCCAGCACGTGAAAGCGCTTGCCGACATCCGGCCGCCTCGTGGGCCTGCAACTTCCCACACCTGGACAGGCACTTCCGCTATCGTGAGAACAATAACGTTCGCCCTGCCTTTGCATGGCGGAGCATGCGCTCTGCTCTGTTGTTGCACACAGAGCAGTAGCCACCATGCGCCTATCGACCGCTTCCTCTCCTCACCAAGGCCGTCAAGAACTCTGCAGGCCCATCTCGGTCGCTATCTGCGCAGTGCCCAAACGATAAAGTCCCTCGGCGAGAGTCATGATCTACTGGCCTGCGCTCGAGCATTCCACACTTCACCCTCATACGAAGCCGGCACACTGATTATCTTTCGAAATCCGATCGATGCCGAAACGGATCGCGGCGCGTTTTGACTCCAAACCGCCTCGGAGCGAGATTCATGGCTTCATCACACCTGCATCACTCCTGAGACTCGCTGTTTTTATTGCAACAGTACCAGTCGGCAGTATGCGTCTCGCTTCTCGGAAACCAACAGTCATCCGAAATGTCCTACATCCTGCACTCGTTTCCTGCCTACCTGCACAAGACTTTAAGAAATCCCATCGACATCGGTATATGGGGACTCTCCGCAGAACGAAGAACGCTAAACTGCCGACGTTTCCGGTATGAGCAACATCAGTCGGCATACCACATTCTATAATCGACACTGCCGCGAGCCATCTGAGTCAAATTTGATCGCGCGGGCTTTCAGGCTGTGAAGCCTTTTAATTGACGCAAGAGAGGCCCCATGCAACTCCGACCAGCCATCCCTGCTTTATTGCACTTTTCACCCAGAAACCCAGATATTTTGAGAGCTTTCCCTGGCTGTTGCCAATCGGTCTGCTATCTTTGCTGTCATTGTTTCACTTCAGCTTTCCTTGAGCTCCGTCATATTCTCTCTCCTCAATTATACCAGCTAGTAGAAAGGTATAAAGTCTCAGAAACACCCACGGCAAGCTCTGCATATTTTTTCTGTCCGCCTCGAACCTCGCATCCTGTCAATCATGTCAACTTTCAACCCTCCATCATTTCCACGCCGCCCGAAACAGCAGACACTTCTCTCCAATGCCAAATATCAAATTCAGTTGGCCTACTTCCGGTACTCAGTCAACACGGCATTGTATGTCATGTCACCAGGCGAGAAGCTCGCATTCAACACGATCGTACTCTCGGCATTGAGCCTCTTCGCATGGGCACTTTGGGTGTGCGCGGTCTGGTGGTGCGTTCCATGTTCAGCTCTCATGGGCTGCGCAAGAGAAGTCTTATGGGACTCTTACACGCTGAGCGATCTTCTGGGCAACAACATACGATTCACTGGCTCCTTTGTGGGAGTCGACTTGTTCGAACGGATCATCAGCCAGGCCAGCAATCTTGATGTCGCAAAGGGAGGTTTGCAGCATTCCATGGAAGCGGTGACGAGCTGGCAAGACTTCTGGAGTGCGGCCAATTCCTCTGGCTCCCTCGTCGGATGACCATCACGATYGACAGACATTTGATATACAGCAACAAAGCAACGGGCAATGGAAACGGCGAATTATACCCAGGAAGGATTGAGCTAGCGCACGGAGTTTCACGACGACGAAAATGATTCAATGAAGGATTGCAACTATACACAWCTACAGAATGGGGCATAGGCGTGGAGTGGAGCGGCAATGCAGCGACTTAATGGACAAGACGATCGGACATGGCGCAAACAGATGCTGGTCAGATAGTTTATATATGCACTGCTGATTTGAACAGTTGATGTGCTATATCGCACAGTGGCTCATGTTGATTGATGTGAAGCGCTGGCACCAATGAAGTGGGAGTGACTGCAACATCTCGATCGCTTCGCGCTGAGACAAGGAAGTTCCAAGGCTTTATTAGCTCGCGGTTTCAAATTGAAATGACTGTTATAGCGAGAGGTAGTGATCGAGTGCCAATAGGATGTGCAACGAGCACTACAAGGCTAGTCAACTTTCCAAAGCAACTGTGCTGGCTTCAATGACATGTCGTCACAAAACATGCCGTCGTTGCGACACTCTGTCGAACATATCAACTAGGAGGTATGTTCGTTGTCGATAAATGTTCCTGGACCAGATCTACACTAAATGAGCGGACCGTGCCGTTACCAAAGCCGCGGGTGCGTTCCTCACGACGTCACACAACTGCGGCGACACGTCCGCAATGCTGACAACACCAAAGATGTAACGAAGAGCACTGTGCATAGCTTCCCTGACAGTCTTGACCATTCCAGCATGAAGACCTTTCTTATTACATGTGCGGCGGCTCTGGCCTCAGCGTTCTCAGAGCAGCAAACAGTATTGCAAGACTCCCATTCGCATGAGAAGCAGCCCGTAAACATCGCCATCATTGGCGCCGGTGCTGCTGGATCATCTACCGCATACCACCTCTCTAAATTCGCAAACTCGTCTCGCCCCGTCAAGATCACCATTTTTGAGCGGAATGACTTCATTGGTGGACGCTCAACCACCGTCTCAGCATACAACTCATCCTCCCTTCCCGTCGAGCTAGGCGCTAGCATCTTCGTCCAGATCAACAAGATTCTCGCGACTGCAGTTGAAGAATTCAACCTCTCTACTTCAACTATCAGCGAGTCCCGCCGCACAAAAACGATCCCTGGTCCTTCCCTCGCGATCTGGGATGGCCAGGACATCCTCCTTACTCAGAATGGCGGCTACTGGGACTATGCTCGGCTGTGGTGGCGCTATGGAACAGCACCGCTCAAGACTGTAAACCTCATGAAGAAAACTGTTGCGAAGTTCTTGCAGATGTACGAGGAGCCGTTTTTCCCCTTCGCACAAGGGCTTAGTGAGACGGCGCAAGCAGTGGGCTTGACTGCCGTGACAGCCGCGACGGGGGAGCAGTACATTCGTGAGAATGGGATTCAAGGTTCATTTGCAAGAGAGGTGGTACAGGCTGCGACGAGAGTTAACTACGCACAAAACTTGGGTGCGATTCATGCCTTGKAGGCTATGGTGTCCATGGCTGCGGAAGGGGCGATGGCTGTCGAGGGAGGCAATTGGAGGATCTTTGATGAGATGATCAAAGCTTCCGGAGCTGATATCAGGTTGGGCACGACCGTGAGTGCGGTGAAGATGGAGAAGAACGGCACATTCCTGCTGAGCTACAGCGACGACAAGGAGCAGCAGCCCTTTGATGCCGTTGTTGTGGCAACTCCGTGGCAGTACGCTGGTATTGATGTCTCGACTCTGAAATTGGATCGTGAGCCAGATTCAGTGCCCTACGTTGAGCTGCATGTCACGCTCTTCACTTCGCCACATCTCCTGTCTCCGGCTTTCTTCAACCTACCTCCAGGCAAATATGCTCCACAAGTCATCCTCACGACTCTTCCTGAGGGTGAACCTCCACAGCGAGGTGCTGCAGGGGTTGGCAGTCCAGGGTTTTTCAGCATCTCTCTGCTGCGTCCTATCGTAAACCCCAAGACAGGCGCGGAGGAGTATTTGTACAAGATCTTCTCGTCTGAGCCTGTCAATTCGACTTTCTTGGAAAAGCTATTGGGAGTACATGATCGATCAGACAACTATCTGGAAAGCGCTCGGAGCAAAGATGTAACCTGGATTTATCGCAAAGTGTGGAACTCATACCCCTACGAGTATCCAAGAGTCACATTCGAAGATGCCGAGCTAGCTCCAAATCTGTGGTATACTGGCGGCATGGACCAGTTCATCTCGACCATGGAGACGAACGCGYTCATGGGGATGAACGTCGCGAGGCTGTTGACTGACCAGTGGAGCGAGAAGAACGATCTACTGGCCAAGTCAAATGATAGGCAAGCTTCCCTGCATCAAGACTTATAAAACCAGAAGTCCTATCCGCATCGTATCTCTCGAGTTCCCGGTCAATTTTCCTGTCCCATGTTGCTTAAAATTGCGGAGAAGCATGTTCTGGTGCCGTACGAATCGATCTTGACCTAATTCTACCCCCTACCCTAAGATCCAAGATCTCTGGCCTGCATCGTCATCAGGTGATAAATACGTTGATCAGCCTAGTAAATTTGAATTTTGCTGGAGCTCGTCGATGTGTTGTAAGTCTTGATGTCAGGCGCCACTATGCAGGAGCTCGTCCAATTTTCTACGGCGAGAACAATTTCATCACTCCCTCTCTACCTTACTTTATCTATGAAACTTCATCTCGACCAAAAAGCATCACACTCGAGCCCACGACGAAAACTACGCACTTGATGAAAACAAGAGATGGCAAACGGTATTTCGTCAACTCTCGACTTTGGTGAAACTGCGAGAACTCAAGATACATTACGAATGTACGTGTTGAGAAGTTCAAGCAAATGAATGTGCTATACACCCCCGTACAAACCACATATGCCCATGGCTGCTATCTGCAAGCTGGTATACCCAAACTCCACAAGTGAATGCATGTAATCGCGTGATCGCATTATTGTCTCATTTCAATACAATTATCAAGTGCCGGAATCCGGAATCTCTTCGACCTGTACCTCCCTCGGACTGCCCCGACCGCTCCGACTGGCGGTTTCTTGCTGACTCCCAGGGACWGCAGGGGCTGCCGATGCCTCTGGCGGATGGCTGCTGCTGGGTTGATCATCAAAATTCCAGCTGGTGCTTTCAGCTGTCCATGGCGCTCCAATCTCGCTTTGAGCAGGCACTGTGTCTTGTGAAGCAGAGGGGGTGGGAGCGCTGGGGACAGCTTCGGCCTGGATGGTGGGAGCTACCGAGACATCGGTGTCAAGGGCTTGTGATGGCACACTCTCAGTGGCGGCAGTGGTTGTAGCTGGGAGACCGGAGGCTTCGGCAGCCGGGGGAGCAGGCCCAGTCGCGACGAACAAAGGAGATCCGCGTTCATCAATTGGGCCGTCAGCTGCAGCACCTGTGGTGTCACTGCCCGACGCTGCGTTTGGCGCCGCGAAGGCGGCAGTTCCATGATTCGAACCAGCAGGCTCAGCACCAACATGAGGAGACGGCACGGCAGCGGCGCCATCTTCAATAGCAGCAGCACGTCGCAAAGGCATCACTGACCAACCTGCAGGAATGATGACTCCCTCGGGCAAGTGTTCGTGTCCGGCTCCATATTGTTGCGACGTCAGTCCAGTGAGCTGCTCGTAAGGTGGTTGCTGAGGAGCCATTGCACCAAAACCTGGAGGCAAAGGCATGGCAGCGCCACTAGTGCCAACCGGCGGCTGTGCTGGGAGGAGCTGTGCTCGTAATCTTGCAAGCTCAGCCTCCATTGCCCGCAGCTGGCCTAATTGCTGCTGCTCAATGTTCAGGTTGTAGGCTTCCTGCATGRTGCGCTGCTCGACCTGCATGAGCTGAATGTTCAATGGCACAGCTGCTCTACGATTGTGCTGGGTGCCCACTCCAGGTTGGGGACCAATGCCTACTGGGTTGGGCATTTGGTTGTCCGCCCCGTTGTGAGCGTTCTGGTTGGCTGCAGCTCCGGGGTTCTCAAGCTCGTTAAGAAGGTTCCGCATCTGCTCATTTGGCGCATTGAGCAAAGCGACTCGGAGCGGTCCCAGATTGAACATACGGCCTCGAGCTGCCCTAGGCGCCGGCGGTCGTCCATGCTGACCTGGTTGACCGGCCTGCCCGGCCTGCCCTGCCTGTCCTGCCTGTCCTCCTACACCAGGCTGTGCGTTGCCGGCAGACGATGGTGCAGCAGTTGCGACAACAGGCCTCCGACAGGTCGGACACACCTGCTGCCGCTCGAGCCAAGCCTTGAGGCAGCGTAAATGCAGGATGTGTCCGCAAGGAAGTTTCTTCGCCCGGAGTCCTTCGTCTCTCTGGCGGGCTAGAGCTGGAGCAGCCGGCGGTTGCTCGCCGACGGCGTGTACCTCGGCTTGAGCAGTAGGTTGCTCCCAAGCAACCATATTCTCGCGGCAAATGATGCAGGAATCTTCTCTGATCTCTTCTGTCGTAGCGTCGGGGTATCTCGTGTTCATCTCGCTGGTGGCCTTTCGGTATGCAATGAAGTCGACCACCCGTTTACTGAAGGATGCAAAGGTCATGTAGACATCCCGGAGAATGTGCATCGGCAGTCCATTAAACGTAATGCTTACGACGAAGAACGTGATGTAGATGGACAATTTGACAAAGTCCGTGAACAGTTCCAGGACAAATAGGTATCGTCTCTTCTCCTCCCAGCCAGGTACACTGACTTCATTCTCGTCAACTTCGATCGGTCCATCTTCGACATGTGCTGTTGCTTGCGTCTCGGCATCGCCTGCGCCTGCAGCCGACGMCCGCTCCGCCGCCGCCGCCGCCCTCTCTGCTCGAATCTCGCTCTTGCGCACCTCAATCGCCAGCTGAGTCTGCTTGCTGACGACGCTCGCCTCAAATACGCTCAATAAGTATCGACTGAGGGTAAACAGCGAGCAAACGGTCAGAATGGCAAACTCGAAGGTGAATATGACCATGATGCCAGGTCGCGGGTCTGCTATTATGCTTTCCACGCAGAATTGCAGCATATACAAGTCGAAAAGTACGCTGACTATCAGGCTGGAAGCAAGCCGTGCGTGGAACAGGCGCGGATTGGCTGGCGGTTGWTGTTCCAGTATGTCCACACGACCCTCGCCAATCCAGCCCCAGACTTTGCCAGCAAGCAGCAGTACGAACATGGTCAAGAGCCAGCCACCAACATCTTCGCGGTAGGTAGGCATGGCCAGTAGAGTGTCGAGTACCGCATACCACGCCTTCTCCGAAAGCTGCTCCATCTCAATARGCCGCAGCGGGCCATATAGCAGGCGTTGCAAGGCGTACATAAGGCTGCCGGCACATATGAGCAGCAGATTTGTGATGATCAGAAGGCAGGCGTTCGATTGTGAGAGGTAGACGGTCGCGCTGTAGAAGTTGGGTCGCTCGTGAAAGGCCTTGAGCAGGCATGCTGCCGCCGCGGCCGTGGAGGCACCTGCGTAGTAGGCGATCCGCATGATCGTGGATGGTATGGTCCTGGTTACCGGTGGATGGTGTAATTGCTGTTTTCCATGACCGTCATTCAAGAGGTCTGGCGATGTCTAGAGCATGAAGACGTAGTCTGAGGACAAGTTGTTTGTTGGAAGTGGTTTGTACATCTGCCACGTGTGACGTGCAAGCTCGGGAGTTCCATCAGCGCCGACGCGCCGATCACTCAGCCGCGGACGTTGACTCGCACCGCGTCTCTTCTTCTCCAACTTCACAACAACATGAATGTAGGACCAGGTCATCACTAGAACAGGTAAAGTGATTGGCGGCGAAGGTAACATTTCGATGTTGTATCTACTGTATTCTACGCTTTGAAAGGCGACCCATTAAACCCCTTCAATTCGCCTAAAAACAATCTCCTCTGCTTTTCGTATCATGCAAGTATCCATGCACAGGATCACCTCACAGAGCACCTTGTATGACAACATTTCGTATCGCTTTGGGTTTTCAGCTTAGCTGTGTCGCTCAGATGAAAAGAACAGCCGAGCCAACAGCCACCACCATGCATACCACCATACGCTTGTAGTCCCGGCCCTCTGCAGCCCCAGTGAATGGCACGATGGACTCGGTGGACGACGGAAGGGTCGGCGTGACCATTGTACCGTTGGTGGATGAAGTGACGGCGCCAGTGCCGTAGGCTGTGGAGCCGAACGGGCTGACTTCAGTCGAGGAGAGCGTGGTGGCGACACCTGGTGGCTGGTACGAGATGCTTGGAGCTGTACCGGTGAGAGATGCCTGAGTAGCATTCTAAAGGCGGTCAGTATGAAGTATGTCGACGGGGACAGGGGGAATCTTACGACAAGAGTGCCGGTCAAGGGGGACGACAGAAGGCTTCCGGAAGTCGAAACGGTGACGGTCGACATGCTGGTAATGGTAGAGTGGAGAGTGACCACTCCAGTGCTGGACGGGCCCGAGGCGCTCTGCGAGCCAGTCACGCTGCTCACATTAGAGGCGGCGCTCGGGGCGGGAATGGTGTAGAAAGTGCCGGAGCTGCTTGAGACGGTGACGGTCGACAGCGGGCCGGAATTGGTGCCTGGGACTCCACTGGTAGAGACACTGGTGACCGTGAGCGGGCAGATCGTCGTGGAGAACGGAACGACCGAGGTGACGACGGAGACGAGCGAAGTGCTGCTGTCTGCTGGGCAGTCTGTAACAGTCGAGTCGCAGGCCCAGACGGTCACCTCGCTGGTGCTGTAGGCCGTGGACGTGGATAGAGCAGCAAGGTGCTGGACGACAACGACGGCGCTGTCTATCACGAGGTGGTCAGCGGGTGTTAGCTCGAGCAGGAAACGAATGCTGGACTCACTAGCTGCGCGCTCTTCAATGGCGGCCGAGTTGACGAAAGTGCTCAAACCAATCGCGGCGGCGGCAATGGTCGGGAACATCCTGCTGAACCGCATTTTGGTCACTGCGAGTTGGTCGTGAGACGAATAGTGGAATGAGCGTGCTGGTGGAACAGGATCGGGGGTCGAGTGGCGTGATGGGAAACGAGTGTAGGTGGAGATCTGATGTTTGTTTTGTTGCAGTGRAGGATGCAAAGTGGAAAGAGCTGACGTGACGCGTTTCTCTTAGCACCACGTCAGGAAGGCATGYGAAGCCCCACCGAAACCGCGAGAAGCCACTCGAGAGACAACATGACTGGGAATATGAAATACAGACGGAGACGGAGTTGACTTCTCCGCGGACCATGGCTTCCTCTTCTTCTGGATCAAGACGCACTGGACACTTCGCATGACCGCGGCAGTCATTCGTCGACAATGCCACCACCGCTGGCCCTAGCCCTCTATCTCCACCACTTGATCCGGCCGCATTCTTCACTAGGGACAAGCTTAGGCTGCGGCCATGGCCGACGAGGAGCTGGGAGTCGGAATGACCCAGATTGGGTGGCTGTGTGCCATGAACGGCTGGATGGCATGCTGTTCGAACTGTACGCATACTCGAGAAAGAATTGAACGCGGGGGAGAGTGCAATTGTCAAGTCTGCGGAGCTGGTCCAGGACCGCTGATATACAACAGCAGGCAGAACAAGCACCGAGACCGCATAAGACGATTGATCCCCAACCCAGCTGATGTGGTTGACATCGAAGCCAAGTCTACCAAGATATGAAAGGTGTTGGACATCTCCTCGCTGTCACAAAATCGCGACAGCATACTGGAGAGACAAGCATACTCAAACAGAAAGAATGAAGGGTCCTCATATGCACACACTCGATCACAGCTGGGGCAGCGCGGCATTTGACCTGGTTTTCCCTATCCACAAGTGAAGTCGTTTCATTGTTAACAGGATGCTTCTTCAAGCCATATGAGGATCTGCCAGTGATCATTGAACGTRGCTGGCTTCTGGCATCGACTACGAGTGCATCTGGCGGGAATGCAAGACGATTCTACGACCCGGCCGATGCMTCTCCTATCGTATCGCCGACGCCGGATCGACGTGCATTCGTGTCCCTTTAATTCGCGCCTGGACAGGTTTTGGGTATCATTGAATACTGCTGAATCTATTCAGCAAATGTCAACTTAGGGATCATTACCTGGCTGACGAACCTAAGCATGTCGAAAAATGTTCATATGGTCGTCGCAAGGGCAGGTTGAAATCTAGGTAAAGGAGAGGTTGACTTTCAAAGGTGGGTAATTCCCCGTCACTTTTACCAGTCATACCGTGGACCTTGCAGCAAGGGTGGATTGTCTCAACTTCCAGGTGTAGTTGTCATACATGTCAAAAAGGGGCCAGTCTGTGCTGGTCGCTGCATCAAATTCCCTTCAAATCCGCTCAAATATTTGAAGGTCCGAACAGCAAACCGCCGAAATAGGAAGTTGTGAGCTATCATGACGTGTCGATGATTGTTGTTTATATTGCCGCACTCCCCCTCCTTCAACATTGTCTCCCAGGCCTTTCTGGCCGCAATCACGACACACCGACATGGCCTCTACCATCCCTCCTTTCCACCGCCTTCTAAGCTTCTACTCCAACCGCAACCCTCACGACTCTCAAACCATTCGTCTTCAAGACTCACTTCGAGGCAATCTCGCCCTAGGCCTGGACTTTCCGGTGGCCTTGGGAGTTGCAATTGGTCGTCACCTGTTCCTTAAGAATGTATCATTCTTCAGCMTCAACATTCATGTCCCCTCCGTGAGCTGGAAAGTCAGTCCTTTGGAAGGGCTAGAGGTGGATGAGAAAAGGGACTATACGTGCTCGGAGCTGTTCTCCAAGACTAGGCAGGAAAAGGGTGTAATGGGGGCGATGGACGCGTTGGGGGTTTGGTCATTGGCTGCGGACGTAAAGAGCGGTCTAATCAGCGGGCAGGATGTCGTGGCTTTCCAACGTGGGACGCTACTGCATGAGGTGGAGAACAGGCGGAAGGATCGTGAGCAGGTATTGCCACTTAAGAGAGGAGGGCCGATCAGTGTTGCTGGGCATAGCTGGTTTGTTGGGAAACTATTTGGGGTGGAAGTCTATCGGGAGAAGGAGGATTGAGTGCGAGGCAGGCGTTGAATGTCTGCGCAAGAGTATCACAACGGGACTGATGACGGGGATGAAGAATAGCTGCGCATGCCCAGGCGACGAAACCCCACCTACGACACCACGGCTACGAACGATGCGACGAATGGTGCGACGAATGATGAGCATGACATGGGAACTTATTGACCCGGGAGTAATGCAAAGAGGATACGAGAGATGATTACGAGCGGAGCGTTCTCAGCTGTCAAGGCAAGATGGAACTGACAGGACAGGCGGCATTTTGCAAGCTGTGTTGGAAGCATGGGCCGTGGACCGTCGATCCTAGAATACGTATCCGATCCACTGCTCAGAGGCGGACCAACCCAATGTCAGTATTTGTCTCTGACAATCACAACCGCGCAAGCTTCTTCCGCTTCGCAGTCGATCTTTGTTCCCAACCGGCGTCAGACCTGCGCACGGGTGCAAGGAACTATCGAGCAACCGCAGCCGATGTCAGAGGCCTTTGTATGGGTTGGTTGCATGGACGAATCCGCCTCGGTGCCGCGATACTCGAGACCAAGGGCCAGTGGAGTTAAAGGTTGCTGCCCAACCTGCTGCAACCAAAGACGTTGTCCTTCACTCAAGAACAGCTACACAATCGAAAAGACACCATTCGGCAAGACAGTTAGCTCTTCGCAACACTRCTTGTTTTGGTAGTTGAAATACTTGTCTGTGAGCGTGGCCATCGAAGGCGGAGGCACTAAAGCTTGTCAGCTCTCCTCGTACCCAAGCGGACCCGATACTGAAAAACTTTGCTTGCCATTGAGGAAAGTCAACGCAGGCCTTTGGTTCTCGAGTTGTTGTTGGCGTGCAACGGCCTACTCCTGGCTCGACCGACCGCTCTGTTAGCGGTTTAGCGAGCACGTCTTCGACCACGCAAAAGCATTTCCGGTGCTGTTGTACTCCTGCCTATGGGGATGGACGCCAGACCARCGTGCATTTTCCAACGGTGCGATGAGTGTGGGGCTCCGCCATCTGCGGTGCCTGGACCAGCCAATGGGTAGTGGTTCACTCAGCGTCCAGTAGGTGAAACGAGTGAGACCAGGAGAACCTTTGCCGATGCGATCCAGTTCGGCTGGGGAATGTACAATGGTTAGGCCAAGTACAAGAAAGCAATTGGTAAGCTAGAGCAATCCGCAGATGCTGGCCCTCGCCAGATGCAGGCCGACACCGCTCGTTCCCATGTCTGCGAAACGGTGGAACATAGCCCAAGGCGAGATTTGATCATCGCATTTCGAAAGCGTTGAGCATTGCTCACATCAGTATCGCGATGATGGCTCACGGTGTGCAGACTCGATTGGCTTTCTGCGCTCGGCGCGAAGAATAGTACATAGCAGGCACCAGCATCCGGTACCGAATTGTTGTAGCTGGAGCCGACTCCGATGCGGCATGGAAGTTGCATGTAGTGTACAACGCTGGTTCTAGCTCCCGGATCTGTACATTGACAGCCCGACTGGAGCTCCGCTCCAATGACAGAACCCCCACCTAAACTCAAACATCGGAGTATGTGGTACGGTTTCACGTGCTTCATTACGGAACAATACGATGTACATGGCATTATTCACCAAGCAACAGACATGGGTCCCTCGGGCGAACCATTTTTCTTCCTTGACGATTGAAGGGATAGTAGCATTCTACTATTCTCGTTCCTCTTCACAGCGAGCGAACAGCGCGAGCAAAATCAAATTCTTGGGCGCATATCAGCAAAACGAACTCAATTTCAACCCTGCCCATGGCGCCATGGTACGCACTCGGCACAGAAAGAGCCCGTGGGAACGTCACACCACAATTTCACAAATCCGCCGGAGTTGTTGGCCGAGGGAGCTGGTCTAGAGCTGGCTTATTCTTAATTGTCACTGTACGCTAGTTGCTAGCATGCATGCGTAGCTACGATGATCGCGAGGCTTTTTACAGGGGTGAGATGCTGGTGTGGAGGGGGGGACAAAGGCAGCGTCGCATCTTTTAAGCACCAAGCATAGCAATAAAGTTGAACAGGTCTGAAAGTGAGTGGTACAGATTGTGGAGGAGTTGCGGAAGGTCTTGGATAAGGTACGTCTGTGGTACCACCAATTAACACGTGGTGTGTTGGTCGCCGTGGGGAACTGGTTGACCCAAAGACAATCATTTGTAGAGAGGGAGCGAGCACGCGGGCGAGAGGGAAGAATGTGTTTTGGTAGAGGTAGGAGTGTTTTCAAACTATCTGCTCCCGTCAAATCGTCCCTTCATAATCGTTACAGCACGCCGCACGGTGCAATCAAAATTGATTCTTCACGGCAAACCATTCTTAGCGCCCGCCAATGCCGCGTCATTAGTTTTATCTTCTGTCCCCAGAAGTTCGCAAATCGAAGTGCCGCACGCTGTGGTGGGCAGTAAGAGCAGGTTGCTGGTTAAGGCAATCTTGAAACCGCGGAACTTTTCATCATGGTTCGGCCTTCAAGCAAGGGCGAGATCCTTCTCAAGATACAAGACCCTGAGCGCGTTGAGGCATGTATTGTACAAGCGTAGAGAGGTCGTGCAGGCAGCAGCGACCGTCAAACGCACATCGTTCATCAAATCGTAGTAAAACGATACACATGGTGGTGTTCAGGTTGAGGCCGGAGGATACTCGAAAAAGTCATCAGGGTTCCAAGCCTCGTCGCCTGGCGTAACCTGCCCGCTGTGGGCTGGTCCACCAACTGTGTAACTGCCGCCTTGAGAAAAGTCGAATAGGTCGTCGTTGTTGTACCATTCAGGATCATTGCCAAAGCCCACATCTTCCGGAATGGTGGGTGGCATTGATTGCGCGTGTTGCACGTTCTGCATGTCTTGGGGCGTCAAGGTCAGTCCCAGATTCATGCTGTGACCACGAGCGATTTGCGAGCTACCAGGTGTCTTCAAGGTCTCGTCGAACTGGTATTGATAGGTGGACGGCATTGAAGCGCCGGGTGTCATTTGCGAAGCATGGACGCCCATCATGAATGACGGATTTCCATCGAGCAGCTGCTGCTGGTTAAGAGGGAGGGTGGAACTCAGAGGATCAGACTCGTCATTGKATGTCCTGCTCCGTACGTCAGGTGGTTGCATGTGCAAGCTGGTTGGAGTAGAGGCAACTGGTGATGCCGAGGCGATTGAAGCGGTCCTGCGAGATCCTGGCGAGGGTAGCGAAAGAGACATACTTCGCGCGTCTGATAGCGGGTATGCGGGCAGCTCAGCCTGCTGCTGACTAGGGCTGTATGAGAACGACTCCGTTTGAATGATATTCGCATCTGGTTGTGGCAATTGATTTGGTGGATAGGTAGGCTGGGTTGTGTTCTGGGTGGGAGATGCTGTGAAGCCAGGATTTAATTGATGCTGCTGTTGCAACATCATTGTATTGAAGTGACGATGCTGGGCGGTGTTCTGATTGGCGTGGTAGATGGCCTCGTGCAAGTAATTTCGCATGCCAATTTGGCCGTACATGTAGTTGCTCACTCGGTCRGCGAAGGCGCTGTACGTCTGGCCAGGATGGAGAGCGTTGAATCGTTGATACCGCATAGGAAGGTCGTCGTCTTCCTCTTCGTACATCTCCTCGTTCTCGACATCTCGTTCAGTAACCCGCAGCGAGCGGCCTGTGCGTTTCTTGTGGATTTCAGATGCTCGGCGAGCAGATTCGACTCGAGCCTCGATACTGCGGTCGCTACGTCGAGATGCTGCAATGTATGCTCTGCGATGGATGAGTAATGGCCCACAGATGGATGGAATGAGCGACACACCTCTCCTGGTTCTCCTCGTGTGTTCTCTCTGTCTTGGCAGGCTGCCTGGGAGGCTGCTTGACAGGATTTGACGCCGTCCTGATTGGAGGCATTGTAATGGCGGTGTATTTGTGGATGCACTGATGAATGACTTTCGTCGGCAACTGCGGTGGAGTCAGAAATGCAGCCGAGGGCAAGCCAAGTGTTTCTTACTGGTGGTGTGGAGAGATGGAAGCTGTCAGATGAACGGTGCGATGAGAATACAAGCAGCAGCTGTGCTTACAGTCGTGCAGTGATGAACTTGGATGCAAAGAGATCTGTGATCTGGCTGGGGGGATGGAAATTAGGGATCCAGGAAGAGGAGATGGGAAGCCGGCGAGATAAAGCAGCCCGGCCGCTCAACGTGGAGCGATTCGCGAGCGGAGCTATGGAAGCTTTACATCCTGGGCGCTGGCGCAGGAATCGGTGAGCTGTCGAAGCCAAAACAGTGCAAGGTGCAGCCCAGAGCCCGCTCACGCTCGCCGGGTTCACGATTAGCCTCGCAATTCGCCGCTAGCGAGACGTCGGATGGGGCGACTTCGGCATGTAATTGGTTGGCGCGTTCCCGCTTCAGATTGGGTTTCCGACCAGATCTTGTCTAAGCCCCATACAACGTAGTTCGTGTGCACTGCATATGCAGAGCTCGCGGCCGGGATTAGGCAACGGCTTGTACGAGCGAGCTTCCTCATCCGGGGAGGTAAAAGCGACGTAAGGCGTGAGGCATGATCACCGATTTCTGTGGAGATGGCTTAGAATGTGTGAATGTTCTGCTCCTACTTAGGCGTGAGGAAAATGCGGTGCACCGGACGAAGCGGGCGCCGTCCACAGCATTCCCATCAGTTGGAATTCAGGATTTGCGGCCCACCCTGGAAGGAAGGCAATGTGCATGTAAACAAATTCGCATTCCTACAAATTTATTTACCATTCTGCCACTCCTGATTTCCTGGGATTGGCAAGCGCGCTCGGGTAATCAGCATTCGGGCTGCTAAAGACCCCTCGCATAAGCAAAGCATTGGCATCCATGTGGTAGGTACCACGAAGCCGCCTGGCTTTGACTCCACCGCGCGTCTTTTTCTGTAACAACTTCCATGCATCCGTTGACAAACACGGCGTCCACTCCGCATGTGACACGCGGAAGAGATCGTGAAATGTGCGGGTCCGATCTATACCACAGATTAGCGAGTGTTGATCTTTGCTGCTTTATCCCTAGACCGATCGAGAATCTGAGGATCGAGCGGCCGAATAGGAGACTGACTCGTGGCTTGGGCAGGCAAAACGATGTCATTCCGCATCCGCTCCGACTCCATCTCTTCAGAGTTCAATGAGGGTCGTTTGAAGGGTCCATCCGCAGTCTAGCACTGAGCGCTGCTGAGAGCCCAGTCGAACGGATTTGCATTGAAGCGTAAGCATGGATGGGGAGTCCRGACGCCCGCTATATCATCGACACCGAGGATGTTCCAGTGACAGAGTACCTTGCACATCAGATGCGAGACTCGCGGTGTTGTGGGCCGTCCGCAGGGAAGGCAGCATGACTAGGATGAGATGCAGGAGGGCTGCAAGCGCGATGGTACGTATATCGGAGTAATATCACGGGTTGTATCTCGAATTCAAAGAACGGTTGACCCCCTAAAGAAGGCCTGCAAAAGTGATTGGTATCTACTGTAGAGAGGGAGAGAGAGGTGCTGCGGATCCTTGTGTTGCACTTTCGATGCATGTGAGATTCTCACAAACTGCACAGGGTCTTCTACCCTATACAACCACAAGATACATGTTGGTGGCGACGGGAATAATGGTKTTTCGCAAGATCTCGAGGATCTCTGTGGTGCCTCTCGCACAGCTCGGAATCGATCTGCCGCATGTGGGTCTACCTAGGTACCCTTCAATYCGTGATTTTCGCTCTGGAGCCACGAGGATGGACGGGAGACATGACAAAGCTCAAGCGGATCAAGATCTGGATCGAGTGCCAGTCCCGACTGCGCTTGACGCACCGTTCTGTAGATTGTGACRAACGGTCAAGTCCAAATCTCACGTGGAAATCCTGGTCGTGGCCTGTGTGCTCCCCTCGTCCTTTGACGAACTCTATCAAGGGCGAGTGTTATTTTCCACTTAGGGCTGAACACAGTCTGAGGCCACCTTTATATCGGTCTCCGGACGCCAGTTTTTGAGGGTGTAGGACGACTGAAGGGGCGATTTCTTCACCCGGTCACTTCAGTAGACACATTTCTTTCTGACGGCGGCAAGGTTTGCATGATGTGGGTTCAATATCGTATTCGGTATCTACTGTCTGTCACACTTAGACCAAGCCTGGGGCAGCATCCGCATAAGCAGGTGATGCTGCAGAAACAGTGACAACAGGTGATGCAGGAATGTCCTCCAGGCCGAATCATGAACCAATCTCCCAACTCAGCCCGCAATCGCACGTGCCGTCGACCAACCCCAGTCCTTCGACGACGTGATATGGGAGAAGGCCCTAGGCCTCCTCAATTTGCTCGGGCTTGACCTCAGCGATGCCATCCTTCGCATCATCGTCGGCGTCGTCTTCRTCCTTGGTCGTGGCCTCCTTGATGTTCACGGTCTCCGTCGTCTCCTTCACGTCCTCCGCCTCGTCGTCATCAGCATTAGCCTGGGCGACGGCGATTGTTTGCATTTCCGCCTTCGATTTGCGACCGCGCTTGGCGCTTCCCTCGCCTGGCGTCTCAGTGGCAGCCCGCTTCTTGCCAGCGGCCTTGGACGTGGATGGCGCGGATGCGGTAGACTTGACCGTAGCACCAGCCGCAGGTGGCGGAACGCCGGCCAACACCTTTTTGCGGACGTTGAGATACGCAGTCGTAGCAGACGCCGGCGTCTTGTACCCTCCCATCTCTGCAAGTTTCGCGTAGTCGACCTAGCGCTGGTTAGCAAGCTGGCCTACACGGCATGGATCGAGGGATGAGTGCACACCTTTGGCAGCTCCGTAAAGCAGTGCCAGGCCATGGCCAGGATGCGTTGGTCGTTCTCGGTCAACATTACTTCGCTCATGATGGCGGTAGTTTGGGTGGTAGGTGATGGTGTTTGAGGGAGGAGAGTAGAAAGTGGTGGCGGTAAGTCAAGAGGAGTGGGTGTTGCTGTAGTGCTAAGACTTTCGGATGTTGAATGTTGGAGAGGAAGTGGTTTTGAGTAGAAGAAGGGCTTTTTATCCTTCCGCGGGCGAGGGTGGAGTCTGTCATTCACCGACAGACATGTGCTGCACCTACGAATCTTCACATGATTTAAATCGCAATCACCCTGATTCAGGTCCTCCTTGAAGTCAGAGCATGCATAGTTTTGGTACTCACTGCTAGAGCTGCATATGTCAAGGACTATCATTCGTGGTTCATTTCGACCAGGATTCCCCCAACGCAGTCACGCGACGGCGCGCTTCGCAGTCCGTTGGTTGACCTGCCCATCTTTCGTACGCCGCAACTCCAGTCCCATTCGTGAGCCGACATCCCAGAGGAGCAATCTAGAAACCGCGACCGCCGCCCCGACCTCTACCTCTGCCACCACCTCCGCGCCCGCCTCCACGCCCACCACGAGGACCACCGCGTCCACCCCGCATTGGCGGCGCAGCGCTCTTGTCCTGCTCCTTACGCGCCTTGTTCTTCGGTTTCGGGGTATCGTCGATGAGCAGTGTGTCGAGTGGTAGTGAGTCGGGAAGGATGTAGTATCTGATCTCGCTGCCACGAATGCTGACGTGGTCGAGCGAGATCTGTGCACCGCCCTTGGGTGTCATCTTTGCATTTCGGAGGTTCGTATTCATCTGTGGGGAGACGGATGCGATCGTGCCCTGCACGATCGTGCCTGCAAAGGACGGTTTAGTGATTTGGCGCATATGCATTAGAGGTTGGTTGGTCTTWCCGGTCTTAAGTTCGATCGTCACCGTTTCATTTGTGCACTTCATCAAGAACCTACCATGCCTGTCAGCCAGGCCCCAATGATCGCAGCCTTTAGAGGTCTCGTTCAGCATGCGCCAGGCTTGCTATGCGGTCTTGGAGTCTATCTTACCTGACGAGCTTCATCGCGGCGGCTGTGCGTCTGCGCGTCGATTCTTCGATACTCGGTTCGTATGGCTAAAACAGATGAGCTCCGGCACTGCGCAGGCTCTGGAAGTTGGGGATAGTGGTGGTTGGTGGTTGCTGTCGGAGCTTTGCGAATGTGAAGTTCTATGGTTTTGGGAGAATAGTACGCTAACCAGGAATGGCTTGAATCCGCAGGAGGTCTCTTCCTTCGATTCCCAGACAGCAACGATAACTCGTGGGATGACAACTCGGAAAGTGAAAACCATTGAGTCCAACGTCATATAGATTCATTCGCTGCAAAATTTGTCCACGGGACATCGCTTTGGACTTGTTGCATTCAAGGATCCGAATCTTCTTGGACAATTTCTTCCAGGGTTAGGGTTGTGGTAGTAGCGATGTTCCAACATTGCATCTTAAATGTATGCTTTGAACGAGTTGATGAGGGCAACCGAAGCAGTACAACAGGAGGTATAATCATGCTAACTTTTGTTACATGGTTGTTTACCATGGTTCTGTTTGGCTGGAAAGCTTTAGTCGATTCGGCCACATACATCGATGTCGACGACCAGACAACAGCAACGAGTCAACATGCTACGAGCGAGAATATTAACACGCAGCATCGTCGACGATGTCCGATTCAGAACAGGGAAATGCGGACTAAAAAGGAGATGCAAGAATACCTCCTTGCATCTCAAGCCAGCGAACTCGAACTCGACACATGCCCGATACATTCATTGCATACAGCAAGCCAGCAATTCTTCATAATTCATGATCCAGCATCATTCAACGAGTATCCTCCACCTTCTCCCATTCGCTATCGGTTGACACCTCACTAGCACTTGAGCCGACATCACCAGCGCGTCTAGATCTCGCATCGACCACACCGCTCTTGGCCTGTAACCCTGAAGACGTTGCCTGCCCACTTGATGTGACATCGTCCACTACCAGTTTCTGCCCTGTTTCACCCAGCCTCGTAGGCTCATACGACACACTATCCCTCATTCCACTACCTTCAACCTCCGTATCCTCCCCCTCGTCATCTGCATGGTCGCCCTTTGTCCTCCACTCGCTCTCTTCTCGCTTCTTCTTACGTAGACGCTCCGCCTCCACTTCCTTGCCCTTTGCTTGTTGAAGCTCATATGCGAACCAGTTGATGCTATACCACAGGCCACCGCACAGGAAACTCAAAATCGCAAAGTGAATGCTATATGTCGCGAAAAGCAAACCTCCAAGGAGGATTTGGAGGCAGGCGAATGTAGCGTTGGTTGCGATCAGGAGAGTGGGAGTTGTGCCGGGCGTAAAGACGGACTGCCAGAGATTTGTGATGAAGTCGGCCATGTTGAGATGAGGTAGCTCTGGTCAAGCTTCCAGTGGGCGAGTACCGGGTTTTTAATTTCTAGAGCTTTCACTTGTCTCGCACAAGGTTGGTCACAGCACTGCGGACTCTCTCAGTCACGCGCCGAGAGTGAAGAAGTGCCGATCTGAGGCCGGTAGCTTGCTCGCCCGGAATTAGCGAATTGGATATCTTGTTATGTCTTTGACACGATGATCTTGCTCGTGCCGTATGACCGGGTGAATCTATCGAGGTGAATGAGTATCTCCACCAGAAATTTCAGACTATCGTAGCTAGCATGAGGTCGAAAGAAACGTAAATGTAGCTGGAAAGGCAGCAGGCGAAGCGGTGCAGTGTGGAGTATGAAGTGTCACGAGCCGAGATGATCGCGTGACGACAGCGTGCAGGCCTTTAGTAAGCATGATRAAACAGCTAAAGTAGGTAGAACAGGGAGCGAAGGGAGAACATGACCGTGATCAATTCGTTGCTTMATTGTAGATCATATATTGACCGCACCGCAGTCTTCCAAATTCATAAAGAAATATATCAACCTTGCTAAGAGAATGTCGGAGTTGGAACCCGAGAAATAGAAAAATAGGCCGTCGGAAATTAACCTCGCTCTTGCATTGCATCATGGTCAATTCCAAGCGTTTTAAAGAGCCGCGCTACTCATGACCGCCATTCAGGATGCACGCAAGGTAGCCGACCAGGTCAATCTTCTTATCGGGGCACTTCGGGCCTTCTGGCTTTTTGGTCGGAGTTGGCTTTGGAGGAGTTGGCTTAGGGGGAGTGGGCATAGGGGGAGGGGCCGGCTTGGTTGTTGTTGACTTCTTGGTGGTGGTAGTCTGCTTTTTGGTAGTGGTGGTTTCCTTTTTGGTGGTGGTCGTCTCCTTTTTTGTGGTGGTCGTCGCCTTTTTTGTGGTGGCTGTTGTCTTTTTGGTCGTGGTGGCGGTTGTATACTCGGTCGGAGATGGTTTCTTGGTCGTGGTGGCAGTTGGGTACTCAGATGGAGAGGGTTTCTTAGTAGTGCTTGTCTAGAGTGTCTAGTGTTAACGCGTTGCTAAGTTGATACACGCGAAGGGTGTATCTTGCTTACCTTCCAGGTTGATGATGTGGTGGTTGGTTTCTTCGTTGTCGTTGCCTTCGTTGTGCTCTTCTCCGTGGTCGTCTTCTTCGTGGTGGTTGCCTTTGTGGTACTCGAGGTAGACGTTGTCAGGGACGAAGACGAGCTCGTCGTGGTCGCCTTTGTAGTACTCGAGGTAGACGTCGTCAAAGACGAAGATGAGCTGGTCGTTATTACAGGACTTGAGGTGGAGATTGAAGACGAGGTCGATGAAGTCGACGACATCGTGGTGGAGCTCGAGGTGCTGCTGACGGGGGGCTGAGCATCGCAGGCGTTCACAATGTTGGTGTCGAGGGTCACTGCAGTACCGGCATACAGTCCACCATCTACGGAAGCTCCGGTGGTCAGGGTGACGGCTGCCTGAGCCAAGATGTTGCCAGAGAAGTCGGACTCTGTCCCAAGAGTGACCGAAGTTCCAGCGAGAACAAAGACATCACAAGCAGAGGCCCCATTTGTGAGAAGCACGCTGGAACCCGAAGCGGTGGTGAAACTGGAAGCGAACTAGGCACCCAGAATGAGGCGGGTTAGCAATATGTCGAGGAGCTTATATGCCTTGTAGCCTGTTCGATATCTGTCTTACCTGGAAAACGTAGGTTCCACTGCCTGAGAGGGTAAGGATTCCAGTAAGGGTCACTGCGGTGTCGAAGTTGTAGACGCCGGGAGCCTGTGTAAAAAAATGTTGGCCATGCTCAGTACTCAGGGGAAGGGTCAAACGATGGAGAGGCACATCGAACGGAGACAGGTTCGCGTCATTGCTGCCACTACATTGTCCGCCGATCTACTCACCAGAGTCAGGCCACCGATCTCAGCCAATCCTGCGTAATCCACAGTTGCTTCAAGAGCGGAACCCTGATCGTACGCCGATTGGAAGTCGGCATCTGCGGTGGCAGCAGCAGCGGTTCCGACCTCGAGCGAGCCCGAGAAGACTCCCGGAGGAAAGCCAGTGACGGCTACAGTATGTGTTAGGACCTAGAAGTGGTCTGGAGCTCTTTCGTTGGAAGCTCACAATCTCCCGTAGTCCCGACACTTCCAGTAATGACAGTGAGTCCAGTGTTGGTCACTCCAGCAGCGCCCAGAGCATCAAACGAAGATGCAGTTCCCAGATCAACAGTCTGAAGCAGTTAGTAAAGCGCCTTGCTTGGAGTATGGGTTATAAGCACACCTGTGCATTGCTCAGAAGAGCGCTGCCCAAGAAGCAGTAGATCGTGTTGGTGATCCGCATTTTGGCGGTTGAAGTAAAAGGTAGAAGAATGTGTGGAGAAAGATGGGAATTGAACAATGAGTGAGTGAGTGTCAGGCACTGTTTAACCTGTGTTGCTGATGCTATCAAACATTCCAGTATCGAGAAGGGGGATACGCTTTATACCTCACCTGCAATCGCTACCTTGCTGTCGTGGTTTCCAACCTTCCGGCATGGAGATCTAGGCCATGTCTAGCATAGGCGCGGCCGGCTAATCTTCGTGATAATGTCCTAAACGTTGGATTTACCCATGCTTGCCTTGCATCCAAGCAGCCGCGATGGAGGGTCATCGAACTAAGTGATTCATTGACCGAGACTTGCATCCACCTCCTTGACACCCTTGAGCGGTTCTTGCAGTGCGGGAGTCGCCACTCGCGTGGCAAGTGGAGAACACCATGAAGACAACCGGCTCGCGTTGCTGAAAGCTTTGGCGGCGACCAAGGATCATTGATAGAAGCACGTGTATCAGCGGCTCTCGTGCAGGCGTCATGACGAATGAGAGATGATGTTTGCACCGGAAATATGCCCTGAGGCCCTACGGGGCGTCAGGCACGCAGGAAAATAGACCGAAGCCCTGTCCACGGCTAAGGCCCATACCGCTCGTTGTGACGTGGAATCCTGCTTGAAATCTGGGTCTGGGTTGTAAACGAGAAGGTCTCGTGCATCGAATAGGCTAGCTTCAAAGAGGGAATTCCAGAGTTTCCAGTACCTTGGATCGTGCCGTGAAGTGAATCTCAACTGACCAATGAGCGTCATGTAGTCTGCTGCGGGTACTGCGATTGATATCGTGACTGATATACCGCTACCTGACATGCCGACACCCTCACTCCGCCGCAGGGGTCTTGACAGATGTCAGGTTGCAGGGACGTCGCCAAACTAGGGCACAGCTGCTTTTCGTTTCGCCTGCTCTCGGCGGCGAAAGCATTGGCGTTGCATGGCGAGAAGGATACATGTCTGGGCTTAGAGACCCAGTGGGTCATGATGCGTGCTCCGCGAAAGCCACAGCGCAGCATCAAAGAGAGCCTACTCCTACTCCACCAGACAGTGGAGATATCGACTCTGAATTCTCGAACCGAGAGGTTTGCAACTTCCGTTGACGGGTACCAGCATCAGGGTTCCAGAAGCTCAGCCAGATGACGCCTAAGCGATTGAGAAGGCTGTCGCGCTTCAATGTGGACTTTGCGGATCGTCTTCACGCCACATGGTGGTGTCTGGTCTCGCGATGGCCAACCCGCCTGTGTATAGACCCGACAAGTATCAGTGCCGATACGGCAGGAGTAGCCAGGAGGCTATGCGGATCATCCAGTACCTGCTGTTCGCATGGTAGCGCCGAGTTCACACGAGCCCGCGCGGGTTCACCTGTGATTGTGTGCAGCCTGTTCGCTTCGGAGCCGTCGTTTGGCATCCGGCACCGAGCCATTCGCCACGTGTTTAACGATCGTGCATCGCTAGGTTGAGCTGAGGTTTTAGCGGAGCGACATGGAGCGGGTGACAGCAGAAGTTGTGCGTCAACAAAAGATCGTCCCTTACAAGTTACAGATGCCGGAAGGCAATCTTCCATGGTGGTTCGGACGCGGACGCTTTCGGACCGTCCCCTAGAACTAGCCTCGGAGATCTGTCCGAACTCGACGCTCGGGCACTGTCGTGGGCGGTGGAGACGACACCCTCAATCGCTTCGCTACCTACTAACACGAGTATGCCTTGTACACGGTCTACAACGTAGAGTTCTCATCGCATTCCAATACAGTTGCCGGCACGACTGCYGCAAGAAAATGGTGTGATCATCTACTCTCTTTCGCTCATGAGATTTACGCGATTGGCCACATCCGGTTTGTACTCATTCTGGCGCACCCCACAAAACTATGGATCATCCTTCAATCTAAGCACCGAGACTCGTGAAAGAGATGGAAGGTGGCTGGAACGCGATCATGCATTCGTTGCGCATCGTTGCCCGACCGTACTATGCCCTGCAAATGAGTCCACGCCGGTGATCGCCCCCAAAGACGCCAGTCACACCGACGACAGGCGTTGAGCACCACCCCCCCCAAGGCTACGACGTTCGCCAATTACTCTAAGCGACTCTGCTCAGGTCGTAAGTCTTCTAACTCCATCCTATTATGCAAATGGTTCCGGACAGGTAAAAACAGAACCCTCCGGCGCATTGAAGAGATGTGCATCATCGTAGTAATCGATCGAGTAGTCGATCGCCACACACTTGCCGCCTCCAGTCGAACCGACGCTGGGGCAGTGCTTCTCTGGTCTAGAAGCCGCCAAGGTCAAATAGACTGTGCGGCACGCGAGGTTGTCGCCCCATCTATGCAGAGCGTCAGCCTTCTWCGGAAGATACAACGATGGGTGACTTACGCCTCATCAAAACTCCCGAATGGCTTGCTGGAAAGCTGTGTGCTGCAGTCTTCGACGCTACTGAACTGCTGTGCTGACCCTGTGCATATGCTCTGAATTTGTGGACACAGTCCTTGCGGAGCCATTTGTTGGATGGTCATATTGGAGTAATCAATCCCAGTCGACGCTTGTGTCCACGCCTGGACGTTTGGACTCCACGCCTGGTACTTCTCAACGGCACCCTGGTCATCAAATCGCCAAAACACGATCTTCCTCATGAATTAGTAACACATACTGTTTGGAATTCCTTCGAAGAGACCCACCTGCGAGAGAGTACTGGTTGGTGCACTCCTGTCCAGCTCACCACTTTCGCTGACGATACCAGTCCGAAGGTAAACCACCGAGGATGCCACTTCCGGGCAAGCAGAGACGAAATTGACGACGTCGGCTTTGTAGATGGCAAGTCCAGAGCCATTCCGAGGCGCAGGTGCAAAAGCGAAGAACGATTCCCAGGCTGTACGTTGCAATCAGCTTCATGTCTCGCAATGCATGCTCGTAGGAGACTTTACATACCTTCCGAGAATCCTACAAACTCCCCGACGGGCGAGAATCGTCCTGTAGCATTCGAGCTGAAAAGGTTCGGAGGGACACTTGCATCACCTCCCGTGATTACTGGCACATTCTTGGGATAGACTGTAAGGTCGTAGATTGTTTCGATGGTCTTCAAGTTCCGGGCGGACCAGGTGTTTTCAGAGGATCCAGCTTTCTCGCAGGTAGCAGAAGCGTAGGACGCTGGTTGAGATGGCACGGCAGCAGACAAAGAAGCAGAGAGTGCTGCGCAGACGAGAGCGTGCCGTAAAAAGGTCATCGTGCAGGTGTCGACAACGCGTAAAAGACTATTCGCAAGTACTCAAGGTGTAGGGGAAGTGATGAATGGAAGAAGATGCTCGAGTTGCATGACCGCTTTTGTACTTACTCTCACTCGGTATGCTGTGAGGTGACTTCAGATTTTGAGTTGGCCAGGGCATGCCTCATCCTAGACAACGGACCAGCGGGAAATTGTACGTTTACATGCTTCAAAGCAAGCATGAAACCCAGGCGGCTTTGAAGAATCGCCGTTCCGAAGTGTTTTTTCGGATCCAGCTCTCCCAGTGGCAAGAATGCYAGAGTCTGACAACCAGACCGCTCATGGAGGGTCAGATTGGGAACATGTTGCACAGCTAGGTGGACATGGATATACGCCAAAGGGAACTCACCACGCTGGGCTGTGAAGCAAAGAAGAGTCCCACCAGTCCTGGGTTAGATTCATCACCCACAGCCCCAGTCCTGCATAACGTGTGCAAGGAGGAAGTCGTAATGCATAGAAGTCGTTAGCGTCTCTTGGCACCATTGGCTGTACTATTCCTGTATTGCCCTCTGTATTAACACCCCTTTTCCTGGCCTTGACAGGCCGCTCCAGGTTGTGTTCGGGATAGCGAGAGTATGGTGGTAGTGATGGTAGTGGATTAATCAAATTGCCTAGATAGATGTGAGTTGCGTGAATGTTTGAGGATTGATTGTTACGGCTGTTGCCAGCCCCTATGAGGCGGTTTATTCGATCACTTGATGGTTAGATTGACGCGCTAACGAGCCAGGATTGATTTACTGGTTAGTGTATAACCGCAACATCGGCAGTCTACGGCAACTCGCATTACATAGCCTACGGGGTCAGTTATACAGAGTCAAATCTGCAACGGGAATGTCTCGGCCTCCCCAGGCGATGTTTGGTGTGTTTAACGAGGTTGCCAACGGGATCATGAGCGCCATCTAAATCTTTCTGCCTAGAACACATCGAGGAAGGATAATAAACCAATCGAGTGTCTGCGATCGAGAGGTTTTGGTCTACTTCGCATCTAGACAGGTGGACATCTTCCGAGTGGAACTTGCCGGCTGCAGATTTGACTCTGTACTCGGAATCTAGCAGGCTCGCGTCGGCCGTCAGCATAGTTATAATTATACTACCCCCACAGTGCGATGCAGATCGAAACTGTGTTGCTGGTCACAGGAATCCAGGATTATCCTAGCAATCCTCATGCCATACCAGGATGTCGGGGATTACCGTACTCCGCACAAACGTACGACGGACGACGTCAACAGCACGTGGGGATTAGAATTACCAATCCACGAGGAAACCTTCATTATGGAAGGATCGGAATCTCGAACCACCGAGCGATGTCACTTTATTCCTCCCTGCTCTCTCCGGAGAACTCCTTCTGCACGAACCAGATGGGACGCAGGCGTAATGGATCCCGTCAAGAAAGGGAATCGTTCCATGAATGGCGTCTTCTCTTGCTTGCTCAGGTCACCAATCTTAGAGTCATGGCGGTGAATAGGGAGATGAAACCGAGTGTGATGGAGGATATAGAGGGAGCTCCTCGATCCATAACATGAAGAGATACTGTATGGGTCTACACCAGCTCTTGATTCAACGAGGACTTCATTCCGTTCAATCCAGCAGATCGTGTAGCACACCACGTTCTGCTAAAGCACTGAGCCAGCCCCTGATAAAAGGGCCATAGTCATGCTTCCGCAATCTCGCATCGTCTTCCCCTTCATCAGGAGCTTGTAGAGCATCACGTAAGCCGGATCTGAGCATCGTCTGCTCCTTGAGAATACTTTGTCGGTAATCGATGAGCGTGATAAGATCATCTTCACTGGCAATGAAGTCCTCGGCAGACGGAGGTAGTTCTGCATCGTCGATGTCTTTTTCGCTGATGCCAAACTCAATCGAGATGCCTGAAATGACGTCCTTCCTTGTCTCTCCACCTTCCATGGACCTCCAGTCATCGTCCAGGCTTTGCAATTTGAGGTCAACAGCCTGGAGCTTTTTGACATTCTCAAGAAGCTTTCTTTGTTCGTCGAAGAAAGGATCACGAACGACGGCCATAAGGTTGTACCAGGCCGATGGATTACTGTTCATTCGACTTTTTATCATCGGTGTCACAACGTCAAGCCAGTCGCCGGTGCCACCATCGGCTCCATTACCTCCTACTTTGAAGGAGCCTAGATCTTGTGGATACCTGTTCATGCCATCCAGTTTCCAGACATGATCCCCAACGGGCACATAAGCCACGTAATGAAACCCAGCATCCGGTTCCTCGTAGTCGGCAGCGGTGACAACCTTCCGTGGCTGGGGAGCCCGAGTTGACCGTCGTGGCGGCTCTACGGGCATCAAGACTTGAGTGTTGGCCTTCGACCGTGATTTGAAGCCAGGATCTGAGTCTTCTGATATGTCGCTCGGACTAGATTCAACATTCGTCACGCGTTTGCCATCCGGCGTGGAGGTCTTGGCATGCATATCTGCTTGTCTCGCTGTGGGCCTGCGAAGTCTTCCGGTGCTGTTGGTAGCAAGTTTAGTTACATCGGTCGAAACTTCTTGCAACCGGCCCTTCTCTACCATCTCAGCCTTGTTGGCCTCCTTCGTCTCGCGAGCTTTCTTCTGTGATGCATCTTTCTTGGCTCGCTGAACCTTATCCTTAGTAACCATGTCTGCGCTGAGCATGTCTGTCATTCGGGCGAAGGAGTTATGAATGCGCTTAACAAAATCGAAACTGTCGATAGTGTCGCCTCTCATGAGTGGATCCATGTCCCTGGTAAATTCTTTGAAGTCCCGGAGCTCTCTGCCCAGATCAAGGTGAGGGATGTTGTTGACAAGATTGAGTAGTGCGACGGAGGCGCACGCGAATTCGGGCACCTGATTGGCAAACCAGACGTTTTCCGCGTGCTTGCCAGCATCATCAATGGAATGGTCTGCATCGGTGTATTGGAAAAGGAATATGAGACCATGAACTGGAAGGCTGAGCGTATTTGATCAGCAAAGCATCCTTATTTTCAAGACGAACCATAACTCACGGCAATCCGTACATCCAATTTTCGTCGAGCGCGGGAATCTCTCTGATAGCGACGCCTCGTATGCCCATTTCTTTCAGCAAGATTTGGAAGACAGCCGGGTCGCTTTCCAACTCCATCCATCCCGGCCAATTGTTGCGATCCGGAGGATGGAGAGGCCCATCTCCTGCTGCTTTGCGTTTGACAGGCGGCATTCTTCTGCTCCCGGATGAGATGTCTCCTGGTTGCGATTGAGATGAAGAAGAGAGCGAGCGCGGGCAGCGTTCAAGTGCGGAAGAAAGGCGGAGACAAAATCAGATTCTGCCTTGTTTGCTGCCGAACAGTACGTGCAGCGGCGAAACACGGGATGGAAGAATCCATTGACGTGTTTGCTGCCATTCTTGTTTGAAATTCTGATGCATTCGGGTGAAGTTGCGTACGAGATCCCACAAGACATGGAAAGTTTTGGCCTGAGCGCGTGCCTGAAGTCTATTTCCGAAAGCGCGTCTTCTTCCGCGAAGAGCTCTCAAAACATTCACAACTTCGTGTGCACCCTCTCCGCCGACATTCTATACACCAACCACGGGTGCCATCCTTCGAGAACGACTCCTCAAAGCACACCATTCCATCGAGATCATCTGCGCATCCACCACACCGGCGACGGGACGAGAAACGGCAACTCTGGATGCACGAGTGAGATGAAAGATACAACTGCATCATAGGAGCCATGGAAGGCACACCGCGCCTCCGCAGCGCGTTCCCGAGCACTCCGCGACGGGATTCACGAGATGGGAGAGACCGTATTCCTGCGCCCAGATTTGGGGCACGATCAGCACCCGCACAACAGAGGCCGCTTCCACAGATTCCCACCCTCGAAACACGGCCGACTCCCGCGTCCGCACCGCTCATCCCGGAGACGGTCATTGATGCACCCTCACAACGACTCTATGTCGTCGCCTTCTGGGTTGCGCTGTGGACGTGGCGGTTGTACGACTTTAGCGGCTTGCAGGATGCGGAGGAGCAGAGTCTCTGGCTGTTTATGAAGTGGGTCGCAATAGATGGTGTATTCCTGTTCGGACTGCCCGGCATGCAGATACCCTGGCTGGAGTGGAGCTCGGCGACGATGACTTTAATCTTTGCGGCACATGCATTTGCGGACGGCATGCTCATGTTCCGCGTGCCCATCCCGCTCGGCATGTGGCTCGCATTTCTGTGGAGAGGTGTCTGGGRCGCATATGAGACTGCCGTGAATGAACACAATGTCAATCCGGACACCATCAGGTTCAACGATACCCTTATCTTGGGACGGCAGGTCATCCATATCTTGCCCGAAGGCTCGGCGATACTGAACCCCGAACGAGAGACATTCTGCATTGACGATGTCAAAGTCGACGTGAGATTGCCCATAATGATCAATGCCACGAACCCAATCGCAATGGACATTCTGCGGGTGGACTTGGACACCCAGGCCAACGAGACTCTACACATTAGCAAATCGCAGATCAAGGCGATGCACAAGGAGGCATCTCGCCTAATCTCTTACAGCACTAACCCCAACGAACCGAAGACGCTTTACTACACGGTAAAGAAGCCGGGTTTATACGCATTGATGAAAGTGCTCGACGAGTCGAATCTGGAAGTCTCGCGAAAGAAACTCGCGCACACGGTCATCGTGCCATGCCCCAAAGCCAAAGTGCTGCAAACGAAGCCAAACAGCTGCCGCGGCGAGCTCGCGCAAATCGAATTGGAAGCCACTGGCACACCACCATTGAAAATAAAGTATCGCAAGGTAGTCAACAAGAACACCGCCCATGCGACATTCGAGAACATTCAGCCGGAGGACTTCATTTCACCTCTCTCGCGCCAGGTCCAAAATGCCTTGGTCGTCCCCAACAACGTGAAAGTGGAGTGGGCCAAAACGCAGGTGATCAAGGTTCCACTCAGCGAGGGTATGACTGTTGCTGGCAAGTGGGTGTATGCGATTGACGAAGTTGTCGATGGTTTTGGAAATGTGGTCAGTTACTCCAACCGTGAGCAAAAGCAGCAAGACACCAAATCGAAGTCGCCCCATCTTCACCAAACGATCATGGTACACGAGCGGCCAACCGTCCAAATGAAAGGATGCAGTCCACAGCGTCCACTGAAGGTGGCCAAGGACAAGACCGCCAGCATGCCGCTTCAGTTCGGCTCAAGTGGACGTGGAGCGGTGGACTCGGCGTACAAGATTGAGTATCTGTTCAGCCCGGAGCTTGAACTGGGCTCGAATGGGGACCATGGACCTACACCCGAGAAAATGGAGGCAACGATCCAGGACACGAACAAGCAGATTCCGATCAGTCGTCCCGGTCTCTACACCATCACGAACGTCGCAAGTGGCTTCTGTACTGGCGAGGTGCTGGAACCCGCATCATGTTTGCTTCAGAATCCGCCCAAGCCCAACCTTACGATAGACAGCCAAGAGATCTTCGACAAATGTGCAGGGCGTCCAATTGGCTTGCACGTCGACCTGGATCTGGTTGGGACACCGCCATTCGAGATTGTGTACAAAGTGACTCACGAGAAACGTCACCACGAAGAAAAAGTCATTCGCCTGGACACCCACCGAGGGTCGGTCGATTTCACGCCCAGAGAGGCTGGCGAATACAGCTACAGCTTTGTGAAAGTCAGCGACGCTGTCTACCAGAACGAGAAGCCAAACCCGCCACCCGCTCTCCACCAACAAGTCAAGCCTTTGGCATACGCGAAGATTACCACAGGACGGAAACAGACGATATGTATCGATGAACGAGCATCCTTCGATGTCGCTCTTGTCGGCGAGCAACCATTTAATCTGGATTATGAACTGGTGCACAACGGCAAACGCAAGAAAGAGAGCATGACAAACATAACATCAAATCTCGTGACATTGAACACAGAGCCTCTTTCAGACGGTGGCGACTATACTCTTGGACTTGTCAGCATCATCGACCAGATGGGTTGCAAAGAACCTTTGGAGGAGGAGCTAAGCTTTGCCGTACGCCACCAGAAGCCCAAAGTAGGCTTTGGTCTTGTGGACGCTGGACGCGCGATCAACACACACGAGGGCGCAAAGGTGCAGCTTCCTCTTCGCCTCGTTGGAGAGGCTCCCTGGGCTGTGCTTTATCGTGACAGTGAAGGAGTCGAGAAAACTGCGGTCGCCAAAGACCCCAACGAGAAGATTGCTGTCGACCGTGATGGTATTTACACGCTCCTGGCCGTATTTGACGCTTCTTGCCCCGGAGTTGTTGATGAGCCGGCAAAGGAGTTTAAGGTCAGCTGGATTCCTAGACCAGAGCTTCGCATTGCTCCAAATCAAGCCAAGGATCGAAAAGGGGACATCTTCATCAGGGAAGCTGTCTGCCAGGGCGACGAGGATGCGGTTGAGATGGTGTTCARTGGCTCACCGCCATTCACTGCGAACTATGTGCAGTATGTCAAGCCGGAACATGGCGCTGTGACCCCAAAGAACAAAGAGATCAGAGCAGCAGTAGGAGTGGCATCTCTTCGATTGGACACCTMTCAGGCAGGCTTGTATGAGTACAAGTTCTCTAAGCTAGCGGACAGCAATTACGAGGACAACCAGAAGCACTTCACGCCGCTCACCGTACAGCAAAAGGTCAATTCTAGACCATCGGCAGCCTTTGCAACGCCGGGAAAGACATATGGCTATTGCTCAGTCGAGTCCGAAGGCGAAGAGGTCATTCCAGTCAAACTTGTTGGTCAGCCACCGTTTGAGCTGGAGGTCGAGATCAAGCACCACGGTACCATCAAGCCAGAGGAAGCCCACTACGCCAACATCGACGCGAACACACACGACATCCGGATACCGCACTCTCGTCTGCATCTGGGCAAATCCGCCGTCTCGCTTCGCCGCGTAAGTGATGCGCGCGGCTGCACTCGCAGTCTTGACAGCACCACGCCGCGTGTACAGATATCGGTCCACGATGCGCCGACTATCACACCACTCGAGACCAAGACCGACTACTGTGTGGGTGAATTTCTCAACTTCGCATTGTCTGGTGCCGCACCTTTCCAAGTCTTTTACACCTTCGAGGGTGCTGCCAAGAAAGCCACTGTTTCCAGCGGCAACACATTCCGCCGGCTGGCAGAGAAGCCTGGCACCTTCGTTATTACCGGCCTACAGGACTCTGCTTCAGCATGCCGTGCGTCGGTCAACATCACCAAGCTCATTCACGGTATGCCCTCTGTCCGCGTCTCTCGTGGAAAAGATGGCTACGTGGACATCCATGAAGGTGGCCAGGCCGAGATCCTCTTCGACTTTGGAGGGCAGCCCCCTTTCGAGTTTACTTACATTCGTAGCTCGAACACCGACAAGAGTGGAAAGAAGGGTGTTGTTCTAGACATGCGCAGTGAGAGCAGCGACGAGCATAGTATGAGTATCTTGGCGAGCGAGGAGGGCACGTACGAGGTTATTTCCATCAAGGACGCGTATTGTGCCTATACCAAGCCCGGAGTAAAGGTCGAGCCGGACAAAAGGAAGAGATTGGGATACTGATTGTGCAGGATTTTTTTTTTGTTGAAAGCTCGCATGGCGATGGCGTTCGAATGTCGATGAAAAGGGAGTAACAATTGTGTGATCTGTTTTAGGTAGGTCAAGAGATTCTACTTCAAATGCAATGCTGTAATGACCAAGCTGACTTCCTTCTTGGAGGTCATTCGATATGTCCTGTTGGTGGAGTAGTAGACTCCATCTGCTCCAATCACGTCATGGTGATTGATTCTTCTAGCTCTGAGTTTGACAATGCGCATACTGTAAATGGCACAAAGAGAGCCGATCAACACACCTGCAGCTGCAGATCACATAAACGATGACGACAGTTCAACGACATGACAGCACGCTGTATGCGTATGTCGAGCAGTGTACACTTTCGATTAGTACATTTATCTCGGACTTCTCCAACTTGCGGGCGTAGGTGWCGAAGATTCGCCGCCGGCCGGAATCTGCAATCATGAGTGACGAGATGAAATCACTAGACGACTCCAAGCTATGCGACCAGAATGATGGCAGCATAGAGACCATTCCAGATGTGCTCCAGCATTCTAAATCTGGCCGCGAGGACCCGTTTGGGGACGAAACCGACGCAGGAGTCAAATACCGCACCCTCGAATGGTGGCAAGCGGGGATGATTATGATTGCGGAGTCTGTGTCCCTAGGAATCCTCTCTCTCCCTTCAGTTCTGGCCACTCTTGGGATCGTTGGCGGTGTTGCACTCATCGTTGGACTCGGTCTCATCTCGACATACACAGGCTWCGTCTATGGACAATTCAAAGAGAGATACCCCCATGTGCATAACATGGCGGATGCCGGCGAGGTGATGTTTGGTCCGGTGGGGAGGGAGATTTTAGGAACCGCACAAGTGTGAGTTTTTCTTCTTGTTGGCGATGATGATCAAAGCGTGAAGACTGACGCTTGATAGATTGATTCTCATATTCGGAATGGGAAGCCACATTCAGACGTTTACTATCGCTTTTAATGCTATGACGGGGCATGCTACCTGCACGATTGTATGGGCCGTTATTGGAACTATGGTGCTGTTCTTGTTCAGTTTACCCCGAACGTTGAAGAATGTTGCACATTTCTCAATTGCATGTATGTTCAACACCAGCTCTCAAAGGCGGACATGTAAAGTTGCTGACCACGCCTCAGCTTCCATCTCGATCCTGGCTTCTGTTCTGATCACCATGATTGCGGTCGGTATTGAAAAGCCAAATCCTGTTGTACAGGCGACAGTACGAGTTGGGTTTGCGCCGGCATTCCAAGCTGCAACCAATGTTGTCTTCGCATATTGTAGGCTTGATTCACAAGACATTTCCTAGTGCAAGGCTGTTCGCTAACTTGTCTCCCTCCAGCTGGACAAGTGGCATTCTTCTCCTTCATTTCAGAGATGAAGCAGCCAAGAGACTTTCCAAAAGCTCTCTACCTACTCCAGACCGCCGAGATCTGCCTCTACACGGTTTCTGCTGTTGTGATATACAGATATGCTGGTCCCGAGGTTGCCAGCCCAGCATTGGGCAGCTCTTCAGCTGTTGTGAAGAAAGTTGCATATGGGATAGCACTACCGACGGCAAGTATGAGAGCTTGTTTCCATTTCGAGGATACTGACTGTTTGGCCAGATTGTCATCGCAGGCGTGATATACGCACACGTAACGGCAAAGTATATCTATGTGCGCCTCTTTCGAGGTACTAGGCACATATCTTCAAGAACCTGGTTCGCAGTGGGTTCCTGGGTCGGTATCATGGCTGTTCTGTGGATCATTGCTTTGATCATCGCTGAGAGCATTCCGACGTTTAACGACCTGCTTTCCCTGGTATCTTCGTTGTTTGTCTCGTGGTTTACATTTGGMCTGGCGGGTGAGTACTCACGTTCTCGCTTACGTTGCATGTGTTAATCAATGAACAGGAATCTTCTGGCTCTTCATGAACCGTGCGAACGAATGGAAAAATTGGAAGAAATCAATGCTGACGATCGTCAACATTCTGCTGATTGTTCTTGGAGCAACGATATGCGGTGTTGGCTTGTATGCCAGCGGCAAGGCTGTGCATGAAGACTCCAAAAATGGTGCGAGTTGGAGTTGTGCAAACAATGCAATGTAGGTAACTTTGGCCTTGTGAGGAGCTAGGCTGGATAATACACGCAACTTTCGTCATGAGCCCACAATTCTCGCAACCCAATGAACGCAGCCCCGCTTTCCTCAGGTGTACTCAGGCGAGATCTCCTGGACATGTCATGATGAACCGCAGGTCATGGGGGCACACTTCGGGCAGAGCATGTTGAAAGACATGTCCATTGGTGACGTTGCGATCTTGCAGCAGAAACGCCTCATCTGGCGACAAGCTTCCGATCACCAAGCTTGGCGGTGCTTGTTTCGCTCCTCTTGGTCTGCTGCTCAGCACATGCTCTGACGCAAGCACTCACTTTTGTTGAAGGATTGATGTCGATCAAAGCACGTATTCCACGCAATCTGAACGAGTACTCGTCTTCCATACCAGGTTTTTTTGACAGCTGAGTCCTACGTCACTCCTTTTCATATTGCGTATATCAATCCTTTCTCTCTTTCTCTTCCCGAAGTCTGCATAGAGCATTGGATATACTCGGACTTCACACTCTCCATCTCCTCACAATCAATCAATCAATAGCCATGTCAGCACCCGGTCAGAACGGCAAAGAGGACTACCTCGACAAGGGTTTGTAATCGCCTTCATAAGTTCGTTGGGTCTTCAACGGAGCGTATCGTTGACATCATTTTATCTCAGGTCTTGATGCCGTGGAGAAGCAGATCGGCAAGAAGACCGGCCACAACATCGACCCGGCCAAGGCTCGTTCTACCAATGAAAAGATTACGGACAAGGCCCGCGGCWTGTTCGAGAAAGCTACTGGCAAGCATGTGCCGGATAAGGGTATGCTCACAGTATCTCACATCACCATCAACATTCCATCGCTGACATGTGGCTTGCAGTCTCCAACTAAGATACCCCGAATGAGAGTCATCCCTTCTTAATGAGCATGTAACGAATGTAACGAATGATGTGAAAGACATAACAGTGCTCAAATCAAATAAGACGCTTCCAGACAGTCAGACACCGACGCTTGCTTTCTCATCCCTCCACCGTCTCAGCCACATCAGTAAAGCACAGCAGATCTTCACCCTCACTTCTCAAAGCTCCAAATCAAGCTTCTCCTTGATCTCATCCCACTGCTCCTTAGCCGTAACCCCCTGAATCTCCTTCCACAACTCCATACGAATCTTCTTCCTATTCTTCGCAATCTTCTGCAACCGCCTCCACTCCCGCTCCGTCTTGTCCTTTTCCGCCTTACTAACAGGCTTCACACTGCCACCTCGCAACTTGACCAGTCTCTCATACATCTCCGTCTTCTGCTTCATCATCTTCTGCACGCTTGCTTTGAGTTCCGGAAGCGGGATCTGCACGGCACTTTCACGCAGCGAAACTCGCAGTTCCTTTTCTTCGGATTTGAGAGCGACGGTCTCGTTTCGAAGACGTTCAATCTCACGATCTTGCTCGGCGAGCTTTTCGAGGAAATCTTCGGGAGYTTCTTCCTGGATTGTGTCAGTGCCAGCATAAACATGGCAAGAGGATGATGATGGCATCTACTTGGATGATATGGTAGACAATTTGCTTCCCAGAGGCGCGTCCTTCAATCTCCTGACGCTCGTGCATGTCTTTGAGTAACTTCGCAGCGGCCGTCTTGGTGACTGCATTGTGGAGATTGGAGCTGATGTCGGTAGCGCTGTATGGTCGATTCTCCTTGCGAAGGTATTGCAGGATGGCTGCGGCGCCTTGTTCTGGTGTGAGCTTGACTTTGGTCTCGGCCTCTTTCTTGGCTGGCGCCATGGTGGGCTGAGGTGGGATTTGTGAGGAGGGAGCTTGAATTGAAGGTTGAATGGAAGGATTGGAAGATGGGTCGTGGAAAAGTCGAGGGTCGATGACCACTGTTCTGTGATGGGCGCAGAAACAGACTTTAGGCAGGAACGCGACGCTCCTGCCTCATGTACACTACGACCCGGGGCAGGAGAGCGGACACTTTGACATGCGATGCGCACCGCTCATCAACCGGAACGTCTCATAATTGACTCAAGGCCCAGGCTGCACTATTCCACTGAACAATACCACACCTCCCAGAACCCACGCTGGCCACCAAATCGACCAAACAACCAGATTGCTCCAAACCCCCTGGGCCAGCCAGCCCTTTGCAATCTCGACCAAGAGCCACGAGAGGTCCTTGCCCGAGTACCAACTGATCGCATAAAGCGCTGAGGGTGGCGAGGCAAACAGCCAGACTAGAGCAGCGGGCAGGCGTATGGCAAGATTCACCACCGCGGACTTCTTCTCCTGTTCCGACTTTGGCGCTATCACATTCCTCAATGGCACCGGCCGAGCGAAGCAGAGTGGAGAAGCCACAAACCCGATGAGGAGTGCCAGCGAGAAGTTGATCGTGGCCCACGTTGATAGCGTAGCACCAATGAAGAGCAGTGAGAATGACTGCATGACTTGTAACTGCTGCGAGCTGGCTTTGGAAACTCTGACCAGGACTGCGCTGAGGTATATTGGCAGGATGTAGCTTGTTGCTGCGATGCAGCAGAATGCGAAAGTGACGCTCTGTGATAGAGTTAGCTAGGAGTTCCAGCAACGACTCGACGCAGGACTCACGGCCTTATTTGTGTGCGTCAGCAAATATAGTGGGATGATGCTGAAAAGATGCACCCCAAAGACTGTGATTGCAGGCACGAACATCTTTCGCTCTACACTTTGTAGCTTCGCCTTGCGTACAAAAGCCACATCTTTACCTTCTTTAACGGCCACCATATCCTTTCCTTTGGATTTCTCGTCCGTTGCTGGCTTTGTAGGGGGCTCGACAGGACCTCTGCCACTCAGTATCCACAAAGCCAACGCATTGATTGTGAAGCTTCCTGCAATCAGCATAGCAGCTGGAAGATAGCTCCCGATACTGGCGAAACGGTTCGTGTTGAGCAGTATGTAAAAGAAGAAGCTTTGATGCAACTTCTCCAGCAAGTTGTTGATAGACCGGAATACGCTCTCAGTGACTMGTCCGAGACTCATTTCGTCATGCCACCCGTCACCAACGGTCTTTAAAGTGATAGCATCGACGTGATATGGCATGAAAGCAGAATGTGGACCCGTAGCGTGGCCCGCGGCCTGCGTCATGACGCCCTTTGCTAGACACTTCAATCGATCCGAGTATGTGTCGGAATGGTCCGTGATTCCATGAAGGCTGCATCCCATTCCCATCTGACCGTTCGCAACAGAGACTGCAGTGTTGAGTAGATCCAAGTTTGGCAGTGCGCCGTTGATTCCATCATAAAGAACGTCTAGTTTGCCGAAGCGCTTTCCCCATGGTCCTACGGGATAGTCCAGAGCTATAGCTCCTTGTAGCGCACCGGATTTAATGGGCAGAGCACTAATGTTCCTCGCGAGTGTCGGTTCAGTAGATGTACTATGGTACGCAGACACCCATGCTTCCGGCCCATACGTGCTGTCCTCGGGAATGAGGAGGATGATGTCTTTGCTCCAGATACTCCAACGTTTGAAATATCTTGCAAGAGCCAATGCGAGTGCAACTCCGGAGTAGTTGAGTTCCCCATCGAAGTTCCGCCATGCCGCCATGAGAACCATTGCTTCTGTAGCGTCCGCCCGTGGACCTTGAAGAACGCCATACACGTTTGTCCCTGATATCGTCTCGCCGGCGACATTATAGCTGTACGGTTGCAAAGCCGACTTAAGACCCATCTCACGTATCATCTTCTCCAGTCCATCGACCCTGACGTTGTCCCCGGGCTGTTGCGCCAAGTTGTACACTTCCTGTCGATATGCTCGGAAGACATTGTGCTCGCTCCCGGTGAAGTATGTATGGACCTGGCCTGGGAGGATCGCATTTTCGGAAATGTAAGTCTGACGAGAGTATTCGTTCAAAGGGAGAATCAGCAGCCATGCTACTCCCACTAGTATGAGCAGAGCTGAAAGGTAGGGAGGAAGCTGTAAAAGCACAGGCGACCGCCGGAGGGTGAGGAGACGCGCAGCTGTTTCGATGGATTAGCCTTGGAGATTATGTCCCATCTCATCGCGTCGCGACTCACAAAGCGCCATGTCGTCTGGTTACCGCATTGGAGAACACGTAGTTGATTGGGAAACGAACGCTTTGATTGTTCAGCCCAAGCGGCATCTCGGCGTAGGGCAGTGCCGTCCGGGGCGTCGATCACAAAAACGCGAGGAGCATGCGACTCCCTTGAGAGTCCTTCCTGCCTAATTTCTGACCTGCACTCTTCATCTTCACCCTCCCCCGCTCCACGCCGTCTCTGTCCACCGCCATGGCCAGCTATCTCCCCGCGATGCCAGACGCGAGGCGTGTGAGGAGCTACGTTTTCCGCCTTCCACTCGCGACTCGAGGACTGGCACTGATCATCACTGGGTTTTACATTGCGAAAGTGGTCGCGGGTCCGTGGTTAATACAATGGGGCGCTGTGATACCCAACGAAATCACTTTGCAGACATGTACGCGACAATGAGTTGATCGAAATGAGGACTTCAATACTGACACCAATGCGTTGCCAGTACACCGAATGAATACATTTCCGCTACTACATACAAACTTCTTCCACTACATACTTAATCTCATCGCGCTGGTCCCGCTACTGGAACGATTTGAGTCGGAACATGGGACGATCACTACGTTTCTCCTCTTTACAGGGCCTTTCGGGCTCATACCTGGCGGGCTGTACACCATCATCGAACGCTTCATCCTCCACATGAACACCTCGATCGTGGGATCTAGCATCTGGGTCTTCCTCCTCCTCGCGAATGAGTCGGTCAAGACATACCGTCAAAATCCAAACTTTGAGATCTTGGACTACAAGATTCCTACATGGACGACTCCACTGTTTCTGATCGTGGTCATCTGGGTTTTGGTGCCAGGGACCAGTTTGCTAGGACATTTGTGTGGAGCATTGGTTGGATATGGATGGGGGACGGGATACATCAGATTTCTGGCGCCACATGACAAGATTCTCCGCTGGATAGAGGGCAAGTTGAATCTTTTGGGAAGACTGCCGCATTATGTCAGCGTGGACCAGAAGACGTACGGGAGGTATGGAGTGCTTCCGAGCACCAATGCAAGCAGCCCGCTCATAGGTCCTGGACGAGGGACGCTCGGAGCGGTGAATGGGGTCGCGATTGGACCCGTGGGAAGCACACAGAGGCTGGGCCCATGACAGTATCAAGCATGAGGTGGAACAGTCTATACAGAGGAATGATATAATGTGTTACTATATTGCCAACACTGGGCTGTTGGTATCCAGGAAAAGTCGAGCCAGTAACACGGCCACATAAATGTACTGGACGGGTCTTTGGTCAAGTAGCACAAGGTCAGCTCGCGGCTGCTGACGTGCACTGGTCCTGGTGGCGAAGACATATCGCCCTTGAAAGGGATGGCGATGCTGTACGAGCAAGCCTTGAGCGCTGTCTTCCAAGATGGCTTACTCAAGCACGAGTTCGTACCTAGAGGCCGTTCTACATGGAAACAGTCTTCGCTCGATCCATTTGACGGCGACGTGAGGACCCAACCTGCCCCTACTGATGCTTCTCGACGAACCAGAGACGCGCGAAAGCGTTGAAGACCTCTTTATTGGGAGCATCTGATTCAAGACGGTGGAGATGCTTAGATCATGCCTCGATGGGCAAACCGCGTTCTGGATAACTTTGCGTCGAATTTAAATCTACAGATCATGAACGAGAGGGACTTCAACTCATGCGTATTGTGCTTGAGGCTAGCTTCTGAGCAACGCCCGGCTTGCGGTGGGTTGCAGGAGGGTATAGGAAATGAATATGAGTACAGTAGGCAGAAAGGAACGATGGTCAGCACATGCTATCGCTGTTAAGGTTTCAGTGGAATGTGGAATGCAGCCATCTTCAACCTCACTTCACATGACCGTTCCTTCTCATCATGTTCCAACGTGCATGTTAAGTACGAGCAGCGCCTCAGTACATACTGCTACTGCTGGTAGGTCAATCACTAGAATGACACTCCACGATGAGCCCTTCCACCAACATTGCAAGATAGGGAACCACGTTGACATCGCCTGTGCAATCCCCTGCACTGGACATGAATATCTCGACGAGTACCGGCCCAAGACCCAGCAATTCGAATGCGGCAAAAGGTTGCTACTTAAACACTAGATTGATAAATTATATCGCTTCTGGGCTTGCCCGCGCTGCATGTCTTGGAGGCCCATTGAGAGCATCGGATCACAGGTCCTTTGATACCACTCGAGTCGGAGATTCTATCGAGTTGATATTTGGTATCTCCATTGCCGTCGTTAGCTCCAGCAGCCTGATATCTGTCGACTGGCTTCCGCTTCCGCTATGCGAGCTGCACCAAAGACCAGAGAGCCAAATCGGTTTCTAAGGCTCAAGAAAGAAATCGCCGTACGCGTATCGCTGGAACTTCCATCTGCTTCCCGAGATTCCGGACATGGCCACAGGTCGGAAAAGAGACATTGCAAGCAAGCAGAACTCCTGGCGTTAATGGCGTTCGGAATCCACAAGCTGTAGAGCAGCCTTGAATCATTAGCGACGCGGTATCGTTCACTACTAAGTACCTTATTTTAGCCTCATTCGCAAGAAGCCATGACGACGCGAACATGTCGTCGGTGTTTCCAACAAGGCCAACGCATCTTCGTACTAATCAGGGTTCACCCCTGCCGAAGGGTTTGAGTTTGAACGGGGCTGTCGTGGGGGATCGGGCGTCATCGCGCTTTCCCCAGCAACGGAAGTTTGAAAGTAAATACTCCAAATTTGGAGAGGCTGGGACGCAACTACGCAGACGCCGACTTGACCAGCCATCAGCATTTGCTCTCCAGCCATTACTTTTCGCGCACCACCAAGGGAACAGGTCTATCCGAGCTAAGCTACGTCTTCCTTCTCTACCACAATACTACGCAACAGTGCCTCTACGTCTGACCAAACGCCGTCTGCAGTGCCGACCGACCTCGAACCGAACGCGCCTTCCACCTTCGTTCGACCACGCACTTCACTCGCTCGCACATCCCGTCAGACACCACACTCCACCAGCAAGATAGAGATATCGTCGCATTGATTGTGCGCCCGCGCCTGCCGCATTTCAACACTCCCCACCTCCTCGGCCTCGTGCCGCTGGAGCCTACCGACCCCAATCCAGACAGCTGGTAGACCTTCTCTACCGCAATGGCGAACGTACGTTTCGCCGTCGGTATTCAAAGGCTGATACCGTTCCTGGGATATCACCATGTGTTGATGATCCTCATCGCACTGGCAATCATACTACTCTGTGAGTACACACGTGTAATGCGTCTCCGTCAGGACATTACTAACACTCTCGCAGCACTATTACTGGCAGGCTGTTCATCCTCGTCACCCTTGATCCCCTCCATCTTCCTCATATCCTTCTACTATGAAGCATACACACCCACATATGACCCAACGCAGGTCAACCCAGGTGTCACAGCCGCAATCACCAACATTGTCGGCCGTGCTTCGCTCGAAGTACGAGTTGGATACTTTGGACTTTGCGTCCAACCAGATGATGGCAGCTTCCTCTGTTCAAACAACGCCACGCTGCTCGCCGAACAAATCTCCCTCGATGCGGACCCGTTGAATCTCATCTGGGTGGCCAACACCTTCAAGAACAGCGTAGTGTTCCCCTATCTCATGTAAGTACTCACCCACGCTCCTTGCATGCGACAGCACTGACAGTCCCTACAGCATCGTTGCTCTTGTCCTTGCCTTTGTCACGTTCCTTCTCCTGGCGACCTTCCCCGGCTGGCACGAGGAGCATGACGCCAACACCGGCTCTGACATCGATATCAAGCCTTTCCCATCACGGCCCGTCTCGCAAGTCGCACTGKCACTCATCTTCATCTCCTCCATCTTTGTGCTTGTTTCAGTATTATGGCAGCACACAGCGTCCGTAGCCGCCGCGCAAGTGGCGCAAGATTTTGGAAATGGAGCGGTGAAGAGTGGTGTGGGTACGAGCGCCATGGTACTGGGATGGTTTGGATTCTCGCTGCTCATCATTGTTACGGTCGGCTTGCTCGTTATGATTCTGAGCATTCACTTGCTAGACAAGTTGACGGACGAATGATGAGGGAGCATGCAAGGAGATTGGTGGATATGATATGAGACTGAAGTCTTGATGACCGTGCAGTCCGAGACAGAGAGAAAGCTCGACGACAGAACACGCCAAGCCGCACAAGACTGAGCACGCAAGTTTGGAGCTGGAAGAAGCGATTTTCATCGGATGATACCTGACCAGCAGTTGCTTTGGTCCACTGCATTTGCATACAGCGGCATACTTGACGTGTCACATTTCGACAGTGTCTGGCGTACTTTGGGGGAATGAAGCCTGGCCGGCGAGCCAGAGCATGACAACGCTCACTCGATAAATGACGAAAGATGTGAGATGTAAATAGAGGAACTGAATCAAAACTGCGAGAGCAGATAATGAAGGAAACGGATGTGTCTTGTGTTTCTTATGTCTTGTTGTTCGCTCAGTTCCCATAGTCCAACTTTGGAGGTAAGATTTTCCTATATGTACCTATCTTTGAGTTTGACGAGGTTGGCACGGTAAGGATGAAGACATTCACTGAGTTTGTTTTGACATCCATTTCTGCTTCGATCTCCTGAAATGTCGGGACCAAAACGCGCCCACTTACAAACGCTGACTCTTATACATCGCCTTCGAAGCCTGGCCATATCGTGCCAGAAGTGCATACGGTAATTCGGTGCAGCTTCATCAATCTTGCGAAATCTCCTTGGACTCATCTTCGGCATCTTTCTCATCTGGTTTCTCTTTCCGGCGCTGACCCACATCCCAATTGTAGACTCTGGCGGTCGCAACCTCCATTGTCTGTGAGAGTATGTCAGTCAAAGCGTCTCCACGTTTTTCTTCCTACAAATGTCACTTACTGTGATCTGCTCTCTGAGAAAGTCAAGATCTTCTTGGCAGTTTGCAAGGCTTCCCTGAGCTACCTGAAGCTTCTCATCCAGTAGAGCCTCTGCTTCGGGCAGAGGATAGGCAAGCATCACATTGGCCTAGATTGGAAAAAAAATGTCAGAGGTGATGAAATTCGCGGTCTGGAAGGGATGGACAACTCACACCAAGCCAAAGGTAGACCTCATCTGTCTCATGGATATTTGCTTTGGCGAAGAGCGTGTCATTGAGTTCGAACATGGCTTCAATGGGCTCTGCGTCGGCCTATATTTCCATTAATTGATATTGCGATATATTTATCGGCGAGTCCAGAAGAAGGAACGCACTTTTCTCGTCTTAAGAAATCGCACAGTCTCGAGCGTTTTCTGAATATCAGGAATCTTGTCCTTGAGGCCCACAACTCGCCGTTGGTTATTGGCTTCCATGAACTGATATTTTCTGTGACCCCAACCGTGTAAGTGGAAGGTCCGCAACATTTCTCACCACTCACAAAAAACACTCACGAAATCATCTCCTGGAAACTCTTCAGGGCACCTTCGACGTCGGCTCGCGTCGTGACATAGTCCTCGACCTTGTCCACGAAAGGTGCATACGGGATCCCTCTGGGGTTGGTCGGCGCGTCTTTGCTGCTAAATCATACATAACTCGTCAGTATATATCTTCCGAGAATGTTATTCGCCACTGCCTGACTTACCCGCTCTTTTCTAGGCTCGTCATGTTTGTGAATGCATTTATTGGACACGGYGAAATTCTTGGAGCGAGCTCATCTTGAGGGTCGATAACCGAATGGAGTTAGCGTGCAAAGTCACAGCGCAACCCACAGCTAATCGAAGGTTAAGGTTAAGAAGCCAGTTCTGACTGCACATGGTAGGCCTACAAGTAAGAAGCAAAAGATCATAATTGTAAACCCAGTCTATTGTTCTTGCTACGTATTCGACTTTCTGAACAAGGGGCCAACCTTGAGCATCATCCAAGTCGCAGCATCCTTTGTAAAAGAACGATCTGTTTATCCATATTCTCCCGTTGTAGAGCGTCCATGCGCCTATGTTAAAAAACCACCAAGCTATGCATGAAGCAGCGCCAATTGAACAAAGCAAAGAAAAATATCATCAAAGAGAGTCGAGCCAGTCCGCGGTTGCCGGCCAAGGCAGTGTATAGTCTGACTCTCATCCACCGTCCTCCTCGAGCCAGTATCGGAGGGAACCGAAGCGAAAGTGCGAATKAAGTTGCAAGGCAGCATAGCACCCTTATGCCTTCCAGTCGAGACCTTGTCGAATCAGCTGACCCAATTCACTGGCGTGAGGATCCTTCATCATGGAGAACTGTGGCAGTGTTAGCTTGTGGTTCTGTTTGTAATAGGTGCAGGTATATGCTTACGTGGTGACCGGCCATAACGCCAAACTTCATGTTGTTACCACAAAGCTGTGCCCAACCGTTGTCCGTGAAGTCGGTACGGTGGTCAAGGAGCCACTTCATTGGTGCGGGGTCCTCCTTCTCAGCTGGTGGTGGGCGTGGGTCGCCTGGGTTGCCGGCAACACCGTCTCGACACCACACTGCGAATGTTGGCAGGGGAGCAATGCTTGGCTTCGGGTCGTAGTCGGATAGCGAACGAATGGCGGCGGAAAAGTGAGGAAGCAGCCATTTAGGTGTTTTGGCTGGCTCACCAGTCCCGAGAAGGCCGATCTCGTTGAAGAAGACATGGAGCCGGGTGGGAAGAGGATCGAGGTTCACCGGGCAGGGAGAATCAAGAAGCAAAAGCTTCTCGACTTGTTCGCCGGCAGCGAGCAGAGCCTGGGCGACAGCGTATGCGATCACGCCTCCAGCAGACCAACCGCCAATGATATATGGACCTTGAGCTTGTCGGCGGCGGATCTCGGCGAGATAGATAAGCGAGACAACCTCGATGCCACATTGCCACTGTTCTGGATCCTTCATGAAGGGACAGTTGAGGCCGTACGCTGCAACGTCGGACCCAAGGTTGGGAATAGAGACATAGCTAGTGGCCGATCCAGAACCGTCTGGCAGGAAGAAGACTTTCTTGGTTGCAGTCTTGGGACTACCTTGGAGTAGGACGGAGGTTGCTGGGGGATAGTTGGTGATATCGGTCTTGTTGATGGCTGAAAGCCTGTCAGAAACTTCATTAAGAGCAGCTTTGGTAGACCCCCGGCCAGAATCCGTTGGCTTCAGTACGACTGGACGCATGCCAAGAGCGTTCTCGATATCCACAATGGTTGGGTTGGCCAACAAGAACGTGCTGGGAAGATCCACACCGGTCTTTTCTCGAAGCTCCCCGAGGATCGTGAGACTCATCAAGGAGTCCATGCCCATTTCGGCGAGTTCTGCTTGGTCTGTGATCTCCGAGATGTCCACTCCCATTTCTTGGGCAATAATGTGACGCGCAAGAGAAACATGGCCAACATCAGCCAAAGTCTCTCGGGTGTACGTGTCAGGCTTGCCATCCTCAGAAGCAATATCGCTGGGTGCAGAGCTGGCGGGTGTAGACATATCCTCGAAAGGAGTTGGGGCGTCTGTTGGTGCGATGGAATCGTCGTCGGACGAATCGCCATCGTCCACAACCTCAACAGCGCTGAACGAAGCGCCATTGAATTGGGAGAAGTATTTCTTCATCTCACCGACTGTTGGGTAGTCGGTGAATAGAGTCGGGCTGATCTCAATGTCAAGGTCTTCGCGGAAGATGGCAGAGATGGTGAGCGACAAGAGTGAGTCCACTCCGAGATTCTCGAAGTGCGCATCATCAACAAGCTCTCCGATGTCGACCTCGGTCTCTTTGGCGAGAATGTTCATGACTTTATCAACCATGCCCATGGTCGGCTTCTTGATTGCCATCTTTCTGACTTTTTGTGCGGCTGGGATCTTGGGCGAAATTGCAGCGACCTTCGCCGGTACTGGCGCAACCTTGATCGGCATGGACGCGATCTTCATCGGAGCTGGTGCTGACACACGGACCGGCGCAGGCTTGTACGCCACAGCAGCAGACTTAGGAGCAGTCTGAGAAGTGGCACTCTTGTTTGGTGGCAAGAAGGTGTTGAGCACGCGGCGGGGAATCTGTTGGAACTTCAAGCCCTCGCAGACAGCAATGATCTCATCACCTTGGAGAATGTAAACGTCACCCTTGGAGATGTTGCCAGGCTGTGGTAACATGCGAACGTAGTTGCGGAGACGCATGCCTGCGGTCAGAGGACGGGAGAACTTCATCGCGCCCCACCCGTGGGACACATAGACATTCTGCTCGGAATCGAGTAGATCGGAGGCGTTGACAATGAAGCCTCCAATGTGGCAAGCTCCATCGATGTGGTAGGGTGGGCAATAGAAATCACCGTCGTCAGGCTTGGTAGGGAAGTCCAGGGAGGCAGAGGCCTCGGTGTTGGCGCCGTCCAAAATGACCTCAGACATGGCGCGGTACTTGCTGTCATAGCTCACAAGCGCTTTGAACAGCTTGTAAGCCATGCCACGTTGGACCTTGTGCGCACCGCCAGTCATGGTCTTGGCGGCGAGCGTGTCGATCTGCGCTTTCACCATGAAGTTGTAGCGTGCCCACTCCTCGGCCCAAGCAGCCTTGTCTTCGTAGCGAACAGTGCACGAGGCGTGGTCTTGGATCTTTTTGCCATCTGGCTGAACGCTGCGAAATTGCACCTTGACAGAGCCTTGCGCGAGATCGGCAGTGGCTTCCATCTCAATGTGCTGGCCCTGAGGAGGCTGAGGAATTTGCGCAATGAGTGGCTTTGGAACCTCCATATTGCAGACGTTGATGCCGGGAGTCTCTGCATCGGGATTGAGCTGCTTGTAGATGTAGTCGCCCGCAGTCAACGCCATGTCGGCGTACAAAGATGATGGGCAGAGTGCAGCATTGTTGACCATGTGTCCACAGACAACGGGGTAAAGCTTGCTGTCGGCCAAGCTGGAGCGGATAACAACTGTGGCACGAGCACCATCAAACTCCTCTCTGATGACTTTTTGACAAGAGCTGGACAAGCGCTTGGCTGGTACCTCGACGGGGACAGCGGCCACCACCTTCTCCAGAATAATGTCTCTGGTCTTTTGTGCCTCGCCCTTGGTCAGAGTCCAGTTGTTGTGGTAGTCGAGCCAATACTTCTTGTTGTCGAATGAGTACGTAGGAAGCGTGAGTAGCTCCTGGGCGTTGTTGAACTCGCGGTGAAACTCGTCAAAGTTGAAGTTGACACCGAGGGTGAACAGCGAGCAGATGCTGTTCGAGATGGTCTTCCAGGCATCTTCGCCTCGGCGGAGAGACGGTGCAGTGACCGTGACTCCAATCGAAGCCTTGACCATACCCGAGCAAACTGGATGGGCACCGATCTCGAGCCATGCCGTCTTCTCATCGAACACGGCCTCCTTCCGACCGCTTGTGAGCGCAGACCAAAAGTTGACAGTCTCACGAGCATGACGAGCAAGGTAGTCGGGGTTGATAATACCTGCCTCGCGAATGACCTCACCACCTAGAGGAGAGAGTACCGGTATAGAAGGCTTGTTGAATGTGACCGAAGATGCGACCTTCTGAAACTCGCTCAGGATAGCGTCGACTTGAGCAGAGTGGAACGCAAAGGGAACGTTCAGCTTGGTGGCCTTGAAGCCACGCTGGACGAGAGTCTGGTTGGCAGCAGCGACAATGTCACCACTCMCACAGAGAACAGTCTCCTCTGGACCGTTGATGCAAGCAACCTCGGTCATCTTGCTACCGAGAGCATTGCGGATAGCATCCACACCACCCTTGACGGCGAGCATCCCATGGGTGTGTGGAGTGCAGTCGCGGACCAGAAGCTCGGCACGACGGCCAACCAACAGGACCATGTCAGAGGCGGAGATCACACCAGCAACATGGAGAGCTGCGTACTCGCCGAGGCTGTGTCCAATGACTGCAGTTGGAGTAATTCCCCAAGCGGCCCACATGCGCGTCAGGGCAACCTGGATGCAAGCCATACCAAGTTGGACCTTGACCGGAGACAGAGTCTGCACATCAGTCCCATCGAGAAGCTCGAGGAAAGATGGAAGACCTTGCACTTGAGCGAGGTGGTCGAGCTGATCGATGTCATCGCGGAAACTCTTGAGGTCCTGGTAGAGAGTCTGTCCTAGGCCGGTGTACTGCGAGCCCTGGCCCGTGAAGCAAAAGGCTGTCTTGGTAGGTACCATTGGAGCTGGGCTGTACGATTCCTTGACCTGCGACTGCATCGCAGCGTTGACCTTGGTGATGTCCGAGAGCGGAAAGGCGACCCTGTAGTTGTGCTGAATGCGACGCGCAGTCAGGGTGTACGRGAACGAAGGCAGAGTTGTGCTGCCGTTCTCACTGATGTACTGCTGCAGATTCGCCAGGTTCCGCTTGAGCGACCCGATGGAGCGAGCTGTCACTGTGATGGGGAGTGTACCACGTGGGTCAACGCCAAGTGGAGCTTTCCGAACCGGGCCGTCTTCGATGAGGAGTGCGGTGTTACCGCCTGCAGCAGAAAAGTTGTTCAGGAACACCTTGCGAGGGGCATCGCTCTTACGAGGCCAAGCAACCTCCGTCTGAGAGATGTGAACATTACGGTCCTTGAGATCTGCAGGGAAAGTCTTGTTGATCTCGCCCTTGATACCAACATTGGCAGGAATCTTGTTGTTCTTCATCATCATCAGGACTTTGACAAGTGAGTTGATGCCCGAAGCAGCCTCAGCGTGGCCAACGTTGGCCTTGATGGCACCGAGGTGAACGGTCTGCTCGGGCTTGCGCTGACGATGACGGGGAGCAAAGAYGTTAGTGACGGAAGTCATCTCGATGCCGTCTCCAGCCTGTGTGCCTGTTCCGTGCATCTCGACATAGCTGATCTCATGGGCATCCACACCTGCATTTGCGAGCACCTGTTTATAGAGGAACTCCTGGGCGCCAGCGTGTGGGTGGGTGATGGAAACGGCTTCTGCTGAGTGGTTTGTGGCGGCGCCAAGGATGCATCCAAGGATATTGTCCTTGTCGGCAATAGCATCCTGGTAACGCTTGAGTATAACAGTTCCGCAGGCATCTCCACGGCAGTAGCCATCGGCGTCGTTGTCGTAGGTCTTGCAGCCACCAGTCTTGGATAGGAATTGACCCTTGGAGAGACCGGAGAAAATGTCGGGGTTGGTCAGGACGTTCAGTCCACCGGCGCAGGCGGTATCAACATCGCCAGCCCAGAGAGAAGTACATGCGAGCTGAATGGCAGCAAGAGACGACGAGCATGCAGTGTCGACAGAGTATGACGGGCCTGAGAATTTGAAGTAGTAGTTGATGCGGCCTGGCGCAAACGCGCGTACACCGCCGGTAATGAAGTATGTGTCAACATTCTCCGCGGCATTGATCTCACGCCAGTCATCAGAAGTCTGGCCGTAAAAGGTACCGATACGGTTAAGCTTGGTAGAGGTACTCCGGTTCGGCACATATCCAGACATTTCCAACGCCTCGTATGCTGTCACGAGAGCGAGACGGCCCATGGGATCCGTTTGGGCCGCTTCTCGGGGCGACATGTTGAAGAAGCGCGGGTCGAAGAGACCAGGCTCGTCGATGAAGCATCCAAATGGCGTGTGTGACTTGTTCTTTCCTTTGCCCGATGGGTCGCAGTGAGCGTCGGCGTCAAAGCGGTCGGCAGGGATCTTGCGATGGACATCGAGTCCCTTCATGAGGAGATCCCAAAGAGCCTCGTGGTTGGCTGAGTTGGGAAATCGGCCAGCCATTCCAACGATGGCGATCTTATCGGTTTGGGTGTGGCCAAYGTATTTTTTGGTTTCCACGAAAGAGGTGTGGTCGGTAACGCTGACCTGAGTCTGCTTACCCGCCTTGAGAGCAGAGACCAGACTGTTGGCAACGTTGCAGATACCAAGAGCGTGGATCTTGACACCACGCTTGCTCAGAGCAAGCTGAGCGACGGTCTCCTCAAGCAGACGATCCCAGCGGACAGGGTCTTGGAGCATCTCAGCAAGAGCAAGCTTGGCGAGTTCATATGCGTTCTCGGCGACGATCAGCTTGCCTGTAGCAGCAGAATGAATCATAGAGGAAGGTGAACGCTGCTTGAGCTCTTGGGATATCTCTCCAGCAAGGATGCGCTCCAAGTCCGTCTCGGTGAAGAGGTGTCTAGCATGGTAGGGACCGTAGACCGGGATTGGGACACGATTGTGCTGAGAGAGCGATGTTTCCTTAAACAGGCGGTCAAGAGTGGTCGGCGGGCCGGAGATTGTGAGCKCCATGTGGGACACAGCGCTGATGTATGCCTGAGATGATTGTGGTATTCCTTTCACGCCGTGATAAGTGGCCAGGAGCTCGGTTGTGGTAATCTCGGACGCTCCAGTGACAATGGTGGACCATGTGGACTTGCCTTGACCAGTCTGGTCGAGCATTGATCTGACACTATCGACGGCAGCTCCGGAGCGGAAGGCGATGCGAACGAACTCCACACCGATAATGGCGAGCTCCTCGACCGTCTTCGCAGAGGTAACGGCGCAGGCGGCAAGTAGACCAGTGCAGAGACCAATGACTCGGGTGTTGGATACATCTGGAAGCTCGTTGGGGTGCTCGGAGAAGTAGCCAATGTAGTGACCAAGCTGGGCAATAGTGACCAGGGCGGATTCGAGCATGGGGACCTTGCCACCTTTCTCGTAATAGGCCTCAAGCAAATTGCTCAAGGTGAGAAAGTCGGGAATGGCATCGCGCTGGCTGCGAGGGAGCKAGCGAGTTTCCTCACGAATAGCCAGGGCACATCGTTCAACGAAACTGAGCACGAGGACATTATCCGTGCGAAGGACGATCCTGTGGAGCAGGGGGTATTGTTCGGCGGTCTGATCGCCGAAGAGGAGAACGTTCGACATTGTGGCTGAGAAGTTGATTTGTAAGTTTTCGGGTTGTCGGTGGTGATTCTGGAACGTCGAGAGATTCGTTGGTAGTTGGGTGTGAGTTGATGGAGCAGCAAACACGACCGTGGTGGCGAGACACGGAGTACGTGATTCTTGAATTAGGCGGTGTTGAGTTGATAAGGAACTCTGGTACACTGTCAAGAAAGAGCTGTTGTTGGAAGTGGTACAGGATGCGAGAGTATTCGGCAGGTGGCGAGTCTGTCGAAGCGTAAGGTGATGGGATGGGTAACAAAAAGTCAGGATTGGCTTGTTATGTATGAACTGCTCCAAGCCAGGAGTCTCGATATCTGGAGGTAGGCGTGTGGCAGGTCAGATCCGCAGCTGGCTGCCAGCCGCATCCCAAACTAGATTTCCAACGGTCGTCGAGAAGACAGTAAGACGCTAGGCTTCACCGCCGATCGCAGCATGGAGTGAGAGTCGTGCACCCGGCAGCGAAGATGAGCAACCGGCGAAGCTATTGTTAGGCATGCATCAGATAGACCATAGTAATCCGACTGAAGGATGTTCTACGGCTCTCCATGATGCCGGGCAAGGCCCCTGAAGGGCTCACTTCCCTGCGCAGGCTCCCGAGAGTGAATTCATAGTGACCCACACAGCATTCGATTGGGCCATAGGTGGTCTATCGATGAAGATTAACGTCACTGCCCTGGCAAGCAAGCCTTGAAGATGATGGGTTCACCTCTGCCCGAACCACTCTGCTGCAGGTTCGCGCACTGCACGCTCTCCACGTGCGATCGGTGGCCACCCGTTGCCGTGCCGGCCGGCCTCCCTCCTGCTTACGATGCCCTGGCCGTTGCGATGCTATCGTGATTCATCCACGTATCGATTTGGCCGTCGCAGTGATGGGGTTGTCTGGACTGCGGCTGGTATAACGCTTTTATCCGCTCTCTTGGTCCCGCCATCCAGGAATCTCCCGATCTCGCATACGAAGGTCCATCATGCTGGCCTGCGAACGAGCGCCTTGCTCGAACACGAAGCACGGAATGTATCTGGGCGCTTGACCAGACTGATGTTGTGTCACCATTGGTGCGCAAGGGCCGTCGTCAGCGGGAGAGGTGCAGTCAGTGCGGTTGATATTGAATACATGACTACACCCACTAGCGCATCTCTGATTACGTATGAAAACCCCTCCAAAAGCACAACGAGCCCGACCGCACACTCACCTTCCCATTCACACTTCATCAATTTCTCGCCTCTTGTCATTGCGCCGTGGGGCATCCCACTTTTGTGGCAAGACTACTTCTCAGTCAGGTGCAATGAGCTGCCTCGGGGTCGATTGCATGCACCTCACAGCCCGTACCTACCATGCATAATCACTCATGCCTGTCTATATGCCGTGCGACTACGACAAAGCACTATTTGCGAGACGCTTTGCCATATCTCGCCYGGCCAGCCTCGATTCAGATGTAATCGAGGATTGGTGACGCTTTGAGCAAATCACGAAAACCGTTATCGCAACAACGACAACGTTTCCCAGACACGGGAGATTTTGCACCCAGCATCGGAGAATTCACACGATCCGACACGCTGCACGCTATCGGCGCGAGATTCGAAATGTCACTGTGACGCCATCTAAAAAGGGCTGCCAATTCAGAGAATCTGGTGTCCCCTGGTGATGTGCCTCACTCCATCGAGCAAATACCGGTAGGCTGGGCAGCAGACCACTTGGTTCCATCACATCCCTGCCCGACCATTTGAATGAAAGTCTCGTCATTGATGTCGAGGTCTGAAGGTGGTGAAGGTGGTGGATCATATGCGAACATGAGTGCGTAAAGTGCTGCGGTGATCACCTCGATGACACCGAGAGCCACATTCCGGTGCAAGGCAGCTCGAGGCACGCCTTCCTGAAATTAGCTGACACCTGACAGTCATGGAATAGGAGAGATAACACCTGTAGAGTGAAGTGGCAACTCTGACCAGCCTGAGATTCGATTCCTAAGCAGGCTCTGTCATCTTACGCGCTCATGTATCTGCTGTTATGATTCTTGGGGAACTGCAAGCAGACACATGCTGCAGATCATGTTTCTGCCTCCACAAGAACTCCGTGCTTGCCATTTCCGGATAGTCCGTTCGCAGTGCTGATACGAAGCATCCTGTGGGAATGGCCGTCGCAATACAATCACATCGCTGCACGAGAATACCTGTCTACACATGGTCCTTACCGGATCCATGAGCTGAAACGAGTACTTCGTTACGAGACAGGCAGATGCTTCGCTGTCTGTTTGTAGATTTCAATGCCGCAATGGCCAGCATCCTGACCGGTTGGCTGTCAGCATCAACGCTGCAACATAGATCATTGACACGTGCGCTCCGTCTGATTTCTTCCTGCGCTCCTCAGATATGGCAGCCGTCCTCAGCGTGGCTGTGTGGATGACACCTCCAACCCAGCGAGCACTCACTGCCCGTGTCAGCAACAGCTCGTTAAGGACAGTCACCTTTCGACCCATCGGCCACGTTTCGTTTATCCGCTGTCGTGGTWCTTCTAGCTCCCACGCTGTATCGACTCGTGGGCGGATCCAAGCTTATCGCATCGCGTTGCATGCTACCGGAGAAAAGAATGCGCTGCGATGTCACATTCAATGCATACGTGGGTGGCCAAGAGCCACCTCGGTACCTGTTTGTAGCCTATGAAGTCGACGGGGCGAGCATAACATGCTGCCTCGGCGATTACGTACCGCTGAAGATGGAGCAGTGTCTCGCAATTAGATGTTGGTGTGACATTGGAATCGCCCGCAACAGTGGCATTGCTGCATGCGAGCCACCCGCGGGATCTTCAAAGTTGAGCTGGTAACAGGCTAAAACTGCAGTCGGATCTCAATCGTAGCACGAAATTCTCGAACGACCAAGATCGTTGGAACAATGTCGTGTTTCCCCGAGGACATTTTCTAGCGCCTTCCTAACTGCGTTCCATCAGCAATCCTACTGATGACAGCGGCTTCTTGCATTCCTGGCTCTGGCTCACCAATTCGCTTTACGCGGCGAGACATCTCGATTTGCTGTGAGCAAGTTGAACTCGCTGTAATCCGCTGAATRAATGTAACAACAGGTCAGATGTGTGCCTGGAACAGTCCTATTGTGGTAAGCAGCCTCTCTCGACTTTGCCACGATAACCCACATATCCATGACKGCACCATGCTTGTCCTGCTCTTCAAGCATGATAGCCAATCAGAACTTGCAGCACAGTCATGATAGGCCTGAAGAAGATCCCGGGGATTACATTCTGGTCGTCTTGGTGGCTTGATCGGGGCTAATTAAGCGAGCACGTTTACTATTCGAGCTTCATCGGATCAATTGCGAGAAGCATGAGGTACCCTGTAAGTCTCCATCTGCTGCCTTTCTGCCGCGGAGCCAGACCCGTCAGCTTGCACTATCCGCATCAAGTGGTCAGAGTGACAATCTCGAAGTGGAGTTGACAGCCACCCGATAGCTGATAGGCGCCTTGGTGTTGTTATTTAGATTGAGGTTCATCGTGGCGGACATTGAGTAATTGTCGACGAGGTCGCGTGCACTGGTTGTGCTGCATGCTTCATCGCACTTCGATCAAACGTCCCAGAAAGCTAAAGATGTCACTCTCGGGGAGTACATGACATCTCACAGCAGCTCTCTATCTGCGGCATAGTCAGCGATGTACAAGCTTATCCACCACTCTTTGAATGATCTTCAKGGATGTCTCAGCCGCGAGCAACGTCGCCGAACAGGTCCTCTTCGAAGTGTCCTGGAACCGATTCGATCTTATGTGCTGGGCACGACGTTTGTGCGTGTTGGCAGATCCCTGGCCAAACGATAGCAACGACAGCAAGAGATGGACCGCATACTCTATCACGAGATCGTGAACATCTCGCAAGGATGTACCGCCCGAATCCAAGCAGCGTCATCGATCATGCTGGTGTAATGCTCATATGTTGCGTGATATGTGGGCTTGAACTTCGCTACCAGAAAATCAGACCTAACTTATGGTGTATGTTGCCCAACTTCCCTAGGATAGCATATGTTGGGTCAATTGATGGAGGACTCGGAGCTCTTGTAATGCTGCAAAGAAACAACAGACCACAGTAACGCCAAGCAGGTTGCCAAGCTGGTCAATGGAGGCGAGCCTTCTAGTAGTAGGAGAGGATTCCGTGGATTTTACCTAATGGCCTAGTATCGCCCTCGATATAGCCTGATCGACAACCCCAACACTTTGTACATGCTAGCATACGATCTCCCGACAGTGGTTGCTGATTCTACTGCTTGAGGGCCAGAGGTTGTGGAACTGGTACACCTTCCAGATATGCCTACCTTACAACTCCACACTGGACCCCGTGGATTCAAAGTGGACCCTGAGCGCTGAAAGGGCCGCAATGAACCAAAGCGGAACGTTCTGAAGAGCAGATCGCCGCACTACTGGGTTGCGGACCCCGGGCAGCGTTTGCAAGGGTCTCCCTCGAACCTGGGCACTTCACTGTTGAAGGGAAGCACCGTACTGAAGGCAGCTCCTGCAACAGGATGATCAGGACTAGCATAGCCATCTATCAGCTCAGATACGGCAACAAGAGGGCTAGTACCACGACCAAATTAGCCCATAAATTGAAAAAAGGCAGATTGGCGAGGACACTCAGGGGTTTGAGGAAGTGGTCGCACAGAACACAGGGTGCCGAATGTAATCGTCATGGGTCTCTTCCTGGGGTCAGTCACCGAGCCATATGTGCGGCTTCACAACGTGCTCAGCTGTGCGGTCTCCCATGTGCAAGTGAGATGGAAAACGTGTGAGCGCAGCGGTTGTGAAACAGTCCGGGATGGTGTGTTGTTGGCCTGGTGGCGCGAAGGCCAGGACGTCAGTGATAGCACGCCTCGAGGGTCGCGCTATCCTAGGATGGGCGCTGGTACTCGGTACCCACTTCGACAGTCCACTGCCTCATCAACGTACAATCAATAAGCAGGAATGCCACCCAGGGCTGAGATGTGCGTCTTGCTGAGGTGGACTTGCAAGGTAAAGTTAGCTCGCGCTAAGCGTTCGGTACCCCAGCGGCCTATACCTACCACTTATCGCTTTCCATTGATTCCATTGATTCCATTGATTCTATTAATTCCGTTAGTTCCTAGCTTAGTATCCTACTTTATGTAGGCCCTAGCTATCGCATAGAGACGATATATAGCTTAAAGTTCTCGTCGTAGTCTACTCTATAATCTAGGATATGTTTCTAAGTCGAAATATCTAGTATGTCAATATTAGACTAGATTCTAACTATTTCGCGGAAAGTAAAGTTCCTTATAATATAGAGTAAATTTCAGGGTCCAGGCTAAAGCTTACCTTAAATTTTAGGGTCTAGGCTGAAGTTCGTCGTAATGTAGGGTAAATTTCAGKGTCTAGCTAGCCCGCTCCGCCTCCGAAGAAATCGAAAATCGTCGCTCCGCCCTCTCCGGCTCTCCCCTTCGACGCGTAATATCTTTATATCTACTCTAGTATTTCGAGTTCTACGTAGCTTAAACTAAAGGCCTAGCTACGATTGTGAAAATGCGCTGTTTTTTTAAGGGTAGAAATACGTAGATACCGACTAAACCTCGAAAAACTACCTAGGAACTAACGGAATTAATGGAATTAATGGAATCAATAGATCAACGGAATCAATGAATTCTATGGAATGCGATAAGTAGTAGGAATAGAGCGCGGCCGTACCGGGACTAGCGAAGTCTAAACCGCCCAACTGGACCCCAGTCGTTGCATCGCATCATCTTCTCCTTCCGCATTGTCGCTTGGCATCCGCCTAGGATCATAGAAGGTGTGTACGATGCACACCTCACCGCCGGAACAGGCTCCTGCACATCTGCGACTGGCGGAAAGACTCCGAATGTTGGCTCGGCGGAGACCACTGGCCCGCAAGGGCCATCGACAAAGGCATGGTCTGCCTTTAGCCGCCACCCATTTGCAAGGCTCAAGTCAGACGTGCATGCAGCGCTCACTCCAGTCATGAGCCAAAATGGATCTGCGGATTGGTAACAAGGAAGGAGGCCCCGAACTTCTATTGTGGACCTACCATGCCGTATCCACCCAGCAGGTAGCTCTTGTACACGCTGCTTTCCCTGTTGGCGCTGTGTTTTATCTGAATCATTCCCCGRTGATCTGTCGCTCGATCTGGTGCTTCTCGCATCACAATTCTCCGACCCGTGCCTCGCCATTGACAACATAGATCCCCCTCGAAGCTCTTCACGGACAACAGCAGCCATGGTGTTTTGCACCTACTGCGGGCAGTCGTTCACTCGAGATGAGCACCTGGAACGCCATATTCTCACCCGTACGAACCATCTTTGCACTGTTGACACGTCAGGAAGAGAGCCTGTTGCTAATCGAACACGATTAGATACGAATGTCAAACCGTTCAAATGCTTCAAATGCCACATGTCCTTTGCGAGAAGGTTTGCTGCTTCTCTCGAACGCTGAAAGGTTGATCATACAACTGACAATATCACAGGGATCTACTCCAACGACATTACACTGTACACGGTAGGGAACAGAACCAACAAGAGATACCCGCAGCAAATGGCATGATTCCGAAATCTGCAGGCCGAACACCTATTGCCTGCAGCAATTGCGCAAAAACGAAGACAAAATGTGATAAGAAATTCCCGTGTTCTCGCTGCGCAGGCAGGAATCTGCGATGTACTCTGAGACCTACAAGGCGTGCGTCCAAGAATGCCACTCGTGTTGCTACACCCACGTTGGTGGCTGCTTCCATGCCCCCAGGCATACCTACGGTGGTGACGGAAGTCAGTGCCGCAGAGTCACAAGAACAAAGACCCGCGACCACTACTCCACCAACGCGATCTTCTACCAGTCCTCACAATATGGTGGATTTGCTGAAAGACAACTTGCCTGCGCCACCCGCAGTCGAAAGAATGTATCCACAGTTCGAGGATCTGAACAGCACTGGTCTGATTCTTCCAATCAGCTACTCTCCCGAGATGCAACAAGCTTTCGTCGATACCACGCCACTGTCTGGGTATGACGAATTCYCCACCATGAGCAAAAGCAGTTCAGACGATGGCTCAAGCCCTCGTTTCATGCTCGACTGGAGCCAGATGCAGATGCCGCTTGAATACGACGAATTTCCCCAATCACACCTCATGATGGATGTTGACATGAATTTTGACCCTGGCTCCCTTTCCCTGGCACCTCAATGCGATGTCATGGCCACAGCACTGTCCGACCTAGCAAACGGTATGGGGCCTTTGATGACGCCTCTTGAGACACCCAAAATTGCCCAGTCGCTACTGGATCTGGAATCAACAACATCAGCTGAACACTGCTATATACGTCATCATCGGCCGACGGACTCGGTGATGGGGATCATGCCTTCATTCGGTCTCAAAGCGAACCTGAATGAGGAAACCCCTGCCATTATGTCCACTCGAGATGCCTGGTGTGCCTTTCGCTGCACACCCATCATGGTTTCGAGCGCCTGTCCAAAGACCGCCAAGACAAACCTTGACCGTTTGGAAGAGACTTTGAGAAATCATGAAAGCTGGGTTAGATGGACCCCGGAATGGAGCGAGGCGGACCTAGCTGCAGGCGGTGATTTCCTGACGGTCATGCAGCTACATCAGACTACGCGGGATAAGTTACTTGCAATCACTCAAAGCTTCCTCCACAAGGCCCTCGAGACCCACCGAGAAGGCCGCAGTTCCATCGATGGGTCGCACAGCCCGAGTTCGACTGGTACTTCCAACTTTGTGTTACTTCCGCCAGCTCGTGTACTGGAGTATCTTCTACGCTCTTATTCGAATAGCTTTGAGCGCTACTTTCCTTTGACTTCCAGGGGCACTCTGGATGCGAACGAGCTCATGTACTGCTACAACGATAAGGCAGCTAGCCTTCTGGTACTGATGATGGTCGCGCAAGGTGCGATGAATATACCGTCTTCCGAGACCCGCATGCTGACTGGAGGCTTGATCGAAGCCTGCCGCATTTCGCTTTTTGATCTGGTCGAGCGAAACATCATCATGTCCGGCGATCCAATTGTCCTCCACTCTGCCCTTCTTTTCACAACGCAAGCTGCATGGAGTGGCGATAAGTGGCACATGGATATCGCTATGGGACAGAGACTGATGTWCATGTCGATGCTGAGGCATTCTGGGGTGATGGAATGGCCTTGCGAGATTTCGAGCCCTCTCGACCAGCCGATGAGCACCGATTCCCTATGGAGTGCCTGGATACGAAATGAGTCACGAAGTCGACTGATGTATTCATGGGTAATGCTTGACCAGGATCTCGCCCTTTTCCACGACACCGCGCCACTGTTTTCCGTTACCGAATTCGGTGCTCCGATGCCAGATACTGATCGATTATGGCATGCGAAAAGCTCATCTGAGTGGTGTTCGACTTTCGAAAGAGTCCACGAGTTTTCGGGAGGCTATTCTTCCGTTGGATCTGGAGCGCGACCACTCTCGTTGCGAGATCTGTTTCGCCAGTTCCTTGACGAGCAATTGATCCCCATGGGAATCGAAACGACGCCACTACAGCTACGCCTACTCCTACACCCTCTGCAATCGCTAGTCTGCCAGTACAGTCAACTGTTGACTTGTTTCTCCGACGCCACTTCAACCCGAACCAGAAATGCMCCTCGAGTGGTAAGCGCTTCCTCAACAAGGAGTCGTCTTGAAGAGACTCAGTCGCTACTTCAACGCTGGTTTGACTTGGCGGAGAGATATCTCAAGGCCAACCCGATCTGTCCAATGATGCAAACGAACTTGGTAATGTTCCACCTCATCAGCTTGAACGCTGTGACGGACTTTCCCGAGATAGAACGATTGGCTCGTCGAGAGAACTTTGATGGTACATATCAGCAGTTGCTCTGGACCCACAAACGTTGCATCAAAGACGTGGAAGAGGCAATCTTTCACTGCGGTCAGGTCCTGAGGCTGATCCGAGCAATCCCTCGAGGTATTCGTCCACTATGGTGGGCTGGTGCTATCTATCGCGTAGCTCTCATCCTCTGGACAAACAGTCTGACGCACAGCGACTCTGCTTCGCCTAGGACCGGTGATTTTATTCTCGCTGGACCGTCATTTGCCATTGATGCCCTGACAGCCGATCATGCTCTCATTGTTCGATACTTGACGAAACGAGAGGGTGTACCGTGCGTAACGAAGCGCGATGGGTCACAGATGACGCTCAATCGAGCATACCCCGTGCTGCAGCACTGTGCCGAAGTCATCGATGAGGGTGCCTCGACTCCATTCTCCGACGCTATTAGGTCCAAGCTAGAGAGATTGTCCACTTGGTGAAGGGTCCCTGTCCAACAACTCCCTTGGATGCAACTTCGGCCTGCATGAAATGCACGGTTGTTCATGTCGAAGCAGTCAGTTCGATCGACAGTCCACTGAAACAAATCACCAAGAACCCCCCTCAGCGTCATGATCTTTGTCTCCAGGCCATGCCCAAAGATCTTTGAAATCATGCTTGACCTCAGAGTGATCACAGGCGCAGCCAGCATGGAGACGGGAAACGATTTCAGTGAAGAATACCACAGAAAGATGAGGTGGACAGTCGTGCTGCTCACTATATACATATCTCGACCTGGCAAGGTCGCTCGCTGTCTATTTACTTGCGATGAGCCTGTACATCTCGGCTCGGACAGTACTTAATAACATTTCGGATCTCATCTCAGAGCAATCAATGTACATGGATAGCCTGTAATTTGTCCGGACGACTKGGTTCCCTTCCATCGTACTCCGTTCGGCATGTATGCAGAGTCTGAGCTGGTGCATTGACTTCTATATGTGTCTGGGCTTAGGTGATTGCCATTTACAGCACACTATCCTATTTTTCCAGTGTGGTTCCCCATTAGTTCGCACGGGATTTAGTTGCCTGTAGATAGAGCAGCAGAGAGGCTGCACGAAGAAATGGGCGAATACACGTTTGTACTTCGCTCAAAGTTGTCTGTATCTCACCAGGGATCCAGATTGATTGCTGAACATTAACATCTCGAATACAAGTGGTAGTATGTGTCGTTAATGGTCACGAATGCGCCTCCGTGAATACAAGAGCATTGCATCTACAAAGATCAAATGTACAATCATCTGCCTTGATCCTCCAAGTAGTACGCGGGAATCATCCGGATGACGCGTATGCGGACGAAGTGTCGTGGCAACTGTCGTTGCCAAGAAAAAACTTCAACGTGCATAGATGTTTGGTATGTACCCGCCCGCCATCGAAACGGTTTTCCTCAGCCTCTGGAATCCGCATGCTTGTAGACAGTAGCACGACGGAGACTCTGCCCGCGCCGTCCTGAGCCGTCTTCACAAGCAATGAAGTCGGAGATGGACTGATGTTGTTCAGCACTCGGACTTGGGGATCCGGTTCCCAAAATGGCAATTTGGAGAGAACCTTGTTTTTTAAAATAAAGAACCGCGAGAAACGCACCCGAAGGCTGGTTCGGCCTTTCGCCGTCATGAATAGGCCGAGAGAATGTCCCACCACCCTGTCACAATAGCCAGTAATGTCTGCGTGCAATGTYGGGACAGAGCCCGCCCACAATAATGCTTCCGCTCAACGGCCGGGAGGTTGGGCAACCCGAACCCGGGTGGTCATGAAACCACAGTTCGCGCTCGCGCCGTTGCTAAGGTGAGGGAGCGAGGTAGCGAGGCCAGCCATGTTTGTGGCATAGAAAGACGTTGGCAAATGCTATATATCTACACCTCTGCTTTGYCGAATCCTAGAAAGATGTCAAACCAGCTCCATCACAGACTCTCATCAGATCCTCTCGGCGCAACAGCAAAGYACAACTCACTCAAAGCACATTTCCTCAATCCAATACTACCACCACCACCAAACAACATCATGTCTGCCCCTCAAGCCGTCGAGACTTCCCGCCTGGATGGCAAGGTCGCCCTCGTTACTGGCTCCGGTCGTGGAATCGGTGCTGCCATGGCCACTGAGCTCGCTCGCCGCGGTGCAAAAGTTGTTGTCAACTACGCCAACTCCGCGGAGGCAGCCAACAAGGTTGTCGAATCGATAAAGTCGAACGGCGGAGATGCAATTGCTATTCAGGCTGATGTCGGTGATGTCGCTCAAACCACGAAGCTCATGGATCAGGCAGTCGAGCACTTCGGCCAGCTCGACATTGTGTGCTCCAACTCTGGTGTTGTCTCTTTCGGCCACGTCAAGGATGTGACAGAAGAGGAGTTCGACCGAGTCTTCCGCATCAACACTCGTGGACAGTTCTTCGTTGCCCGCGAGGCATACAGGCACCTTTCCGTCGGTGGCCGCATCATTCTTATGGGATCCATTACTGGTCAAGCCAAGGGTGTACCAAAGCACGCCGTCTACTCCGGCTCCAAGGGCGCAATTGAGACGTTCGTCCGTTGCATGGCCATTGACTGTGGCGACAAGAAGATTACAGTCAACGCCGTTGCACCAGGAGGCATCAAGACCGACATGTACCACGCTGTATGTCGCGAGTACATCCCCGAAGGCGAGAAGCTTAGCGACGACCAGGTTGATGAGGTGAGTAATGTCATGAGATTCAGTTTCATGATCCAGCCACTGACTCCTTCACAGTACGCAAAGACTTGGTCGCCAATGAACCGTGTCGGCCAACCTATTGACATTGCCCGTGTTGTTTGCTTCCTCGCTTCGCAGGACGGAGAGTGGGTCAACGGCAAGGTCATCGGCATCGATGGCGCCGCCTGCATGTGAAATCGACCATGTGATGTTGTCAGCGAGAATTTGTTTACAAGCGAGCGAGTTTACTAAGAGAGAGAGATTGCCGAGCTAGATGCAAAGAGTGAAGATTGGTGACAGACCAGAGAATTCCGATTCAAGCGCTGAGTCGGGCGGGGCGAGATCTGCCAGCAAAGTACAACCTATTCATGATACCTTTCTTCATTTTCGCCGTCCTTGTTACCTGCGTATTGTCGTCACGCCTGTGAGTCCACTTTCACATGAATCGAGTTCTTCGGACCGTGAGCTCGCCTGCCCGACGGAAAAGAAGACCATGACGGCCGGCGGCGAAAGTCTTGCAAGGTAGCCCGTAGCCCGCACTGCACGCTAGAATATGCTCTTCGTCTATGTTGTGTAACAGAAGATCATCGTCGTCCGAGCGGGCGCGCTACGGACATTTATTTCTGGCAGCTATCTTCCAATGTTGCACGAATGTTCCATAAATCGCGTGTATGCAGTGCGACCGACGGCGGGATGTTCGTGGGAAGCACGTGCAGATGTGCGACGTGGCTGCTGGTTATCGTATTCATCTCTGGTGTCTCGTTGACGCGTCCGAAGTGACCCCTGAACAAGTGCGTACATTTATGGTACTCCTTCAATCTTGCCGAGCAACTTTTACAGACACCATTCCTTGTTGAATGCAGTTCATGAAAGCCCTTGAAGCATCTGTTCGAAGACTCCGGACTTCGTGTCCTTCAGCTTGCGCCGTTTGTGCCTCGACGCAGTATCTTTACCGACGACGGCCTGCGAACCAGAGTTGAGCTTGGTCCGCTCGAAACAATGCAGTCTGTGTCCGCAAGCAAGCGTGAGGTTCTTCTGTCCCAATTCAGGTAGCAGTGTCATCAATAAGTGAGGACGTGACTCTTCATTACGCCTGCGTTGTGCGGTATAGGCGCGGAATCCTGGTAACGATGCATCTAGCTCTGCTCTGGCGATGCCGCAGTAGCTCTTGAGGAACGACCTGAACGGCCCGCTTGAAATGGTCAGAAATACACCCCTCAAATGGATCTGTTACTCACTCAGCAGCGTCCTTCCACTCTTCGGTCAACTTGCAAGGAGTACTTCCCTTTGCATTGGACGCGGAAGACGTGGCAATCCGACAATTCAAGGCGCAAAAAAGTTCTAGCACCCGGAAGCCACTCAAGTATTGCAGAGACTGTTCCGTAACGAATCTATGGTCGCCAACAAACATGAATCGCAGTTTGCAAAACGATCCAGCCTGAGCATCGGCAGACCACGCTCTCAAGACACGGTCCGAGAAGCCCGTGTCTTGTCTGGGCTTCGCAATCACTGCCAGGCTGGTCAAGTTCTGAATCTTGGAGACTTGAACGTAAGCCGCCAGAGTCAACGGAATCGCGTCTAGCGTCAGTTCTGTAAGCCACGAACACTGAGGACTTGTAATCTGCTTGACGACGTGGGCGAAGGTGCTCTGCGGTCTCTTGTCCACTGTTCTGGTCATTCTTTGATGATGCCCTGCAGAAGCAAGAATTGGYGCGAACAGCTTCCACATCCGAAGCCCGTCAAGGCTCTCAAGCTTGATGGCCTTCCAGACCTGCTCGAGAATTGGGAGTGGAAATGCTTCAAGCAGGTCGGAATACAAAAGATCAAGACTTCTCAGGATTTCCAGCATGGCCATCTTGTGCAGCGTACGTGTGCCTTTTATGGAGATGGTACTCTTCGGTCTCTGCCTGACATGATAGGGTTCTTCCACATATACAAGGTCGTCTTCGTCTTGCTTTGGGAGAAATGCCACAGTCTCATCGTAGATTTGCCCGCTCTCTCGATCAAAGGGCATCTTTGCGGCGCTTGACCGAGAAACAACCCTACCGCTTAGCCATGTGCAGTCCTCGACGAGTTTGCACGAAAGCGGACGATGGAAAGAGTGTTGTCTGATGGGCGGGTGAAGCAGATGATGTTTTAGACGCGTCCTTGGGTGTACACGCGACCGCGACTGCTGAGTGTGATTGATGGACCCTGCCGATGAACCTTGTACCCCGCAGCCGCTCTCCCGCCACCCGCTGAAAGAGCGATCTCGGATCTTCTCATATGTGCTCAAAACAGCCTCACTCGATTCCGTGTCTGTACAAAAAGGACATCCCGCAAAACAATGCGTCTAGGCACGATTCGACTCGGCCATGACTGTCCGCAAGCCTAGCGCCTTACTATCCGCCTGTACCACCTTCTCCAACTCACAATTCTGCGCAGCTCAATCGACTACGTCATCATCGATCGCTGGACGACGAGGCACACGACAACAAATATGTTGGAGCGCTGGATATGCCACATACGCCGGTGATGCGAAGAAGGGGACTGAAAAAACCGAACAAAGTCATGCATGGCCTCTGCCGCCAAAGGGACACTCCCATCCAACCCCATATCAGATCTTCGATCTGAGACAAAATGCTCCATATGCCAAAGCGAAATACTACGAGCTGGTGAAGATCTATCACCCTGATAAGAATGGCACATCTACTGCGATCAAGGACCATGCGCTGCGAATARAAAGATACCGCTTGGTCGTAGCAGCACATACGATCCTCTCCGATCCTGCGAAACGTAGCGCCTACGATCGATTCGGAGCGGGCTGGAATGGGAGATCAGAGATCGGGACTACCAGTGATGCCTGGAGGGGACCTCCTTCATCGTATCACTCTTCCACTGCACCATTCAGCCAGAATTGGAACGACCACCCACAGGACACAGTCTGGCAAAATGCTACGTGGGAGGATTGGGAGCGCTGGAGGGATAAGCGGGATGGCGTCTCACAAGAAAGGAATCAACCGATGTACATGAGCAATGCATCGTTTGTATTGGTTATTGCGATCCTGGCAGCCATGGGAACCGTGGTGAACTACAGCCGAGCTCAGGATGCAGGAACTTATTTCATTGAGCAGAGGGATATTGTGCATGATMGGGCGTCCAAGGAGTTACGGCGARTGCGAAAGGAAGCGGGAACTCTAAACACAAAAGAGGATAGGATTGAATACTTTATGAGACAGCGTGAGGCCACTTTGGGTACCGCTGGAGATTACGAGGCAGTACGCGAAGACCGAGCACATCGATTGCTTTCTGGAAATGAAGTTTGTCATAGTGAGGATGTTAAAGAGAGGGATTTGAAATGAAATGAGAATGATGTATAATACACCCATTGGATCCTTTCTGACTTTCCTTCACTTGATCGTATGAAGAAAGTCCCAACAAGCGATCCGGCGCAATCTAAGCTTGTAGTTGTCAATCTCCAACGAGGAGAGACCGAGTACCAGTCTCGAGTACTTCTTGATGGTAGAGCGTTCTTGGCAATGCGGAGACGACAGAAGAACTTCCACTAAACGCTCATCAGAAACGAGCTCTTTCGTGTTCGAACAGCTTAGGTTTGAGGGAAAATGATGTCTGCTTGCTCATCATGGATCACACCTTGCACGCTGTTCATTTATATTTCAGAATCTGATACTCGCTGCTGCCTCCCTGCGCACCCTCGAATTGGCTGCCATCTCCATCTCCAACCCCCTCCCCCTCCACTGTCTCACATGACCCCACAGCTTTCAAGTCGCTCCAAACCGCCGCCTGCTCGAGTCTTCTGGGTGTAGACATCGACACCCAAGCTCTCCTTTCCTGGCCCCAGCCCAACACGCCAACCATAGCGCTTCACCGCGATCATCCTGCGTTTCTTGCGATSGTACTCGTCGTAGTCGCAGCTTGGACACTCTCCTTTTGGCGCCCAGCGACATCGGCGAGGCCTTTCTGCCGGTCCAAAGGGCTGCACAGTGCCGAAATCTGGGCAGGTCAGGAGGTTCATGTCGCGTCCGCAGGGACGTTTGAGTTCAAGCCTGAATGGCATTAGATCTGGCAAGCATAAACGCAGAAGCATAGGCTATACCAGGAATGGTTGCATTGGCGGGACTTGTAGTAGTATGTCTGACACATTGTGAGTTCTGGAAGCGCGGAATTAGAAGGATGTCTGTGGAGGTGTAATCGTTGATGCGGTCGAGTGCGATGCGAAGTGTTGATGCTTGATGTTGCGTTGTTGATCTGTTTTCCCAGTCCTTCTGACCAAGGTCACAATTCATTGGCTAGGCAGCGGACGCTCCTTCCTCATGACCATCATCCCCTTCCCAAAAGTTCTCTAAGCTTTCTCCGGCGGCGGCGGAGGCACCCCGTGTTTGTATTCCTCCTCCTGCCCTTCCGCCAACTCCTTCTCCCGGATTGCCGTCATCAACTCATACAGCTGTCCAATCTGCTGATCACTCATCTTCTCCACTTTGCCTTTGTCCAGAACCTCTCCTTTCCATGAAGCGCCTTCCACTTGCTGCGCATATGTTTGCCATTCCGTCAAAAATCCTACGATGTGCACAGGATTGTCGATCTTCCGATGTGCGCGAAACTCCGCCTTGACATACTCGTCGCCCAACAGGCGCATTTGATTGGGGAGGTGGAGACGGTGAGCGCGTAGAATGCGGCGGTAGAGCGGAATTGGAGGAAGGAGCGCTAAAGGAACATTGCGGCCGCCAGAAAGGGCTGATGGAGTGGATTGCGAGCCGACGCGAGAGGCAGAGGCCAAGAGGCGGCGGGTGGATTGCATTTTTGGGGAGCACAAGGTCAATAGAAGGGGTGCAAGAGTGCTCAATATGGGAAGGTTGTGAGGGTGTCCATTGGATCGACGTCATGGAAGAAAGTCTCAGTAATCAGGCGTTTGTCGCTTTGCCGGGATGAGTGAGCGCTGAGACAATTGATCGGCCTACATGTGCATGCTTTTCGAAGCCCGCCGTTTGCACAAGAACGACACAAGAATTACCACGGACACCACATGCCGGGACGAGCAATTTATCTTGTCTTGTAAGAACAAACAGGGACAGCACCGACATTCAATCCATCGCAGATACAGCAACTACCGACAGGACGACGAAGCCGCGAAAGCTGTTCGCATAACCAGGACAGCATTACTTCGTTATTCCGACAAATATCATCAAAGTCATCACCTACAAAGACGGTCAAGAAACAATGTTACCCACGCCCTCAACATCCCACTGCAACTACTCCCACATATACGAGCCCTCCGAGGATTCCTACCTTCTTCTGGACACTCTTGCCCTACCTCTCGAAATTCTATTCCTTTCAGCCCGCTTCCCGCCAGCAACGCATACGCCAGTCGTGCTCGAAGTGGGCACGGGCTCTGGTGTCGTACTCGCATTCGCCACGAAGAACGCCTCTAAAATCTTTGGCCGCCCAGACATCGCTTCCATCGGAACAGACGTCAACAACTTCGCCTGCACAGCAGCTCGGCAAACTGTAGGTGATGGGGGTGTGGATGTTCTCCAAGGCGACCTTGCAACTCCACTGCGGAAAGGCGTGGTTGATGTGTTGATATTCAACCCGCCATATGTTCCGACCGAAAGCTTGCCGATCCCTCCCAAGGCAGAGCAGAGCGGAGAATGGGAGAGGGATTCCCACCTCCTGGCGCTTTCTTACGCTGGCGGCATCGACGGAATGGAAACCACGGATCGTCTCCTGACCGAGCTACCGCACATCCTAAGTGACCGAGGCGTAGCGTACATCCTTCTCTGCGCGCAGAACAAGCCCGAAGCTGTTGTCTCCTCCATCAGAGCCTGGGAGGGAGACGAAAACTGGCAGGCAGAACGGGTGTCTTCAAGCGGCAAACAAGCAGGCTGGGAGAAGCTTTGCGTGATCCGAATCTGGCGATCTTGAACAAATCACTCAAGCTCCGTACGATCGAGTTCTCCTCGATAGTGGAAATCAGACAGACCCTCATTCCAAGGCTCATTCGCACCGAGTACAGAGTCGTACCGATTGCCGTCCACTCTCGCTCTCCATTCGCTCGAGGTGTAATCCTCGGGATTGAAAGGCATACCGTGCTCCATTCCTGCACCGGATGACAACCCAGGAGTCGACGCGGTCCCAGCTTTGTGAATTGCAACTGTCCCGGGATAGAGATTGATATCCCAGTCTAGATTGCTGTCGTCACACACTTGGTCATTCACACAACCTGTTTTGTACAGCACCACATCTCCCAGGACAGTTCCGCGATGCTCGTCTGCAATGTGATCGATGTAAAACTCCGCTCCATGGTAAATGGCGCTCCTGCCGTTTAGAAACACACAAAACAGGCACTGGAACGACGCTTGTGAGCCGGCGCGTCGGAGTGGGACGTGACTCTTGGCGAGGAACTTCCATCTTGCTCGGACACCTCCTCTTTCGGGAAGAAGTTTGTTCCAGACCACTTCGGTGTCTCTGTGGGTGAATGTTGAGCGAAAGGCGCAGTTCTTCGTAGCACATGAGAGGAAATGCAAGGCGTTTGCAGAGCTACTGGGATGTCGGCTCCAAGCCTCCACTTCACGGGTCTTGGTCAGGGCTTTACGGTCGGCGTTCTGCAGACGGTACGCGGATTTGCAGAGGCCGAGGTAGTCATTGGAGGGGTTTGGCGTTGGGAGCGTGGAGTTGTGGGAGATGTGAGAGGGTATTTGTGTGGTGCTGTTGGTGCGGTGGGTAAGGATGGGAGAAGGTGGACTATCGGGAGCAACGTTCAATGTCTCTCGACGGTCACTGGTCTTCGTAGTAGTGGTAGATGGCCCCCAGATCTCCTGCGGGTTGTCCTCCCATTCTTCGTAAGTGAAGGGGACCTCGTTGGATGGCGGAGGCGGTCGATGGACTACTGGGTTTGAAACAGTGCTTGTCGATGCACTGGACATTTGACGGCGTTGCTCAAGGCTGTGAGAAGTGAGAGAGCTAGAGTTGCTCTCTTCTGGAATCTTTCGCTGATGAACGATTGTAGTAGTAGCAGGGACAAGCTCCTTCTCGTTCCAGCTATGCGTACGATTGTGAGGCTTCAAGAACTTCAGCAGAGAGCTTCTCTTCCGCTGTCGACTTCGCGGGTTGTCAACCTCGGTGCCAGAAACGGCATCTTCGTCGCCCGAGGTATCGCGGGAGAGACTGTATTCTTTTGTCCACGTACGCGGGGCTGACAGCGAAGAGTTGGTCCTTGGTCGTATGGGTAGTTCCTGCGCAGGTGTAGACGGCACAGCAGGAGAGGCCGTCGGTGGAGTTGAGCTCTTCAAAGTATCCACGCCAGCCTCGACTTCATTCAGCTCGAGTTGAGCGTTCAACAACCTCGACTTCAACTCATGCAGAGTTGCAATTGTCCTGTCCCTGCCCAAATCTGCTGCATCAACCAGATAGGTAAAGTCGGTAATTCGCGYCTCATCATCAAAGGCCGCGTTTCGTAGCTTCTCGAGTAGGCTTTGTTGGAGGGCAATGGTGATTGATTGGAGAGCAATAATGGATGTGGGATCACCCTCGACGAATGCATTCCCAAACCGTGCCACGCCACGCCGCCGCTCTTTCTCAATCTCGTCGGGTGCTTGGTCGATGCTCTCCTCGAGTAACCGTGGCGGCTGCGGTGCACATTTCAGAGCCCACTTCTTCTTGATTTTTTCGATGATCGCGCCTCCATCACGAAAGGCCTGTGTCACAGCTTCGAGGCACGTCTAGCATACACCAGCTGTTGTCAGTCGCGTTACTAGGAGTAGGAGGGGTAGTAGGGTCGATCGGCGGTATACACACATTAATGCTCACAGCTTGTACATCAGACGGCGGACTCATGTGAGCAGGGTTTGGTTGGAGCACCAGCATTCGTTGGTGAACATGGAGCTTGGTTGGAAGAGTTGCGCCTCGTGGCTCTGGCCAAGTGAATGTTTGCAGCAGTCAGCGCTGGGCAACAAGACTTGGGGCGAGGACTGGACGAGGCTGCCATGGCGTCCGTAGGATTCTTTCCCCAGCAGCTTGCATTGCCTCCGCGCTCCGCCTCCACTCAAATCAATCTCGGCCGAGCGATTGCTGGGAGGATTAGTCATGCCTGGCATGTGATCGATGATTCATCGGCAGGTGCCAGACGCAGCGTTCCGCTGGGCATTGATTCACTTGCGCGCGACCGCACTTGCCGCTTCCCCTGCTGCGGTAGATGTCAGAATGCTGGGTGAGGTGATGCACGTGAAAGCGCGTCTCTCCGCGAAGGCGTGACGTCCACGYGGGAATAAGACTGTCTAAGCATTTCGCGGGCGAGATGAATCATGACGACCTGAAGAGAAGATCGTGCTGCATTGCTTTGGGTCGGGATTCCTGTTCTCACACTCGCTCGTAACTTTTGTCAAAGGCTGCTCCTTCCACCATGCTTTTTGAGCATCACATTCCATGGATGCTCCTTGGAAATGGCTATGCGAAGATGATACCTTCATTATTACCGCCGTATTATGTTCGTCAATGGAGAACAGCATCGTCATACCGCGTGCGACCACCCGATGCCGCTAGCCGACAGTCCGCAGACAGCCGATCACGCAACAAAGCAATTGTCTCGGCTCTGAATTGACTTCAACACTTTCCTGGCCCTCCCCGCAGTCGGATCGCCGGTCTCAGCGTTCTGCTGCAGCACGTCAACCCGGCCACTGCTTTCGTTATTGGCGACGCAGCACGCAATCGTGGACTGTCCAGTCCTTTTATGAGCTGCCTGTCCAGGTAAGGCTTGCCGTGATGATACACGACCGACTACCCGCGACGAGGTGCTGCCGCACTGCTATAAAACCTCTCATCCCCGCCAATCGACATGGAACCTATTTTTGTGTATTCCTTTGCTCTACTCTTCTACGTTTCTCTCAAGACTGCGGAAGAGCATCGATTGATTTTTCACCTTGCGCAACTGAGAAGCAAAGGCTTTGAGAGCTTGTTGAATCTTGACGCATTTCGCCACAATGGCTCCCGCTTTGACAGAATCCGTACCAGTGCCACAGAAGCTCTTTTCCTACGATAAACCTTCTAAAGCTGCGTTCCCAGATGGCATCAAAACAAGTGGGCAATGCCCGCCAAACTATGATCAGCTCGTCCCGTACGAGCAGTTCCCGAAAGAGATTACGGGACCGACAGTGTGGAAGGCGGAGGATTATGAAAACAACCCTGAGCGATGGGTGCATCGATTCAGCGAGGAAGAGATCAAGGAGTTGAGTGACGCAGCCGATGCCTTCATGGCATCAGGCACTCCCATGACTGGAATTACAAAGGTGAGCTGCTGTTGAGGATGTTTGCTGAAAGACATCTAACATGGGTCAGGATAAATTTCCACTCCCCGGTTTTGAGGCACACCTCACGGCGATGCGTAACGAGATCATCAACGGAAAGGGTTTTATTCTCTTCAAGGGGTTTCCCGTCAACGAATGGGGCAACCACAAGAGTGCTGTGGCATACATGGGATTGGGAACATACATTGGCTACTTTGTTTCTCAGAACGGCCTTGGCCACGTCCTCGGTCATGTAAAAGACACTGGCGCCGACCCAACTCAGATTGACAAAGTCCGCATCTACCGCACCACTGCCCGCCAATTTTTCCACACCGACGATTGCGATGTCGTCGGACTTCTCTGCATCGCGCGATCTCTCGAAGGCGGAGAGTCGGATATTGCATCCTGTCACCATGTCTTCAATACTATCCAACGAGAACACCCCGATGTCGTGGAAACTCTCACACAACCGATCTGGTACTTTGACCGCAAGGGTGAGGTCTCCGAGGGACAGGAGCCCTATACCAGGCAGCCGATCTTCTACAAGGAAACGACACCCAATGGAAGAATTTACACCAAATTCGACCCTTACTTTGTAAAGTCCCTCTCGCGCTTCTCAGACGCTGGCACCATCCCACCACTGTCGGAAGCACAGCTCAAGGCACTGCAAGTGCTGGAAGATACATGTTTGAGATTGGCCTTGCACATGGTGTTGGAAGTGGGCGATATTCAGTTCCTGGGCAACGGTCATATTCTGCACTCGAGAACTGCATACAAGGACTATGCGGATATGACAGGGAGGCCGAAAAGGCATTTGATGAGACTCTGGCTGGCTACGCCGGAGAGTGAAGGTGGATGGAAGTTGCCGTTTCCTGATTCGGGGCATGCGAAGAGAGGTGGCATTCAAGTGAATGATACGCCTCCCCGAGCTCCCACAGATGCTGAGTAGAAGAGATCGGGAAGGAGGCTGCTCTGTGGTATGGGCACTTAATCAAAAGATTGTATGCCATATTCAAAGTTCAAGATGAAGTCACGAGCGATAGCAATGACTGTGTCTCCTGCTCGAGAATCAGAAATAACGCTGTCCGAGACTCCGAGTGCTGTACTCGAGATGTTTTTTCACCTGATCGGCTCGTTATCGGCAGTTTGTCATCAACCGTGGCAAGGGAAGGAACCGCGCGCAGCACGTCATGCCGTGTTACCGAAGACGACGACAGTATAAATATGCGAGGTCAACTCGTTGTTCCCAAGCTCCCCTCGCCTGTCAAACCCCAGGAAAAGTGAAATCAATCCCCAAAGATGACTTCGGCAACGTTTAAATACATCGACACAAACTCGTACGAGGGGAAGCCATGGAGCAAAGTCGACGGACCGGGAATGTCGTTTAAGTTGGCAGACGTAGAGGCGCCAGTGCACAACATCCGCGGGTCAGAAGCCCAGTTCGACACCAACAACTCCGGGTTTGCAGTATATAACTCGCCCGCAAAAGAGAAGACGTTTCAAGACGAGCAGGCTGTAAGAACGGGCTATTACCAAGAGGTGGAAGACTTGCTTCGGCGGCAACTGCCTGACATCAAAAAAGTAGTCATCTTCGACCACACCCTTCGCCGAAGGGAGAAGAATGCTCCCCGACAGCCTGTCCAGCAAGTGCATGTTGACCAGACGCCTGGAGCGGCCGACGTCAGAGTGCGACGTCATCTTCCCGCCGACGAGGCGGAACAGCTTTTGAAGGGCCGTTATCAGATCATTAACGTTTGGCGGCCCATCGAAAATCCCGCCACCGACTTCCCGCTGGCTGTCATTGATTGGCGGACGACCGAACCCAAAGACTTCATCCCCGTGGATTTGATGTATCCTCAACGTCCAGACTCGGCCATGGACGACGATGACCGCGGCAAGGAGAAGCTTCCCGACGAGCAGAGCTATTGGTCTACCGAAGGTTATGAAGCGCGTGGCGAAACGCTCGCTGTAGCTGCAAACTCCTCGCACAAGTTCTATTACATGAAGGTGCGTACATGAATGCCTTGGCATGTTGATCGGGACTTGAGGCGCTGACTCCGAATCATAGGACATGACCCCGGATGAGGTAATGCTGCTCAAGTGTTTCGACTCGTTTGGAGAGGGAATGCCAATGGGAAGCAAGGGGCTTGCGGTGAGAACCCCGCACACAGCTTTCGTAGACCCTGCAACACCGAGTGACGCACGAGGACGGCAGTCGATTGAGGTCAGATGCTTAGTCTTCTACGAACAAAATTGATGAAATGATGAGCACAGAAAACGTTGATACCACCGAGATGTCATCATCCGACGCCACTTATCCGCGATTCACATGTTCCTTGTTGTTGTTCCTTACACCGCAGGAAATGTACTTTCCCGCAATTCCCGGCCTGTCTTGATGTTCCACGTTGGCTTGGCAATTTCCAGTGGGACTTTTCCAGCCAACTCTGCGTCTTTTTATTATCATGCACCATTGATTCCATTCCCGTAGGGTTCTCGCCGCCGGACTTTGACGGATGTTTGCATGACAGCAATTGGCGATGAGGAGCAAGCAGAGAAAGCTGACTTCCAAAACCCGAACGCATCGATTCTCCCTGTAGGACAACGGGGACGGCCTCTGCGCCGCCAGCTTGAACCTCGCGAAGGACTGGAGATGACACGGCGTGAGTATTGCAGTCCCATCGCGGAGGCGCTGATATTGCAGTCGACGCTCTGCGGGAATAACACCGCTCCCCTTCTCACCCCTGTCCATCGAGAGGCATCCGCGTCATTGAACCAGCGAGGCAGGGCCGAGCTTGCTACAGCGGGTGACTTCAAGAACAACTCGACGCCCAAGTGATGATAGCGGCAGGGGGTTACACCAAATACGGGAGTCTGACGCCTTACCCGCGGGGGAGACTCCATTAGTGGCGGCGTTGGCTCCGCCGCTCATTCTTCGCAATGCGTTGACAGATCCAATTTGCATAGCGATTGGATGAGTTATGTGCATGTCATCTTGTCGTCTTCGCCACCTGTTCGCCGAGTGCGGTACAATCGAACAGACGTTGTGGACGACACCACCAGGATGTCGACGACAGTGAAAGGGAAACACCCACGGGCAACCAGCAATGTCAAGGCTGCTTGTCAGGGCTGTCGAGCGAGCAAGACCAAGGTCAGATCGATCAACCCGTCGATGACTGCGGACGGTCGGTATTGCTAACGATGATCAGTGCGATGGAGTGCGACCTTCTTGTTCGAGATGCATTCATCGATCCACGCCTTGCACGTACGACACCGAACCGGACGAATTTCGAATTACTGCGTTGAAGCGAAAGTACGCGGAGGTCCAGCGGGAGTCGTCGGGCAGAGAACGTCTTCTCCGGATGCTTCTTGAAGGTACCCACGAGGGCTCAATCGCCATACTCCATCGGATGCGTTCAAAGGAAAGCGACGATGCCATTCTCACAACACTAGACCGCGCTGACTGCCTGCCGGAAAATCTCATGCAGATTGTCGAGGAACAGCCGGAGTCGATACACAACGGAAGGCCGGAGCGAGAACCATCACCATCGCAGCTTCTGCATGACCATGTCCAAGGGAGACCGGATAATCGTCTTTCCATTGCATTTCTGTTGGGAAGACAGGCAAGCTTTCGAGCGTTGAGCGAGGGCGCTGAGAGCCAGTCAGCGACGCCTCGACCAGGAACGGCACAGCAGCAACTGGACAAGCGGAGGCGCCTGTCAGACATCTTGCCGGAGATGCTGCGACCTATGTATCAAACATCAATTTCTGCACCGRCGAGGCCATCACCGGCGACCAGCGATATCGAGCCGCTGGTGCTAAAGCCAATTGCGACGGACTACTCCTGGATGCTTGGCCTCGAGAACGTTCGTGCCATAGACTGGCAGGTCAGTTACGCCAGTGATCTCAGCTTCCTCGAAATGCTGAATTGCTACTTTGCATGGGAGAACTCTGTGATGGATCTCGTACAGGAGGAAGCGTTTTGGGAAGGTCTGAAAGCTGGAGGATCCGACTTTTGCAACGTGTGTCTGGTTCACAGTGTATTAGCGCTGGGCTCGGTAAGTCAGTCTCTGTGCAAATAGATGGTGACCAACGGCTCATGAGTGCCGCAGAAGATATACGGTATGTCACATCCTGAGGGTGTACCCTCTCTAGACAAGCAGGCCTTGCACGAAGCCACTCGTTTTTGGGATGTGGAGCCGCGGGAAGCCACTCCTGCCAACGTTTCAGCTGGTTTATTGATCCACGCAACATTCGCTAGTAACGGACAGGACGAGATTGGTGCGCCTTTCTTTACCGAGGCGATGGAGCTGGCGCTGCGTTCTGGACTTTTCACAAAAGAGGGTGACACTCAGGGGCATGCTGTATCGAATGCAAAAGAGGCCAGACACAGAGCTACTTTTGCGTGGGCAGTGTATGCTCATCATGGGTAATGCAGAACTGGGTTTGGAATCGCCAAGCTGTGGTCGCTGACATTTCCAGACAACACATTTTGAGCTTCAATGGCGACCCCATACTTCTGGAACAACCTGTCGTTGCCATCCCGGCCATCAGCGAGCCTGAAGACAGACGACATTGGATCCCATTTCCCTTCACCACGCCAGAGCCACCAAGCATGAGCAGCAGCAAAGCTCACGCTCGAGCCTCGCTGTGGCGTCTTGGAAACCGTATCCTCCCCCTCCATCGCAAGCACCAATGCGGGTTTCTGAATGGCGGCTATTGGACTGAGGCACTGTGTCTCCACCAGGAATTCGAACGTTGGCATGTGAACCTTCCTCCCAGACTCGATTTCCTCCACGCGACTCCGCCGCATGTCTTATGGCTTCAGTCAGTACCACAAAGTCATTGAACCGATGTCAGATAGTCTAGCTGACGTGAGACGTAGCACTGACTACTATCGCTGCGTGCTGGACATCTTTCGACCCTTTGTTGCTGCACGCAAGAACATCCTCTCTCCATCGTTCGAGATGGCCCATCGACACACTTTGGCATCACAAACCCAACTCCGCCTCTTGACCCATCAAGTTGAGCTCCAATACCCTCGAATGCCCATTGCACTAAGCGGTCTGGTCACACCGATGCTGATCGTCTGCAACGATACCCTTCCACTCGCACTCTGCAAGGGTGACAGCTCAGATGAATGCTTCTACTTTTGTCTTTGTTTACGCTTGATGTATCGTATGATTGGTGCATACCCATTGATGGCACCGTTGATGCGCGGAATCCAGCAGGTCGCGAGCCGAAAAGGGGTTGGATTACCTCAGGAGGCGTGGGATCTTTTGAAAAGCTTGGAGAGGGCAAAGATGCCTGATGTTGTTGTTCGAAGCAGATTTCCGGTGGATCTTGATCTCGTGGCCACGGATCTTCATGCTTCGCAGTTGCAGAGTCTTGTGGATGAAGCAGGCCAGCTTTCAATTGCGTAAGGCCTTTTGGTAGGGGAGGTGGGTGTTCATTTCTTCAAAATACTTTCTGAGTGATACTCAATTGTATGTGGGAGGCTGGATGTTAAGCAGAGGCTCGTGGGAGTGCCTCATATGCTATTGGTAGAGCGTGAATACGCCCGGAGGAAGCTTGCTCAATGGATTTCGGACTGATGAAGGTGGTGGGTGGCAAGTGAGTGTGCTATTGTTGGGTCAAAAGGAGTTGGCCAAAAGCGTCCCATGATTTAAAACAGGGAGACTCTCCACTACGTTCTTGACTTCACGTGTCTGATCTCCACATTCACATTCACATTCATCACACTATACCTGTTCAAGCCAGGCCGTATCATGTGCATCCTGCCAGCGCGAATCATCTTAACGACGCGGGATAAGCCACGCATCGTGGATTTCAACTCGAGCCGCCCGTTGCGACACTACCTCACCTACCAAGCACCCTCTCCTGATTGAGGACCAGGTGAACAAGAGGCTTCCCGCTTCTCCTTCACATTGTTTCGAGACTGGCTTGGCCCACATCAGGGTATCCCCTTTACTGCCTAGCTTGGACACCTCCCCGTTCCTCAGGGACCCCTAGCACGAGGTTCTTCCATGGAGCCTACCAGAAGGCAATGGCAAAGCATTTCCTTGGATTGTCACAGCGATCATCGTGTTTGTAGCAATCTCTTCCTTTCTCCTATCTCGTCCTGCGTCTCTTACGGATGCGAATCTCAGCCTGTACTCTTTCTAAACTCCAGGTTCTATCATTCCTCGCGGACGACTCAGCTGCATATCTGCGGATCCCTTTTTTCTTCTAGCCCTGGCACAGTATATAGTTCTCACAGTTCCCTGCAACGTCTTGCAACGAATATCTCTCAAAGCAGATCATCCCTTATGGGCACTAATCTCTTACGACCCCTTGGACCAGCTTGGAGTCACTTACCCGAGAAGTCCACTTCGGTCCATGACGTACTCTCCGTCCTCGACCGAAACGCCGCTAGAGCTACGATCACGGGCTCTTGGCAAATATCTGCCGCTAGTATAATAAACAGACTACGAACCGTCGCTTTGCTTGCACATCCTTGGATTGCGCTCGACTTTGCCCTTCCAACTTCCCCAAACCGCGTCCTCCCAGGCCTGACCACTCGAGTGCAAATACTGCCTCTCCGTTCACGCGCCGCTGCCCACCTTCTCAAAGCACACTCCTTGCCCGCTACATCATGGAGAATTGGACCACTCCTTGTGGCTGTCTTAGCTGTATTGCCCGACAGCAGACTCGACGACCCGTCCCAACATATTCGACACTCAACRCCACTTCAGAGGTAGTTAGGGAGCGTGCGAAGCAGATTGTTTACGCGCGCGAACATATTCAGCAATGTCTCCGAGTATACGGAGATGTCATCTTAACATCTTGGGACAGCAAGACACCGGCGCAACGCAAATCGGTGCTTAAATCCACCCTACCCGACATCCCTTCGACACACCGACCTGAATTTGAACATCAGCAGGACGCCGAGAAATACAGAATTGGAGAATTGGGAACATCGCTGCAGTCCTTCGACACTCCGCAGCTGAATATTGAGGATCTGAGTCTTGATGGAGTCCTTCTTGCTCTGCTTAGATCTCGTGGCGAAATCATGCCTTTCGAGTTCATCGTCAGTGATCTTGACAATGCCGGTGTTGCCTTGGAGGGCCACGCAACTATGAAAGAGCTCGAGGATTGGAGAGTGGTTCTTGACAAAACTTCATACGGCAAGTTCGCGCTTACTACCGAACTCGAGGAAGCCGATATCGATTATCTCGGACTTCATCCTCTGTCTGCCGTGTACGCACTTGGTATTCAGAGACGCCTGCTATCCTTTCTTTCGAACATCTGCAAGGCGCTTTCGAAAGAGCGAGGCCTCGAAACCACGATGCAGCATCTCAAGAATCTCCCAGACTGTGCACCGTATGCAGACCTTGCGTTAGCCAGCGGCCCGCCTGCCAGCCTTCGTAACTCTGCCGTCCGGGCTGAGACTCAGCTACCATGTAGCATGTCCATCAAAGACTTGCTGTCGCTGGTTGAGAGCAGGGCCTCGCAAGCTCGCGACAATGTGCTTAGCCTGGTCGGCGATGCAGGTTACTTTGTGCAACATCTGCGCGATCAAGAGGCTCATATTCCAGAAGTTCCGGGATATCTCCAGAGTCGTAGGAAGTTGTACGCAACGGAAGAGCCCAATGCGCCGATCACAGCTGCAATGGATAGCAAGAACAAGGCTTTCGCATGCTTGATGACTGGCTTTGCCTGCTCGTTGTTGGTCATGAGCTCATTCCGCAGCCTCATTCTGTGGATGTTGGTTGTTGAATGGACAGATAAACTGGGCGCCGATGAGTTCCGTGGTGAAACCTGTCGCACCGCTCATGAGAAGTACCCACGCGAAGTGGAGAAAGTTCTGTGCCACATACAACATCACCTCCAGGCTATATCCAAAATCGATCGCGAGCAGCTGGCGTGGGCCTTTCCTGCCTCAGCCAAGATGCGCAAGTTCTTTGACGCAAGGGAAGTGCTGGAGAAGAAGCCTGACGTTGCGCCCACTCATCTGAATACCTCTTCGCTACGTCCTACGTTCGACAACAAGAGCTGCGACCCTGAGTGGGCTTTCCACAC